ACCAAAAACTTGAGTAGCGCCGGCTAGTGCGCCCTGCCAATACGGAGCACACAGTATGTGTGTGTGAATGTATTTCACCGCCGCCAGCAACAGAAATAGAAGCAGAAACTGGCCCAAACCGTTCCCCCGCGAGGCCGTTCAACACCGCCGCCATCGCCCACGCCTGCCCGTGCTATGAGCTGAGGCCGTGCAAACTCAATGTATATCAATGTATATGCCAAATTGCTCCAAATGCAACAGTCGCCCTGGCCGCTGCGACTCCTGTCAACCATGTCGACTCTGCCGATGTTTCAGGCCTGCTGCGCATTTCCAAGAAACATCGCCGCAAACTACACGAAGTTGCATCGCCTCTTTTGTCTTTTTTAGTGCCGCAACCTGCCCATCCACCAACCTGTTGAGTCGCCAACTGCACACGTGCTTGCTGCTGCAGCAATGGAGGATGAACAATTCGCTGCCCTTCGTCGATTCAATGCTACAATGAAAACTCCCCAACGTCGACCCGAACCACAAGACACTGATAGGCGTCAGTTTTTGCAAGCACGGCTCTAAAAAGCTGGGCCAAGCCGACCACAGTGCAATGTCTTCTTGCTACTCACAAGATGACCTACCGGCTCTGTGTCAACTACCGCTGGCTTCCGTCATCTCCTCGGTAACATGACAGATCCAGCAGCTGAGTCGCATGGCAGCGGCAATGATCGTCGTTTTGATTCAGGCACAAACTCGCCGGGCAATAACGCCAGAGGCCTAGATCGCAACCTAGATCGCAACCTAGGTACCGCCAACCCCCTGTTGGGGTTGTACAGAAAGTCCCGAATTCAGAGACATCGGAGCACGCTTAGACTTCCGCCTACAACCTTTTTGGTGGGTGGCTACGGCTAATCTTAACCTGTCACCGGGACATTCCACAAAGTGACATTCATCGCAACATCCCATCGGCATTGATTCAACGGTCGCTCCAGCACGTTACAATTCGTGATCGCTTACAAAGTAGACGGTGCTTTCTTGCCCATTTCCGAAACACTCAAACTGCGAATTTCTCCGGGTTCTGATATCCGAACAACACTGCATGTCGGGTGTCGAAGTCGGACTGGCCCGGTAGCCATTGCCTTTGGCGAGCTGCATCTGTTGGGGCTGGGAGTTCATATCATGACGCAGGACTGCATAGAAGTCTCCAGCCCGTTGCCTAGCTGCCGCAGCTCTGGAAAAGCTGCGCCAGGATATCAGGGCCGTCCACACGGCTCACTGCCGCATTATTGAAATCTGTTTCAAACATTTGATTTGCAGTGGAGGGCCAACCATCCGGGCTTAGGGAGAGACAGAGACACTTTGAGCCTGGGAGCGCCATGCAATTCGCACGCGTGGGATGGACGGTCAACCATGGGTTTTACTGGAGACAATGGCGAGGCTGCCTATAGCTAAGCTAAGCTGTTCTCCGGGACTAGGGTGTGTTGGAGAGTTTCCTCGGGGACGCCTGCACGCACGCAAAGTATCCGACTCTGGACCAAACGAACAATGTTTTCAACCTGTGTCGTCGCCTGTGCTAGCCAAGGCATCGATGGCTTGACGCTCCATGCAGCAAGCGCACAGGGTAACATTTGGAGGAGACGGCCCATAATCGTTCGCTTCTCACCACGGAAACGGTAGATGAGTCTTGCTCCGTGCTTCCACGTTGCTCCATGTAATTACGGGATACCCGGCGAACAAGCGGTCGGCGCCTGGTTTCAATTCCAACTTTGAGCGAGTCCCCAACCACCTCCCTTCTCGACGGACGGACATCCGCCTCTGAAGATGACTGCTGTCATCGACTTGTGACGCCTGGTCGGTTGCATTTGCTAGTGTTCCAGCTGCAGACACGCATGCGCCCATCGAAGAATCCCGAGGACACGTCCCCCATTACAGCCCGCGTAACAAACGAGCACGTATTGCCGTCTCGAAGAAGGCTAGTAGTGGGCTCTTGTGGAACAGTCCTGAGTCCTGAGCACACCCAATATGGCAGAAACACTCCGGCATGCCTTGATCTTGGGTGCATACAGATACAACGTCTCGGATTTCAAGGCAAGCTGTTGGTCGGCATCATACCATTCGCTACGGGCCCCGATATGCTTTCAAAAATTGTTCGCGAATCCCCGTCCCCCCGGTCCCTACGCTCCCCACAGAAGCCATCACGAACCGGTCTGAGCACTCAATCACTGCCCTCAGCAACAACCGGCTTTCCGGCTTTGCTCGGCGTGCAGAACATGAACCTTCGTCTGAGCTGCTAACCGTCCGTCCGGCAACGCACATCCCCGTCTCTCCCGCTCGTTTTTGGAGATATCTTACTCAACGGCGTCTTGCTCTTGCCCCCCCCCCCCCCCCCCCCCCCCCCCCCCCCCCCCCCCCCCCCCCGTCGCTTGCTGATGGTTTTCTTCAGGGCTCGAATCCTGCAAGCACAAGCTGCATCCCCGGCGCGTCCCCACAGATGGGACGCCGAATGCGCCGACCGGCCTGCCTATTTCGGGCCCATAAGGAGGGCGCCATCTAGGCCGGCTACACCATTGTGCAGCTTTGTGCCAGGGCCATTTGCCTCGGCGGCTGCAACGAAGCAATCAGCAGGGCCAGCATGCGTCTCTCGAAGCACACCGAGGATCGAGGGTGCTGGGGCAGCTGAATGTCTCGAAAGGGTACAAGATTCGCCCTCACGGCCTCACTCCGGCATCAGCCCCCAGGGGGCGAGCTACAATGCTAGCCAACGAACCACGTCCTCATCGCGTTATTACCGCCTGTTGTTGGGAAGCTGGGTGTTTCGAAACACAAACACGGCCTGGTCGTCCTCGGTCCGTGGTAGATCATTCATCGCTCGTAGATCGAACAAACGATGTTCCAGCAACCGAATCCAAGACATTGTACTGCCCCTCCCGCACAGACAGAGGTGATGGAACATGGCTCAGGTTTGGCTACTAAAGCAGGCTATTCAAAGGCTTCGCTTGAGGTTCCATGCAATAGGCTCATATCAGCGCTCGCCCTCGACCGAGAGGCACCGACATCAACATCAGTTGAGTTGGCAATGTTGCCGGGCATCTCTTTCATCGCGTTGCGGACGCGTGTCCTGGTTGAAGTCTACTGTAAACCTCGCAGCATCGCTATCAATAGCCGAGAGACATGCACACAAGCACATGCTTCTATTGCTGCAAAGCCGTCGGTTTGATTGCCATGTCTGCCAGTTGTACAAAATTCCCAGGGGTCTACCCTCGACATCTCGGATGGAAATTGGAACTAGCTCGAAAAGCCCATTCCCATTCCTCGACAGAGCTGCGCACCAACTGAACGCTAGGCTTGGCGACGAACACACCTCGCATCCCATAGGAAGAAAAGCACTGACAATAACAAAAACCACTTTACGCGTTTCTCCCTCTTCAATCCGCGTGACACGGCTCTCGCAAGCCGACTGGGCGGGCCAGGGCCGTACTGGCAGATTTGCACATCTCGCATCTGCAAGCCACACGCACGCCCGGCTTCCCCCACTGTAAGCCTGCAAGCAAAACAAGATTTCGCGCGAGCAGCATGCCTGTTGTTCAAAATAATGGCCAAATGGACGAGATGCGAGAGGTGTGTTTTCAAACCTGGCCCATTGGCTGGCGGAACCTCCCCCTCCCCCGGTCCGGCGCAATCGCGTCAACTCTCACGAATAACAAATCTCCTGCACCCTGGGGGAATACTCCGCCCTAATTCTCCGATTGCGCGATGTTTTTGATTGTCCGGGGGCGAGTGAGGTTCGAGGCCCTATCGTGCTCGGCGTTTGGTGTCTGAACCCCAGAACACACTTTGCTGGCCAGCGTTGGGGAGATTGAAGTGGATTGCGCGTTTAGGCTTATTAAGTCATTGATCGGCTGCCTTTGGAAGGTCAGACTGGGGAGCGACTCAGGAGCGCAACGAGCGATTCGTATTCCAAACAACAATATCCGGCGAATTTCTTGGTCGAGGCCGCTCTTTTCGACTCGGCCGTTGCTGGTCCCGGCAGATCATGATGGGCAGAGAGGGCATCGAAAACGCCCATGTCGCGAGGCCAGCTCTCGCCGGCGACCAACGGCGTCAAATCGGGTTCTCATCTCCGTTCCCCCTTCAGCGTCCGCCGCCTGAATCCAGGAAATGTCCCGAGGGAACCACTGCATGCGCGGGGATTGAGGCCTAAGGCAGATGGAATAAGCAAGCGCTTTATCTTTTGTACGATGAACCAACCAGGGTTGCTGCTTTCATTAATTTTTCTCGCCGTTTTTTAATCGTTGGATGATGATCGTATCCTGTATGCAGGTGCTCCTGCAGAGAGGTGCCGTGAGCAAATTCCCTTGCTGACAGGGCCTGGACATGGCCGTCGCACGACTTTGTCTTGGCTGGCAATTGGCTGCGTTTCCACCAACGTGAGACTCAAATTTCCAATCAAACCATGTCGCTGACTAGTAGGCGAGATGACGGAATGCCTATTCGGGGACCCTGGAGGCGGATGCTGCCGCGATTTAAACGTGTGATATCAGGGGTTGGCGATGGTTTGGGGCATGCTGTGCGGTCCCGTTCACCGCTGGTTGGGTCGGCCATGTGGATTGAGCGATATGTGATGTTGAAACATGAAACTGACAGCTTCACTCAATGTCAAGGCTAGTCAGTTGCGTGCGTCTTGTTAAGTTGCGTGGAAGACTAGGTTCATTGCATCCTGATGACCGGCTTACCATCAACCTATGGTAATCGACGAACCTGATGGACAAGAACAATCACATATTGCCGCTTGTGTATATGCGGAGGTTGTACGCTGTAAGCTGGTTGTATCTATCTGTATTCAGGACGGACCAGACTCAAGCTTTATCATCAACAGCTTCCAGAACTAAAAACACCAAGGTCGTAATGCAATAAGACTTCATGTAAGCCATCAGCAACAGTTGGGGGAATTATATATATATACATAAATGAGTTTGTGAAGCAGTGAACATACTGACTAGGTCTGGTGATACTAAAGATATATATAAACCATTTCACACATCCGTCTTCCGCTTCTTCACCTGCTGCATATTCCGTTGCTGTTGAGTCAACAACCTAGGCTCAATGACGTGCTTCTTCCTTATGCCGTTCTTGTCCACAACCAAGACTTCACTCCGCCCCTTCCAGTCCTTCTCTTCGACGTCCACCATGCGTGCCCCTTCCTCGCCGTCCATGAGCGCTGCCTTTTCGTGTGCCATCCGTAGCAGTGCAGGTTTGCCGTCATCATCACTGCAAAGAGTCTTCCATAAACCTCTGGGATGACCTGGATCGCAAATCCTCCCAGTTCCAGGCGCCCAGCGCATCTGCCCGGGCATCCGCTGCGCACCGAGGACATCGCGACGGTCCTCGCCCATCCACATGGTGCGCAGCCCAGGGGTTGCTTGCACGTAGCACACCTTGAACGGTAAAAGCCCAGACAGACGCCCGTAGTCGCGCCCCTCGGCCAGATCAACCAGACCCTTTGCCTTCTCGAGCATCATCGTCTTCCCCTCGACCGTCTTGGCAACGGCATCCATGCCCCCGCAAGGCGACGAGAAGCTGGCAATCCCGTTGAGCCTCGGCGACGGGCGGGTCATGACAAGCGTCACGCCGCCGAGGGCGTGCTCCTCGGCGGGCCAGACGGGCGACGTCGACGAGACGAGCGGCTCGCACGTCTGCGTGTCCACGACGGAGACCTGCATCTCGTACAGCCACGTCGCCATCCCGTCCGAGGCCGTCTCCACGTTGATGCGGGAGACGGCGGCGTAGGTCTTGCGGCAGATGCCGAGGGCGCGGGCGTCCCGGTCGTAAATCATCGGCAGGGTCGCGCCGCTGTCGAGGAGCAGGCGGTAGTGCAGCGTCGGCGCGGCGTGGTCGCGGGCCATGTGTGGGTGCCTCGAAGGGCGGTTGCTGCGAAGGCGGGTTGTTGATAGCATACCTGGGTCATGGTCGGAGGAAGAGGGGATCTTTGGCGACTTGAAGCAGAGTGCGCTATCTAATGCGTGCGAGTCTACATCGAGAAATTGAGCCGGCCATTGTTCTTCATCTCCTAGTATCCCTTCGTCGTCGTCGCTGCTATGAGCTAGATGGTCGTGCTTCCTCTTCCGTGATATGTCTGTCACGGCAGCGCCACGGTAGACTAGGCTCTTCATCCGCCGGAAGGACATGGTGACGCTGTAGTGGCCCATGTCATATGAGGTGTCGGTCTCCGGGACAAAGGTTCCCCTGCGTGCGGAGAAGAAGTTCGGCCCACCGGCTTCGCGGGCCAGGGGCGGCTCGATCCAGAGCCATCCTTCGCCGTAGAGGCGGGCGTAGCGGTCAAGGCGGGCCGGGCGATCGGCGGTGAAGGAGGCGTAGTTTGGGGCAAAGTCGACGAGGTGGCCGGCATAGAGAAGGGCCCAGTTGGCGGAGTAGGGGATGCGGCCGGTGTGGTAGAGAGATATGGCGGCGGTGATGTTTGCACGCTCGGGCGGGAAGTGGGAGTCCACGAGGGAGTCGGTAAGGAATTGGATCCGGGAGGCTACGGCGGCGGATTTGTAGGCGTTGAGGGAGTTTAGAGGCGTTGTGATGGGGTCCTGGGTCTCTTCTTTGAAAGACGAGAGAGAGGGTGGGTAGGCTTGTTGTTGCTCGGCTGTGAGGGCAGCAAGTACGTCGCGGGCTTCTGTTAGTTCTTCGAGGATGGGAGAGGCGGCCTCAGGAGATGATTGGAGGGTGGACTGGTAGATTGCCTCCCACTGAGAAACAAGACGACTTGTTGCTTCAAGTACTGTCAGGTTTCTCCCCAGCGGTGCACCGATGATCATAGGTGGTGTCTGCTGTTGTTGTGGGTTGGGAGATATGGGTTGAGGATGATGGCGCCAGGCAGCTTCACGTCCCTGGGCCTCCAGTTCTATGTGTGCTTGCTCTTCGAGATCTTCCTCTTGTCCCTCGATTGAGAGCTGACGAGCTATCAAACTGGAGCTGGTGTCACTTGTTGAGCCATCTTCTTCGGCTTGGGCCGGGGAGTCGAGTTGCGGTTGTAGAAGTCGTGGCGATGGTGATCTCTCTGACACAGGAGTCGGCACAGGCTCAACGGATGAGCTGTGTGCCTGCTCATAACCTGCAACGCTGGGATCAATTTCTTCGGGGTTCTGGTGATAAGACATTGCGACTATGGTTGGGAAGTTGTCTGACAAACACAAAAGCTTAGAGCGAGCTCTTCCTCGGATGGCTCTACCCACATGTCTTTGGAAGAAGTTCTCGCCTTTTGAGACCGACTCAGTTACCTGCTCATACCCTCAAGAGTCTCAGTGTACCCGATCTCTTAAGTCACTCTTCCAAAGGACATGTCATCATTCATCATTTGTGAATCGTCAGTTGGATCGTGGCTTCGTGACAGAATGCGACATAATAACCGCCATTGCAATGGATGATGAATGTAGATGGCTGACAACAAAGACGACCAACAGCATCTTGCCGAAAATAGGAGCATATTAGCGAAAGCACGACCGAAACTGTCAGTGCAGCTTGCTTTCCCAATTGCATTGTTCTTGTTGTCGGACAAGGATCGTTTAATCGATTTCCTCCCATTGTACCGTGCCATTCTTGCTGTCACCGTTGGCGGCCTTTGTGGTGGTCCCTGTCGCAATGCCCCTTCTGATGCTTCTTTTGGATCGAGGTAACGAGCTGCTTTGAATATTTGAGAATGGCGGAAGCGAGAGAAATGGTCTTTGAAAATCGTAAAATGGACGTGTTTCGCAGGTCGGAGTGGCAGATGCCTTTCCTTCAACTCTTGCTTGACTGACATACCATGTACACCCTGTTATTTTCGTCAAGCTTCAATGTCTCTTGCGGGAGATGAGCTTTTTATTCTATTGCTTGTTTCTCATTGCGCTAGAGCTTGGTCTTTCACCGTTTTGTGCTGGTTTCCTGTCGGTTGAAGTTCCTGTCCACCATCATCAGAATCGCAAACTGCTGCGAGAGTGCACTCAGCACAAGCACCAACAGCCGCCATGGCCCAAGCAAGGATACGTAAGCAACTTCGACATCCATGTCTCCTTGAGCCAGTCTGACAGCTTTTCCAGCCGAGCTGGCCAACATGGTCAGCAGGCAATACCACAGGTTCCCTTCCGAAACATGGGAACTCACACGGAAAGCCCTCGAGAACCCCGAGCCCTATCGCCTCTTTCAACACATAGAGACCCTTATATCCACGCGTAGAATTGATGCCATACTCAGTAAAAATGCAGAGTTCCGAGGCCTGCTGGCTGACATTTACGGTAACCGGCACGAATGGCTGCGAGACGCGGACCTTGGAAGGAGTCGTTGGGATGATTCCCGCGAGAATGCAACCGAGACTCTGGCTATGCGAGCCAAAGATTCCGAGAAAAACCATGAAGACGTGGAAAAAACCAAGAGAGACCTGATGATTGAAAAGATTGTCGAGGGAGGTGACGATGTTGGCAGGTGGGCCAAGGTTTTGGGCTTCGAAGGCGTTACATTCTCGCTAGCTGAGATCCAAGCGGCTGCGAAGAGAATGAAGGCCGAAAACGCCAACATGGGTGCCGAAGTTCGTGCTGGATATGGAGTTGGTGAGGCTAGAGAGGATATTGGCGGAGTAGATGCTACCGCCTGCCCCGACGGACCCGAAGGCACATACGGTCCGTCATCACACATGAGCAGGGCAAAACAGCTCGCGGCGATGTCAAGAGAACACAAACAGCCACCTGCTGTATCAAAAGCCCCTGCAGAGGGCGGAGAGGCACCACGAAACCCCTATACGACGGAGTGGCGGCCTCGTGATGCTCCCGACGGCTGGAAGTACCCAGCGACGTTCGACCCATATTACAGCAGCAATCAGTACATCCGTCGGTCTACGAGGTACAAGCTCCCAAGAATCGACCGAACCAATGATGAAGATCAGGATGGAGATCCAGGTGACAAACCTCCTGAGTCAGGGGACGATGAAGACGAGCATGTAGGCCCGTTGACGGCTCCCACTGCATTGGCAGGGATGGCCACTACGACTCAACTCAAGCCTGTTAGGTCAAAAACACGTCCCGGTGGAGTTTCTAGAATCCCAATTCCTAGAATTTCCAGAATACCAGTGAGTTGATCTCCTGTATGAACACAGATGAAGGCGTGTTAACACTGTGGCTTAGGTTCGAGTAGGAATAACTCCAATGCTTTCTGCCGGGACACTTGGGAACATTGAAGACACAGGGACTCCTGGTCAGGTTATAGATCTCAACGAGCCTTTGCGTACACAAACTCGACCTCGCCTGATCCCATCATTCAACATCAGCACTCGGACAGGACCTTTGCATGAGGGAACGACAGCTGTGTCAACTGGTCCTTCCATCACCATCACCTCACCCGCGGAGCACACAAAACCCGTCAGTCAATCCGCGCCAGAGATCGACACGCCTACGTCGGCCCTCAATCTTCCGCTTGAAGGCAGCCGAATCTACACGCCCCCTCGAGAAGAGATACCGCTCTCTCCACTGACCCTCGGTTCCCCTCGCGAAGCATCTGATGAGGAAGACGTTGATATGGTCGACATTGACTCCAAGGATGCGGAGGCTACAGTGGAAGACGAAGACAATATCATTGAGGAAACCTACGGCGATGACTGGCTCATGAACTGGCTGAAGCGCGACCGCTCCACCACCGAAGAGGACCTGCGCATGATGGACTACCAGGGCTGGCGCATCCACTCACCCAAGGTCCAGCTCATCCGCATCAAGAATTTCCTCGCGGACGAGGACATCGATCGCACCATCGACTGGGAGCGCAAGTTCGCCGAGATTGGCGAATTCCTCCTGCACTGCCTCCGCATGGAGGACGCCACCAATAAGGACTGGTACGTCGACCTGCGCGAGTGCATGAACATGCTGCATGCGCACTGGATCTTTGAGCAGCATCACTACGGTGAGAAGAAACTCGTCGTCGACTTCCCCATGTACTCGAGCGTCAGCACGCGTTTGCCGCCCCTTCTGGACGGGCGCGACCTCATTGTGGAAAAGAGGCCCAAGGACCCGGTGCGCCCTCGGTATCTTTTCCACAGGGTGCCCGAGTCCATCCAGGACATGGACTACCAGATCCCTGGGCCGCTGCTGCGGACAATGTTCATGACGTGGTTCCGTCAGGACGGCAACCTTGTCTGGGCCGCCAATCCGAGTGGCCCAATGCCGGGATCGGGCCAGCGTGGGAAGGTGTTCAAGTACCAGCCGGACTTCAACATGGCGCTCACGGAAGACAAGTGGTTCGCCAAGTGCATGAATGGCGGGCCGGAGACCACATCAAACGAGCTGCGAGGTGAGGCTAACTTTTACATATTGAGCAACGAGTATGTTGCTGGCGAGGTCAACGAGGTCGAGGTCCGCGGCAAGAAACACAAGACGCAAACCTATTACCCCGAGGGCGAGGCCCAGCAGCGCTTTGCCCGGTATCGGGGCGCGAAGCGCGCGGCGCTGCAGCAGTGCCTCTCGCACTTCAACAGCGTTGAGAACGTGGCCATCCAGAGCCCCTTTCGGAAACTCGTGCTGCCCCTGACGAGACGACAAAAGCAGCGCGCAAAGGTGGAAGCCGGCGTGAACATCGTCTACAAGCCGCACGCCATCAAGGCACCTCTCAAGAATGCCAAGCTCGACCCGTTGGGCTTGGTGTACTGGCACACGAAGATGCGCGAGAATCACCTGGAGCGTGCGAACGAAATGAGGGAAAAGACAGAGGAGTCGCACCGGAAGCTTCTAGAGATCCAGGACACGGTGCTCCTACCGCACAACTTCCTCGGCCCCGTCACGCCCTTCAACTTCCTCAAGGAGAGCGAAAGGAAGCTGGTGGCGCGGCACACGCTGCTGGTCAACCTTCGCGACAAGGTGAGGAGGGCGTGGAGTCGGAACCCGCGGCAGATGCTCGAAGGCGTCGTCAAGAACATCGACCTCGGGCTCCAGGGGCAGTCATCTTGGAATATGAAGGACGACTTGGTGGCGCACAGGGAAAAGCACGGGAGGTATCTCGAGATGAACGATATGGAGCTGTACTGGGTCCATTTTGTATGCGGGCCGTCGACGAACGTCAAGATGCAGCGCGAGACGCTCCCGAAGCTCGGGCAGGCTTTTGAGGTGTTCACGGCACGTATGCAGACTTTGTTGGACGAGCCGAGCCAGGAGTGTCTTTTCGCAGTCCAAAAGCGCAATGTTAGCCTGCAACAGGTCACCCTGGCTATCAACGCTAGTTTTCGACATGGCGACTATGTCTTCACCGAGGATATGGTAAATAAATATGCCCGGGTTCTCGCTGACTACGGAAGACTTGGGTAGGCTAGACCATGGTGACGATGTTCAAAGCAGCGCACTGACCCGTGACATTTTAGATATGAGCGTGCCGAGACCGGCGAAGTACATATCAGCCGCCCAGAATGCACATGGCACCCCGAAAACCGCATGAACTGGCCCCGAGACGACGACCATTGGGACCCGACGACCAATCCTTGGACTGAGGCTAATATGCCGTCCCCCGACCACACGTGGGACTGGGAGACGGCCTTTGCCAACGTCGACAAGGTCAACGCAACCCGCCGCGCGACGAAGCGTATGCTCTGGTCCGCCGCCTATCGCGTCGGCGTCGAGCTCAGCGTGCTAGTGCAGAAACTCGCCGACGTGGACCATACGCTGAGCAAACCGGCCGAGTGGGACTATCGCGCCGTGCAGCTGCAAGACCTCGCGGGAACCTGGCGGGACCGGTTCGAGCGTCCGGACGAGAAGGGCGTGCGACCCGTGTCGTATGTCAGCGTGGTCAAGGAAGGATACCCGGGGCGATGGAAGCAGGGGATGACGGAGGAGCAGGCGGTCGAGATCGTCAGAAGGGGCATGATTGACGAGCTCTCGGCGGGGGATAGTACGCTCTGGCCCAGTCGGCCGCGGTTCAGCCGGGTCGACGGGAAGGACGTCATGACGCTTCACAGGGAGCGCATCTGGGAGTGGGCGCGGCCCGAGGTCGTGGGCAAGAGGAAGCAGTTCTTCTCGATGAACCGGTGGCCGGTACATCTGCAGAGCGAGAAGACGCAGACGGAGATCCGTATGAGTATAATCAATGAGAAAGCAAAGAAGGACATGGAAAAAGAGAAGATCGCGGCCGAGATGGCGAAGGTCGAGGCGAGAGCCCGGCCTACGAAAGAGGAGATCCAGAAGGCGGAGCTGGCGAGAAGCCTCTCGGTGCCGTATCACGAGGTGAACGACCCGCAGACGCAGTTCTTCCCTGGGCATACGGAGTATTGGGAGGGCGATACACCGTTGCAGAAGAGGGTTATCGAGGCGCATGTACAGCGGGTTATCCAGGGTAAGTTGTGCAGCATTCCTCGACAAGATCAACATGATACTGACGTCTCATACAGAAGAACTGGGTCCCAACGATGGCAAAGCCCGGCGCGGGACTAGCTGGCGCGCCGAGGCTTCTAGTAGCAGCAAAGGCGGAGGCGACACCTTCACGTTTGCAGATATCGAGCCGGAGGTTGTGCCAAGGAGCGTGCCGGCACAGGTTACCCCATCCGCGACAGGGCAGATGGTGGCTGACGGGGCAGTGTTGGACAGGCTGCCCCAACGGATGCCGCCGCCAACAGTCATTGAGAGACGGCAGCCCTTGCTGTCGCCACGATATCCGCAGAGCCAGGAGCCTCGGAGAAGGGTACGGTTCAAGGAATGAGGAACAGGGGCAGAGCGATGATTCTGAGGAGTAGGCGGTTGGGGGTGTCTGGTGTACTTATTGCTACGTCCTGTTAGTCTTTTGAGGTGTTTGGATTCGAGAATTGCATTTTGAGGTACTGTTAGATTTGGATTCGGTCCTCTCAAGATGTGCGGTTCAACGACGTGCTGACTTCACACTGAGCTGTAAGAATGGCTCGAGGTCAATGACGCTCAACGTACACCTTGGACGCTTGTGTGTGTAGTCACCAAGCCATTGCATGGGACCAGCCTCCGGCCTACACATGAACATAATGAAGTATCCTGTGCCACTCTAGTCCGAGACAAGAATTGCTCTGAACCAAAGATATCCCTAGGTGAGAAGTTACGACGGGGGTCAATAAGGGACTGTTGATTTTTGCAGTTTCGACTCTAAGCATGGCAATGAGAGGGCGCTCAGCAACACAGCAAAGGGGTAGCCGATACTGGATTAGCACATTCGCGTAGAAACTGCTGGACCATCTGGAACATCCATATCTTTGCTTCGGCTGGGGGACGATTAGATTAGGTTAGAGGCATAGGCTCTGCTCGTCTTTGTACTGGCACTGCCCCTAGTCATCGTTGCCTCGTTTGGCGCTGAAAGGCTTGGGGACAAGTCAGTCCAAACATCAAGTGATGGGCCAAGTCTTTCAGCCAATGATCCAAGCCAGAACATGACCAGCAACCTTGCCTCTCCATGGGACTTCCATTCGATACACAAATCCCACTGATGGATCGAGGTCGGGCGTAACATTCGTATGGCATAGTGGTCGATGCGGTGATAAACGGTCGATGGGTTCGCTCTGAAGAATCAGTCAATCATCCAGCAGTCACCATGCCCATGCAAAAGTCCCTCGAGTATCGTAAAATTCATGCCCGTAATATTTTGAAAACCCGTCGGCTGCATTCAATGTTTGATCTTTATTTTCAGATCCGGAGCTAGTTTGCCCTTAGCCTTAATGTCATGCCCTGGCCAACCAACGATGCAGTGTAACACACGCAACTCCATGAAGAAATCCCGAAGCCGACACAAGTTCTTGTCATCTCCTCACAAACCCCATCATTCCTCGCTGCTCTAGTACTTCTTGCCCTCACGCAGGGTGTCCGCGTACTCCTCGAGCGGGGATCTAATGAGCTTGGTCTCCTTCCACAGGTTGGGGGTAAGGAAGCCGTAGGTGTTGGAGACGGCGACGAAGGTGGCCTTGAGGGTGTTCTCGAGGGTCTTGGTGGAGCCGGCGGAGGAGGTGTAGGCATCCTCGACACCAGCAAGCTGGAGGAGACGCTTGACGGCGGGGGAGGCGACAAGGCCGGTACCGCGGGGGGCGGGAATGAGCTGCAGAGCGACACGTCAGACAACCAATTCCAAACATGAACCAGACCACGGAGTATACGTACACGAACGGTGACGGAACCGCACTTGCCAGACTCCTTGGTGGGCAGGGAGTGGGGGAGACCGAGGTTGGTACCCCAGTATCCGCGACGGACGGGGATGACGCTGAGCTTGGCGATGATGATGGCAGCGCGGATGGCGGTAGCGACTTCCTTGGAGGTCTTGATACCGAGACCGACGTGGCCCTCGGAGTCACCGATGAGGACGATGGCCTTGAAGCGCGTGCGCTGACCGGCACGGGTCTGCTTCTGGACGGGCTTGATCTGCAATGGGGGGAAAACGACGAATTAGCATTCCCCTCTTCTCGAAACCAGCCGCGAAAGAAAATTCCCAAAAACCAAAGACCGAGAATCTCATCTGCATTGGCGATTGACTCTTCGTCGTCGTCGTCTGCGAAACTCGATCTCGGCCCCGGCGGTCGGGGGAAAATTGTGTGCGCGCACCTTCATGACCTCATCCTTGAGCTTGGGCAGGAAGAAGTCGACGATCTGGTACTCCTTGATGGGCAGGGAGTGCAGGTAGATCTCCTCCATGGACTGGATCTTGCCGGCCTTCACGAGACGGCCAAGCTTGGTGACGGGCTGCCACTCCTTCTCCTCGCTCTTGCCGCCGCGACGTCCGCGACCACGGCCGCGTCCACGACCACGGTCACCGCCACGGGATCCGAAACCACCGCCGCCACGGGGGGCGCTTGCACCACGGTCAGCCATATTGTGTCGTCGGGGGAGGTGGGTGTTGGAGGTTGGTGTTGCGCGCGAGTGAAAGACTGCTGCTCCGGTTAGTCGGGTGGTGGTGTTTCGAGGGGAGGAAGTTATTTCGAGATGCACTCACAACTTTTTTTGCGGGGGTCTGGTTGGTGGCCGGTCAGGGCCGGGCAATTTTGCGCTCTTGCCCAGTTGTGCCTTCCCGCGCCTGCCCAAACGGGTTTGGCGAGCCCTACTGGCCTGAGCTTCGAGGCAGAAACTGAAGGTGAAGGGTGGGGGATCCACCTTTGGGGGTGGGCTGCTTCACCGAGCCACACCGAGGGGCGGAGGGAGCACAGTGTGCCGTGCGACGCAGGATCACCGCGGCTGGGCGCTGATCCCATAATCCCAAACTGCGCGTGGTCTCCCGCCAGTTTAAGGTCTAACTTGGACCTACTCAATTCACTTCACGTACATATAAACAAAATGCATCAACTTTTGTTGCTGCGGTTTCATCTTGTACTCATTGTCCAGTGTCCATTATCGTGATTCCATTACCGTGGCCTATGTACACCAGCCACCTCCTTGCCCCCCTCCCCCAAACGACGAAACAGGCTGACGGACCTCCCCCGATGCGCAATGCAAACTCCAAAGCTGTAATGTGCCGGATATCGTACAATGAAAACCAGAGAAAACCAGAAGTGGGGTGGTGAGGGTATCGCAACTAGAAGCAACTCGACGCTGCGCTCTCTCGCTCAATCTCTTACTCGTCCTTTCTGATGAGCGAGTCGGAGGGCTTGACCCGCTGCGCCCATTCGCTGTGAAGAGAGTTAGCCCGTGAAACATTACGAATTTCGAAGACCGGGTTGCACTTACGTCCAGCTTCCATCGTAGACTCTGCGCTTCTCAGGAGAGCCCCATCCAGCCTCCTCGAGAGCGGTCTCGATGACACAGGCAGTCACGCCGGTTCCGCAGCTCGAGATGATGGGTTTCTCAGGGTCGACGCCCTTCTCCTGGAAGATCTGCCTCAGCTTCTCGGCGGGGTAGAAGGCCTTGGTCTCGGGGTCCAAGACGGCGTTGAAGGGGATGTTGATGGAGCCCGGCATGTGGCCCGAGGACAGACCGGGTCTGGGCTCCGGGTCCTTGCCGGTGAAGCGGCCGGGCGACCGCGCATCGATGATCTGCACGCCCTCGGCGCCCTCCTTGTTGTGGTCCAGCGCAATCTCGCGCACCTCCTCAAAGTCGACAACCTTGCTCTCGTCCATCTTGGGGATCGGGTAGGTATAGCACTCGACGTTGTAGAGCTCGCCAGACTCGGTGGGCAGGCCCTCCTCGACCCAGAGCTTGAAGTTGTTGAGGACGTGAACCTTGGGGTGACCAAAAATCTTGAGGGTCCAGCCGACGCGCGGTGCGCTGAAGATGCCCAGCTCCTTGGTGTCGTAGACGACGACAGTGTCCTCCTTGCGGATGCCCAGCTCGCTCATAGCCGCGGCGAAGTCCTTGGGCGAGGGCAGCATATGCGGGTACTCGCTGTGACGGTCGATGACCTTGTCAAGGTCGAAGAAACGGGCCTTGGGGATCCGCTGTTGGCGGAACACCTCGATGCCGGTGCGACCATCATTGGGGAGGAACCAGGAGGCGCACACGGGGACGGTGCGCGGCTCGGGGCTAATCTTGGAGGGAGGGTTCTTCTTGAGGGCCTCGTTGAGCTCCTTGGGGGTGACGAGGTAGGAGGAGAAGGAGCGGCGCGAAGCAAAGGCGGCGGCGGCCTTGAAGGAGGAGCGCGCATTCCACTGCGACGCAGTCGCAGCGCGTGCCGGTCGGAGAATGGCAATAGTAACCATGATGGCCGTCTGGATGTTGTCCTGTTTCTATTGCTGCACCGATAATGTCAGATCAATGAAGAGGAGCTCGCCGAGTCAGGAAGCGGTATTCGGTCGATATCGGTCGGTGATGTCAACGGCAGAGGGCGGAAGCCCGGAACGTTGGGGGGAGGAAGGCCCTCGAAAAGGGTAGAGGGAAAAGGAAAAATCACGACTAGAGCCAAGGCCGCAGAGGCATTGCATGTGGTGGTTTGTGTGCGGGGTTGGGAAGTGGAAAGAGGGGAAGCTCTTGAATGAGGCTTACCGTCACAACCGTTTTTTTCTTTCTTTGGCTCGTGGTTGTTGTTTGTCTCCGACACTCTTTCTCTTTCTTTGGCCGTGACCGCTGGTGGTGGCCAGGTTTTTGGAGAAGCGGCAGTATTATGACTATCAGGCCGGGCCAGAAAATGGGGGGCGCTCACTGGTTCCCAGTCAGTGATAAGCGGGAGGAGGTCGGGGTCCGGCCGGTCACTGTGACTCCGTTTACAGTGGAGCGGTATGCAGTGGGAACGGTTGGTTGGCGCAAATGCGGGGAGCTTGGGCCATTTCGCCATCTTTTTTCGACCTGATTGACTGGTTCGGGGGCCTTCTGTTGCCCCGCAGTTTTGCAGGTCCCGCGCTTCCCAACTTCAACAAACAAAAGCTCAAAGCACAACACCGAGATTACTTTCATGCAAAACGCCAGAGGGCATGATTCAGGCCGCCAGAAGGTGACTCCTCAACACCAGACCGCTTTGAGAACGCAAAACATACACGACGATAACAATAACAACGCGACAGAACCTCTCATAATGAAGGTCAAGATTACCCGGTGGAATACCGTTGCGACGTGGCGGTGGGATATCCCCGAGGACGACGTCTGTGGTATCTGCCAAGTCCACTTCGATGGAACATGTCCGACCTGCAAATACCCCGGCGATGACTGCAGTCTCTGTACGTTTCGTCGTTTCTTATCATGCCATTTATGCAACTGACCACAGCCAGTGTCTGGCAAGTGTGGACACAACTTCCATATGGTAAGCAGCCTCGTCCTTCGGTTGATCACAATGACTCTTCTGACTGAACTCAAAGCACTGCATCCTAGAGTGGATTAAGCAGGATTCAGCAAAGGGCCAGTGCCCCATGTGCCGTCAAAGTAAGTTTCGTCCCATGTCGTTGAAAAAGCCTCTTGTTGACAGGCTTCAGAATTCGAGTGGACGGACCAGGCGAATGAGACAGCCGAGACCTAGGGGCTGCCGCTATCTCCGTTCTGATATGTTGGCTTGAGTGGCGTTTGGCGCATTGTTTTACAAGATACCCAGGATTCATGGGCAATAGGGGTCTAGCACTGACACTGCGAGGCATTGGAATCAAGGGATGAGTCACCCCTGGTTGTCGGGGGTGGAGCACACTGAAGGAAAGGGTTAAAAAACCAATCAAGATAGTCAGGTCTTCTTGAAGAACAATCTTTGACTTTGGCAGGGTTCTAACAATGAAGTATCATGGTGAGAAGCGCAGCATTTAATAGGAGTCGGTTGATTTTTGGATCTTGGGCCCTAAACGGTGGGGGAAAAAAGCTGCGTTACTAACGTGTTTACAACCGAAATGAAACTATAGCTTCCTCAAGATATGCATCTTGCTTCTACCTATTTCCAAGCTTGAGGCTAGAAAGTCCCAACTAGGTATTCGGGGTCTCTTTCAATGTTACCCGAGATCCTCAAAATTGGAGGTTGGTCCAGACCACCAGAATCACATGCCAGGTCAGGCTTCTCCACAATCACGTGGCGATAACGATAAGCATATCCCCAGCGGCATGGAACCGGCGCCTCCACGATGACACCCAACAGCTTTAGCTTCCGTCCTTCCCTGCACCTCATCACCGAGTCCCCCAACTGCAGCTGCTGTCTTACTCCGGGAAAAGATGCCACTGAGCGCGACGCGAGGGATCCCGTCAACACCAACACCCCGTCTCGCTGCCCTCGCCCCAACCCTCCTCCCTCTCCGCCTTGGAGATATTACCCCCTCAAGAAGCACGCGACCTCTGCGGAACTCTACCGCCTGATGATGGCCGACGTCCCGACGTCCCCGCGCCCGGAGGCCGAGCAGCCCGCCCCGGCGGCTTTATCGTCGTCCTCGCAGAACCAGAAAGCTGCTCTCGGCGGCGGCTCTTCGGACACCAAGCTTAGTGCCGATGTTCCAGCAGCGACTTCGCCTGTCCCAGACACGGATGCCGCACCCGAAAACGAGCCTGACGTCGAACCCGTCGCGCCGAAGCTCGACCCCGCCGGCTTCTTCACCCTTGTCTCCAACTCGACGACCAACACCACGCACCATCCGACTGTGAAGTACATCTTCCTCGACGACGACCCGGATACCCTCACAACCGCCCTCGCCGCCCACCACTCCGCGAACCAGGCCTCGACCCCCTCCGCCTCGACATCCAAATCGGGCTCCGGCAAGAACCCGACGCCGAACCCCGCCAACCGAGCCGTCCTTCTCGACGTCGTCCCCGACGCGGACGGACAGTGGAAAGTGTCCTCCGCCGCGAGTCTGAGTGCCGACTTCGCAGTGACAGATGCCAGCATCGCCCGGCAGGAGGGCGAGAAAGAGGGCGGGCTGGTCCTCAAGATCGAGGGCGTCGAGAACGAGAGCGGCGCAAGTGCGGTCGGTGACAAGGACAAGGACCGCGCCGAGAGCCTGCCCAGCTCCAACAGCGCCGTCGCACGGTCTGGCGGCGAGGAATACGGACCTCTCCTTGAGGATTTCGAGCGGAAGATGAGTGTGCTTCGGCGGGTCGTCAAGGCTGGCGAGGGCCGGGCTGAGAAGGCTCGCGAAACGAAGCCTTCTTCTGATGAGGTTGAGCCCAAGAAGGAAAGCGAAGAATGAGACGACTCTGACCCACAACGCTTATTGGCACTCCGATGTGCTTATAGATATCGATTTGGATGGCTCCTTGTTTCACTACATGATGGAGATTCTAAAGCTCGCAACATTAAGGGAAGGGTAAGAGCCCTCATCGTTTGTGTCCCGAAGAGAGTTGCTGACGCCTGTGTAGCAAAGGGGAAAGAGTCGGCGTTCTCTGTCTCAGACTGCAAGAGTACTGCTGAGCATGTACGATTAACGATTAACGAATTTGGAATGGGACCTAGTACATAGAATATCCCTTTCTCTCAGTCGGGAAAACAGAACGACTTATTTCTATACGTAGAAGTACCTCACGGTTTGTTTTATATACAAGACTATCTGAATATAACATTGTCTCCCCGTGGCGTTACACGACAAGACCTGGGGTTGCAACTGATTAGCTGATGTGCCTCATCTCCCCTCCAACAGGCTTGCTTGAACATCCCAAGGCCCAAGGACCTCTTTCTCCTCGTCTCAACCACCACCCAGCAGATGGTGCACCCCCTGGGTGAGGGTATATGTTGTCGTGGCAGATCAGGAGTCTTCGTGAAAAGTCCCATCAACCTAACGTAAGAAATCTTACCAAGCGGGCCGGGAAGTAGGTGACAAACCTTACAAGTTGAGGCCGCAGCTGCTAAGAGCAATGTATTCTGTGCTAGATCACTAAGGGGGATATCAGCTACAGCGATTGCACTTGTATTAGAACCTATTTGTCGATCGTATGAATTTCTTTCTGCGCTGACACCTAGAAGTGGCTGGTGGTCTATTCGTTGCTAGGAAAACCGGAGGCCGCAGGTGACAGTTTACTTCTTCCTCTTTCTACCTTAATATTAATCCGAGCCCACTACAGATCGTCCAAGTCTATGTAGCATAACTTATTCCAAATGCACCATCGATATCCTGTCCGGATGGCTCTCCAAGCCCGGTAGGATCAAACCGCACCTCAGTCTACAAGTTGACAGGCTGACTATTAAGAGCCCGTCTGGAGTAGAGAATGAAGCCCCATCCCCAAACTCTTTACAGCTGCCAGCCGTCTAATGTCTCGGGATCGTTGAAGGCCAACAAATCCAAGTAGTGAATCTGTCTCTGGCCTCCTCTGCCGAAATTCTCGGCCGTGATGTTGAGGAGCTGGCTTGATGTGGTCGAAGAAGATAGGTTCAGGAGACCGGGAAACTGATTGTCAATCAGAGTCGAAATCTCGACGGGGCTGTAGAATTCAGCACCCTTAGCTTCAATGTTCTTCTGGAAGAAGGAAACGTAGTCTCTGGTGTGGATAACGTCCTTGGCCGCGTCGAAGGTGTCCGCAGACAATGCGTGGCCAGGAATGACTCGGCTAGGCTTGAGCTTGGTGATAAAGTCGAGGGACGTGAGCCAGGATTTTGTAAGAGCAGGGGTTAAGAGGTCGGCGAGCCACAAATGCATCTGGTGGCCGTAAACAACATCCCCTGCAATCAGGGTCTTGCTGCTTGGAATCCAGAACATAGCTTCGTCAATTGTGTCGCCGCCTATTGATTCGATAATCTCCACGGGACAGGCTTCGTCACCAGGAAGAACGAAGAAAGAGTAGTTGTAAGGGGTGGGAATGGCCGGAGTGGTTGCGATGACGCCCTCTCCAAAGACGGATGACCAGTATTCGGTCTACAGTACGCATATGTGAGCATCAAAGAAAACAAAAGAATGTGGAGGGGCATCAGAACCGACTTTGTTAACGGCCTCGTTCTTTATCCAAGCCGCAGCTTCCGCCGTTGCGTAGTGTTTGGCTCCAGGGAAGTGGTCCAGGAAGGCTTGACCACTAAGATAATGGTCCGGGTGATTATGCGTGGTAAAAGCTGCAACAAGTGGCTTGTCTGTCGTGTTCTTAACCCACGCTGCCAGCAGATTGGCCTGCGTCACTGCCAGCGGAAGGTCGACAACGACCGCAGCCTGAGATCCGATGATAAGTGACGACACCATGTCCAACGACAGACCTTGGTTGACAAAGTTGTCAACCTTCAGGCTACAGTTGTACGATACAACAGCCTGACACTGTGCCGAAAGAGCAGCTATTAGGGCGATGTTCCGCATTTTGGAGTTGATCGTTGTAATGTCCCGAGAAACAAGTAGACGAGATTACCGAGCTGGTTGCGCGTCTTGCCGAATCTCAAATAATTCAAGTCACTCATGATTGAGGATTTTTATATACATTCTTGAGCGGGAACGACTAATCATGCTTCTTCCTAGATTTATTGCTGACTGTCACGACAGGCTTTCCCACATTTTTCATCAGGTGTACGGGGCCATATTGAGGTATGGAACCACATTGAGACGGATGCAAAATGTGCCCAACGTCAGCCATTAATTGCGGCAAGAAAGGACGAATTCCACTTGTCCCCAGTCTTACTTACATGTATTTATAAAACTGTCAACAATCTATAACAATCCATGTTAGTATTTTTTTATTTGAGTTTACTTGACGCAAAAAGCAGATTTGCGATTCGGCTTAGCGTCGAGTTTGGGTGGGTCGTCTATCAGTCATCGGGGCATCTACACGTCCAGCTCACCACTAGGACTCGGAAGCATATTGACCCCGCCAACCTGTTTGGTTCCGAGATGATGCGAGCTGTGAGCAGATATAGGAGGAGTTGGGATCAGCTCCCTAAGAAATTCCGCAACAAGAAGCTGACTGATGGTAGGCAGTTGAGCAAACCGAAAGCGGGTGCTTCAGTGGGTATTGTGTGCTGCACACTAATCAAGTTAGATGTCTTGGAATTGCGCAACAGTGGCTGATAGGTGTGCATCAGAGGCAGGAAAAAGTTCAATGGTTGTACGCCTTCAGTGCGTAGTTATAAGCTGCCCGCCCCTCCTAGACGAAGTTAACATCGAAACTTTCAGCCTCAAACTTTCATTCAGTCGAGAATTGAAGTTTTCATCCTCTATAAATTCTCTCATCCAAGCTTACGTCCATCATGTCTCCCATTAAGAAGATCGCTGTTGTCGGTGTAAGCATAGTCATTGTTCGTGCACCTGTATTTTTACTGATTTATTAAGGGGTCTGGAAACCTTGGACCGAATATCCTCTCTGGTCTGTTGTTGAGCGGCTTTGAGGTCACCGTTATTTCGAGAAAAGAATCAAAGTCCACTTTCCCTCCCGAAATCACCGTCAAAAAGGTCGATCTCACTTCCGAGGAGTCCATTGCGGAGGCATTGAAGGGTCAAGAGGCTGTTGTCTCCGTTGTGGGAACAGATGGCTTTACTAGCCAGAAAATTCTCATCGACGCCGCTGTCGCCGCCCAAGTCAAGAGATTTATCCCCTCAGAGTTTGGCATCAATACCCGCAAGGCCCGCGGCTCAAAGATAGGCGGCGTTTTAGCAGCCAAGATCCAAACTGTCGACTACTTGATTGAAATCTCCGAAAAGAACAGGTCGTTCACCTGGACTGGGATTGCTGCCGGACCTTTCTTTGACTGGGTGAATTGAATACCTCACCCCTTAACCATTTTTGATAAGAATATTATTAACATTAAACAGAATTTCAGTGGCCACGTGCTGGGCTTCGACAAACACAGTAAGACTGCCGACATTTTTGACTCAGGCAATGAGCCCTTCTCTTTGTCCACCTTTGGCTTCATCGGCAATTCAGTCGCTGGAGTACTGAAGAACCTCGAGGCCACTGCCAACAAGTACATTGAGATTGCCTCCTTCACGACCACCCAGCGAGACCTACTCAAGATTATTGAAGAGGAGACTGGCTCCACATTCACGGTCAGGAACGTCAAGACCTCGGACCTGGAGAAGACAGCCGACGAAAAGCTAGCAAAGCACGACTATAGTGCTTTCATCGAGCTTCTCCAGCAGCACGTTTTTGGCGACGGAAATGACAACGCCGTAAAGGATAATGCTGCTATATCGCTTCTGGGCCTACAGAAGGAGGACCTGAGGTTAGAGACGAAGAAGGCCATCGCCGCATGGACCTAGTAGGGCGAGGACAAATGAGGGTAATAAAAGCAACAAACCCCTAAATTGATAGACCAAGGATCTGTTATTCTGTAATTGGTGTGATTACAATCCATACAGGGTCTGCAAGGTGGATAGGATCGCTTGCTGGGATGCTTGTCAAACGTTCAAAACGACCCTTAACACCGGCTACTATTCCTTAGGCATCGTCTGGAAAGACCGTGATATGGCCCCTTTTGTGTTTTCGACAACGACCACTTGTGTGGACTTCTCAACGTCAATACTAACATCTCCTTTCCTCTTATCTCCTCTCCTCCCCTCCCTAATCTATCGCCCTAAGCCAACTGCACCAGGGCGTGGGTAGGGAAGCCTACCCTCCTCATTTACTCACTCATGCAATGTCTGTGCTGCGGTAAGGGCCCGTTTCAATAATCCCAAAGACATTCGCTACTATCTCCGCCTCGAGCTCAGATGTAGGAGCATTCTATCGTCCTTCAAACCGACTTCACCAGTGACTTTACCAGTGTCCCTGGCATCTCGCCTCTGTGGTGCTTACCTCATTCCCCATTCCTCCATCTTCGTCCATGTTCGTCGTTCTCCTCCTCCATCCCCCGTTTCTATTCCTCTTCTTTAACCTCTTTCTTCGAACTCGATCTTCAACCTACTTCTTGAACCATGTCTGCTCCCTCTTGAATTACGCGCCCATGCAAGGCAATGTTCATCTATCATTTAATTCGTTGAGCGGACGGCTAACACGTAGATGAGAGTTTGGCAGCTTATTAACGAGCCCAAAAAGCCCGAGTTACTCCGTTGAAGCGCTCAAGACCACTCTTCTTACGACTCGGCTTACCAATGTTCCGCCAACCTCTTTACCCTACCAGGTTAACTCACATCGATCCGACCTTTTGCTCACTTAGAGCCGCCAAGACTTCCCACGGCTCTAAAATTCTATTCCATTCCGAAAAGTGTCCAGCCCTTCCCATTGCGTAATGTTGTCGGGTGTTCCTATTCAAAAACAGGTGAAGCTTCTTGCTTTGGTCACATTCAGAGGAAGTACTAACATTAGTAGTACTTCTATTTTCTTTCTCTCTCAGCCACTCAACCCTAGCTTCCACGAGCAAGTCCGTTTCGCTGTTTCGCCGCTTCGCCGTACCCTTTACGGACAGCCTACGTGGTGCCGTACCATTTCGACCATCTCCTCTAGTGCCCAATTCTTGGCAACTTCGACCTGGCATCCTTGGGACCCTCTCGTTTCGCTGTTGCGCCCTGGGTGCGGGCCAACCAGCGAAAAAGTGGCTGAGTACGAAAGGTTCGTCGGTAGCATTACTTGAAAGCTTAGGCCACTCGATAGGATGAAAATAAGAAGATTCAAAAATATTAATCAATACGTATTTGCAGAATTTTAGACCCAATTAAAGCTCTCATGATATGGAAGTTCCCATGGGAACTATCTAGTCTTCATACAGTCTTAGACCGTTCTCTTCCCGCGCCCGCCGCCTCATTTCCTCGCTCGAGCATATCAGTAACTCCCACTTAGCAGCATTAGCCTGACCTACCACGGAGTAGACGGAGCCATCGGGATAAGAGTTCAACAACGAGAACTCATGCGCAAAGATCCCCGTGGCGAGCCACGTTGTCGTGGGCTCCTTATCGCGGACCGCCGCATCCTCACGCGCGGAACTCGTTCGCACATCGGCAACGTCTCTCCCCAGCTCCTTGGCTCGTTGATCCAGATAGTCGACATAGTAATTTCTGTTCGGACTGTTCGGCCAGCGGTCAGTCTGTTTCTGCCGTGCCTGGTCCCAGAGCTCCGAGCACGGCTGTGGCTTGAGCTCGTCCCAGAGGTTTATATAGTCGGCCGCGATGCATGTCATGGTCACCTGTAAATGCATATCCGGGCAGCGGCGAACGAGCTCCCTCAACGTCTCTTCCGCTGGGAGCAAGGGCCACCAGATCATTGCAGGCATCTCCAATTTGCCAGGGTAGAGGGTGTGATATGCGACGGGTCGTTGACCATGATGAAACGCGCCAGGATAGTGGATTTGATGTCGTCGTTTCCTGAATCAGTATCCTGAAGCGACCACCACCTGGCAAAGGTGGTGTTGTGGTAGATACCGCGGATAACAGCCGCGTATTCATCGTGGAGCATCTTCGGCCGGCGGAGGCGTACAAAGCGTTCAACATTCCCCTCGTAAGCCGCCATCAGGATCAACGGGTCCTTGTTGGTGGTCGATAGATGCGAGAGAATGGGGGTATAGAAGAGCGCAATGTGCTCAGGGGCAAGCTCCTCAAAATTCTCCTTCTCTGATGAGGTTTCGTCGATGTTGAATCTTCTGCAATGTTAAAGTAGTGCTTGCCCCATTGTTGGTACTTGTCTAGCCCTAGAAGCACGTCCAGTGAGGACCGCACAGCCGTGTCGCCGTTTATGAATGCAGGCGACGTTGGACTATCGGGATGGGAAGATCGTGTGTAATCGTTGAGGATAGCGTAACACATAGGCTGGCGCATTATGGTGTCAAATATGGCTTTAGATCCTTCTGTTGAAGAATTATCCCTGGCCTCTTCTGCGATTGAGATTTCGGGTAGGAGACCAAGTTCGTTGTAGAGGGCAAAATAACCAGCGACGCCACAGGCTCTAACAACCAGATACCGCATGTCGGGGTAGCGCTTCGCCAGTTCACGGTAGGTTTCCTCACTAGCTACATCCGGATACCATATACAATACGGCTTTTCGTCGTCAGTTGTCATCTCCGGAATGGTGTTGCTTATAATAAGCCGGGCGTTGCGGGCGCGGGCAAAGGCTCTGTTGTTGGGTTCCAAGCAGAGCCTGCGAACGGGTTCCGACATTGCAAAAGCTTCATTATGTCGAATACCGTGTATCACGCACTCCCAGACCCGATAGCCAAGGTCGTTCGGCAGGCGGTGGCCACGAAGTTCGTCCCGGTGGTCGTCGCCCGGCGGCGGGCAAGTCATCCACATGGTTTTCGTCCTGTTTGAGGCCTTCATCTTGCCTTGAATGGAATTAACGTCTCTCAGTCGAAGGGACTCGTAGGATGAAGAGAAGCAAAACTAGGCCCCAGAACACAGCGCGGACGATCAAGTTCCTTTGAGTGGGTTTACTCTGCTCGCGGCGGCCTCACTTGGGGACCCCCTAGGCAATTCAAGATTGGAGCGGGTATCCTGTCGTTTCTAATAAACCCCTGCACAATTCCAATGGCCGTTTGGCTGTTTATCAAAATTGACTTGTCAAGTTCTCTATGACTCCAAGCTTCCACACCATTTCACCATGAGAACGTCCAACAGTGTTCAATTTCTTAACTTCTCGATTTCCACATTGTGGTCAACAGTCATGCTCACTTGGATTCTGCCTGGCTCAGATCGGTATAGTCTAGATCGGACTCGGAGCCTAAAAATGAATTGTTACTGGAGAATATTTGATGCCAACGTCTAATAACCACCACAATTAGTGTTCTTAGAAATAAAAATAGAAAAGTTGGCAATACTAACCCGCTCCAATCAAAGATGAGTGATACGTGGCCGTCTCAAGCTGGGTCGGGTAGGTGAGTATGTTAAGTACACGTGACAATGTGGGACGATGTAGACTATTGGTATGTCGCTGATGTAAGACTTAAGGCAGGCTGCTATCCATAACAGAAAGACACAGCCCAACGCATCATGTCTACCCCGCTTGCCCTTGACTGCCTAAAGATAATCATCCAAACCTCAATCAACAAAACTCCTCGTCAACGAGTATAAGACCGGGCCGAACCGAGCTGCACCGTGATGGAGCCCTCGTCTCAAGTCCCGTTTCCGCCACTAAGGATCTTATCATTGGGTTAGAGCCCCATCCCTCGTGACATTCTAGAACTAACGAATCCATCCAGATGGCGGCGGCATCCGAGGCATTTCCAGCCTCCTAATCCTCGAGCACCTAATGGAAGAGATTCGCAAGGCAAAGGGCCTCGCGCATGTCCCACTACCATGCGAATATTTCGACTTTATTGGTGGAACAAGCACCGGAGGGTATTGCGATTCACATTCAATTAGTCTGAGGAAGCCTACTTACGTGCTGTCTAGGATTATTGCCATTATGCTGGGAAGGCTACGAATGAGTGTCGACGACTGTATTAAGGAATACCGAGAAGTTGCGCAGAGGGCTTTTACTCCGAAACGTACAACATTCTTTCCCGCATCGCCAAAGGGTGCATTCTCCGCTACAGCTCTCGAAAATGCGGTGAAAAACACAAGCAGGAAGTTTTGTACAGCAGCAGAGTGCGCTGGCCGGCGGCAACGGGGGGGCAGTTCGATAGCCGGAACCTGCCCCCATAGCGATATGGAGTTCCGAGATGAGACATGCACCAAGACGTATGTACTTCCTATGCAAACGTCCGAACATGCGTCAAGGATAAGAGTTGACTGACGTGCGGTAGCGCTGTTCTCGCTATTACCAAAGACAATGTAGACGCTCCGCCGACGCTCTTCACCACATACGATACGTCGGCCGGTTTTCGCGGTTGCCCTATCTGGCAAGTGGCCCGTGCAACATCCGCCGCTACAACATTCTTTAAGCCCATCCGAGTCGGTCGAGATGAAGTGGAGTTCGTGGACGCCGGATTTGGGTACAACAACCCAAGCGAAGTTCTCGTTGACGAGGCTCGACGGCAGTTCCCGGCGCGGCCTCGCCTGCAGGTCCTCAGCATTGGTACTGGGCTCGGGGACGTTGTAGACATCGGTAACTCGCGAATGGACATCATTCGGGCGCTGAAAAAGATGGCCACCAGTTCGAAGAATGTGGCGGCAAGGATGGAAGACCAATACGGAGACAGTGACCAATACTTCAGGTTCAACGTTGATCGGGGGCTTGAGGATGTGACCTTGTCCGACTGGGAGAAAGCGAGCAAAATTTCTGCACATACAAAGAACTACATCCGAGAAAGCCGGAGAGGGATTGAGAGATTCGTTCGCCACTATACTGGTTCTGTAGAGGTGCACGACGCGCCAACAGTAGCCGAACTTATAGGAGAGAATAATAATGAGTCGAGAAGTTAGTTCTGCTACCCTCTCTCCAATGCTACATTATCTAACACCATCACAGATAGACAGTTTCACTTCATACCACTTCCGAAAAACCAGCGCTTTGTCGAGCGTCCAGAAGCAACCCATCTCAAACAAATGCTATTTACAGAAAAGCGCCAGCCAGCTGCTTTAGTGGGGCTGGGCGGAGTAGGGAAGACTCAGATATCTCTTCACATCGCCTATTGGGCTAAAGAGAATCTATCAGAATACTCGGTCTTTTGGGTACCCGCCTACAGCCATGCAAGCTTTGAGCAAGCGTACACGGACATCGCTAAGGAACTGGGTATCGGTCCGACAGCGGAAGATGAAGACATCAAGTCGTATGTCAAACAGCACCTGAGTTCCGGAAAGATAGGGCCTTGGCTCCTGATCGTGGACAACGCGGACGATATGGATGTTCTGTACGGCACTGCAGACGATGAAAAAAGTCTGATGAAGCATCTTCCACAGAACAGTCATGGCATAACGTTGTTTACGACGCGTTTCAGGGACGTGGCACTGTCAGTTGCGGACGATGCTTTGGTAGAAGTTAACGAGATGAACGAAAAAGAAGCTACAAGCCTTCTTGAAAAGTCGCTTCTACGGAAGGAACTTTTGCATAACCACGATCTATCGATAAAGCTACTAGGGATACTAACCTACCTTCCCTTAGCAATTACACAAGCCGCCGCATACCTCAATAGAAACAAGCATATATCTATTGAGAAGTACCTCCAACTACTTCAGGGCACTGAACAGACTCTGATCAATATGATGAGTCGAGAATTCCGCGACAGCACCCGCTACGTCGACTCGCAAAATGCTGTTGCAACCACGTGGCTAGTATCTTTTGACCAGATTCGACGAAACGACAGTTATGCCACCGACTTGCTGTGTTTCATATCCCGCATTGAGCCAAAGTTCATCCCACAATCAATCCTACCTATGCCAGGACCCGAAGTAGACATCGAAAATGCGCTCGGTACGCTGTGTTCCTACGCATTTCTGTCTCCCCGAGACGAGGCTGAGACATTCGACATGCATAGACTGGTACACTTGGCAACCAGAGTCTGGGTTAGACGGCAATCACTGGAGGATCAGACCATGAGGGATGCGATTCATCATTTAGACGAAGTGTTTCCAACTGACGACTATCATAATCGCGCCATTTGGAGGCAGTACATACCACATGCGCTCAAGACTCTGCGAGAAGCCATAGATGTCGAGAATTATGCAAGATCTAATTTGTATCTTCAAGTTGGGAGATGCTTGAAAATAGACGGACGATTAAAGGAAGCCGTTATTACTTTAGAACAATGCTTTAAGCTGAGGGAAACATGTCTGGTAGAGGATGAACGAAGGCTTAGCTCTCAATACGAACTTGCAGTGGCATATCAAGCAGGAGGACGGGTCAAAAAGGCGGTCAAGCTGCTTGAGCATGTAGTCGATATGCGGAAAACGACGCTTGACGAAGGGCATCCAGACAGACTTGCCTCACAACACGAACTTGCAGGGGCATATCAAGCAGACGGAAAGGTCAAAGAGGCAGTTAAGCTACTTGAGCATGTGGTTAATGTGCAGGAGACGACGCTTGACAAAGGGCATCCAGACAGACTTGCCTCACAACATGAACTTGCAAGGGCATATCAAGCAGATGGACAGGTGGAAGAGGCAATTAAGCTGCTTGAACATGTGGTTAATGTGGAGGCGACAACGCTTGACGAAGGGCATCCAGACAGACTTGCCTCACAACATGCACTTGCAAAGGCATATGAAGCAGACGGAAAGGTCAAAGAGGCAGTCAAGCTGCTTGAGCATGTGGTTAATGTGTGGAAGACGACGCTTGACGAAGGGCATCCAGACAGACTTGCCTCACAACATGAACTTGCAAGGGCATATCAAGCAGATGGACAGGTGGAAGAGGCAATTAAGCTGCTTGAACATGTGGTTAATGTACGGAAGACGACGCTTGACGAAGGGCATCCAGACAGACTTGCCTCACAACATGAACTTGCAAGGGCATATCAAGCAGATGGACAGGTGGAAGAGGCAATTGAGCTGCTTGAACATGTGGTTAATGTGGAGGCGACAACGCTTGACGAAGGGCATCCAGACAGACTTGCCTCACAACATGAACTTGCAAGGGCATATCAAGCAGATGGACAGGTGGAAGAGGCAATTAAGCTGCTTGAACATGTGGTTAATGTACGGAAGACGACGCTTGACGAAGGGCATCCAGACAGACTTGCCTCACAACATACACTTGCAATTGCGTACGAAGCAGATGGGCAGGTGAAAGAGGCGATTGAGCTGCTTGAACATGTGGTTAAGGTGGAGGCGACAACGCTAGACGAAGGGCATCCTTCCCGACTTGCTTCAGAACGCGCACTCGCACGGGCATACGAAGCAGACGGACAGGACAGCAATAATGTATAACTAGGTCGCTAATTGCACTGAAAACGGCGCAAGTACAATACTAGCAACCAAGTCAGGCAATATGTTTGTGTTTTGATTGATGCATCAATAAGAATGCCGATTCAAAATCAGGCAAATTTGTCGCGTTTCCTCTTGTATACCCTTTGACTTTAGACTCAGCTACCGAAAAAGAATCAGAGAAGAACACTACAAGGCCAATTGCCTGATAAAGATCCTTCGATTAGCGCAAGTCCAAATTTTGGATTGAAATAACCATAGCAACTTGATTCCAGAAGGCTAAAAGTAGGAAGAAAACCAGTCCCGAAAGCAGGGACCATAATTGATGATTTGGTAACAGCCGTTAGTGATTAAGAAGTCCGGAGCTACGTATGCCTGCGTTGATACCGTGATACCGTTATAGAGCAATACTTACAAATGAGGGAATGTGCTTGAATCCACAAATCTGTTTTGACGGATGACCTATCATACGCGGATGTGAAAGTTTGCCTGATTATTTCTGACTATAAGGATATTCAAGAAGGAAAGAAGCAAGTTACACTCTAATCAGGTATCCCTTGCTCACAACCAGCCCACTCCAAGGGCTGCACCAGAAATCTCAATCGCATATACTTACCATGCCCTTTCCGCTCAGACACGACAGGCACCACTCAGGAGTGTGTCATGACACCGCTCCTCTAAGGATTATATCGTGTGGAAGTGCTGTGCCAGACATGAAGAGGCCCGACGTCAATGAGTGCCAAGCGGCGCCAGATCCACTCCAAAACGCAGGACAACTCGAAGCCCCTTCTAGCAGACAGCAACGAACGAACGTCCCTCTACTTGCGGCCATCGACCACGACCGCGAGAGAGGCCGACGACGCTGAGCATCATCGATGGAACATTGAAGTTGTGTGGAGAGTCGAGATAATCACCCCCTCCGCAAACATCAGCGCTTACAGGCCATAGGTGCTCCGGTGGCGAGGGCCAGCTAGACCAAGTACCGTGGCGTACTGACACGGCTTGTCGCCCAAAGTCGTCAATGACTCTGGGCATGGTGGTCGCCTAGGCCAAGGCGCAACGTTGACGAGGTGCGGAACTCGCGGGTCTACTCAGAGTCCTTGGTTTTGCGACGAGCACACATAAAAATCGACAGCCGCAAAACATCATTCCAACGAGATTCATTACACTGCTGAGCTCATCGCAGTATAGTGCCGTACCTACCCTCTGGGTGTCGTCCGCCTCGTTGCGGTATTGAGGTGATTCACGCACTCAGACAATCATCACCGAGAGGGACCGGGACCGCCGTCAGGTATTAAAAAGCGTCGAGTTTAAAAAAGCTGACTATATTTACGAGCATTCATGCCAACGCCCCTGATGCAACAAAATAAAGAAAAGGAACAACAGACAGAGTCGCGCAACGCCCACCACAGCGGTGTTCAATAGTAATCCTCCTCGGAAGGTCTGAATCTCCAAGACACACGGAAAGGGAACACGGATCGGGGGGTGGTGTGTAACAGTAAAGAAAGTTTCTGGTTCCGGGTATGCAAAAAACAACACAAAACACCCTACAAAAGGAGTTTTTTGTTTTCTTCCTTTCCCCTGGGGCCTGGGTTCCCAGGAATTCGCCTCTTTTGCATTTTTTCGGTTTTTTCCATCCCTCTCCCCCATCCAGCAAAAGAGACGACGTGAAACCTTCCGTGATCCGTCCGTCTATAAAAAAGGGAGGGCGGGTAAGCTCTTAAGTGGTAACGGTAATGAGAAATCGATCCAGACGTCAAGTCGGAGGGACGGTGTTTTGGTGGTTACAGATACGCCCCCGGATGGGTTGAGGCGGATGCGGTTAAAGGTATGGTGGGTATTTTGTACAGAGTCAAACAAACAGCAAGCGAGGCCATTTTAGTTTCGAACGGCGGGCATATCGACCTTGCGGCCGAAGCGGGCGGCGACGGTGGCTTCTTGTGCGTTGGCGTTGGGCTCCCAGCCCACTCCCGGCTGGACGATGCGGCGCGCGATTCGGCTCGACGTCTTGAGGATCTGCGGGGATGCGGCGCCGGTGTCGATGGGCACGGTAAGGGAGATGTCGGGGAGCTCGAGGTTGCGCGCGGCGACGGCGCGCTTGGTGGCAGCAGGCGCGGCGGCCTGGCCGCCTGGCTTGATGACGGTGAAGTAAATGGCAACGACAGCGACGATGATGACGACGATGAGGACTGCGCAGCGTTAGCGGTTGAATGGCAAACTCCGCCTGACCGTGGACTTACCGCAGATTCCCAGGCACCACCACTTCTTCTTGCGGGTCTTGCGCGCCGTGTTGACGGCGACGCCAATCTCCTGGTTGCCCTTGTCGAGGTTCTCGACGACCTCCTCGCCCTTTTGCTCGATCTGGGTGACGGCGGCCTCCTGCTGGACGACGAGCACGTCCATGTCCTGGAACAGCTGGGCGAGCTCGACCATCTGCTGCTCAATCTTCTGCAGGGCGGCCTGGCGGTCCTGGACGGCGTTGAGGACGGCGTTGGCCTGGGCCTGGCGGCCGCTCTGCATGACGGCCTGCTGGAAGATCTGGGCGCCGGCGCCGGCGTCCTCGACGGCCTCGCGGACCTCGCGCTCGTCGGCGTCGGGGCGGACGATCCTGTACTGGCGGGCCATCTGGTCCTGGGTGCGCTTGCGGAAGGCGGACTCGACCTGCTGGTACTGCTGGATGGCGCCCTTGAGACGGCGATCGACGCGGCCGACCTGCGGCGAGTTCCTGGGCGATTGGCCGTCGGGGCTGGACTTGACTGTGCGGACGCGATCGGTGAGCGAGCGGTACATGGTCATGGTCTCGGAGGAGAGGGCGTCGAGCTGGCGGGCGGTCGACGAGCTCGCCGACGTGTCGGCGTCGGTGAGGGTGCGCTCCTGCAGCATGCGCAGCTGGTTCAGGTTGGCCTCGATCTGGTCGATGCCCTGGTCGATGGAGCGGCACTCGTTGAGGATGGCGTTGGGGTCCGACTGGCCGAAGCCGCTCGCGTTCTGGGCGAGGGATTCCATCTCGACGTTGGCTCCTGGAACGTGGGGGGCACGCACTGTCAGCACTCGAGCACATACGACCGTCGCGGCCAGGCCGTACCGTATTGGTCCCTACCCATAGTTGGTCCCTGATTGTTGTATCTGTTGCCGCCGTAGGGAGAAGGACCGGAGCCGAAGCTCTGCTGGGGAGGGCCTCCATAGCCTCCTCCTCCCGGGCCATCATCCCGCTGGTCAAAGGGGTTCTGGCGACCACCGTATCTACCCGGGTTTGTCAGTAATCCGCGTTCGGAGAGGTCGTACTCGTCGTCGTGTGTCCCGTCGGCTCCATGGGAGAGAGAAACATACCCGTACTGCGCCATGGTGTTAGTTTCAGCGGACAATGGTGGTTCGGTCGGTGTTCAATCAGGTAGGTAAGGGGAAGGATGTCGAGGGAAAAGGTGTAGAAAATGGCGAGGAAAGGGGGAATGAGGAAAAAAAAAAAGCACAATGTGAGATGCAACGCAACCAGGCTGAAGCAAATAGGGCGATGTGCAAAAAAAAAAAGGTTGGTGATCGCGGCAAGTCGACAAAGTTTGCGGCTTGATGACGGCGACGGGAAGGGGGTGGACTTTCTCTCGCTCGGCTTCGAGGCTTCGAGAAGGGGGGGAACAACAGCGGCAACGTGCGATTGACATGAAGACGGCAGGACGTAATGCAACAACGGTAGGGCAGGGCAGAGCGCGCAGCAGCAGCAGCGGCAGGGCGAGGGCGTGCGGGCGAAACACCGGAAGTGCGAGGGTTGGGGTGAAACACTGACACTCATGTTGCTTCTGCGAAGCGCGTAGGCTTCTTCCTTGCGCGAGGATGATGCGGGCTCGTTAGGCGCTCAAGGGCGAGATGGCTTTTGTAGCGGATTGAGTCGCCGGAGGGAGAGAGAGAGATAGAGAGCGTCGCGCAGTCGGTAGGAAGGGAAGGAAAATGAAGCCTTTGATGCCCAAGTTTTGTTTGGTTGTTTCGGCAGAAAAGAAGCAAGTTGAGTACGGGTAGGAGAAGAAAAAGGGCGAAGATGGGGAAGGGGGTTGTCGGATGAGACGAATCGGTGGTGTTGTAATGGCGAAAGTGACGGGTGGGCGATACGACCAAAAAAGGACGACGGTCGACCACACAAACGCACACGGCAGAGCTCTGCAGGCCAGGCCAGGCCAGGCTAGGACGACAAGAAGTCTCGGGCTCGTCTTTGGGTCGATGAGCAGGGGGGAAACAGTGGTCCTGCGAGGGATTGGGGGGAGGAGGAGGACCTGGACTGGGGGAACAGGAGAAGCGAGACGAAGGCGAATGGGCCACAGAAATCCACACGACGCAGGGTGTGTGTGGTGGATGTGGATGTGGGCTTGGGGCGTGTGTGGCTTGAAGCGCTTCTTTGTAGCAGAAGTTCGAAATGTCTGTCCGGGACGGGGGCGCGGTGCTCGGGGTGCCCCTGGCTCCGGAACGATCGCCGTTTAGGTAGCTTCCAAGGACCCAGTACGAGAGATGATTGGAGGGGGCCCTGGCTGATTGGGGATGGGGGGATGTAGCCAGCGCTGCACTGATGTTTTTTTCCCTCGCGCGTCCTTCTTATTTCTTTTTATTTAGAGTTGGCGCGTCTGTGAGCTCAATGGAAGAGAATAATGGTGTCGTAAGTGGTTGCGAGTGAGGTGGTAGGCGGATGAGTAAGACGATTGGGGGATGAGTGCGAAAGTGAAGGTGAGATTGAGATTGAGTGTGAGTGTAATTCAAGGTGGAGGCAGGCTTGCTTGGCGAGGTGAGGTACGGTACCTGCAGGCAGGCAAAGGAGACAAGCGACAGCAGTCGTCCTAGCGAGAGGCAGGCAGGGGCCGACGATGCAACGTACGGCAGTAGTCGAGGGAAAGGGGGGGCGCTCTGTCACTGTCTCACGCTCACTCTCACTGCTTTGGGGGGGGGGGTGCTTGGCTGTGCCTCTGGTGAGGATTCTCGACTCAGACGGGCGCGGTCTGCGGCAGCTGATTGGGCGAGGAGCGTCGAGGATTGGGACCCTGAAGCCTGGACGTGCCTGTTTGTTCTATGTAACAGGCGGTGGGCGACGGGGGTGCGGTGCGAATAAAGGTGAGGCGCTGGCGGGAGATGGCCCAATGCTGTGTCACTGAGATTAATGCGCCTGGATTGCTCCTTGGACGGCGGTGTGATGTCGACGTCGACGCTTTCTCTTCCTCGTGCCAGAGTGCGATCCAGTGATGTAATGTGGATGGATAGCCGTGGGATGCGGTGACGGTGATCGCGTGCCGGTCGGTGCTGTGACTGGACGATTCCTCCTTTTTTTTTTGGTTCGAGTCCTTTTTCTTCCCTTTTCGTCTCTTACTGTGATTTGTGTATAGCTCGATCTATTTTTGCCTTTGCACATGCGACTTGCACTCTTATGCGCGCTGTCGCTGACCGATGGAGCGTACGTGCCGATGCAATGCAAAGAAAAAGCTAAACCGTGGAATGCTGATTGATACACATGCAGCAGCAAAGCAGCACTCCGGGAAAAGACTAGGTAGAGCTGGTGTAGGCCTCTCGTTCGTCTAGGACTCTGGGTGGCTTGTGACGCCCAAGGACGACGATGGCGAACGGATGGGCGACGGTCGACAGGGATGTTGAAGGCGTGAGCCGTGGGCCAATCGAAGTCGGTCACCGTCCTGGATTCCGCACTCTGAGTTCTGGACTGTGGGTTCTGAACTCTAGATTCCTTGGGTGGCAGTTGTCTGCACCGAAAGCAGCACCGGAAGGGCTCTTCGTTGGCCGCTAAAAAAAGACGGGCAAAAGCTGCTGCTGCTGCTCCTTCGTAGCGTGTGAGTTGTGTGCCGTAAGGTTGCAAAGCAACTAGGTATGCTGCGAAAGAAAACCTCCAACAACGGCCAATCACACGTTGGGCGATCCAGATTCTCTACACCCTTTCGTTTGGGGACCGGGGGCGGCTTCGTGTTTCTCTGCTTGCTTTTGTACACTATGTATCGAAGGGCAGCTCGTCTTCGGTTGCCCACCTTGTTCGACACGAGCGTCTCCAATGTGTTTTTGTGGGTTGCACTCGACCACTCTGCTGGAGAAACGACGTCGATCAAATTCCACAGCGGCCGTCGTGAGCCTGTCGGATGGGTCGTCGTGTCACACAGCCCGGGCGGGAGGTGGGTGAATGCCTAATGCGTCTGAACTGATGACAAGTCGAGTCGAGCCGATTCGGTTCGAGCGAGCGGCTCCTCGAGGGAACGACGCTTGCGCTGATGGTTCGAGAGTCTGAGCGGTGGTGGGTTGGATTGGAGCAATGCCTACTCCGTGAATATCGAGGACCCCAAAAAACAAGCGACACCAAGCGACGACTTGAAGATTGCAGCGGAGGGGAGAAGATGCAGGTTCACGACGGCGGCCGGGAAACGGGAATCCAGCCTCTTAAACCTATCCCCTCCCTCCCCCAATCTCATCATCCCATGCTCATCACAATGAATTGGGAACCCTCAGTCAATCCCAATCCTTCCGGGCCACCTCACCCCGCTTCCTCGCTCTTCAGCTTACGGTCTCGGAAGCGCGAAAGCTAGCATGGCACATGCGACTGCTGCAAGCCTCCATCCTCCGTCTCCGTATCCGCTGCGCTGCTCCACGCCCTGAGCTTCTTAGCCTCCCACCTCGCAGCTCCCGCCCAGCTCTCCCTCCAAGCCCCCCATCCCCAGAATAAGGCCGGCGGGAACTCCAGCGCATCGGACCACCTCGGACTGCCTGCTTGGTTGCTTGCGGATGTGCCGTCTCAGGAACACACACTCTCTTGCTGTCTCTCACACCACCACCCCCCGGCGAACCTCATCTTCCTTCGCCCCAACTAGACTCGGTTCCATGCAGCCCGTAAGCCAGCATCAGCAGGCTGGCATTCCGTTTGCTTTCTCATAGGCAAGGGACCGCCAAGAACTCGTCCCAACTTCACCCCCACCAGTCCCGAAGATATTCTGGGCTTTCGGATTCCAAGGCAGCTGACTAGATATGGGAGAGTCAACCCAGAACTACTCCGTAGATGCTTAGCTGCCGCCTGCGAAAGAGGAGGGGTCAAACACCAAGCTCAGCTTGCCAAGGAACTCAGCTCCAAAGTCTTTCCTCACTCGGCCACCTCGCCCAGACACAGCCTTCGACCATCCATTGCCATCCGCCGCCATCCACCGCCCAGTTCCGTCCCTGAGCCAATCCCGCGCCTCACGAGCCCTCTGCTCCAGGATGGACGTCCTCCGCCCTCCCTTGGGGCCACCATTCTGCAGTTAAAAATGCCCAGCCGAGATCTGGTCCGCAAACTCTTTTGCCATCCTCGACGGGGGATATCCCTTCACTCCTTCGCAACACCACAAAAAAAAGTCCATGCTCTCTCTGCATTCCTCACTCACATGCTACCTATGCCGCCACGCTGCGGGTGCGCGGGGTACGACATCTGAAGAAGCCCCTCGCTCATGGCGGCGGCATGTCACCGCAACAAGAAGCTTTTCCCCCCCTTTACATTCCTGGCCTTCCGGCGGTGGAGAGATAGCTAAGCTGCGCTGGCGGGCCTGCTGCCCATTTAGCCCGCCCTCGCGCGCCGCTTTGGGCGAAGCTGACACGCACCGCCCACACCACCACCGCCGCCATCGCATCCTCCCTTGGCGCCCACGGCGCCGCACCGCCAGCCGGGCCAGGGAGACGGTTAGGGCTGTGCTGCCGAGCGCCAGGATCCTCCTTCTCTGGCATCCTAGCCCGCTTCTACACCCGTCCCCGAACGGCGACAGGCGACGGGCCCTCCCCTTCCGCCCTTTCTCGGTCCGTCCAGCGTCACCGTGTCATGCTCTCCCTCCCCTCCCCTCGAGACCAGCCTGTTGCCGAGCGGCCGGCAAGACGACGACGCCAGACCACAAGATTTATGCATGCCGCTGGGCGTTACTCATCCTGCCCTTTGCCCAAGGGTGCGCGGTGTCTTTGACCACCAGCACTTCAGACGGATGTCGTCAACAATTCTCAAATTTTCTAAAAAAGCGCCAGAAAGCCGGGGAAGCTTTTCTACACGCACCCATGCCTCCTCTATCCGTTGCGGGAGGCGGGTGAAACTTGCGGTCTAAGCCCTTCAAAAAAAACTCCTCCCCCTCGTCACGCCCAGAGCCCCTCCTCCTCCCCCGCCGCGCGGACGGGTCGCCGGCGTCCCATGCTATTTGATACAGAAACCGAACTCCCACCACCGCTCCCTCTTGTTACTAACGCCCACGCGAAAAACCCAAAAATGATTTCTCATACCACGGCGTACGCCGACACGTAGCTCACGCTCGAATCGCCCGGGCCCGTCACCAGGCTGCTGCGCTGGTACTGGATGAACTTGAAGCGGTGCTGGTCGCCCAGCTCCTCGAGCGCCGCCATCGTCACCCCGATCGGGTGCCGCCCGCACACCGTGTTCTTGGTCTGCTTGAGGTTGTCGTAGAAGTTGCTGTGCTTGCCCGTCTTGATGGCCTCGATCGCCAGGTCGTCCACCAGCTTGACCGTCTCGTGGATCGGCGGCCCTTGAGGCGCAGACCCGTACGGACGGAGCTTTTGCAAGCTGTTGAGCGTACCGTCTGGGCAATATACCATGTAATCAAAGTGACTGCCCCAGTGGCAGAAGTCGGAGCTCACGATGAAGGCGTTCTCCGGGTCTTTGAGGTACTCGGCCAACCATTTGCCTACCTCCTTCTCCTCTGCCTTGTTGTTATCGCCAATCAGGATGGGTATGACTGGCGGGAAGTTGTCGGGCGAGCCGAACGTCTGCTCGAGCCGGAGCCAGAGGTAGGGCAGGTGCATCTCCAGCGAGTGCTCCTTGTCGTCATTAATTACCGGGATCTCGGGGATGTCGAGCTCGTCGCGGAGGTGGGCCACGATCTGCTGGTCCACCTTGAGGCTCCCCCACGGCGTGCCGTAGTTCGGGTACCCGGTGACGGCGCAGCCGGCGAGGTAGAACGTGTGCGAGGGCCCGAGGAGGAAGACACGCTTCGCCTTGCTCAGGTCGAAGGCCTTGTATGCCCATGCCGCCGTGGCACCGGAGTATGTGTAGCCGGCGTGTCTGTTTGCGTCACTGCAGTCAGCATTGAGTTCTCGGAATGTCTCGGTTACACTATAGGGTAAGCTGTAGAGAGCAGATGGCAGACTGACGGGGCGATGATGACGCGAGCGCCGGGGATGGGGAGCCCGTCGCCGTCGACCTGGTCCGGGACGTCGGAGAGGAAGCTCTCGAGTTGGGAGCGAAGGAGCTTGGGGTCTCCTTCGTACCACGAGCCCGCCTTACCGGGGCGGCGTGTGTCTCTTGGCGGCATGGTATGGATGCTCTACTGGAACTCGTTTGCGGACGTATTGAAAAAGAGGTAAGTGCAGCGACAAGAGGTTGCGAAATGTCTACGGATTACAAGCGGTCCTTAAGAGGGAACAGGAAGAGAGGCTAGTTTGGAGTCTGCGCGATGGGGGCAGGGAGGTCAGGTAAGGCAAGGTGACGCTCTCCTGCCCCGCACCAAGGTGGTCAGGAAGCTTCGCGGGACCAGCTCCTGAGGGGCCGGAGGGGTAGGACTTCCCCACACTGACTGGCACATTATTTCGAGCTGAGGTCGTTAGCGCCCGTGGGCCGGGGCCGGACCAACTGGAAACTTCATCGGCATACAGATGCGAGTTGCGAGCAAGTTACAGTGCAAAGTCGCCGTGAAACCCATGAAAGGAACCAGTGCAATGCAACTTTGCATGTCGTGCAGAAGAGGGAGGAGTACCGGGTAGCTTCATGCTCCAGCAAGACGAGTTCGTTCTACCACTCGCCTTCGGGCGGCAAAGACGCGATGACAGCGCTTCGTTCATGTCCTTACTCGTCTGCCAAAAAAATCTTATCTTCCGTTGAGACTATGTACAGTCTGTTGTATTCGAGCCAAACACTGCATGATGAGACTAGATTCTAAGCCTGCTTCTTCAAGCTGTTGTCTCTCCTCCAAAAAATGAAGCGCTAACGTAAGCCGGAAAATAGCACTACCGTGGTTTAGTTGAACAAGCGCCCTCACGGGTCTATCCAAGACCCCGGCATGACCGGCCTCCGCTGATCAATACCCGCCCAGAACTCGGCGGCAAAGACCTCAAACTCAGGCGCCCACCATAGCCGCCAGTCCCTCAGCTGCGGCCCGTAATCCAGACCGATGATGCGGATGGACAGCCAGTAAAGATCGCTCCTTGGGTGCTCGTCGTCCACCATCTGCATCCACGACTCTCTCATCCGCAGTGAGGTGCGGACGTGTCTGCGCGAGGCGGCTACGGCATCAGCGTCGAACGCGCCCTTGACCTCCGGCGCCGTGGACTTGACCTTGAGCGCTTCGCCTCTGCCGTACTGTAGGAGGTCCACATCAGCATCTCTAAGGTCTCGTAGCCATTGTCTTAGCACGCCTCGGAAGATGGCGTCCCATTTCTGCCACGGGAGATCGGGCGAGATTCGGCAGAGGGCGCCGCCGAGCACCGAGATAAGCGGCGTGCCCGTCCACACCGGCACGCGATACCAGTCCCATGGGACGACGGTTTCCACTCCGTGCAGCTGGTTCCGCCCGGCAGCTCTGAGGGTCTCGGCAAAGGTGTAGCTCCAGCCCCCAGTCCATGCCTGAAGCCGCACCATCGACGTCCTCCATCCCTCTGACTCCTCGTCTTCTTGCACTGGCACGTCTTCATCGCGGCCAAGGCGCGGGTTGAACTGCATCTCATGCGCGAACCGCTTTCCCAGCGCGGCTGCGGCAGAGTGCACGAGCGAGAACCCGACCTCAGCGGACGCGCGCACGTCATCTGCCGTGATCACACCGTCTTCGTTAAGCAACCTCCGGTACACGTGGACGTCTTGTGTTGTGAACGCGCCGAGACGGACGGCTTCTGCTCTGTCTCGTAGCGGAAGGTCGTGGTACCCTGGGAGAAAGTTGCGCTGGAAGACCCGCAGCCAGTCGTCTGCGTAGGAGCACTCCGTCTCGAACTCAAACATGCGCTCGATGGTGAGGGTTGGGATGTTGGCGCTGCGGGACTGAAAGAGGGAAACAAGGGCGTAGTGGGTTGAGTCGGGTTTGGGTGCGAGGCTTTTTCTAGATTTTACCAGCTCGCCGAGCGGACTCCTTTTTGTGCCGTATGGTTAGCGATGGGATACGTGAGTAGAGGTGAAGGAGGGGGGGGGGGCGTACTCGGCTGATCCGCCATTGTCGTCAATGAGATCTTCTAGGCCGAGGTCAAGTAGCGTTCGGCATACTTCGACTTGCTCATAGTCTGTGGCATACTGAACTACTCTTAGCCTGGTAAGATTACTTGCCCAGCAAGTTTCGTGACTTACATATAACAGGGTAGAACCGTTCTCGTCCCTATCAAGTGGCGATGCCTCCCCTTTACTAAACATAGCCATCATTCCTTTCACATCGCCCTCCTTCACAACTGCAAAGATGGCGCTGTGTTTCGACCTGACACTAAAAGACCGCAGACTCTGCTGCCAGCCTCCCGTCATGCTCCAACAGACTTGTATCTCCCACACGGCCCCTGACATCCACGCCGGAAGCTGAAGGGACAGACCCCACTCGCTTCGGTCTTTGTAGGAGGCGGTTGCAAGCTGCCCCGTTGGGGTCGGTTTATACGAAGACAGTCTTGAGCCTCTCCATGTCCTTTTTGATCGGACGACGATATACTCCGTCTCCCTTTCATTATGTGTTTCATGGTGCTTCAAAGTCTGAAGCTGTCTCGTTATGTTTTCCAGCTTGCTCGATACGTCTTGTGAGACTTTTTCTGCTATTCTGTCTCCGTAGACTTGATGCAGTAGTTTCTGCTCGTTGACGACTTTTTCGGCCGTCTTATCGGCGATCCGATCATGAGAAGCCCGCATAATCGCCCTATCGTGTGTAAATAGAAGCAAAACCCCTTAGAACATGGAAGAAGAATTTGGTATCATCCATACGAACCTGTCATAAGCTCCAACACACATCAGCACCATCCCCACCGCCGTATCCAACCTCCTCTCCAACTTTTCCAGGTCATCCCTCCGCAACGCCGCCCACGCAAGCCTCATCTTCCGCCTCGTACGACTCTGTAAGCTCTGCTTCGGTGTCTTCTGTAAGCTGGATTGAAGCCTCGTAACCATCTCGTCCACAGCTTTGTATGCTTTGGTGGCGTAAGTCGCGCACGCCTTGGCATGCTGAGTCGGCAGTTGCAGATCCAACTCTCCATATTCTTCTTCGCAGCTTGAAAGTTTATCAATAATCCCTTGCAGAACCGGGCCAAGGGCTTCGAGTCGGTCGACGGCGTCTTGCAGATCTAATGGGAGGTCTTCGATCGAGTGCCATAAGCGGACGGCCTTGGCGATGCCGATGCAGAGTTGGCCGAGGGCTATGCCACTCGCGGCGGCACCAACGGCTTCCATGAGGGAAAGTGCCGAGATCTTAGAAAGCCTAGTGAATCGAAAAACGCGCAGAGAGTCATGAATTTAGTCTTATGACTTGTTTGCCGTTTTGCAGTGGCGTTTCAAGGTAGTTTTAGTAGCCAGCCAACGAAGGTGGAAGAAGCAAGTAAGAGAAAATTCGCATCTTCACAAAGTTTAGTAGGCAACCAGCGATCTCCAGCTGTTTAAGAGTAACTGAGAGTGCGTCAAGAAACGCTCCATCGGCCCCTACCACAGCCCCGTAGCACAGCGCTGCCGACAGAACGGGCCTGGTGCCTCGGCGGCAAACTGCATGTTTTTACATGGGTTGTGTGGCCTCTCGAGGCGGGGGTATGCGAGCCAACCAGACTTTTGACCCAACAAGCAGGCCTTCGGAACCAACGCTCTACTACTTCTGATACTCAGTTGGATGCCCATAGCATCAATCCCTGCATTCGGGCGTGCCAAGGACGGAGTCGTACAAGCGGCGATGTGCTGGCTTCCTCTGTGTCACTTACACCACTGCTGGCAACTGATAGGATAAGGCGGAAATTTCGAGACGGCTAAGAAGGTGTGAATACTTTCTGGTATCTTGGGCTTGCTGTGGCAAATCTGAGAGCTCGAGCTAGACGGGCGGCCGTATCTTTCGATACTCGGACCAAACCAACGGCGCGGTTTCTCCCTTCTCCCACTTCTCGAGCCTGTCCCATACTTCTGAGCCAAACTCGTGATAGTCCCAAGGCTCATCAACCCAGCTCCCCGGCATTTTGAAAGCCTGACTTTCCACCAGATTCCAAAAATCACCTGCATAATCCTCATACTCGAAAGTCCACCAGAGTTTCCACTGCTCCGGCCGAGAGCCATAGGTAAAGCCAATTAGAGAGAACCGAGCGGTCCCTTTAGTAGCAAACATCCACGGGGCCCATCGCCGCCCAAAGCACGTGGAGTCTTTTTCGTATAGTCGCCTCTCCTGTCGCCCGTAACTCAGAAGATCAACATCGCAAGAACACAGTATCGCGATCCATGCGGTAAACACAGATTCCAACGCAATCGTAAGCCGCGCCGCACTGCGTATGACGTCGTCCTCCCCGCCGATCAAAGACCACGTTATAGCAGAGAATGGTGTGACTTCGCCATATTTTTCTTTCCAGGACCAGACAGACTCGAGATGATGCAAGTCTGATCTGTTCTGGCGGATACAGACCTGAAGCAAGCTGCTCCAATGCTTCTGCTCCTCAACCTCTTGCTCAACACCATGGCAAGTCACCTTCGCTGTTAGTCTCCAAGCAAACAATAACACGAATGAATGAAGTATGGCGCAGTCTTCCTCCATAGAAAGCTCGACAATCTCCGTATCAAGATGATCAGCTTCTGGAAGGATTAGTAAGACTTCATCTAGACGCCAGCAACCACAACTCTCCGCCAACTGCCTCAGGTGCTGAAGTCTTGTCTCAATAGGCATTGACTCGTACTGAAATTTATAACGCTTAAGAAGAGCCTGAAAAGCACGGCAGCTAATGCCGTATGCGAGAAGATCCCCAATTGTTTCCGCACTGCTGAGAACGTCGTCTAGGCCGTGATCTGCGAAGAGCTCAAGAAACTGTAGATCTTGGGGTTTGGAGCCACGGTGATTCAGCGCACTGATCATACCGAAAATAAAAAATGTACTAATTGAAGTGTCGGTCAGATCAAACCCCATCTTTTCACTGATGGTGACTAACCTATTGCCGGTGCTCACTGGGTCGTATATGTAACTTCCAAGGCCACGTTCTAGAAGCGAGTTCGTTATCTTGTAGGCGCCAACGTACACAGCGAACTTGATGATTTGTAATAATTAGCCACTGTGATCAAGGACATACTCCCTTGGTTTGGCCTATTTACCCAAAGCAAACTTCTGTCATGCTGATCGCGCACAAAAGAAGTCATCTTATGCTTATCCAGGTAGTGAAAAAGGGCGGGAGCATTGTCCTTTTTGAGAAACCGATCCAGACCTAAGTCCAAATACCGAACCACTTCATACGCTCTCAAATTCAGTTGCCATCCTTGAAAGCTCCTCTGTGCCAGTACTGAATACACCGATCCGGTGAGCCAAGTCGGCGTGCGAATGGAAAATTGAAAACTGCCGTCAACACCAAAGCCGAAGCGGAAGGTGGGTAGAACGGAGTTTGAGTAGGGCACGTGGAAGACGTTTGATACCGTAGACGGAACTAGTTTGGGGGTTCTTCTTTTAATGCTGTTCTTTTCATCGGTCTCAAACGAATATTCGTTCCCAACCAATGTATTGTTTGTGATCTTGTTCGACACTGTCAGCCCTTCAAGCATGAAAGCAGTGCAAAAGGTTGAGGTTGCCCTAGGACTGAATGTTAAAAGTTGCATGCGTTGGACACCCTGATGTCAGCGATAAGGGTACTAACATCAGATACTGCGTTTGTGCTATCGAGAAAAGATACAGTGCCGAATCTAGCTTTGTGTCTAGATCCTTCCATTCGTCTTTCTTTAGTAATACTTTAGTCGATGCAAATCTCCGTTTAAGGCCTCGTTGGTCAGCATTGACCTTGGCTCGCAAGTGGTCGACCATCTCTTGGAGGTTAGTCAGCGCACCGCGGGCTTTGGCGATGTGCTTCTGCAAGCGAGCCATATTGCAAACTGCTTCAGGCAGCATGTTTTTGGCCATCTGATTTTCGATATCGTCGAGAAACTCTTCAAGGTCTCTAATGCGTTCGGCTTTTTCATAAAGCATGACTGGAACCTCTTTGACTTCATTCCAAAGCCTCATGAGTTTGAAAGAGGCGCTGCCGACCTTGCCGGCCATATCGACGACGGCGATAACGCTCGACACCAAGCCTAGTACTTCTGCCATTTCGGTGAGATACCCTGCGCTTCGGTAGCTGATTCTGTTTAAGGCCGGTAGCGTACGACAACGGTAAAGCTGAATGATGTAGGCTATAAAGAGGCTAGCGAAAGTGAGTATAAAGATATTTACCAGAGTTCCAAAATTTTCGGAGGAAGAGGCTAAGAAAGAGGGGATTGAAGGAGATTCTAGGGCGACGCATGGCGTTCCTGAGGCTGTGTCGAAATCATTGGCTAGCGTAACGCGCCATGCAAACACTTGCATTTGGAAGCCCAATTGCTGATTCGACTATTAGTCTGCATCGCCCCCATGTGATTGTGGCTGGAGCTGACTGGCGTCTGATCTTAGGTCAATACGAAAGCTGATGAGTTGGCAGTGAGCCTTATCAGGGTTGCGACCCGGATAGCGCACGCTGGGCGGACTGGTTCACTAGAGCAGCCTGGAATCAGCCATATGATGCGTGTGATCAGCTCAACCTAAAGTTCATGTTCTAGTGTGCAAAACTAGATACCACATTCTTTCCCCTTTTGCATTTTTGGAATTTAGGAAGAGGTGTTGAATAAACCACACTGATGAGATAAGACCAAGCCAAAATTGTGGCTTAGATGGTAAGGCGAGGCGCGCACTTGCTACAAAAATCAAAGAAGGGCACATTCACGATCTGCCAGGTATCTCAACATCTTCACTTTCTAATCCTGGTTACATGTTTCGTGTCGTACAGCTGTACGCAGGTAGAAAAACGAAGGGTGTTTCAAACTCAACATGGGAACAAGAGTCCGACTACGGAGACCATCGCGGCATCAGGACTCATTATTGGTGGCTGTTGTAACCTTATCGGACCAAAAATAAAACAAAAGAGACATGGAACCGGAATCAAATTGCATTTGCTTGTGCTTGAATAGCGATTGCTAAATTATACGAGATAGAGGGAAACAACTAGCATTGATAATTTAAAACCGCAGCTATCGGTTTATGTAAAGGCAGTGACGCAATGGGGTAATACAACCCTCACATTGAATAATAAACCAAGACTTTTATGTCACAAGTGACAAATCTATTGATTCAACTCTTTACTCTCCTCCTTTTCCATAAGAGGAATGATAAAATCCTTCGCGCTTGAATGCCGAACTAGATGGCGTGATATGTAATCGGTCTTCTTGATCATGTATTCCGGAATAACAACTGTTCCCTTCGTCCACTCATACATGGACGAGAGCTTACCGTCTTTTTGCTCCATCCTTTTTGATCTTGAAAAGCCTTCAAGAGACTTCGGACCGTATCCATAAATCTTGGTCTTGCGATAATGAACAGAAGGGTGTATTTGTTCGTTTGTCTTGCCGGTTCCTCCTTGGGCGGTGTCCTTGTTGTATTCGCCCGGCGTCCTGTAACTAGACATGAAGGGTATAACTTTCAAGAAGAACACAAAGAGGCGAGAAATGAGAAACATGTTGAGGATGTCGAAGATGTCGATTGTCAGTCCTGTAGCCCAGGAATCGTCTGCCTCGTCAAAGTCTACCGTGGCTGAAGCGATATAAATCTTCATGTAGTCTAATCCCCGCCAAAATAGCTGCAGGGGCCAGAACGAGCCGAAGTTTTTGTGCTTGGCGCTGTGAATCAGTCTCTTCCGTGATATAATCTCGCGATGGGCAAGACTTGAGGAAACAGTTGAAGGGTTTCCTTCGTCTGCCTCCTCTATATTGTCGAGTTGGACGTATGGCTTGATTTGGTCACACATCCATGTGAATGAGATAAGTGCAATTTCTGTCGCGATCAGCGGTCTCCTTATGGCTCATGCAGGGGCCAAGCTACTTACGTTCAAAATCAAATGGGAACCCCATAAGGATGGCCGGATTGCCACCTCCGACGTTAACGTGGCCGCCAGGAAACCAGACCTGTCGCAGGTCTGGTTCAGCGTCTTTCAGCTGGACAGCCATTTCGGCCTCGATCAAGTCGCTCCACGCCTCTGAAAGTTGCTCTTCTGTGGCTGAGCTTCCCTTTTTAATGAGTTTTATGAAATCTTCATGGATCTGCTTAATCGATCTTCGGTGACTTTTGGGGCATTGTTCGTCTCTTTGTGGCAGGTGCCAGAGTGTCGGGGTGAAAGGCTTTATATGCTCATCAAGGGCCAACGCATGAAAGGCATGCTTGATGTCTATATTTACAACATAAAACTCGATTAGAAGAGCCGAAAACAAAGCTGCAATGTAATTCGAATGTTGTAGACTTACATTTACTCATGGAAGTGTTGTGAAATCCTTGGTAATCAATGCCGGAAAATGGCAGGTACTGAGCGATGTAGTTGAGAATCATTTGAAATTGATAACGGCCTGGGATTCCCAGGGCGCCAACAGTGTCGAAGACACCGACAACTTCAACAACTCTGGATGATTCCGGGGGAAGCTTATGAGGCATCCGAAGCCATGGATCTTCCTCTTTGTCACAATGTGGCATGCTATCATTACGGATACCTGTGATCCATTGTCTGTACTCCTTGGACCGACGGAAGTTAAAGCTGTCGTCGTGGCGAAACTTTCGGTAGAGTTCGTAAAGATCCGGAAAATCGTTCATCTCTTGAGGCGTGATGATGCCGATATCCGTGATAAGACCTGCCACTGAACGTGCTGTGTATGCTCCTCGAGAAAAGCCAAAGCAAAAGATTTCGTCGCCCTCGGCATAGTTCATGACGACGAAGTTGTATGCTTTGATAACTTCGGCATTGAGACCGTCGCCGAAGATAGCTTGTCGTATATTCTCCACGATGTTTACACCACCGCCTGTGCCAATGCCTGAGCTGTAATACACTACTTGTCGACAAGTGGTGTCATTCCCGTCCTTTTCAATGGTTCCAGTGCGAGCAATGCAACGCGCGAGTCGTGTGACATTGGACGGGATGTTCTTCTGGCCAGTCACGGACGATTGCCAGGTGCCGTCACAACATATTATGATCCGTTTACGAGTGGCTTGAGGGACCTTTTCATCTTGGAAAGTCCGACTTTCGGACCGAGATACGTTTGTTGCTTGATAGTAATCCAAACTAGGGGAATTTTCGGAAGGAACGGAAAACTGGGCGTCGGCGGCTGGGGAGCTGAAGTCGAGGGCATCAGATTCTGGAGACCCTAGAACATAAGATCTCCAGAGGTTTGAGGAGTTGGGGCTTAGAGATTCCATCTTCCCAGAATAGCAAGTTCATCAATAGTAGTACGTGAGAATAAAAACTTTGACGAGGACTCGTCGAGACCGGCACATTGGCTGAGGTTTTATAGCCGACGAGGGTACATTCTAGCGCATCTGTTCAGAAAAGAGTTATTGACTTGTGCTGTCTTGGAAACTAAATTATTGTCTCATTACTTCCTTTTGGGCTGTTATTGATTCACTGACATTCAGCTGAGGCTGAGACTTTAGCGGAGTAGCGGAGATGTTTTCGGCCACCAAGACCGCATGCAATATGATGCCTGGAATGCAGTCATCGGACCAGATCCTGCTACTGGAGAAGAATACCATGCTGGAACTTCACAGTCACAGGTCAACTTATCGGCGTGCGGGTCGAGACAACTGACAGAAAATGGCACTCAGTCACCCTAATAAAACACTATGGACTATGTCAAGACTGGACTACGTCAAGACCAGAAAGACTTAGCGATCGTTTTATGAGACCAGAAACGAGGTTGACACGAGTATAGGTCACCCACTCACGCTAAAGAAACCATCGTGTGGGTTTCTGCCTTATCCGCCCAGGCATGTGATCACCCAGTGTTGATTTTTCTGGTTTCTGGTCAAGAGTTAGCAGCCCAAATAGTAAACAGGGCGTGCAGAAGTCATTCTTTGGGCTGATAGAAAAGGTTGTACAGATTCAACGGCTTCATTTCATGAAAAGTGTTTCTCATTGGTGGAGAAGTTCATCACGAGGCGCTTAATCTTAAAGCTTTGTCTGTTGGAAATGAATATAGCGCGCTCTAAAGACGTATGGTACACTCTATTCGACTATGCCTGAAGGAAGCTGTGTGTACCACTCATTGCCACATGGCCACACGATCGTGTTGAAATCTTGTAGGAGCTTGATAGAACGGCCGCGCTATATGAACGTGTCATTACTATGTACACGCAGTCTTATGAGAATGCTTCACGATGGCAGTCTTTGAGGATGATCCGGACGACACTGTCAGGGGGGTTGTCGAGCCCAACGTAATGGTGAACATAGAGTTGAATCTGATAGAGAAGATGCCTAATTTATGCTGTTTGCCAAGACTGGTTAACTTCGTGCTACTGATTTCGGACTCGAACCACGACGATACGTTCTGCAGGCGGGAATTGAGCTTGATGTGTGTCGCCTATACCGGTTTTTCTCATTCTCACTGGTATGAAAACGGCAAGGGTAACTATAAACCGGTAAGCTGATTCGGGCAACCTCCTGTTCATGATAGGCCGGTGCGTGACCGTCAAAAATGACAGTCTCGTCTCATTGGCCCAAACTAAGGTTAGATGGTAGATAGCTGCAGCTACCCCCTCCCCTCCCCCACCGAAAGTAGTTAAACTAAACTTTAAAGTCAACAACCTTGGATGATTTCACTGCACGGAAAAAACAAAGCCATGTGGATTATGGAGATTTTATAAGCATATCGTTCGTGTCTTGTTCCCAGCGGAATTCGCTATCAGATATTCCAGAGGGGTAATGGATCCATGGTTGTAAGCAGACATTGATCTGATCAGTCATATGGCACTGACTACAGCTCCTTCTTCACACCTCTTGCACGCACACTCGAAGCCCCAATTCCTTCTCAATGTCAGCATCCTCTCGTCTCTTGACATTTTCTTCTCCTCCCCGCCGAGGTAAGTGATGCACAGTTGCTCTCCCTTCCTGACATCCCTTGCTGCCCTAAATTCCCACGCCCTGCCCTCCCTCCTTTTCTCAACGTTCGGGCCACATGAATGGTTGAAGTAGCTCGCTGCGGGCCAGCAACCGTAACCAAAGAGCTCAGATCCCTCATCTTCCAAGGAGCGTATGCCGAACGCGTTGTGGCTATCACGCGAGGAGAGAAGTAAGAGCAACTCTGGCGTGGTGAAGGGAAGCAGAGGTAGGGGAAGGATTGCAAGGAGATGCAGATAGGTGCGAGTGAAGGCGTGTAAGTCGTCAGCGCTGGAGTATGGCGTTGAGTCCACTGCTAGCGAGAGCAGGTGCTTCCACTTCTGGGGATTCTCGTACTGGGCAATGATGCCACTGACGCAGAAGCCCATGACGTCTGCACGAACAGGCTGTTGAAGTGCTTTCTGGACGGCTTTCCGATGTCGTTTTGTGATCGACTCGCCGCCGTTGCCGTTCAGTGCTGAGGTCTGCAGCCCGCCTGTGTCCCTGGCATCGCCGACCACTTCCGCCATTCTGAACGTTAGTATCAGATCCGCCTGCGCCTTGGTATTCTCCCATGCTTGCGTAATCTCCTCTGGCGTCGGTCGTGGCAAATCAATGTCCACCATTTCGTTGTCTTCTCTATTCTTCTTCTTGACCAACTTCTTCACCTCGGCCCAGGCCTGGACACCTACCTCACCATTCTCTTTCTGCCAAGCTTTTTGACATTCACTTGAGCAAAATGCAAAACCAACGGTGTGGTCTTGTATACCCAAGTCTCTACCGTAGTTGTACCCAAAGCACTGTCCGCAGACTTCACGCCTGTACTCTTGTAGAAGAGACGAAACTGTGAGGTCGTCTGAGCGCCATAGCAGAGTATTTGCGACGATATCTTTGGTGGCGAAGACGGCACGTCCAGCGGTAGGAGTATCACAGATCTCAAAGTGCACAGAGGTAGCAGCGCCTGGAAGCAACGGCTTTGGTCGGCCGTCAAACGACAATGCCAAGGACGGAACGGACGAGGCTGATGATGGTCTGGAAGCACTCGATGCTGGGTAGTCCGTTAGTATCGTTGAAGCGTCGCTGTCGGTGGGATCCATTGTGAGTGATTTCAAGTTAGTCGTGGATTAAATTGTTTGTGTTGATGTTTAGTTTATGCTCTGCACCGAGACCAGCGATCGACTGTGGCTTCGAGTTAGAACATGGACTAACTATGGTCAATCTAAGCTTTCCTTGGAGCACTTACTGAGGATGCAAGTGTCAGAATGCAAAGTAGATGTCTGCGGTCAGCTTCGTATGTCACGAATAAGATTATTAGAAATCGAAATTCGAGTGAATGCCATGCTGTGGTTTTGGTCCCCTGAAGTATGGTGTGTAGTCAAATGGGTGAATAAAGGGAGCAAAGTGATGAGGTAGCGGGTAGAATGCCTTTAAATATTGTGTGTGGGTCGGACCCTGAAGTTGACGACTCCGGACTAGTGCGAGGCGACAATTTTACGATAAGAAAGCGGTAACAACATGAGCTAGCCAGAAAATTTTCTTTTGCATTGACATTGGTTATTTCAGTCCTCAAACTCCGAAATTTGCTTTCGCAACTAATATATGTCCAGGGTTATTTGTTGATTCATCAGACCCTTGAGTACCCGAGCGTTTCGGTGTTTAATTATGAGCAGATGAATTCTCAATCGGTAGTATACTTCCATGTAGTTGATCTACCGAACGCCCGGTCTGTGTGTCCGGTATTTCCTCATTCGGTATCTCTTGTCTTCCCCTTCCTTATCCTTGTGATGCAGCATAGCCGAGAGGCATCTAGTCGCCGAGTCCGCCTCGCATAGCTGTGGAGAAATGGGTTGATATGTTTCCAGCAACTAGCTGCTCACCGCCCTTCGCGTTGAGGGTACCTGGATAAGAGAATTGCATTCCGAGTGTTGAAACGTTGCGAAGAATTTTGACTGCGGTATTTGGCAACCCCTGAAGTGGACAGGGAACAGCGCATTCCTGGTTGAAACAGCTGCGATGGGATTTACGAGTCACGCGTTTACACAAAAGGGGCACAATATCAGCAGCATCCAGAACCATGCAACTCAGTGAGGCTTAGTATGAGACGGCCATTCTGATATGCCCTACTGCATATTCTAGCGTCACTCCTCCTCATGTCTAAAAAAAATTTGGTCAGCCTCTAATTGCCTTTCTTTATACTGTTCCACATTTGACGTCTCCAGAATCTCCAGAAAGTCTTTAGCTTTGCGGTATATAACAACAGACGAGAGCTCCCACCAATCGGAAGCTATACCCGCCAACGTGCTGTCAACTTGGCTTGTGCACCGTCAACCTGGCTGGCGTCAAATCGACTGTTATTTCCCAGCTCAACAACCTTGTCCTTTCGCTGTCTCCACTTGCTCAGCTTGGTCACGAAAGGTCGCCTCTGTCTGAAATAGTCGCTCCAGATGAGATGACTTTCCTGATCTTCTTCCACCCGGGCCCCAAAGTACAACACAGGGCTCTCATCTTTATCGACTGACTGATCCAACTCTTTTTTCCATTCTTCTAGCAATGTGTTCAGTATGTTCGCTGCTGAGAAGGCCGCTGGTTCCTTGAGCTTAACCAAGTGTCAAAAGTCGTCCATGTATCAATCGTCCTCTTCGACTCAGTTTTATAGCCAGTGCCTTTGAAGATGACTATACTAATGCCATAGAATCGGACAATGTACCACTGCTAACCGCGCCGTCGAATAAGCCTTCAACGAAGGAAGCCTTCCTTCTTCGCAGCCGTTCAAGCCTTTGGGCGAAAAAAGCCAACGTCGCTAGCGGCCAGTTTCTCTAGCCATATCTGCAATGAATTCGCTTAAAGCTTTTCCATATAACTCCCCAAGCATGCGTCGAAAGTTCTTTACAAGAACCTGATAGAGGAAAGGAAGTATGAAATATTTGCAGAAATCTAAAACACGCCATATATTCCGCATGGTGAAGGTTTGCTCTGTCCATAGTAATACAGTCCTGGAGCATATGGTACCAGATTTACTCAGATCGAGGTTTCTACTCACTCGAGGTTCAATATTCTGAGACTTTCCCAAGCCGAAGAGCAATACACAATACAGTGAGCCAATGAGATGCCCGACATCTCGGGACTCTTCCAGTATTTCAGGGCTATGGGCCTCAGCCGAAAGTTCGAGGATGAGAATTATCAAAAAAGGGTGTAAAAGTTGGAACTCGCAACCAAACGAGTGCACATGAGACCCACTGGCAGTGCAATATTCCAATATTCGGTAACGGACGCGTCGGAAGGGTTGAAACCGGTGGAGGCGGGTCGCATTGAACAGACGCCGCGGCTAGTACGAAATAAATTTTAATTGGTATTCTCGATATCCTATGGTATCCCGTGATATATATATTTCAACGCCCATGCAAAGAGTTATCGCCACCCAGAAACGCCCCCCCCTCATAAACCAAGCAAAGCTCAAAACCCAGACGCAATGCATCTAGAGATCCAAAAAGCTCTGCGATGACCAAAGCCGCTCCGGAAACAGACCTCCAATCATGATGCCTAGCAAATACGCATGGACGAGGTCGTCAAGCTGGAGCTGTTCCTCCCTCCCCAAGCCGTCCGTCCAGCACACCGCAAACACCTCCGCTGCTCGCCGAGGTTTGTGACAGAGCAGTGCGAGCAAACGTGCTTGCCGCACGCACCGCAGGAGTGATCCGCCTCAAAGCCGGCGCCGTAGTTGTAAGCATCGTCGACATCCATGCCATCCATCCCGCCGTCAGAGGATCCCAGCCCCGTACCGCAATCTTCGCAGCTTATCGGCGAGAGCACCGCCTGGGCCACAGACGGAGCCGAGGACGGGGAGAGGCTGGGCGCCGCGGACTTGATGTTCCAGAAGCTGTGGAGGGACTTTTGCGTGCTGCGTGAGGTGGGGGCGGGGGAGGGTTCGAGGTTCGCGTCGTGGGTTTGGTTGATGATGTACTGGCCCTGCTGCTGGGCGGAGTACAGCATGTTTAGAGTACGCTCTGTCACCAATGTAGTTCGTAAGCATTCAGTCTCGTGGAGGGGGTACAGAAGCAGTAGGCAGGACTCACGATGGATCTGGTTTTCGGATGGTCTATTGTCGCGGAAGCGCTTCATCGTCCGGCTGGGAAGATGCGAGGGCGTCACGTAGGCACGAGGATAAACGGGACTAGGGGAAATGGGGGATTCGAAGGACTCGATGCTCGACTCGGAGCGGGCGGGCGAGTTGAAAGAGGTGAAGAGCTCCGATTCAGAGCGCTTGCGCTTGAAGGCCATTTTGGTTTTGCGGACTCGGTGGCGTGAAATGCTGCGGAAGGATGTGGAAGGCTGAATGGACGCGGCGCAATGAGTCCCTGAAGATCAATTGACGATGTTGTGCTGGTGGATTATGTGCATGCTTTGGGTGAGAGGATGGTTGACGCTAGAATTTGTCAAGTGCTGGGGGGAGAGCTGGAATGCGTGTCACAGCTCCAAAGCACTTTAGCCTGGCGCGTCGCGTCTGTACCTATTTACGTAGAAGCGCGCTGTGTTCGCGACAGTGCCCGCGGGGTCTTAATGGGACCCACCAAATCTCGCCTGAGCGCACGACAACTCGGGTGACACAGATTCCACAAACCCACGTCTTAGGCCGGTCCTCCTTTCATACTAAATCGTGGGCCGCATGCGCAGAAGGTTGCATTGGTTAAACTGAAAGTTTCGGCCTCTTTGTCTAGTAAACGCGCACGGGCTATGGTCGGAGAGAAATACAGGCATACGGCCCCCGTCCCCCGCGCCCAGGCAAGCCGGGTGTCTCTCCACATCGCCGTTCGAAGTCTCCACCCATCGGGTCTCGCATCCGGCCTGTCTCGGTCACCTGCTGTGAGACTTTCTCTAGAAAAAAAAGGCTGACCCATGATCGAATGGCAGTGGCTAGACAGAAAATGACCCGGAGCATCAGTTCAACGCCTTCGGGCATATATTCGGGATTGACCCCCAACAGGTCCACCGGCCGTGATGCGCCTCTTCGTTGTGCTGAAATCTCGCTTTGTGTATTTTCTTGCAGAACCAACTGTCGAAATAGTTCTGCTGCCACTGCAGTCTGGGGAACGAAAACAATGTGGCCACCCGTGAAGTAGGGATACGTTGCAGTAGCTCAACAAGTATCTTGAAGGCATTGCCATTTGGACGAAAAACAGCTGTAACGATCGTAACTGCGGTATCAGTTCGACGGTTGTACGCCGTTGGCTGGTGAACGCAATCCGAGATATACAACACATGCCCTTGTATCAATAATATCGCGATATTGATCTAGCATAAACCTGAAGGAACGAAGCGATGGTAATGCCACATCCACCTCGCAAAGAAACATGATGGGTCGCAACGTCCTTTTGATCACCAAACGATGAATCAGCGATACTGCAGGTGCCAACGCGGTAAAAGCCAGTCATGCGGTTGGAACTTCGCTTCGTGTAACTATGTGTGCGGTGCTCTCAAACTTACACTATACATCTCTTGAACCCTTTAGAACCGCCCAGCGTAAGGCACAGGTGCCTCCTCTCCGCCTGTGGATTCACACCCTCCGAGAACTCCATATTACTTGACATAACTGCCTCCGCATAGCTTGATCGTGGCTGTTGCTGCTCCAATGTCCTCTGAACTGTACCGAGGCATCTGTATTCTCTATGCTGCTCTCCACGTATGAGCTCCTGTTCTTGCGTCAAGAACTTTCGCCCTTCACATGCACGTCGTTCTAGGCTCTGCAAGTACGCCCACTCATTGCCACTCCTCTGCACCCTCGACACCAGGAACCGGCGCCCGCCATGCTCGAACTCGTCCGCAAAGTTCGGGGAGCTACGTATGCGTCGCATGCGCCGCCGCCGCGCCTGGCGGAGGCCTTCCCGTTCTTGTGGCATCTCCGCAATGGGCGTGAAGGCCTGTGCCTCATAGTAGGTACCATGGACGTCGGCGACTATAAAGACGTCGAGAAAATCATCACTGACTTTGTGACTTTGTATTCGGTACTTTTCGCCAACAAGAATTATTTCAGCCTGGGACATGGCGGCGTGATGCTGTCGTGAGCACACGTTTCTATAAAAAATTGCCTGTAAACTGACGCACTAGACGCGAAATGCGTTGTGGGAAAGCAGCTCTCTCTTTCTGCAATTCGAATCGTTGGTTTTCGTGGGACTTCAATTATCTCGGTCTGGAGGAGACGAACCCGTAAATGGCATAGGATGCGGTCTATCATGAAGTTGTTTAATGTCAACATGAGCCAACTAAGCAGAATAATTGTGTTGAGCAATAATTCAAAAGTAGAAAGTTGCAACACGTTGAAAAAATATGGTAACAAGTGAAGAAGCGCCTGTTGAGTCAATGAAGTACAGCATTTTGTGAAGGGGCACATGAGTTGGGCTCTGTGATGAGAACAAGGCAATGGGGATTCGTCGTGAAAGTATACGAGTGAACCAACAGTGCTACCAGTGAGGTAAAGCGTCTCTAAACATCAGATTGCATGTTCGCGATTTTCACACTCGGAACCTATTTCGGTATCGGGTTTAGGCAGCAATCTCTCTTCAAAGTAATCTCCGAGTAAATTCTCTGGCAAGGCGGCCAGGCGTCCGGGCCTATGATGTTACAGGACCTCCGAATTGGGCGTCGACCGCTGGGCGGACCACAGGTACCTCTCGGACTGTTCCAAGTTGGAAATGCAGTATGAATAGAAGAAGCGAAGGCCGTCCTATCTCAGCTCAGGAAATGAACCTCAAACTGGGGGTGAGGGCCAATGGCTGGACCCTGTCTCACCGAGTTTAGGCTGAAATGTACCTCACACTTCTCGGGCTACTGCTTTTGAAGGGCAAAGGGAAGAAAATGTTGTCATGTCTGTGTTCGGTGACCATAATGCCTTTCCCAGCCTCCCTGGATCATTTTCGACAATCCTTCGTTAAACTGGGCAGATGAGAGAGGAATTGGAGAATCCTGATTGTAGCGCACCAACGATTACGATTGCTATCAAAGTCACGAGGCCATCCTCTTTTATCTAGGCAACAAAATAATGAAGTATAAGTATCATTTGCGAAGACCGCATTTTCCGCCGTCATCTTTCCTTCTTCTTCCTCACACTATCAAGCCATGAGGGTCGCTTCGTCTTATGGCTCGTTGTGTTATTGATACCACACCTCGACAGAATATGGCAGCAAAAGATCTCCACTACTTTTGCATGGCCCAAAAAACAGTAATCGTATGCACTGATTATACAGTATTAACTTCAGCATCACCCAGCCATAACATCGCAGACTTCATAACAAGAATATGAATAAGTGGATTGTTGAAAGCTAGCTACACCCTGCCCCGCTCGTAAAGTCCAACGAGACGTAAGTTTCGAGGACTATCTGCTATCAAGTCTTTACGCAGAACCTACTCAGGTGAGTGCACCGAGATGAAGTCGAAGCGCAAATGATCGTTATCGAGCATTGAGGACGCAGGAGAGAATGCATCCAACCCTGAAAACCGTGAGTGGTGCAGGCTGTGGGATGGCCCCCAAGGGGCGGAGTCGCCAATGCCTGGCTTAGCTGATAGTTCGAGCGCTGTTTGGGGGCCGTCCGACTCGCTTCTTCCCGCAGTCCTTAATGTGATCGAGATGAGGCTGCAAGTCGTTCGACGTCTTCTGGCAGATGCACGTGAAAGCCCGTTGGGAGTCATCCTTCACTTTGCACTTGTCGATGTGCCGGAGGTAGTTCCATTTGCGTGCAGGCGGGGCCTTGTACGTGCATTTGCATGTGTATTGCAGGTCGTCATCCTGCCGGTGACGGTCTTGACGGTGTCGCTGCATCAGCCTCGAGTTCACGAGCGCTCCACAGTCGCTGCATTTGGTGGAGCGGTTGGAGTTGTTCGTGTACTCGCTGATAATGCTCCTTTCATCCCCGGTGGATGGCGCGATACGGCGATGGCCTAGGTAGGACGTATCGGTTTGGCTGTATGTGGGATGACTGAGCGTGGCAGTGCTGCCATAGTTATCATGCTCGGGCTTGGGCGCGAGAAAATCTGCGTTGGGGGCAACGGGATCCCATGGGCTGCTGATTCGAACCGGCAAATTGGTGGATACCTGCTTCCACGCCTGCTCAGGATCCTGCTCTTGGATATTCGGGACCGGCTGTTGGTATTGGGGCGGCGAGTATGGTAGCAGATTGCCCCAGGGGCAGCATCAGCGTCAGAAATATCGAGCACCAGGTCATAGGCGTAAGGTCCCATAATGAAGTGCAGCTGGTCGCTGTACATGTCAAGCGGCGCATGGTAACTGTCGAACGCCGTTGAAGAATGGCGTGTGAAGCCGTTATCGACATGGACACAGCCAGCCGTCTCGCTAGAGAGCGAGCGCAACTGGTCGTGGTCCATGTCTAAGGTTGGCTCCCCAGACGAGGGAGGATCGGTTGGTGTTCCGTTCGGGGCGGAGCAGCTAAACGACTGTGGCGCGGGTCAGCAACTGGATTCCCGGGCATCAAGGGATAAGAGACTTACCAATACGACTGAAATCCGGGCCGGAAATAAGGCTTGCCGTAGGTCAAGAGTTTGCAGGTGAAGTCGTATCTGGGATGATAAGAAAAAGCCAGTGGCATGGTACTAACCCCCGACAGAATAGAATTAGAAAGAGAAAGTCGGAATGGCGAAGGAGCGGAGGAGGCTGTGGGATTATGTAGGGAGAACTGAATACCTGTGTTTTTGGCTAGTCTGGGGGGGAGACGTGTGAGGTGAAATTGAGGTTCATTATCTTCATCATAACGGGCGGACAGCCAAACCACCCTCGTCACAATCTGTCACGGATAGTTAAAGAATCAGCCCAGCCGACTGCCTGTCTCTGAGTTACCCATTGGTGTCATGGGGGATGCGAGACGAGCACCGTGTATGCGTGCATGTGTCGTTTGTGGCAGAGGCTCATCTTTAGATGAACCTCAATAACCCTCGAACCTCGTGGCCGCAGTAGAGGAGGCTGAACCAGGGCGATAACCTCGAATTCAGAACACGCTCGGTGCGCAAACGTCTTGTACCATCAATTCAGGAACACTGTGGCGTCTCAGAGGGGGGGCAGCATTCCCTGGTTACGTTACCGCTCGTACGCGGCACAGCGGTGGTGTTGCGCGTCATTGGGTATAGGTGGAGTGAGATGCTGGTAGGCCCTGAGCCCGCCGTCCTTTAGTGATGGGTCTGTGCGTGCGGTCCTCAGCAAGCCCCGGCCACCGCCGAGCCGGAAGCCTACAGTGACGGAACGGACCCGATACCGAGATTGACCTCCACCGCTCGAGCAAGATGGATATGCCATGGCCTGTGCTCACGCGGGAGGCTCGTCAACTAACTCCATGCACTGACCTGCCCTTGAAGGTTCGGCTTAGACGAAGAAGTTAGCATAATTCGACGGCGACGGCACGATTGCCGTATGGCTGACGCAAGACGCTCTCAAAATGATGGTGCGTTCTGAGCTAGGAGGTTCTTGAACTAACCATGGCTTTACTGATACACCCTATGGTCGAGTTGGTGTCCTTTCACTATCTACACTAGAATATTCTAGCCCGTTAAAGCCCGCCTCGCTAGGCGACTTCGCTCCCACACCATTAAAAACTAATAATGGCGCCTCCGACAAGGACAAGTTGAAAGATTTATAATTGGTTCGGTTCTTGTTGTTTTGATCGAGTTAAAACCAAGAGCTACGTCCTTTGAGAGCACATCTGGAACCAGAAACGCAGGTGTAGCCGCTGCGCTAGACTCTGACGTGAAATTAAACATAGATTGGTCACAACTATGACTGGACAAGAACTGGGATCCTGTAGATTAAGTGTCGTGTGGCTCCCCAGTGTCCCTGCGCCCATTTGGAGAGTGCACTGAAGAGAGTATGTCTCGAAGAGGTTCACCAGAGAACTACGGCTCCTCCTGAGCTTCGTGTTCTTGCGAAGCACGTAAATGCGCTGACTGGCCCCGGGGTGGGATATGGCAAATCGAGATATCAGGCCACGTTCTGGACCAGTGCGGAACCTCAGGCAGATCATACGATCGACGCTATAGTCAAGACACCTGAGGAGCTGCTAGTCAATACTCCGTGGAAATGTGCTGCTGGATGGGAGTCGGGTGATGGCGTTAACAGTGACTTTACATAGTCTTTTGCCAAAGAAACCGGCCCGATCAGGAAACTGAGCCGTATGCCTGGCGGTATACGGCTATGGGTCCGGACAATGCGATGTCTTTGACACAATCTCGGCGCTGCTCAAGTGGCATAGTCAATTTCTGGGGAGAAGTATACCTGACATTGAGGACTTGGACGAGCAAGAGGTGCTAGAAGGGCAGACGCACTAGCTGAAATACATACTCCATCATGTACACAGCAAGACACCTCGAATTGGACACGGCAGAGGACTGGTTTTTCATCCTAATAAACTGGCCATTTTTATTGAGAATTTGCCATTATCAACATCGATCGCTACACCTTCATGTATATTCCCCAGTCAGCTAAACGCTGCTGATATAGTGGTGTTCCAATTACGTTTACCACAGTGTCGTTCTACAATGACTATAAAGTAGTCAAGGCTGATGGACAGGCCGATGTAGCTTTTAGGTGACCTTTAGATAGAATACTGCAAGAATCGCGCCAGTTCAGGTGTCCAGCTGCGCTTAGGATCGTTGAGAGCCAAGCCCAGTCCATGGGATCCATCAGGAAGGATCAGCACCTGTGTCGGCCGCTTGTAGGCCGCCATCGCCTCAACGAAGAGGAGCGTGTTCTGCACAGGGACAGTGCCATCGTTGAACGTGTGAAACAAAAAGGTGGGCGGTGTTGTCGCGGAAACGAGGTTCTGTGCCGACAGCTTGTGCTGCATCTCGGCGGTTGCATTGGGACCAATAAGGTTGTTGCGCGAACCTATATGGGTGTAGTTCCCTTCAAGAGTGATGACAGGGTAGGCAAGGATGCCAAAGTCGAGGCGGGCCGCCGGGTTAGTGAGCGTCACTGCCGATAGGTGGCCGCCTGCCGAGAAGCCCCAGATGCCGAGCTTGGTGGTGCGGTTTTGTTTGCGAATATAATCCAGAGCGTTAAGCGCTTCGATCTGGGGTGCCGGGTAGATGGGCGCAGTTGCGTTTGAGACTGTGGTGTAGTCGAGAACCCATGCATCGATACCTAGGTTGTTTAGGAACGCCGCTGGGGTATACCCCTCCTTTACGAGAGCCACATTGGCGTAGCCGCCACCAGGACACACAAGAACTCCAGTGCCCGTTGGTTTCGCCGCTGGAAAATATGTGATTTGCGCCGTGTTGAGTCTATAGAAGGAGTCAGGTTTCAATAGCTGGATTATACGAAATCCCGCCTTCTAGACAGCACTAGAGCGCTTGAACAATCTCACCTCTTCACGATTCTGCGGGGAATATCAAGAGATCCTCTACTGTTGGCTTCAGATGAAACAGCAGTTACGCTGTAAAGGAAGAAGCCCACGGCCAGTGCTAAGAAGGACTTCATTGTTTCTCTGAATATGCAAATGCAGTCGTACTTGAGATAAGAAGTATTGTTGGTCTTTGCAAATTAATATTTCTGCATACAGATTTGTTGGTTGTGCTATTTGTCACGAACCAGAAACGGCAGAATCCGTTGCGATATACGTGCAGCCCGCTTAACGTTTTCCTCACACTGCGGTATAGATAGTAATGTATACCCGGTAATCCGTTACTACTCCATTGGTCCGGTATCCAATTAGCTTGGCTTATATCTCGCCATATGAAAAGACCGAGATGCCGTTACATCGACTCAGCTTCTAAAATCCACCAATAAGAGCTTAGTACCACCCATGTAGGGCACTTCGCCATCCACCGTATCTTTTACAGTGATGTCCAATTTTTGATCGAGTACCTGGACACTGCGACCTCGACACACATATTACAGAAAGCTCGTCTTCTCACTAGTTAAACTTCCTTTACTTACCCTTAACTTAGGCGGAGTCCCAAACTCTAGTTCTTTTCTTCCCCAAATGTCGACATTCATTCTTGAGAATAATAGTACTCAAATACGCCTACCCTTTAACTCCCTCCCTGGACCACAAAGTTTAGATGACAGTGGGTATTGGTTTTGACCTCTGTTAAACGTCCTTTTTCTCAATACTCCGCCGGTATAATCCTCTTGATTGATCATCGTCGGTTGTACATACACGTAAAGCGATGGTTGAGAAGTCACATAAGGCACAGCAGGCAGAAGGATAAGGAAGCATGAGGCTGACCCTTAGAGTTGACGGCGTGTGCGGCGATTTTGCCCTTGTCAGACTTTGAAATCTTAAATATCACGCGGTCTGATGGTTCTCCCCTACTTACCATTAACATTTCCCTGTGATCACAAGCTGATCATATGCGGTTGCGATCGATTAGCTGGCGTTTGGCAAGATGAGGACGCCATTAATGAGACAAGGTGAGAGCGATACAACATAAATTCCGAAGGGCCTTCATAATTTTGCTTCTGCTCTCTTACAAATCAAAGTTTACTTCAAAATAGAACCTTGGACGGGTCAGGCAATGGATTCAACGAATTTCAACTATTGTAGATGAGGTCATGGCCTACAAGCTGTGCTGATTGGGGATCATTTAAAGCCAGCAGAAATTGTTCGCGGCAGCATCATCTTTACTGTGTATCCGGCTTCAACAACTGCCTGTCGCTCGTGAATTCGCGTCCCTTAGTGCGCTCTTTGGCTCGTAGTACGGCTCGCACCACCGGAAAATATTAGGCAGTGAGTCTGACTTAAAGCTTGTACATAGATATGATAGATCAACCAAGTATGTAAGTTGCACCCAGTTCAAATTTACGGATCATCAGGTGACAAACACGTCAACAAGCTGTCTCTCAAGCATTGTCTTCTTTCTCTGATAGGGAATACAACGGAAGTGATATAGGCATTGACGGGCGATAGAGAAAGAAGGAGGGCTTTAAATGAAGAACATGTGACGAAAGACTTGGCTGATCAATCTCAGCAATAACGTCATTTCTGTAGCAAATGATATGATCAGAGACCTCATAAGTTCTGTCACTATGAGGTCTTTGGGGGCCCTTGGGGATTTCAGAGAACTAGTTTACTGGCGTCCCTCGTCCGACATTTGGGCCCGTGTTGACTGCCGAGGCTGCGAAAAAGTGCAGTGCAAGGTATGCCTTGAACAATCTATTGGTGGCAGATTGGTTTGTCTGGACATATCATCGTTACACGTTTCCGTTACTCAACACTGTTTGGGTGGAACTTTGCTAATCTTTGAGCGAGTCCCGAATTCTGCATCCAGCCTGATTTGACCACTCCCGTCATTGAGTATCATCGAAGCAGTTCTTATCGGCGGTACTTTGCAGCTTTTTGCATTGGTTCAGGATACGCAGCTGCACATCAATCAGCTATCTAATCACACGGAACAAAGTACCCACCAAATAGTGATTAGCAGTCTGACCGGCCTTAGCTTGCTGCGTTGCATGGCAGTGACGATAGCAGCCTGATCTGACAGCCGAGATATCATACATGCCTGGGGTAGGGGTGTGCGGCAAATATGTATGCAATGGACGTAGCACATTAAATTGTTTTGGAAACCACTGTAGTAATCTCTCAACCGATAATGTAAATACATACCTCTTTCATCATTTCTATTCTGAGTCTTTTATACTTAGGCACGTCTTCTTCAACTTGTCATCGAACAAGGAGTTCTTAGCTGGTTGGATGGGTAGGTGCATCCTAGGGGGAGTAAGCTTTTGATAACGACGTATACTGGGGTTCCATACAAAGTGGAGTTGTGCTATCCAAAAGACGGGTCAAATGCCGAAATCGTCAAGAACCAAGACTGGAAAAACATGGCTACTACAGCCTTGTCACTTACTGCTGACCCTCTTCTCGGGGAGTGTTTTCTCTCCGTCGTTGAAATAGCCGAGTGGAAACCCGAAAATGTCGAAGACGAGGATATTGGCGCATGTTCGACATCTCACCTTGTAGCATGACCATGGCCTCACGGGTCTCTGCGGAAGACTAGTACGTTGGTAATCTCCATGCAGGTGAAGTTGAACAAGACCGGCTAACAAGTAGTAGTAGCGGGTCCGCGGTTGAAATGCTGACAATCGAACCAAGCCAAACAAGAACAACACCACCCTCCCCCGCTGCCTCGGTCGAAGACAACACCCCTTTAGTAAACGACACATGTAACACAGAAAGTCGCTCGGACTTTAGAGCTGACCGGTTCGCCGACAGAACCCTTCTTTCAGGATGGTTCCCCCAGATCGAACGCGATGAGAACAGCAGTTGGAGCATTTGGTTGTCGAAGAGAAGCCGTGCGCTCATGATCCATATTGGCATCATCAGCAGCGTTTTGATCGCGAACCTTAGTGTGACTATTTTCGCCTACTCGAGGTACGGCAGCAAGAACGGGGTAGGCCTCATCTACCAGGGTGACTGCTCGACGGTACAGCAGCTGGACCGGTGGTTGCATCTACTCATCAACCTATTGGGCACGGGGATGCTTTCTGCTTCCAACTTCTGTATGCAGTTGCAAGCCGCCCCTACTCGCGAAAACATTGATGCCGCGCACGAAAAGGGCAAGTGGTTGGACATCGGTATACCCAGCCTCCGCAATCTGAAATATATCAGTGACTGGCAGCGAGTTTCTTGGGCATTACTAGCGCTCACTTCCATTCCGATACATCTAATGTAAGAGTTTGGTCGTCGTCTTCTGGCGAGAAAAGCTGTCCGGCTGACGAATCGTTGCTAGTTACAACTCTGCAGTGTTCCAGTCGCTATCATCTCACAACTACACAGTGGCAGTCGTCAAAAACTCTTTTTTGAACGGTAGCTCGTGGAGCCTCGAAACGGCTGAATTCAATCGTGCTGGAAACTGGGGGTGGAACGAATCTCGTGTCAACCCACCAAACTTGGACTACGCAAAGATCATCCACGGGATGCAGGAAGCTGCCTCGACATACGAAACAAAAGACGTCTCCTCTTGCTTTGACTTATATGATGATTATTGGAAACCTCAAGGAGATGTGATAATTCTGGTCAGGAACGAGTCAGTGCAGAGCACACCAGATGACAGCCTGTTGATGTACGTCTCCATTGTGCCCCGTCTGGACGACTGGGCAAAGAACATGTGGGCTCTGGGAAACGGCACCGACGGATTCTATGCTATGTCGCCGCCGAAGCCTGTAACAAAATGGTTACTTGGGCGCAAGCGATACGATGTTGCTGAATGCCGCGTCCAACCACCAGCAAGTCTCAGCGCAAAGTGCCGATTCGAGTATTCGCCACCAATCATGTTCACGATTATCCTTATGAATCTGATCAAGGTCCTTATCATGATATCAATCTGGATTATGAGAAAAAGGCAGAAACACGGGCAAGATAAGGCAAAGGAAGTGATATCCACCCTGGGTGATGCAATTTCTTCCTTCATGAGAGAACCCTGCAAGCAGACCGTCGGCATGGGCCTGATGACGAAGTACGACTTCTTGACTACAAGAAAGTTCAAGGACTGGTTCGTGAGGCGCCCACCTTCGACATTGAAGAAGGTTGCAGATGGTTCACACACTGTACTGCCCTCTCGTATCTTTCAGACTGAAGCTAAGCAATGGAGATCGGCTGCGAGTCTTCGTCGATGGGTAACACTCCTCTTGATGTAAGCCAACCGCGCCAGAAATCCAACCAGGCGTCCAGCTGACTCCGCCACAGGTGTCTTCTCCTGATCGGCGTTGCAGCCATCCTACTTATCCTGTCTTTCACCAGTCTACGGCACCGAAAGATCAAAGTCAGCATCCCAGAGCTCTGGAAGCTTGGCTTCGGAGCGTTGACGCCGTTCACCTATTTGTACATTAATATGCCGCGTACAGATCCTGCAGGTCTAATCGCCAACGTTATTCTAGCTAATATGCCTCAGCTGATTCTCTCAGTCCTATATGTTCTCTACAACACCATGCTCAGTACGTTCCTGGTGCAAAGAGAATTTAGCCGACTGTACAAAACCGAATACCGGAAGACTTTGAGGGTTTCTGAGCCCTTTGGTATTCAGCGATCGAGCTATTCCATCTCGCTTCCCCTGCGATACGGGATACCCTTGTCTGCAAGCTCAACCTTAATGCACTGGTTGGTCTCGCAAAGCCTCTTCTTGGCACGGATACGAGCGGTCTTCCCGGACGGGACTGATGATGAGACCCACTCGTTCTCAACTTGTGGCTATAGCCCAATCGCGGTATTCGTCAGTGAGTTTACGACTTGCCATCCTCGTAGCCGCTTGTACTTTCTGACTCTGGCGTAAAGCGTTGCTTTCCGGAATTGTCCTTGTGCTCGTCATAATAGGTATTGGATTCCGCCGTTACGATGGCACGATGAGAATGGTGTCGACGAACAGCTTGGCGATCAGCGCAGCTTGCCATGTGTTGGAAGAAGACCGAGAAAACGGATACTTGCTTCCTGTTCAGTGGGGGGTTGTAGAGATGAAAGGCGGGGAAGGGAAATGTACCATCACGACCGCTGCAGTAGATAATGTGAAGCTGCCCAAGGTCGGGGTGAAGTACAAGTAAATGAATTGGGAGAAATGAGCCAATTTGGCAGTATGACTGATGTTTGAAGAAGTAAGACACAGGAATCTGGTGGCAATGGCTTGCAAGAAGAACCCCCAATTCCTGTTTCCTTTTATGTCAAATCGGAATAACAGCCACTGAGGTAATCACACCGATGACATAAGTGTCATGTCTTTTACCATGTATGTTCAAAACCTGGGATTCAGGCAGCACGTGTACAGTTTACCAGAATGATTACTCCCAGTGAGTTGTTCAGAAGTTACTCAAGTGAAAAGTCAACGTATTAGGAGATTCCAGCGACCTCTCTGACTATTCAACATTTGTTGTTTGTACTAATTCAAATGTTCTTCTTGAGTGCCTCAAAATGCTTCGTACATCCATCAAGGTGTAAAATAACTAAAACATGATGATCTCAAAAAGTCTGTATCCTGGAATTCTCTACTATGTCATCGGATAAACCAGGAACACATTCATAGCAAATCATGATACAAGATGCAAAGCACGAACATAAGATTATCAGCTATATCTTTTTTATTCCATCTTTGGAAATGGGCCGATGCTGCTTCAGCCTGGACCAACTTGAACCACCCTGAGCTACAGTGCCTACATTCTGCGTCTCACATGCCCTGCACAACCCCATTATTTCTTCTTGGCTATTGCAAAAGTTGCCTGGAAAAAGGCATCAAATTATAATTTTGTAGTTCTCTAATATCAGGAAATTAAAACAGTGGCCTCAAATACGATCTTGTCAGTCAGTATTATTGCAAAATTTCTTGCTGTAGACTGAAGCTGTCAAGGTGAACGCAGTACACACCAGCCTGTTAGATTAAGCGGGCCTACTCGCCTACACTTATGTTGGAATTACCGGCACTGTAACAGATCGAAAAAAAAGTTACTAGCAGGGCATAAATTTCATGGCAAACTATGTTTCTCATAAGGGATCTCAAATCTGCACATGCAATGTACTGGTACTTCTTTAGCATAGTATACTGTATCCCAGCCTTGTTGAGAAGATAGTACATAGTGTGTCATTTTTTCACTCTGCCCGCACGTGATACGATGTCCCAGAGCGTACCAGTATCTGCTGTATTGTCCCAGATAATATAGTCATTTGGAGGGATTCTTAGCGCCAGGAAAGATTTTAAATATTAGACATTAATCAAGCTAGAACATCTAGGCCCTATTTCAGTGGCGGGTTATGAGCGAGGTCGCAGGTAGGTTTCAGGTCGAAAGCTCAGTGAATTAAAGCTCCCCTCTGATCTAAGGACCCGCAGAACCGCTATATACTGCCCCGGCCATCGAGCCTTTATGAATGTTTAAATGTCTGGCCACTGCTCCGGCCCGCTTGGATGGTAACCTCCATAGAACCCTGACACACTACTACCTAAGCCGCTTGCTCCACGGCAGAGTAGTAATGTAAAAGAATAAAGATGTTCCAGGGACCCATGAAGCAATTATCAATGGTGTAGCGATATAATCAACGCTACCTCGGAAGAACAAGTACATAAGGGCGAGGCCTAAGCATATCAATAGGGAGAGCCACGCTTCAAGAAGGAGGGCCTTGAAAGCCCGAGATTGATAAAGGTAATGGATCATCGGATCCGGGCGCGTCCCATCGGCCTTTTCGGTTACAGAAAGCAATGGTGCGCTAGGATTCTGTAATACCTCTGCTAGCCTGCGTGGTGCATCAACGGGCGGCTGTAAAGGACCTCTTGTCTGCACTGTCGTGTAAGAAGCCGTCGAGGTCTTGCTTTTGTCTATGGAATTGTTAGCAATTTTTGCACTCTATTCAATATGTCACAGTTGGTAAAGAAGTCATACTAAGCAGAATTTCTAATTTAGCTAGTGCAGGCTGAGTCAGTAATAGCAAAGGGAGTATCTGGCCGAATCCCATCTCTTGTTCTGCCTCTATAACTGACTGTTCCTGACTCTTAAGCAGAGATTTTTGACTGACTGTAAGCTGTATAGTACCCCACACTAAGGTATAGGTAAGCAATATTATGCTAGCCATGAACGATTCAAAAAGTTCCATAAATGGAACGTAGACCACGTAGATAATAACTATCATCTTGTAATGAGCAATTGACAGTAGGCTGCGTGGTTGTTTCTGGAGAATTCGCTTTGCTAATCTCTCGAAGTAGCACTCAAGCTGTAATCTTCCCCAGAGATAGATGCGTTTCCGAGTTGCATCAAAAAGCTGAGCCAATTTCCAGATGAAGGTGCTGATGAGAGTCAAGTACGCAACGATGGAGTTATAATCGCGTCCAAGGACTATGTCAGGAAGGTTTTGATTAGCATTCCAAAAACATCGAATCGGCATGGCCTCTGTCGTCCTGTAGTCTATCGTAGTTGTAGTTGTCGGTACTAACGCTGCAACGAGAAGCGCAAAGACGAGAGTGATAGCACTGACTCGGATACACCGTGACACCATATTTCGCTTAAGCCGACTTCGAAGTACAGAGAGAGACATCAGATGTACTGTAAAACTGACCCATGCCAGATAAATAACGCTGTTCCATGCCTTCGATTGACCACTTCCAGCAGTTACTATGCAAGTCAAGGTAATGCAAAGGTCAATCTATAACTTACTTGGCTTCCTCGAGCGGCGGCACCTCGGCAAGAGATATAACGTTATAATGTCTTGCGACTTCCTGTTTTAATTACCTTGCTAACTGCTCGAACTTGAGCCAATGACCTTGGCAGCAGCGTTGGTAACAGGTTTATGTAGAGAATAGTCCTCAATACAGAAGGCACAAAGTCCCACGATAGAATGAAGTAATATAACCTTCATTAAGTTGTCATTACTATAGGAGTTTAAGTAGGAGGAATAGCTGTACATACACGCTATCTTCTCAACATTCCCTTCAATACGGAGATTATTTCGTCTGTTTTGTTAGCCAACAGACTGATATGTGCCTCATTCTCATCAACCCTCAACTCTGCCCCTGGAATCAACTCCGCAGCATCTCTAGCCATCCTTAGGGGAACATTAACATCCTTGCCTCCATGCCACATCACCAACCCTCCCTTATCTACAAACAAGTTTCCCAACTCAAAACCCCACGAGCTCCCGAACAGTCCAGCCTCCCACACGAAGCCTCGAGAGCTCTCGCGCAGCGCTTCGCAGGTGCTTTGTACCAAGATGCTCAGGATCTTACCATCATTAGCAAAAATAGCTTGTTGATCCTCGATCGGTCGGCTTCTAAAGCTATCAACCACAGACTTCTCAAACCGTTCGGGATGGTTTGTGTCTCTGACGAGGCTTCCCACCTCCCAGTCAGTCACAATCTCAACAAGACGCGGCACCCAAGGAGCCAAGGTGAAGAGGATGCGGTTGATGAGCATCATGCCGCCGAGTCCGAGGTCTGATGGGTACATCCCAGAGACAACAGCGACACCAGCCAAGCGCGTCGGCGGAATCGAGTGAAGGCAGGCAAGAGCATATGGACAACCGCCTGAGATACCAAGCACTGCAAAACGGTCGATCTTCAGGTGGTCTGCGAGGTGGATGACATCCTGAGGAAATGAGAGGATGGTACGATTCGGCTGGAAGGTCGAGCCGCCATAGCCTGGGCGTGTTATGGCGATGACACAGACGTTCTGTTTGACGGCTGCTTCGTGGATGGATTGGCCTTCGCAATGAGAGCCGGGAAGGCCATGGAAGTGGAAGATAGCCGGCTGATCCGGTTGTGGCGTGATGCCAAATGCGCTGTAGCTGAGTGTGCGTCCGTCTGGGAGGACCAAAAAGTGGTCTAGCGACATTGATGCGATTGTCTTGGTCGTTGAGAAGTGCAACCAAGGTCCAGTATACAAGAGAGGTTGGTCATGCATAGTTTTAAGCAGCGATATGTGGCCGCCTAAAAGCCAGAGTTCGGTGGGTCTTACAGTAGACATAAGTCCTGACTTTGGAGCCAGTCACAATTTGGTTGCTCCCTAGGGATGCGCTGCGCCACAAGTGAGGCGCAATGGGACATTCAAGCCGTTGGCAACTGTAGACCAATCAACTTCTTCCTAGGGTTGTGTCTACACAATGAGGTTTCTCGGATATAATAGGAAATGCTCTACTATATCGAAGGGGAAACGGCTGATAGATTGCATCAATTGAAAGTGCAAAGAGACTGTACCATCAACAAGATGAAGAGTTTTGGTGAGAGATACGAAGCTCATGCCTTGATCCGCACAATGTATCTTCCGATTCCTCCTTTGCCAGTGGACACCTTTTGGCACTCTTGTCTCACCTTCTCGATGTCTGAAAGATCTGAAACTCTGAACACTCCCTTGACTTTTCCTGTCGCAATGAACTCTCCAATACTTTCCAAATCCTCTCGCTATTCTGGGTTTCCCGACACGAACTCGTGTTTGATATTTGTTCCGCGCAACTTCCATTTATACCATAGCTGAGCTAGTTCAAGCAACCAGCAGAGCCATGTCGGGGCTGCATCAGGTCATACGATACCCTTGAATACTGATGATGGAGGTGTGGATGCAATGGACTTAAGTATACCTGTCTCTGGGTTTAGCAGCGGGATGCCGGAACTCATGGCAGTCCATTGTGTGTTCACTATGAAGTCTACGAGACCAGGCAGGTACTGCTCTACAAGACTCATTTTCGGTGTTGAAACGGTTGAGATGATCTTTCCAGCCCCAAAGACAATTTTAGCACCCTGAATGGCAGTGAAACCACCTCCGCTCAAGGCTCCTGGGATAAAAATGGTCTTCCCCTCAAGGCTCTCATCACCAGCCAGTGCTAGACCGCACTTGATGGTCTGGTATGCAGTGACAGTGTATCCCGCAAGGGATGCGGCTTCTTCGAAACTCATGTGCGTTGGCTTAGGAAGCATCATCTTCTCCTGAGTGAGGACATATTCGGAGCAAAACCCCGGACCAGGTTCTCTGAAGACTGGGCGGGTGACAGCAGTCCCGTATACGGCGTCGCCAACTTTGAGATTCTTAACCTCGGAACCTATGGCCGTGACGACTCCGGCGTCCTCACAGCCAATCGTGGCCGGAAAACTACGTAGGAAGCGAGCATTGGTATCAGCCTTGGCCAGGCGCAAGAGTTCAGTGGGTACGTTTCATCACGCTTTGCAATGAGAGTGGAACCTCTGGCCTTCTGGCAGTCGCCTTTCATGATCGCTACGGCATGAACCTCTATAATGATATCCGTCGGTTTCGTGATTACTGGAAGTGGTAATTCGGCCACTTCCCACTCAGCCGGTGCGCAGTACCTCGGCGCTACGAGGCAGCTCATTGTCTCGGGAAGGACAGTCATGATGTTTGAATGGTTGAAAGAATGCTGTGAAAGTGCGAGGTGCTGAAACAAAGTTGGGTGGAGAGTAAGTGAGCTTTATAAACTTTCCAGCCTAAACAGGAGCGAGTGAACGCGCGGCCGGGCGGGCTAAAACATCGGTTGGCGTTTTGGCGGGGCTTTCGGCGGTTTCGGTGACCGGGACCCACCGAAACCGCCGAACGACACGGCCGTCCACTACGGCTCCTTCACCGTCTTGAAGCAGATGATGTAAGTCACGCCTTGTAAGTCTTTGTGATCGATTTCAATCCTGTATTAATCTTCATCGATGCATTCCCGACGCGTCGCGATGAAGAAACCCCAGCCTCTTTACGCGCTTTGCCCTTTATCGACTTCGGTGGCAGGCTGAGTCAAGGGGTATCGGCCGCCCTGCAGAAGTCGGGGAACGTAATTGAGATATTTGCATCGGCGGCGCCATTGGTATCGAGTACGGATTCTTCAACGGCAATAATGTTGATTCAAAAACCGACAACTATCTCTCCAGCATTTCTTTTCTTACACTTGCGCCGGTGGCAGGATCGTAAGAAGCGGGGCAGTCGCGATGGAGGGGTTGCGCCTGCTGTTAAGGGAGACGCGAGGGGACGGCATTTGAAGTAACTATTTAGAGAAGCAACGATCCAGAGGGTTTTGACGTCGATGAGAAGGAACCGCAGAATTGTTTCCTCTTCAATCGCCTCTGCTCCTTTTGCCTACGTCATTCTCACTGGACTGCTCGCACACAACTCCTCGAGGCTTTCACGGATCTGACGGTCCTCTGGACATCGCCACAATCGTTTTTGGTCCCTAACGATTGGTCTGTTTTAGCACGTATCGTTGTTGCAAGACCTCATTGTTGTTCAGTGTACCACAACCGTGCCAGAATCACCCTAAGGGTTCCTCATACCCCGATACCTAACGCCGCAATGAGACTTTTCCTCCCACTCGCCTTCCTAGGCGTAGCGGTCCCGGTTTGGGGAGCCTTCAACATGACGTCGAAAAATAACGTGGTCGTCTACTACGTATAGCCCCCTCTTCGACTCGGTGGCCTGAGCTCATGGTTGACTGTAACATAGGGACAAGGTCCGAATCAGGGCGACCTGATTCGCCAATGCCAGCAGCCTGAGATTGATGTAATTGTCCTCTCGTTTGTGCATCTGTTCCCAGCCCAAGCAAACGGCTACCCCGGAACGAACTTTGGAAACCGATGCGGGGGTCAGGTTTATCCGGGTCCTGGATTCAACGGTGTCAACGACCCATCGAGAAACCAGCTGCAATCGAATTGCCCAAGCCTGAATGCACAAATTCCTGTGTGTCAGCAGCAGTACGGCAAGAAGATATTGTTGTCTCTCGGAGGAGGTGTCACGGCCTACCAACTCACAGGAAAAAATGAAGGCGAACTGCTGGCGACATACCTGTGGAAGATGTTCGGCCCCAAAGACCTCAGCTGGACCGGCCCTCGCCCTTTCGACAACAACGGACAGGCTGTTGAGGTTGACGGATTTGATATGGACATTGAGCATCCATCGACAGGTATGTTGCGATGTTTCATTGCTTTTCCCCCTTTGACGAGCTCAAGCTGATGCCTGAGCCACCAGATAACTCCGTTGGTTACATTGCTCTCGTCACCCTTTTGCGAACCTTTTATGCTTCGGCCTCGAAGCAGTACTATCTGACCGGTGCTCCCCAATGCATTGTCCCTGACGCTAGCATGGCCGCCATGATCTCTGCCGCCAAGTTTGATATGCTATTTGTTCAGTTTTACAACACCCCAAGCTGTTCAGCCGCCACTTGGACTTCGAGCAACCCGTCCTACGTTCCTGGTCAGTCATTTCAAGGGGCTGGATTTACCTTTGATGCCTGGGTTCAGTGGCTATCCAATACGCCGAGCCGAGATGCGAAGGTGTTCATTGCCTTGCCTGGTTCCCCAGACGCCGCCAACCCAGGGAACTACATAACCCATGACCAGGCCAAAAACCTCATCAGCGCATACTATTGCCGGCCGTCATTTGGAGGTGTGGCCGTTTGGGAAGCGACCCGCGGAGATAGTAACCCATATAATGGCAAATCATTCCAAGCCACGATGAAGTTGTGGCTGCAAGGAGCTGCAGCAGATGTGCGGCTATCGAGCTGCCAAGTAAGTTCATGGAAGAAACTCAATAGTCGCGCAGCTAACGTTCAAGCAGGCCCCAACAACGCCAGTGCCATCATCCGTGCCGCCAACCCGGTCCACGAGTCCGCCACAGTCCACAACTTCGACCCAACCCAATCCTAATCCCAATCCCGGCCAGCCTGGCGCTTGCGGGGCCGGCGTGGGGTCTTGCGGCAGTGGGTTTTGCTGCAGCGCATACGGGTATTGCGGGACGACAAGTGCGTACTGCGGGACCGGGTGCCAACCAGGCTTCGGCACATGCGGCCTGGCGTTACCGGTCTCAACTGATGGATCGTGTGGCGCTGGAAAGGCAACTTGTCGGGGTAATGGCAGCTATCAATGTTGTAGCCAGTACGGGTTCTGTGGAAACTCCCCCCTGTACTGCGGTGCCGGTTGTCAGCCTGGATTTGGTATTTGTAACTAAGCAACAGGAAAGGAGGTCGATGCGGCAGAGTACATACGTTATGTCGGTGTTTTTGTACATGAATTCATAGGGAAGATCATAGTAGGTAATACGAGAAGGTAACAACTGTTAATGACGAGGAAAGAAACATGCCCTGCAAAGATGAAGTGCAAAAGTGGCTAGCAGGAGGCGCGACTAGGCTTGTTGTGGGTTTCTTGTAAGCGCCAGCGTCGTCACTCCTCCCTTCACGCGGTTTCGCCCCTCATTATCCCAATTTGTTACCAGTTGGTTTTATTTCAACATCATCAATCCATGTCCTCATAATTCCACACGCCTTCTTTCAAGAACCTATATCAACTTCCATGTAGAATACTACACTTTTCAATGGATACTAAATTAGTCTTTAATTTTCATGCTGTTGTTTATATTGATTACTTATTGTAACGGGTTAATGTATCCGGCTAACCCTTTTCGTTCAGACCGCTCTGAGCCTTGGCCTTTGAAACTGTCCGTAGGGCGCGCGGCTCATCAAGCTCGCCGTCATACATTTCCCAAACGGTGATGACTGAGCGTATTTCTCTGGGAAGCATACCAGTACCGAAGCCGGAGTCGATACCGGCACCTACGCAGCATTTGATTTGCTATTCGTAAAAGACCCGGGAGCGCCCAGTGACGGGAGTGCGGAGTCGCCTGAAACCTTCTTATACAATGTAAATTCGTCCATCTGATCTGAGCGCGCCGGCCAGGGGTTATTTAGGCGAGTCTGATCTAATGACTCGCCCAATGCCTCCTCTACATAACCTTCGATGAAGGTTATGCCACTAGCATGCCAAATAAAACTTTCTTTCCTTTCTGTAATTAATTTAATAATTCAATACCACCCGGTTTGCACAAAAACCCGCACACCTAAAAAGGCATGCACTTGATGTGCAGCTATGTTACTATGAGACTCTTAAAATTCAAATAACTATCAGTAAAGTACATTTAGTTCTAATCGTACATTATGTCTTTTTTTTAAAGAGCTCATGGCCTTCATATGCTGTTCTGTTCTTCAACAGAGGTCGCCCTAATATTGAGAGTGGTTAGTACGCAGTGTTAAAGTGTACGGGTTTCTTTTTGCAAACCGGGTGAATGCCTTGTAATCAGTCAGTGCTTCGGCTCCATCTATACTTTGAGAGGCAGCCGGTATTCGCGCCCGTCACCTTGGTACGAAAGTCCGATATCCGCCATCCCCACATCGAGCTGTGATCGAGCGAAACTTTGATGACCTTGTGACAGGCATTCAAGTAGTGGTTGTCTTCCAATCAAGTCCATAGTCTCTCAAAATCTTAGTCGCGGATTCCGTTAGTTAGGCGTAGTGACCGGAGGCTGTCACCTTCAGACGGTTGAGCCCTGAGCTAAGCGAACTGTGTACTATGTAGAGCCGAGATGGAAAAAACTTGCTGCGTCATGAAACCCAGACTTTGAAAGGAATCAATACCAGCTCGTGCCCTAAGGTTTTCTTACGGTCTGCTTTCCGTTAGTCTGCAGGGGATTTCGTATAGGATTTCACTCACAGGCTCGGTTCGGAGAGAAATCCCGGGGCCTGCCCCCTGAAAGCTTTGAGGCTGGATCAGGGCTCTGTGAGCAACCACTTCGAGTGTTCGGGCTTTGAAGACATTCGTCAGCTTGAAAGGATGACTCAGGATGCCGATGCCAGGAAAATTGGTACTTTATGCAAACATACAGTTTCAAAAGACACGGTCAATATTAAGGACGCGTTTCGTCAAGCGATATAATGCTGCACTGCATCCCTGCAGCATGCCAAACTCGACCGACGTCCTCTGGGTGGATATTGATTACAGGGGCGTTTCTATAGCTGCTGCATCGACGGATCGTGTAGTGAATAAGCCTTCAATTTATCATCCGACATAGTCTAGTCTGGTATCCAGTGAACCTTCGCGGCTTTTCAGGGTCCAAGATGTTGTGATAGGACGTTTTGGTGGCCGACGGGCAGGGCGAAGAACGGCTGAAATGCAGCCACTAGCTGGCCTCCACACAACTTCAATATACGGAAGAGAGGTTCCTCGCATGTTCAAGTTCAATGTGGACGGGTTGTTCCACAGGTTTCGACCCAGACCAGAGTCGAAACAAGCACGACATATCCCCACACGCACCTACCTACGCATGTCATTGCAACGGAACATACGACAAAATAACAACCTGTTAGCGTCGGATTAAGGAAACAAAGTGCCACATTTATATCTCTTGGGATTTCTAGTCTAACAGCATCTCGATGCCGTATATCAGCAATGTCCAATATGCTTTTTAAGTCCGAGGTAATAGTCCCGCTCAACAAGGGCTCAAGGTTTCAAGCGAAGCTTCAGGAAACTCAGCATTGTTTTCGAGATAAAAGTGGTTATCGGGTGGTTCTACTGGCCAGGAATGTCCAAAAGGTCTCGTCACCCTGGATGCACGTGCCACATGCTTACAGAACTCTGTTGGCTACAGACTGGAGTCCCAAGAGGAACCGGCATGGGCCATCCTGCGAGAGATAGTAACCTCTTGTTTTTCTATTCGACGACGTACGTTTCCGACTGGGCCAGAAAAAGTCCCCGAGCGCAAGATTTGCGTCGGGAATGGGATGCCAAGCCATGGACTTCTGCCCGCAAGCTTCACCTCGTATCTCTCTGTTCACGCCACGAAGTCTCTTAGGGGAAACTTGGTCAAACTAGTGCCGCCAGCCAAGTCATGGCTAATGGTACCTTGCTGGGATGGACGCCTTAGGCCCGATAGCTCATCTTCTCACCGCTCCCAGCCGACGATCCTCCCTCCTCCCCCTTCGCCATGTTGTTCAATGCTTTGTTCAATGGTAGGCTTTCGCAATTCATTAAAAGTATCAGCAGAAGTTCTCAAGTACTCGCGAGGAGTTCCGGTGCAACAGACCTTTACTGTTCATCAGTGTTACCCATTAGAAAATGGCGTATGGAAATGGCGTAGGGCTATGGCGTAAGGATAGGGCTTAAGGATATGGCGTGTCACTCACATGCTTCGCGTCCTAAAAGGGGCCGACAAGCCGCTAGCAGCCAATGTTTCTGAGCTTCATCTCCCACCGGAAGAGCCGGCGCTACTGGGTTTCCTTCTAACGTGTAACGCCTTACCCGACTGGGCAATTCTGCAGAACGGTAAAAGCGCCGTTTGGCTGCACAGTGGGTTTCCTGGGATAGAAGGCTGGGTTCTTCTTCCCAAATGTTCTAGATCGGTGTCCGATGAACTTGGGTGGGAGGCGAACGCCATTCGCGCCGTTCGACCTACATGCACCGTTCCATGACTCGCTCGTGAAACGCGACGTTTTGGGTCCAAACGCAGAGCTAATCTGTGTTGACTGCTAGCCCCCAAGCCTGCCTCAAAAGTCCCAGCGTTGCGCTTCGGAAAACTCCCAGCCCCTTCCGTGCTCGTCCGCTCTCAACCCTTTTCTGGATGCGAACACGACAGAGCCTATTATCTCCGAACGGCAGATCGAGACCTTAAACATCTCGACGATTTTCTCTCTCTCGAATGTGCATGACGTCGGGGGTTTACTCTCCGTCAACCATGCTTTTCGTAAGTGTTGCTTTTCGTTCCATTTTCTCCTCCCAACTCTGGTCCCCGAGATCATCTAAACATTGGCTAATTTCACAATCCTTTTTTTGGGCAATGAAGCATCAAGAGGAGTAAACTGTGGATGTTTCAGCCTTGCTGCTATCATGTCCTACCTGGTTCATCATGGTCAACCTCCTCTCCCCGCACTACAAGCTCGAAGAGGTCACCGAGGATGACATGATTATTGCATCGCTGGCCTGGGGCTTCACACTCGGGTTCAGCTGGCTTACAGTATGGACGGCGATCAAGCAGACGACTTCCATGTACAGGCGCCAGGGCGGTCGTATCTATCGAAATGCCTATATATGGATGATCTGGCTAGAGATTATCGTGTGTTCCATCTTTAGTGTCATATGTTGGTTGCATCTCAAAGGCATTATACCACCGAGGTAAGATGCACTGCGGCGCAGTCTAGACTAAAGATCACGAAGACACTTGATACTAATCAGTTACACCACAGCTTTGCGTTTTATTTTAGTATATGTATGTTCACCGTCAGGTCCCCATTCTCACTCTCACTGTTTGCTAACCTGAAAAGTGACGACATGGGCTCTCCAGGTTCGCAGTCTCAGCATCTTTTCACTAATGCCCGATTTCCTAACTAAAGCAGGTCCAATTCTTGCTTCAAATTATTATAAATCGTTGCGCCATTTTACTCACCAACCACAAACGCTCTTGGTGGCTCAAGGTTGGCGTGGCCGTGCTCATCACCGCCGTCAACATCTCTGTCTACACCATCTGGATCCCCGCTCGACTGCAAATATCAGAACGCTATATTGAGATCAACGAATGGTGGGACCGCTGCGAAAAGGTCATCTATCTCATTGTCGATGGGGCGCTCAACATCTACTTCGTCCGCATTGTCCAGAAGAATCTGGTTACTCATGGCCTCACCAAGTACAAACGGCTGACGCAGTTCAACATGTTCATCATTGGGTTCTCGTTAAGTATGGACGTACTTATCATTGCCATGATGAGCCTCAACAACACATTTGTGTAAGCAATATCCTATGGAAACGTCTTGGTTCTGCGACGTCTTTGCAGTGGAGTCAAGGCCCCTTCATCGGACTAGCTAATCCATCGAATGCAGATACATGCAGTTTCACCCTCTAGCTTACATGGTCAAACTGAAGATTGAGATGTCGATGGCCGAGCTCATCGGAAAAGTTGCACGGAAACGCGACCTTGGCATTTTATCCGTGCCAGACTTCAACAGCAACCGAGATTCTTACCAGCCTTCGGAATATAGCTTGCAATTACCTAGCTACGCGAGGGGGCGGCCAGTCGGAGGCATCGATATCACCCTCAACGGTACAAACACAAACTCGATCCAACACAACGTGACGAATACAAGAATCCCAGCCCTGAGAGGTGTCAACGTGGCGGCCGTCAGCTCGGGCCCCAGCAGTCGAAGGCCTTCGGTCACTGCGGCTACAACCACCGAGGACGGACAGCCCAAGATGGCGATATACAGGACAAGAGAAGTAGTCGTCGAAATAGAGACGGTCAACAATAAGGGTCACCAAGCGACGACGAGCCAGGTCAACCAGCCCGGCCAGATCAGCCAGATCACGTTGGACGACGTAGATGAGGGAAGGAACTACGACGACGAATCTTCCACAAAGGGCTTCAACAACGTCCAAAAGTCGTTGGCGCTACCAGAATATCAAGCTCCGTGGGCCGACCAGCAATTCAGCACAAAGATCTGGGACGGCACGAACTGCGACGAGGATCCCAAATTGCCGGCATCGGTAGCGAAGATCGGCGTGGACCGGCAAGGAGACACGTGAAAGTGCGCCTGCTCTGCTTGAAGAATTGGGCGACATCCGATGATATCCCGTCTCAGCATGGGTGCTCGAGCCGGGACCCTCGACATGGTTAGACTGGGACGAGCGGCGGATGCGGCTGGCGAAGTTCAGATGGGCGACTAACGCCAACGCCACACGTCAGCTCATCGCAGATTTTGTCGCTGAAAAAGAGCGGGTTAGGCTGCCCCATTGCGCTACGACATTTATCGGTGCCTCGGTTTGGTCTCAGCCCCCTTTGCTTATGGGCCCAATCCGTGTACATCAGCATCTAGGGGCTGATGGCTGGGCTGATATCGTGCTGTCCAGCACCACCATCGAGTCACCGACCTCTTTGTATTGTGGGGGCGCTTGAGAGACCTCTCTCCTGATTCTCTAAAACGATCAGACATTTGGTCTTCTCCGAGGAGCTCCACTGCATGGGCACAACTCATCACCAACATGGCGCTGTACCGACTTCCCATACCTTGATTCCGATCTAGCGACCGAACGGCCCGAATCGGGCTTGCATCGAGATAAAATTTTCTTTTTCGTTCCATTTCTAGATCGGGAGTTGTCATCTCTCATCCCTCAATAACGACACGGGTTACGGAGTTTTGGATACCCTATGACAGCAGGACGTTCATGGTCGGAGACACCCTCCCTAGGATTTCCACAAACCAGTTTGCTTCGTGTTTTGTAATAGTTAGTTGAGACGCACGAGCGGGCTGTCTTTGATCGTTTATGAATACCCCTGAGCTAGAAATTACGATTGTTATCGATGACAATAACCATGAAGCATACGGACATCCGTTGCTGCTGCTTATGTTCCCTGACATTGACTACCACCGATGATACCTTGCACCCAAACTGACACGGGAAGCCTAGGTTTGGGTGTTCAGGCAAGTTATACGCATTAAAATTTCGAGATTGAAGGCATAGGTTCGGGTTTTATCTGTAAGGTTCAACAAGCCTCCTTTTGACAACCAGATGTCCTGTACAATACCTCAACTCGGTTCAAGCATGCCGAACCTGTGAGTAAGCTTGATGCCCTACTATAAAGTCAATAGAGGACGAATTCTTGATGGCTAAAGCTGCACAAAATAATTTTGTACTTATAGTTACTAAACTTCCTGGCGTGTAATATATACAACAGGGCTATCGTGCTTTGTGTAGTTGCGGTGAGTCCTGAAGTCACTAGAAAGGCAGTATACTCCTCTCGGGAAGATTCAATGAACAAAATCTCACTCCTGCTGCTATTTTTTGCGCATTACGATGCAGCATGAACCCAGTTGAGGAAAACCACACTCCCACAAATCATGGAAAAGCTTGACCAAATGCTACCAAGCGCTTAATGCCAGTTGATCTTCACATCGAATTACCAGTTAAATCGTAAACTACCGCAACTTCTGAAAGATAACATGGTACTTAACCGTGAATGCATAAAGCAGTGAGTCAAAAAGGGCCGCTGGTTGCCGTTGAACCGTTTGCCTTTTCGATCAGCTTGCATATGGTGTTACATGTACTTACCTAATGAAGCCTAGGAGTCTTAATCTAGACCCAATATGCCGAGCTGCATGAACAGGTACCTCGGGTCCTGTCAACATGGCGGGATATCTTAACATTCAGAGGGCATTATAACCTGTCAAAAGCTAAGAGCCTGGGATATATTATCCACATGGCTTGTGGTACAAACGCCCAGCTACATAGCATGCTCGGCTTCATCTGGATCCTACGTCAGCAGCCAAGCCAGCCACAATATGTTTCCAAAAGCGAGGTTTTCATGACATTGTCCGGAAGGAGGTATACGCTCCGGACTATTAGCTATACGGCCATCACTGCCCCGACGCATGATCAATATTGTAAGCTGCATGGTGTTCAACGTATGCGCTGTTCAACAAGCCATCTTCACCTTTGATCATTCTACGGAGCTCACGTGGTCGGATGCGAGTGAACCATCAAGCTTAAAATTCCCATCAGTATTGACATATAAGAGTCATCTATGTGACACGGTCCTCGAAGATAGATGCACACAATCAATAAGCGCTGTAACTCATACTCGAAGCCACATACTGAATATCAAAGAAAATGCGCTGTCTACTCGTTCCAGGCTTACTTGCGCTTCTTGTCGAAGCGCAAAAGGCAGGCAACACAATACGACAAGTCCATCCAAACCTGTCCTGGAAGAAATGCAGCAATGGTACCACCGCAGCCGCCACCTGCGAGACAGTTAACAGCAAGGTTGTCATTGATGCCGATTGGCGTTGGACTCATCGTGCTGGCAGTTTCCTCAACTGCTATACCGGAAATAACTGGGATCATGACTACTGTAGCTCGAACGATGTTTGTACCGCAGGCTGCGAGATTGAGGGCACGGATCCCGGGAGCCTGAAAGAGACCTTTGGCATCACCATTGACGGGAGTAGGCTGTCTCAGCAGATGAATACACCCGGACCCTTCGGTACCGCCCGTAATTCACGTGTGTTTCTGCTGGAAGAGGGGTCGGAGAGGTACCAGACCTTTATACTTATGGGAAACGAATTCGCATTCGATGTCGAGCTCTCTTCGGTCGAGTGCTCGATCAACAGTGCGCTATACTTCGTTGCCATGGACCCTGATGGTGGGAAGGCGAAGTATCCTACAAATGAGGCTGGGGCAAAGTACGGGACTGGTTATTGCGACGCGAGCTGCCCTCAAAGCAACCACTTCGTGGGAGGCAAGGTGAGTAACCGGTGTACCCAGCCACAATGCGGCATTCTTCAGCTGACCCAGCTGTCTATCTGCAGGCCAACGCCGAGGGTTGGATACCTAGAGATGGAACACGCGGTGAGGGCAACTTTGGCGCGTGCTGCTCAGAGTTCGACGTCTGGTAAGAGGCCCGACTTTCATGTTACAGACGAATTGTACAAACGTGCTAGGCCCAGTCCAGGACTGCTAGGCTAACATCATGCAATTAAGGAATTCCAACGCTCATTCTTTCTCCATGATCTCGAAGCCCTGCATGAAGATCGACTACCACGTGTGTCGCGGCTCAGACTGCAACAACGTCAACGACGCGGGACCCATGCTGTGCGATAGAACTGGCTGCGACTACAACCCGTACAGACTCGGGAACAAATTCTTTTACGGCAAGGGGAAGACGGTGGATACGAACAAGAAGATTACGTTGGACAGACCCTACCCTCCTCTATTCTCTTACCATGATTTTGCATGACTTGTACTGACGGTTGAGGTCTGTAGCGTCGTCACGCGATTCGAAGAGGACCAAGTTACCCAGTTCTTCATCCAGGACGGGAAGAGGATCGATGCACCCAACCCGACTTATCCGAACTTTCCCAACAAGAGCGGAATAAACTCCGAGCACTGCGATATTCTGGCGTACACCTTTGGGGAACCGAACAACTTCTCACGGATGGGCGGCTACGGTCACCACAACGACGCGCTCCGGCGTCCAATGGTCCTCGCCATGTCCATCTCCGACGATGTAAGTGACGTCCCATTTATGGCTCCTGGGGGCCTATAACTGCAAGTGCAGACAAGCTGACGCACTCTGACATAGTATTGGGCCAAAAACCTTTGGCTCGATTCCGTATTTCCTGTGGATTCTTCGTTTCCAGGGGCGGAGCGAGGAGACTGTCCACGATATACCGGTGGTCCTACCTTGCCCATCGAACCGAATAACAACTCGTAAGTAGAACAACGCCAGTTCAGTGGGATATTCGGATGGCACACTGATGATGCTATAGTAAGGTCGCATGGTCCAACATTCGTTTCGGACCTATTGGGACCACAGTCTAGGCCGCGGAGAGTCTCGATGCACAAGGACGGATAAAAAGGTGAGAGAGACTGTTCGTCGTTTGGGAGTGCTGTTATGAGTCTTTCTCTCGCTGTATTCTCGCGAGCTCTTGGATGCCGGTATGAAAGAGGTCTGTGATACAGCCCCTCGCGTCTTGCCGGCTCCGCATAGCATAGCGATGTGACTTTAAATGCATATGAACTTATCCCTGTCGAACAATATGGACATCATGATCGAAGTTCCTTCCCGTCAACCCAGTTCCCATGCAGCCCAGCCCTCAACCTCACGGGGACCTTGATCACAGCCACCGCCTCCGTAAAATTCTTCGTGTCGATGACATGCAGCTCGCTAGACATGGTTGCATAGTTATTCGCCAGCACGACCAAATACCCATCACCCTCTTCGGCCTCCTCAGACCGCGGTACAAAGACTGGCTCCTGGACAAAGAACCTCGGGCCGGGGTAATACACCTCCAACTTGCCCTCCACATGGTCCAGGTGCCCCAGCGAATTATACAACGGATATCCGCCGCCGGCCACTGGCATGATGGCCGCGAAGTCGGTACCCAGTGACGGGTCCATCATGTCGAAGAAGCTGTGCCGGTGAGCCTTGGAGAGGATGCGCTCGTCGATGCGGGGAACTCCATATCGTGGTGGAGGATCGTCGTTGGCGTTGGAAGATCGAGCGAGTCGGTGGCGCGGGGGTCGAACTCGTAACGCACGTATTGCGCGTGGATATCTTGCGGGGCTGGTGCGTTGCCCTCAGCGTCGGGCCACCAGAAGAAGACGTTCTTGTCGGCCAGGGACAGGTCGTAGACAATGTTGCCCGAGGGGGTCTCATAGGCATTTGCGGTGTGACCAGGGAAGGCGTTTGGTGCGCGGAGCCACTAGGAAACGGGGTGTCAGTTGGTTTTTTGATGCGATCAGGAGAGGTTATAGACGTACTTTCACATCGCTACCTTTGGCTCCGTGTCTGGGCAAAACACCAAGATAAAAGGGCACATTTGAATCCCATTGCCAGTGTTCGCCGCCGGCTTTCATCCTTTCAAGGTCGCAAACCAGAGGGATCATTGGGAACAAGATCTGAGAGAGCGGTTAGCAAAGGCCAAGCGAGGTATCTCTAATACGATACACACCCAATTCTCGGTTATAGCAAAATCATGAATCATCCCAAGTACCGGCGCCACGAGCCACACCGTCTGAAGGAACTTGCCGTCGGGGGCAATGCTAAAGTAGCAGACATCTGGCGTCCCGTCACCTTTGGCCTCGTACCCGAAAGACACGAGCTCGCCCGTGAAGGGGTCCATTTTGGGGTGCGCGGTGAAGGTGCAGCTTGGCAGCTGGCCGTCAAAGTCGCAGAGGCCAATGGTCTCTAGGGTGTTGGGGTCCATGAGGTACGGCGGGGCGTCTTCCTTCATGGCGAGGAGGGACTTGTTGAAGTAGGTGATGTTCGTGTTGGCCGTGGTGCGGACCTTCAACTCAACCAAGTCGGTGTACTTGTTGCGGTACGCGCCTGGGTCACGTCAGAAGATGTCATGGTCGAAGGGGATGCGCGAGTGATTCGATGGGCACTGACCTCCGAGGGCGCGGTTTGCCTCTCTTTCTCTGACAAACTTTTCCGTGCGCACGAACTTCTGCTGGAAATCGACGTTCCCGTCGTGGAAGCGAAATGCCGACACATTTCCATCGCCGTTGAACCACTACGCGCCAGCGTCGGGTCAGCTACGTCGTCAAACAGCGCTTCAATCGATGGGGATTAGATGGGCTCGACGCGATCAAAGAATGCAAACGTACGGGGTCGTCTTTGATGAATGGCGGAAATTGGGGGTCCGGCATCACCCGGTAAAAAGTGCCGTCCAGCTCGGCGGGGACGGAGCCGACGATCTCCAGGTTCCGAACCTCACCTTCGAAGCGGCATGGCTTCATGAAGCCCGAGAACTGGGGCCGGTCCGGAAACGATTTCGCGGGCGGGTCTGCGAGCGAGCCGCGGAAATGGCCGGCCATTGTGCGATCTGAGATAGTGCGGCGGTGCGCGGACTTGGTATGCGGGCGCGGCGTGTCACGCTGGTTCCTGCAGGAAACAGCCTGCGCGACAAGTGATAAAGCGAGGAGGGGGAGTTAAGTTGACGGCGGCGCGCTTGGGCAGCTTTTGGCATCTGAGATAGGACAGGACAAACCCTTTTTTTTTTTTTTGCGATGATGTGGAGAGAAGGATATTTAAACTTGGCTCTCTTCCATTGTACCACGATGAGACGATGCAACGGAATGCCGTATACAACAAAGCAGACGCGGCTGACCCGCGCGGAGAGAGAGTTCTCCCCACCGGGTGTGCCGGAGCCCCACTACCCCATGCTTTACCCCGACTTCACGCACTTTCGTATCCGCCGCGACGAAGAAATTAGACTGGTTGACGATCATGCGAAGCGCGAAAACGGGTTTGGAGTGTGGACCAGAACCGCATTTTGGACTTGATCTCTGACAATTTTGGCATGTCTTTGGGATTGGGATAGCTCCAATTGGCTGTGCCTGCTTATCTACCCGAACCACAACCGTTAAGTCCCCGGGTTCGACATATTTGTCAGCGGACTCGGCGTTTTCGGAAGTGTTGAAGCCCGTAAGTGAAGAAATGTATATATATGTCTTTGATTGTACTTTCACAATCACCACGTCTTTGAATCATTGTGGTGTGTAGAAGGTTGTCAGCTGTCTGTGTAACATGAGCAGACCTGGACGTCTTGCTACCCTGTTTTTCGTCCGGTCACCTTCGGCGAAAAATAAATGTTGAGACCGATTGGTCCGGGCTCTTATAGGTTTACGGTTCTCAACGGGAGAGTCCCTTGTACTAGGCGGGTTTGACCATCTGTTCTGTCTTGAGGTAACATTCTGCCTTGTTGGATCATGTCAATCCAAAGATGGCTTTGCAAGGTCTATCGAACGTTAGCTGAAAAACCAACGAATCAAATTTGATGCAGCATAATTAGGTATCACCAACATGATTTGAACACGAAGCTACCTTTACAGAAAGTATGTCGTGATTCTTGGATACGTTTGATCACCTACATGCTACTTTGCCATCTGCTAGCAGCATGTTACCGGTCATATGTACAAGACATCCAACTATCTGTGACATGTCAAACTTGCTAGTTTTGCTGACTTTTATTCTGTTTTTTTTTGTTTTTTTCTGTAAAGATAGACAAGTAGTATTTTTGGTTAATGTCAACAAGGTGTGCTACGATTCTGAAAAATCTAAATCCAACATACTTTCCTTAGCATTTATCCTTTTATGTCCCCCGAGGTTAGAAATGGCCTGGAATATGTTGGTTATTGTAGCAGGCGGGCTTACAGTGACGGCGCCTGACAATATCCCGTTGAGCCACCAGCCCAAAGGGTCTGCCAGTGCTTGCACACTTGTAAGCGCTGCTGTTAATATTGCTTATCTAGGCAGGAGTTCTGAACTTGCCTAGGCGTATCTGGCCCAGTGGAATTATCCTGTGACTGTTATAATGATATCTTGAATATTTCTAACAAGATAACAATCACCGCGCTAGTTCTTCTCTTATATCTTTTATTTCTGTTTTAATTTGTTTTATACAAACAATGGCAACTGTTTTGGAAGCATGGAAACTCACGCATTGCAGAATCTTTGCCACTGGCAGTCTACACCTACCTTGATCTTCAAGCTAGAAGAAGAATAAAAATTCAAGAAAGAAGGCAAAGGGGGTTCACATATCGACTGTCCATTGTGTCTTCAACCAAGCGCTGTTAACTTATTGAAAACTACGAGGCAACTCCCAGGACGTTCTCCCTACGATCAGAGTAGTCCCAACCCTAACAACCACGTCGTCGTTTTCAGATCGAACTCTCCCCCGTCAACTTCATCAGCCCTGGATCTACAGGCATCATCTGAACAAGACTCAGAGAGCAGAGCGTAAACAGCGTCGTCGTCGACAATCCCTAACCCTGAGCCAACTCCGCCGGAAAAGCTTGTCCAGGCTCGCCTATCGACAAGAGCCTCAATATAATCCAATATACCTCAGAAGCGGCCACTCCGGCCTTGTCCACCCCGTAATCTGACTCCAGTCTCAGGACCAGCCGCGCAGCTTCACCCAACTGCACGATGCCGAATCCGCAGCCCTCGCACCGCGCCCTTCGCACTTCGTATTCACACACTACCAATCACCATCCACCCAACCAGCCCCCATCGATCCATCAGCTCCTATACGTCTGTGCTGTCGCAGCATCGCTCGTCTATACCACACAACGCCTGCCTGCGCTACCCTTACTGCATCTTTGCAAAGCCTTGCAAGGCCCGCGGCGCCCAACGCGCAACGGATCCACAACCCATTGGTGCGAGCCCCCCCTACCCTTCATCTTATTTTCGACGACTGGTCGGCCCGGTACTCCTCTACCGATCGAGAAAGAGGCATGGGCACTAGCATCGAGACGAGAACCGGCCGAACACACACGCAAGCCTTATTTCCAGCTTACCTAGCCGCCGCCCAGGATGGGAAGCTCCACTACCAAACCTGACGTATTCCCTCTCTCTTTCAACCCCCCACATCCCGATCCAGATCCTCGTCACCACCAAACACCGCCAGCATCAGCAATAAAGAGCTCGCTCGCTTTTCCTCTCTCACTATTCCGCGGAAGCAAATTGCATTCCCTCCCGTAGCGGGCATCTTGTCGTCTTCTTCCCCAGTGAGGACCATCCCATCGGCAATCGGCCAACCAAAACTCCTTGAACCTGACCCTTGGCGGCACATATTCCTCCCAGGATCACCACCTCGGTATAGTATGTAGTAGGCCCAGCCCACACACGGCCCACGCAGCGGTCCATGTTCACCCGGCCAATTGCTCTTTTTGCGTCCCTTGGTTTTCCCGTGACCGGACTGTCCAAAACTGCGCCGAACAACGCCGTGGAACAATTTCAACATCAAGCAAGGGCGTTTCTTTCTCGGCCCCCTTTCATCCTACACGTGCTACACGCGGTGAATGCCATCGCCTGCTGTAACGGTCCCCAATTTCAACATCAAACCTTCCCTCCAGCCCTTCGTGCATGTAACCTCGGGCGCCCACCCCCCACCCCATCGTCCCCTCCTTGAGGAAATCTGGCACGCCCAAAGGGCCAGCTTACGTACGTCCGGGGCCTGCAGGACATGGAAAAACCGCACCCAGAGTAATGTCAATCGACCGTCGCCTCACCACTCACGTCCCGGCCTCGTCCAAAGTCCCCACCTCCGTGCAGTTGCACTGCCGGAACGCCAAGGCGCCAACCCGGCGCCGAACATCCATCAGTCTTTGTCGACTTCACCTCTCTCTCTCACTCTTGCTTGCACTCCCACTTGCGCACCCGCCCACACGCAACAGTCCACCGCTGCCCGCGGCATCAGCCCCGAAGAGATGTCACAGCTCTCTCGTCCGATCGAACCCCCCCCCCTATTGAAATCCAATGGTGATCCACGTCCCGTTCTGTTCTCAGCCTTGCCAGCCCAGCCCGTAACGAACCCTTGGCCCTAATGTCAAGCAAAACCTTGGAAAACTTCCAAAATGTCGTTTTGGGCTGGAGACATTCCCAAATCCTTGGCGCCCCCAGTGTGTCGCTCCCCCCACCTCCTACGACATGTCCCGCCCGCCTGCCTGCGTACCTATCTACTTCACCTGTCCGCCCGCTCGCGCCGCACCCGTCGTCGTCGCCCTGCCAAGGCCCAATCCCTTGTTCTTCAGGCCTTGTCGTCAACGCAGCCAGGCCCCATTCACTCACATCAGCCAAGCCTCTGAAACAGGATGGTCAATGAGTACACCGATAGGACAAAGTGGCAAGGCATCTTGTTTTGGCACCACATGAATAGGTGAGGATCAAGAATAGAAAGCCATGAAAAAGCATGAAATCCCAGTTCAACCAGCAGCCAGCCATGCGGATCAACGACAGGCCACCTTCACGGAACAGGACACTAGGCGTAAAACCGGGGAGGGGGGAGGGGGCCGCGTTGAACCAAAAAGATGAGACGAAAAATGGAGAAACAAACCACCGTTTCGGTTCGTCTTGCCTGGCCAAGTCAACCCGGCGTCTCTGCCCGCGGGACCGCCGCTGACTACGCCGGGTTACCCACTTTGATGTGCCTTCATCGTCATCGTCGCTCACCGACATTGAGGCAAGTGCATACGTCCACAGTAAGTCATATCATCACGGTGCATGCGTAGAGTCAAGTGTAACAGTTCAAACGTGGGGATGGAATTGCTTCTAATCCGGCGCGGACGTGGCTTCTCAAGCTCGCAGTCCGAAGTACTCCTTCTCTGTCCTCCCCTCGGAGGCACACGAGGAATGAATTTTGTTCAAAATAAACACCTCTTAATCGTCAACTCCATTCAGCCAGATACAAAGCCCATCTGGTGCCTTTCGTCGCTCATGCAGAAATAAAAGTAAAAAAGACGAAGATGCAACACAATCCAGCATACATGTAAAGCTCCTGGAACGCCTCCCCTCCAAGAGGAGCTCGGCGCGTGGATGAGCCATGTCTGTCCTCGGCTTCAAACCCGATCGCCAGCTGCCCTCATCCTGTCCGCCCTCGTGTGATACACGGGGCGAGTTGTGTATAAAAGTGACCAGGCAAGCCCTGCCTTCCCCATGGTTGCGCCTTGTACCGCCGGCATTCAGCGAATATCCAACGCGAAATTTTGGAACAAAAGAAATGGAAGAGAAAAAAATGGAGGTGGTGGTAGATACAGTCCGTACATCGAACCTGAGTGACCCAAGGGGTATCAAGAGTGAAAGTAGCAGTGTGGGTTCGGCAGAAGGGTGGTTGGGTGGATATGTAGGGACGCAGCGCCGGTCTATGATGCCGATTTTGTTTTTTTTTCGATGTATCGAATTTAGGTAGATTAGACATAGAAAATATTATCATTGCCTTGGTTGGTACTGCACCAGTGTGCAAAAAAAAAAGCCGTTGCACCGTGGCAAGTGAACGGAGACGACCTCGAGGCCGGAGAGGTGAGGGTCCTGGCATCCACTGGGTATCTTGAAAAACGTAGCAGATATTGCCAAGCCGCGGAAGAAATGGCCTCAGGTCGGCGGGAGGATGGGGCGTATCGGCCGCCCGACTAGTTCAGAAAGTGATCGCGAGCACACCGCTCTCACTTCAAGGCAGGTCGCGGCGACGGCTCGGGTCGTGAGGGGGGAACTGATGATGCCTCGCGTTGGCTTGCGCGGCAAGGTACTCGGCAGAGCCCGTCTGGCGACCAGGTTGCTCAGCAGGCAACTTGGTATCATCACGTCTCCTGGGCGGAGCCTGAGCGATAGGCGCGCTGCTAGACGGGCTAGGCATGCCAGGGACGAGATCGGTGACGGCCTGGGCAATCGAGTTGATGACGTATCCACGGAGCTCGCGGTCCTCGCGGCTGTCCTCCTTCTCGAGCCTGAACTTTTCGTCCTTGTTCATGTTGCTGCGTCGGATACCCCTGATCTCGTTTAGGATATATAGCAGGACTTCCTCGGGACACCGATTGCGCTCCGCAGTGAACTCGCTCTTGCGTACGTAGCGTCGGGTAACATCGGTGGCGCCATCGATGGAGAAGGCGATGCAGTACGACATCTTCTTGCCCCAACCCTCAGTGTAGAGGCGAGGGTTGTCCCATGCCTCCTCGCAAGCGTCGACGTGAACCCAGCGCTTTTGATGTTCTGAGTAGACTTCGGTCCAGACGTGATCCTCGGCATTCCACACCCAGCGAACTCTGCCCCCGACAGCACGGCAAAGCATGCTGAAGCAATTCGCCCATTCGCCAACACGTCCTCGACGGGTGTGAAGGAGTCGCCACACGTCGCCGTATCGCGGAAATCGTTCGTAAGCGCCGCAGTCGCCGGCTGAGCAGCGGTAGAGCTCGACTCGAAGTGCGCCGCAAGCACTCTCGTCGGGTGTTGGAGGCGTCATGCCTTGAGCGATGGTGGGTGAAAGGCAGACGGGGCATGGAGGGTTGTTGACCCAGGTGAAGAAGGATCGCTTGAACCATCTGGGCATCGTCGTTAGGACTCGTTCCATCAAAGGCAAGGAACTCTAAACGGAAAAGCGAACTCACCTCAATAGTGCGCGGATAACACAGTCTTGGTAACCCCAAGTGGTCTTGCGTCCGTCTCCCATGCTCTCGGCCTCAGCCTGCATCACTTGACACTCCTCCTCGGCCTCGCCGTATATCCGGTCGAGCGGTATGCACTGCAGGGCCTCGTCCAGCAAACCGGGGTTCTCGTACTTGGTCGGGGTGAGAGAAAGGCTGATCATGAGGTTGCGAAACTTTTGTGAGTCGCGGTCGTTGGGCGCGGGAGGGGTGGGGATCTTGGGAAGGTGACGGGAGTAGGCGGGCGGTGTTGGCGGCATGGGTGTTGAGCTGTGTGACGTTGAAGGGCGACCGGGGCCGGGTGATGCGAGGCCACGGAGGTTGGTGCTGCTTGCACTTTCTCTGGGCTGGGGGCTGTTTTGGCGCGAGGATGCCCGCAGGTCGGTCATCCTCTTGTCACGGAGGAGAGACTCGAACTTTACCCTCAAGTCGCGAGCCCACTCTTCGCCGTACTCTCCGTCGCCGCTAGGCGGGCCTTGGCCCGGCGGGTAGCCGTGACCATCCATTTCGTCGTCGTTGTCGTCGGTGGTGAGGTGAATGCGGATGTCGAGGATGTCGAAGTGAGGGACAGGTGGAGAGTCTTCGACGGAACTCTCCCAGTGTTCGTCAAGTAGTTGAATCGTAGTGTGATCAGATCAAGGCGGCGAGGTCGGTCGGTTTTGTGGGTGAACGTGAGTAGTCGTCGTAACCGACGGTATTCGTCTTCGTCGTCGTCAGCGCGGTGGTCGTCAGAGAAGATTCGTAACGTCGTCGGGCAATGTCGATTGCCACTCAAGACGCAATCAATGCTGCTCTGGATTTTCTGTGTTTTCTTGTTGTTTCGTCCACCGAGTCCGGGTGCTGCTACACCTCCTCTTGCCAGATCGTGTGTTGATGGTGGTGGTGGTAGTGGCTCGGCGTTGCTGCTGTCGAGGTCCTAGCCCAGAGTTTCTTGACTTCCGATCGGCCGAGTCTTTCAGGCGTCGATCATGGGAGAGTCGTGTTCCTCAACGTGACTACGATCGAAACCGCTCACGGATAGTGATTCTTCGCGATATTCCGGTGGCTTGTCGGTCGGTAGAAATCAAGAGTCGAAATCGCAGGCAGGCGAACGAAGTGCGTTGTCAAGAAGGAAGGGATGGGATGGGGGGGATGGGGGTGTTGAAAGGGTTGGTAGCGGGCGGAGAGGAGGGTGCGATTTGGATTTGGGGAGTGGGCCGCCAGGGGGAATTGAATAAAGAGGAAAGGGAAGGCGGACGCAACGCAACGCAGCGTACGCCAGCAGTATCCGTCAGGTAGCGTAAGTGCGTGTACCTCTCTCGTGGGCGGAGGCGTAGGTAGAGGAGAGAGTGCGTAAGGGCAGCAGCAGCAATAAGGTGTAAGGTGGGAAAACCGTGACTGACTGGAACTGGAGACAAGGGAAGTGGAAGGGGTCAAGGTCGATGGCAAGGGGGGAGGGAGGGAAGGGGGGGCGTGGGTGTGGACGAGGAACGGCGGGAGGAGTGAGAGTGGAAGCGCAAGGTCGCATACGCACGCTGCTTCCTCTGGCTGGTCTCCTCATGGTCGGTTTACGCGTAAGCTGCGCAACTCGGGCCAATGGCAGGGGCCAGATCGCTCCAGGGTGGGTCCCGCTCAATCCGCCCCGGCACGTACCACCGCACCACGACTCCGACGCTCTTTCTCTGTTCTGCTTCTGCTGCTGCTGCTGCTGCTGCTCTTCCCCCCTCTCCTTCCAGCGGGCAAGAGTACGGGACAGGACAGGGAAGGGCAGGAAGGAAGGGCCCGGCCAATGTACAGTACCTCCGTCCTTGTACCCAAGTACCCTTACGACGTCTACTGGTACGTACCGCCCTTCAACCTCTTCTCGCCCAATTACTCATTCGCTCGCCCACTCCTCGTCGACTCGCTCGTTCAATCCTTCAGAGCAGTAGGTACGAATCCCCAGCAGAGGACGCACACAAGGTAGGCATAGCTCTAGTGACGACCGCCTCTCTCTGCTGCAGTGCATCGTACTCTGCGTGTGTGGCAGTTGAGCAGGTAGTAAGCCGGGCCTACGTACCCGTGATTACAGTACTGCTTGGGCTCCTCCCGGTCCCAGAGCTGGACAAGCTTATCGATAGCGCTCCCGTCCGTCTCCCACATACCAGACCGGCGCCTAGCCTTTCTTGGGCTGCTCCAGAGGGTCAGATCGTGAGCTTACGGTCCATCTCGATTTGCTCTGCCCACAGAGCAACGCAAGCCTTGGCAGAGACCGACCGGAGAATGCCAGGCAGCGGCGACGCAATCCTGCCGGTGACGACGGCCGACGGGCAATGAGGGCGGAGACTGTGTAGGCCAGCACGCATCATCCCCGACGGCACTCTGGAGACAAGGAAATTGCGTTGCTGTTTAGTGTTGGTCGTGATAGTTTGGGCTCGTAACTCAGTTGCGAATCCAGACGAGGCTGGCAGGCTGCGACGACGATGGCAATGTTTCCCTTTTCTTGGCACTGACGACACGTTCTGTCGGGTTGTGGGCGATTCCCACAGCAAACATTGCGAGAAGACCCATCCATCGAACAATGGACGTTTGGGTATGGGTAGTGGTATGGCCATTTGCGAATGCCATCACCTACATACAAACACAGCAACAGATGCACACGACAACGGACGACAATCGAGACAGGCAAGACGAGCCAACTACACGGCGCTGGTGGGAAGATCCAGTCAGGAGGACTACATAGGGTAGGTTGCGGTCTGGGAAGAAGGCAGGTACCGGTACTTTCCCCACGTACCTAATTAAAGCCGCTGTCACTGGCCAGAGCCAGATCCCCACCCCCCTTCCTCTAACCTTAGTCAAGTCACACTCCTTCCTTCCTCACACACACACACACACTTTTACACACTTTTGCGCAGTGTGACAGGCGTCCGAGTCTGGCAGCCCCGAAGCGTGATGACGAGGCGTGGCTGAGGTCTATTTGCAGCGCCTGCCCCAGGCCTATCTGGGCTGCGAGCCAAGACTTTTGCGCCTCCGTCGGCGGCTGCGCGCCCGCGGATTGGCTGTCCCCATCCCGCACCTGTGGCTCAGCTGCCTCACAAAGCCTCACCCTCAGCACCACACCGCAGCACGCACGGCGCCGCTCTGTTCCCCTTCGAGGCATCTTTCCCAGGCACTCTGAGACAAGACAGACTCGACCCTCTCCGCCGTCTGTAACTGGAGCCAGAACCTTGGGGAGGGAAGTGGCCCACGGAAGAGCGCTGCTCCGGCACCAGGCGGCTGCCGGCCGTGGACGCTTACGACGAGCGTCTCCAACGAGCCTCCCCCCAAACGCTGTGCACTGGGCAGTTGTCGGTTGTTTGCTCCGTCCGCTTCATCTCACCCTCCCAGTGTCCGAGGCATGGCGTCGTAAGGCTCCCGTCAGAAGCTGCATTCCCCAGCGACGAAGCAGAGGAAGCTCGCGGCCGAGCACCGAAGCTCCGGGAACAGGTGACAGTCAAACGGCACCGTCGCCGAGTGCCGAAAGTCGAGACGACCAACTTTTTGCGAAGGCGACACTGGACAGGCGACGTGCGATTTGCGATGCGATGCGCACCGCTAATGGGCCGCTGCCATTTTCCACTTTGCGCTGGCGGCCCCTCGGTCCTGCGTCCCAATCCAGCATCCTGCGTCTCCAATCTCTCCCATCCTTCAGCCCGTCGTCTTCGCCGCTGCACATCATTGCCCCTTCGTTGCCCGCTGCTCAAGTCTCCCACATGCATCTGCAAAGCCGAAAGGTTGAACGACTCGCGTCGGCTTTGGCCACAGCAAACGTACGTTGCGGACATTGCTTTGTCAATGGTTTGCCAAAGGGGCGCTGGCTAACAGCACCGCATCTCGTCCACCCCACGAGGCACTCGCCATGTGAGACCACTGCGAACATAAAACCAACGCGCCCCTTCAGATTCGCTGCATCAACGGTAACGGTTCCCATTACCCGTAGTAAGAGGAGTTTGCTCCAGTATCGCTCCGCGACGGTTGTCTTTTACTGGCTCATCGCTGGAGGCCAGCACACCACTTCGCCTCGCCTCGACTCGCCTCTTTCGCGTCTCTGTCGGCCTTCTGGACCCCTAAAACTTTGTCTCCAGTTCCTGGCGACCCGGGTTGTTCCTGCTGGGCCTTACCTGCCTGGTCCCGGCCTCCTGTCCTGGAGCGTGAATCTCGTGGGTGGCTAGTGTGCCGCTCGGGAAACAGCTGGCCCCTCCCAGACGACGACGACGACGACGAGGTGGACGACGACGAGGTGGACGACGACTCAATTCCAGTAAAACCAGGGGGGAAAAGGTTCGGCGTAGTGCGACAACCTCTATTTCACACTCTGTTTTCTCATGCCGTCTCTTATTGGCCTCCGCTCCCATCGGCGAAAGCGTCGCAGGGGCTTGAAGCCCATTCGCAATCTACTTCAGTCAGGCACACGCTCATCGTATTCAGGTACTCCTGGCCATCGAGGAAAACACCCCGGACTCAAGGTTCTGCCTCATTCGCCTTTCCACTCAGCCTCGTTTTCCCCTCCCGGCCCTGGTCCCCTAGCTATGAATATCCAATTTAGCTGGCCACGTTTCTCTTGATCCCCGCATCCTGCTGCTGTTCTCACAGACCCGACTCGTGCGACCGTTCCTCACCCAGCAGGACGATGCTCAATAGAAACCACTGAACGGCAATAGCCTCATTCGCGGGCCCCCGATGCTGCATAGCTGATGCCCATCTTCGGGACAACCCTCATTTAAACGCTCTCTTACCTGGAGCTTCCACGGCGGCCCAGGTCTTCCCGAAATCTTCTGGGGGCCGCCCTGAACTATCAATGATAAGTTCTCCCTTCCCAAGTGATGCTCGCCCGATCCAAGTCTGATCCCACGTCAATTCCTCGCCCTCTGTTACATGAGCTTGCGTCAACGAGTGGGCTCGTCAATCGTTCTCGCAAAGCCAATTTGCCCACTGACCTCGCCGAGTGCCAACGTCCTCGTTTTCTCGACTCGTACACGCTAGATGGCTTGAATGACTTTGATGAGACGAACCAAGTAGGCTCGTCTTTCCCAGACAACACTTTCGTGAGGAAAGTGATCCTCAGGCAGCTTGATGACGAGTCAGCGGGCGGTATGCGGGAGCTGAAGCCCAAAGGTCGTCCCTACGCTGTATCCGCTCTGCGTCGTCGTCGTTGTCGTCGTGGTCAATCGGCTCAACCAAACGCCAGCTCTTGGCGTTCAAGAGGGTACATGTTTAATACCATCACGAACGACAGCAAGGATATCTGTTGCGAACAGCGTGACGACGATTCCAAATCGCACATCGTCTTTTAGGGGACCCGTCGCCCAGATACGACTCCCCAGAGTCTGGAACAGGAGATTTGATCGACGACTACGATGGCTTTTGGCGGATAGCTCAGGGTGCGCGGTCGATGCGCCGACGCCCCGGGCGTGCGCCTTAGCGGCTCAGTGACGCGTCATCCACCATGTCTCACGTCGGCTCTCCAATGGTGGCTTGCGTGTTGTTTCCAAACCGGTCGCCACCCCACATCAGACTGGACTCCTTCTCGTCTCGAACTGCCACGGAATTGCAGACGACCGACTCTTCTATTTCCCCATTTTGCACTGTTCACAAATGAGAGAGCAGAAAGATACCATTGTACAGACCCTCGAGCAAGGGGCTCGCCGTACGGGTGCCCAAGCTTCCTGCGGCCCAGAAACCTCGCATTCCTCAATCCACGTCGGATTTCGGCATGGCTGCCAAGGGGGCCTGCATTGTCGCTGGCCAATTGCACGCATCCTACCCCCCGACTTCATAGTTTGGACATTGTTCACATTCTCCGTTGATTCGAATTGTGGTTTGCTCGAGGCACAAGTGCGTATGGAATGCCTCGGCTCAGAGGTGCATGGCTGGCATCATGGAAACAAAACGGCGAAGTGGTTCGGTTCGCCGGCCGGAAGGCTCTTGGTGTTGCTGGCCTGCTTGACCAAGACACCCCGTCGATGGGACGAACGGCATCCAGCGATGTCGACATCCTATTGTGGCCCCCCAAGGCCCGGAGGGCGTGCAAGCTTTGCAGTGTACCTGGCCCAAAGGCGGCATAGCCCGATTCATCCCGGAGCTGGTCGCATCTTAGCAGTTCGACTCAGCCGGATTCCGAACTACGCGAGTTGCTAGATCAGAGGGCGAGTCCCTCCCTGCTCACCCATCATGTCTCGTCGCAAGTGCCAAGACATCGACTCGTGTCCTAGAGAGATGTCTCGCCTATCCGGGACCTCAGAACGTCAATCATATCGGACTTCGCCCCGGGCTGCGTATTCCAACGTCCTCTTGGCCCCCATTTCGCCCCTTCCTTCATCTGTGAAACCGGGTGATCACGATTCCAATGTCAACTGACAAACACCTCGCGGCTTTTTCTTAATTTTAATGACTTTCTACTTTACTCCATTACTTGTTCAATATCCCTCTCACCGCCGCCCCGAATTTGCCCCGCCCCCAAGTTCCCGGCGGACCTATCCTCTTCGTCATTACACGGCTGCCGCGCTTCGTTGGTCCAACGCTGCCAACATCCCCAGCCAAGGCCAGTCATCCCAAGGCATCTTACCGATGTCTTCCCACGTACCTGGGAGGGACGGCAGAATTTTCCACCGTCGTCGATCTACTGCTCTGTTTCTCTCCCCCTCTAGTGTAGCTAGTGCTACACCGGTCGCCAGGGCTGCTTGCGTGGTCTGACCCGGTCCTTCGTCGTTTGTGTGGAGGGAGAGGGGCCCAGAGAAGCGTCGACCGGGACGCGCGTACCATGGACCCTTCCGGTCTCTCATCCTTGCAGATCACCGCTAGAGAGAAGAGAAACTGCCAAAGCAAGACAGCTTTGGGGTTAGCGGTGTTCAATTAACCTGCCCTTAAACTGCTCTCAGCCTTTTTTTTCTTTCTTTTCCTTCTCCCCTGGCTCGCTTACGCCTGTGGGCAAGATATTAAGGTAGGTACTGGTCACCTCTGGACAAAGGGACCCGCCTGGGTTGTGAACGACAACTAGCATATCTAGACCCTTCCATCCCGGCTACATTCTTCTTTCGTCTGGTCTTTCCCATCCTGCTCCTTGGCCAATATTGACTAAGCTTGTGGTTCTTTGGCTGCCTATCCCGGCTGTGGGCGTGTGGCGGTGCCGGTGGCTCGGACTGGCAGAAGCCCACCCTGGCCACGACGCCAAGCGGATATTGAACCTCGTGTCAGTCAGGAGCTAAGGGTCCTTGAGCTGCCTGCGGCTCTCACGCCCTGGCTCTCACACCTGGCTCGGCCCTCTGGGTGATCGCCGCTGCGTGATCGTCGTTGGACGGCTTTCGCGTGTAAGTCGTCTAGGCAGCGCGGCAAGGTTTGGCGTTGTGATGACGATGACGCACGCGGGACAACGGGTCGTGGGGGACAAGCTTCTTGGACAATGCCCGTCCGGTAGGTTTGATAGCGGCTCTTGACGGCAAACCTAGACGAGGACGAGAGAGCGAGGTGTCAGCATCGAGATCATGGGGATGTGGCCCAGCTGGACGGACATTGACAAGGTGACAAGGTACTTTCCACGGCGTGAGGTTGAAGCTTAAACTCGTAAGCTCGTCCGGTGTCGGTTGTACGCGTTATGTGGGCGGTGTATATAGACATACCTACATGTATGGTTGTCTACGTACTATAGTAGCCCGTACTCTGGCCTGGTCTCAAAGGGGCATGTTGCTATGGGATCCCAGCCTCATGGGCTCCGGATTGGGTTTATGGACGTGGACTGATAGAGGGAAGCGGGCGTTGGTGCCGGCTGTCTATTTCACGCGCTATACTCTACCGGAGACCATCCAGCTACATGCCTCGCCGGCCTAAACCTCCTCAAAAGGTCCCATACTCGATGCTGTAAGCTCGCCAATGACGCGCGGTGGGGGCGGGGGTGTCTACAAGTGTGTGCGTGCAACTCACCGAGAACAAGACGAACAATGTCGGGGTCCCATCTCTGTCGACGCGTTGCTACCCTCGATGTCATGGGACGGGGGGGGGGGGGGGCTCGTCCTTTGACGAGGCGGACGAATCTCTGCCGTCGCGTTCCGTGTACAGAGTAACGTTGGACAAGCTTTTCTCGCACTTGGGTCCCCCTATCGATGGACAGGAGGACCTGATTGGAGAGGTGCTACGCCAGCTGCTAGGCCTGGCCAGATTTTCGTCCTCACCCTGACAGGTCAAGGCGGCCCGGAGGCGGGCCTCGTCGTCTCTCAATGGTGTGCGCGATGTCTCACTGGCGGTGTCGTTGCCGATACAATCACTTCCTTTGTGCCCGTCCACTGCCTGCTACTCGGAACCGAGATGCCATTTTACTTGAATACCAAAACCAACTTTTTCTATTCCGGCCCTTTTTGTTCTAACAATGAGAGAAAATACCCGGCCGCAGGGTTCTAGACCTACATGCGAGCACGTCTGCTGACACGAGCTCGCAACAAAATTGATGGAGAAAAAGAAAAAGAGCTCATGCCACGTCCTCCACTGGGCCGCCAAAACGTGCGCGTGCGCGGCCTGCGGCGTCCTCTCTACCTAGAAGCCCTCTGGCCCTCTGCTCGCTCCCCCTCTCGCTTCCTCTCTCTCCATGGCGGCGTCTCCTACCCCAGCGGGACGACCAACAAGTGTTTGACGACGTGATATTTGTGCTGGCCCGTTCAGCTCTGTATTGCCCCCGCCGTGTAAGACGGGGCACGAGGCCGAGACCGTAGATGGTGTATGCAAAAGATGAAAATGTACATTTGATAATCCCCTCCTGTCGTATCCCACGTCCCACAACCTCCTCCTCCCTTGGTCGACCGCGAGTAAGACGGGACAATGAGAAGGAGCAGTAGCACCGAGAAGAGCCGAGATAGTTGGGTGGGCTAGCCGGGATCCCCGATGAGATTGGGGAGATGAGAGAAGGACTCGACCTGCCTGGGTCATATGACGATGAGCGGCTTTGGTTCCTCGCTCGCTGCGGTCCATCTTCGTCGCCTGACTCTCTCGCTCCTCCTCTTCGCCGTCTTCCGGTGGGGTGGGCACAAGGACCCCTCTCTACCTCTCCCATTCATTGGCGCCAAAGTACCGTTCGGGAAGGTCCACCTCCCAGATCGGTCGCTCGACGAGAACAGCCTCGAGCGAGGGGGTCTTGCTGCTGCTGCTGGTGTCGGCTTCCGCGCCGTCGGCGGCGGCGGCAGGGCCGGAGGAAAGGGGCGCTATGCCCAGGATGGGGCGGTACTTGTAGGTGTACCACCACCGCGTCTTGCCCTCGGCGCCCTCCTCAGTCTGGGTCTCCTGGTTCCGGTTGCGGAGCGCCGCGAGCTCGCCGCCCTCGCTCTCGCTGCCGTCGTCGTCGCCGTCCGAGTCGTCGCCGCCGCCGTCGACGTCCATGGCGTCCTCGTCCTGGGCGAGCTTCTTTTCAATGTCGTCCTGCCACTCCTTGGAGGCCTTGGAGCCGACGAAGCGGTCGACCTGGTGCGGAACGATGGCGCCGATGCCCATGCGGGCGCCGGCGCCGCTCTCGGGGCCCCTGCGCTTGCGCTTCGTGCCGGCCTGGTGCTGGACGAGGGCGGTTTCTGGGTCCGTCGCGCCCGTGGGGACGGCGAGGTCCTGGGAGAGGTCGAGCATGAAGAGGAACGAGACGCCGTAGATCCACACGCGCGGGCCCTGCCAGAGCAGGCCCTTGGCCAGGTCGCGGGTGTCGCGGATGGTCGCGGGCAGCCTCGAGACTGGGTTGCGGCGGGACCAGGAGGTGAGAGAGCCGGCGACGGGGTGGAAGGCGAGTATGTGCCATGACGTCGTGACGGCCACGAGGGTGTACTCTGTCGTCGCGGCGCCGTCGGTGGTAGTCGTCTCGTCCGAGAAGGAAAGCACGACGGGTGGCGCCGGGAGTTTGGGCAGGAGGGACGCGCGGGGGTTGCGAACCCAGCGCTCGTCTGCAGAGGCGGCGGCGTTGTCCTCCTCGCTTGACTCGTCGCTGTCAGAGTCTGACGCGGCGTCGGCGTTGTCCTCTGCGGCGCCGTCCTGCGCGGTTTGCAGGACCCACGTATCGATGTAGCCAGCCAGGTCCGTAGCCGCGAGCATGCGGCCATCGGGAGAGAAGGCCAGCTGGGTGATGCTCCTCTCGTAGTTGCCGAGGCCGCCCAGGGCCTGGTGCTTGGGGATGTTGCGGCGGAGGCGGTTGACGACGCGGGGCTTCTGGATGGTGACGGTGTTGTCGTCGTCGCGGGTGATCTTGGCGACGAGGACCTTGGAACCTTCCTGCACGGCGGCCATCCAGCTGCCGTCGGGGGACAGGATGATCTTGCTGGCGCCGTTGGAGGCGAGGGGCTTGGGGACGGAGACGGAGGCGAGCTTCACGTCCGAGGGCTTGGTGGGGTTCTGGTGCTGGAGGTGGAAGGCCTTGACGTCGGTGCCGGTGGCGGCGACGAGGAACGAGCCGTCCTGGGTGATGGCGGCCGACGTGATGTTGGACTCACCCTTGACGAGGATGGTCTTGAGCAGCTTGCGGTTCTTCTCGAGGTTGGCGTCCACGTCGACGCCGTTGCCGTTGTAGAGCCCGTCAAACGAGCTCTGCAGCTTCCAGATGTGGATCTCTCTGTCCCACCATCCTACGACCATTCTCGCTGACGGGGCGCTGGCCAGAGGCGGCGACTGGGGAAGGCTGGAGAGGGTTCTGTGGTTCTCGCGGCCAAGCTCCTTCAGGGGCAGGACGACGGGGGAGGCGTCGGGGCCTGGATGCTTGGTTAGCTGGTGAATCGCTTGCGTAAATAAACAGAATGCTTACCTCCTGAAACGACAACGCTCATCTTGCTGCTCTCGAAAGAGGCCATGGCCTTGACGTCGTGGTCGTGGTATTTCCTGCTCCAGACCTTGCCCCATCTGGCGCCGGAGCCAGAGGTCTTCTTGTAGAGAACCGTGCGACGGTCCATGCCGCCGCTTAGGATGGCCGATCCGTCAGCGCTCGTCGCGAGACTGAGAACGTCCTGCCTGTGGCTCTGGATGCGCTGCATCTGCGTGTACGTCTTGCCGTCCCAAATGCAGACCTGGCCGGTCGAGTCGGCCGAGACGATGTCGCCGGAAGGCAGGACCTTGACGCTCCACACAATGATATCCTTGGCGCCTCCGGCCAGGTCGGCACCGAGAGCCATCTTCCGCAGCATGGAGCCGTTGCGCATGTCGTAGGCGCGGAGGGTCGAGTCGGAGCAGCCCACAACGACGACGTGGCGGGACTGGAAGGCGATGCTGACCATCTGGGCCTTCTTGGTCGGGGACTTGACGAGCAGGCGCTGGAAGCGGAGGTCGTTGTCCTCGACGGAGTAGAGGGCGAGCATGCCGTCGATGGTGCCGGCGACGAGACGCGTGACGGGGTCGTTGGGCGAGGCGGGCGGCTGGGCGGCCAGGCACCAGATGTCGCCGTGCTGGCCGCTGGCGTGGCGCAGGGGGCGGCCGGTCGAGAGGTCCCATTCGGTGACGGCGGAGGTGTAGCCGATGCTGAAGAGGCGCGAGCGGCCGGGAATGGCGTCCTCGTCGGGCTCGTTCACCCAGACGAGTCCGTCGACGGAGCGGTCTGCGCCGGAGCGCAGGACGGTCTCCTGGTGCCAGGCGCCGGCGAGCGGGTTCCAGATCTCAATGTCGCCATTGGCGCGGCCGACGGCGAGGCGCGAGAGGGCGGCCTGGTTCTTGGAGCGGGCGGACGGGTGGGAGAAGGCGAGGGCGTTGATGGCGGAGGGCGGGTAGGGGACGAAGCGGCAGCGATGGAGATCCATGGCGAAGGGGGTTGTGTGTGGTGGCCTCGAGGCCGAACGGTCGCTACTTTGTGTGGTCAATTGGGTGCGGTGAGGGAATCGCTTCCAAGTCAATGCAAGCAGAGGCGCGGCGAGGACGAGGTCGTCGGCGTGGGAGGGTGGTGAGGCTGGCGAGGTTTGGCGGTTGCAGCTTGTTTCTCTTCTCTCGTCTCTCTCGCGCTCTGCCAAAAAATTCGCGGCTGCCAAAAAGTTTTGTCGGCGGTCGGGGGATGAAAAAAATTAAGGTGTGGTCTGTGCGCACAGATGCCCCTCCACCCCGCCAGCGGGAGGCATCTGAGAGGACGAGAGGACGAGAGAGAGAGAGTGCCAAGAGGATAATTCCTTAGTGACGATGAAGGAGTTTGCTGCTCTCTACCTTGGTTGGCCTCAGAGAGTTATGCTCTTTGTCTTTGTCTTGAGAGTTAGTTTCCATTTTTCAGAGATTTTCTTTTTTCTTGCTCTAACTACATAAAGTCGCCGTCAACTTGAGCTCGCTTTCCTCCCTGTCCTGCTTCACGCGTTTGCCTGTGTCATGTCTGCTTACATAAGTCCAACAAGATCATCAGCCACTGCGGTTCCGCAACGCCAGAGAGCTCCAAAAGTGTTACTAGAGCGTCATTGGCTGCCACAACGGATGGACCCCTTCTTGCCCTTCTGCAGCGGCTAACGTGCTGGTTGCAAGCCGCTGGAATGCTTGCTGACTTGGTGTTGTGGAAAGCGCCGAACCCGTCATCCTGATGCGGCCATCTCCGTGGATCGCCTTTTGGATCCAAAGAGTCGTCTCTTCTGCTTGGAAATTTTCCGGGCCAATTCTGGAGAACGGTTGCGAACCCTTTTGGCCTCTGCCAACTTTTTTAAGTTGACGATACACTCGCTCTGATGGTGTTCATGGGATCCATGGCCCACTCCGGCCCGCCCGATCCCACTTACTGTCGTGTTTGAATCTCAACTGCGACAACTAAAACAAAACCCATGGCGTTGAAACTCCCGCAACTGATCCCTGCCAACTATCTGCCAGTGTCTTATCAATCAGTTGTAACGTACGACAAAGGCAACCTACCTAGCAACCCGAGCTTGCAGGTTTTAAGAGTGTCGTAACGCTGCTGCAGAGTCCCGCCGATTCGTCATCCTCCCTCCTTCAACCCCTCCACTTCCCTTCGCTCCCGTCCCCCCTCCCCCGAGCTTTGTCACGATCGTGCCGCCGTGACACGCGCATTCCGACCTCGCCTGCAGAGTCTTTTCGCCGATCACTCTGCACCATACATATAATTCGCACCCGCGTCACATTGCACCGGCGACCGACATCGACTTTGTTGCGCAGCCAAGCCACTAAAAGAAAGGCAAAGAAAAAAAGGACAAACCAGCGACCATGGATTTCAACAGCTCGTCGCCGTTCCCCGAGGGCGTCATATCCTTCCTGGATACCGACCTCTACAAGCTGACGATGCAATGCGCCGTCCTCAAATATTTCAAGGACGTCCCCGTCACCTATGCCTTCACGAACCGTACGCCCGAGAAGAAGCTGTCGAGGGCCGGCTTCAACTGGCTGCAGGACCAGATCCAAAGTGAGAAAAAAACACTACCCCTCCAACCCCTCCAACCCCGCCATGGCAGGCCTCGCGAGAATCACCCTCACGACTGACTCACGCCGTGCAAAACAGAGCTCGGCAACATCTCCCTCTCGGACGAAGAGTACCGCTTCCTCAAGACGCACTGCGACTACCTGACCGACGAGTATGTCCGCTTCCTCAAGGACTTCCGCCTGCGCCCGCGCGAGCAGGCCGTCGCGACCTTCCACCCCGTCGGCGACGACACGGGCGCCGACTCGGACATTGGCGAGCTGCACGTCGAGATCAAGGGCGCCTGGCTCGACACCATCCTCTACGAGATCCCGCTGCTCGCCCTGACCTCCGAGGCCTACTTCCGCTTCATGGACACGGACTGGAGCTACGAGGGCCAGGAGGAGCAGGCCTTCGGCAAGGGCATGCGCCTCCTTGAGGCCGGCTGCACCTTTTCCGAGTTCGGCACCCGCCGCCGGCGCGACTACCACACACAAGCTCTCGTCTTCCGCGGGCTGGTCCAGGCCAGCAAGGAGGCGGAGAAGAAGGGCTTCAAGGGCAAGCTCACGGGGACGAGCAACGTGCACCTGGCCATGCGCTTCGGCATCCCGCCCGTGGGTACCGTCGCACACGAGTGGTTCATGGGCATCGCGGCGATCCACAACGACTACAAGGCCGCGACGGAGCTGGCGCTGCGCTACTGGGTCGGCTGCTTCGGCGGCAAGCTCGGCATCGCGCTGACGGACACGTTTGGCACGCAGGAGTTCCTCAGGGCGTTCAGCCAGCCGGTGCACCCCATCGACGGCGACGAGAGCAAGTTCAAGACGGCGGACGGCAGCAGGATGCTGACGTACGCCGAGCTCTTCCAGGGCGTGCGCCAGGACTCGGGCGACCCGGCCGACTACGTCAAGATGCTGCGCCAGTACTACGACAGCCAGGGGATCAAGGACAAGAAGACGCTGGTGTTTTCCGACTCGCTGAACATCGAAAAGTGTTTGGAGTACAAGGCCCTCTCGGAGGCGGCGGGCTTCACGCCGACGTTTGGCGTGGGCACGTTTTTGACAAACGACTTTGTGCATCTCAAGACGGGCACCAAGTCGGTACCGTTGAACATTGTCATCAAGCTGAGCTCCGCCGACGGCCGACCGGCGATCAAGATCAGGTGAGTTGCGATCCCCCCCACGGTGGTTGGAGGCCACGCTAATCAGACTTCAGCGACAACATTGGCAAGAACACGGGCGACAAGGAGACGGTGAACAAGGTCAAGAGCCAGCTCGGCTACGTCGAGAAGGAGTGGAAGGGCGGCGACGAGACGCAGCGCTGGGGCAAAGAGGAGGACAAGGCATAGACGCGCGATGCCATTTAGAGCTTGTCTGACGACAGACCGGGGATGCAAGGAGTTTACCATGATAGTTTAGCCCGGCATTACGACACGGCCAGCAGGAGGTAGGGCCTCGATTTTGACGACCCTCAGGTATAGACTTTTTCGAGATACCTATTGATATATGACTTAATTGGGCGAAGTGCCAACAAAGGACCCAGGACGATAGCTCTTGAGTATGTTTGCAGTACTCTTCGTCATCCGCCTGCTCGCACGGACGAGGAAGGACAGCTCGATGCCTCGCCCTAGCGATCCCTGGCTTTTCTGAGGAGGAATGAGTTGCTATTGTCGATAGAAAAGCGAGGAACGAATAGGCGGATTGGTGCAGCTGAACTGAATCTATTGGGGGCGTAATTGAGCTGCTCATTATGCCTCTGGCCACCAAGCACCCAAGATAAATGATGCCTGCATGCCTCCCTTCCTCATTAGTAGTCAGAAAGAGCCCTTGAGGCAATATTTCTCGTTTGACTCGAACAGGCGGGCAATGGTCACAAATGAAGTAAGGCCGAGAAGCAACACGCAGGGAAGCTCAAGGGACAATGGCTGGACCCCGGAAGATGGCAAGAGGACATCTGCTCCTGCGTCAAAAGGTGACGTCCTTTCCTGCCATGAATGACTTGGAAGGAGAACAACTTCATCCTGCCCTCCCAATCAACATTCGCGGAAACCTCAGTACAGCTGTATGCATCGCCTCCTTCCTTCTTATCGTGCCCCCTTCATGGAAGCAGCGTAACATGGCCATCATGTCGAGCCATATTTACCTCCGTCTCTCCCCTCCCAATCTCGACCTCGTCTTCTTTTCTACACGCATCTCAACCTCCTCACCAACATCCCACTTTCACTTCAGTTTTGGCTCGTTTTCTTGGACCTCAAGTTTTGGAACCTTCATTCCCTCTCTGGCAGTGCTCGACGAAACGCATCAAGTCATTCCACTCATTCTATTTTCGTGCTGTTGAAGCAGCAGTTCTCCATCATGCGGCTCGCCGGTCTTTCGAGACTCTCGCAATGGCAGAACCAGATGGTCTTCGGCAAAGGCCTCATCGTTCTGATCTTCTTCACGGCATTCGCTGTTTCCCAAGAGCCGCCCCAGATCCGCAGAAGTAACGGCGCGGACAACCTGGCCACGAGGGACGCCATCGTCGAAGTCAGACAGCTTCAAGGCGCCCCATGGGGTCTTCCTTGGGGTATCTTCGGTGGCGGTCAATCCGCCTCACCTACCAACCTTGCCCAACCCGCCATCACCACTCCTTTACCTGCAGCTGCTCCAGCTGCTCTCAATAATCGACCACAAGGTCCTCTCGGCGGTATTGTTCAGATCAGTCCCGGAGTCATCGCCCCTTTGACGGCAGCCGTTGGAGGCGTCGCTTCTTCAGTTGCATCTGCTGTCAACGCCGGTCAAGTATCAAGCACTCTCCTCAATGCTGTGCCCTCGCTGTTCGAGCCTAACGGTCCTCTTATCCTTCCGACTGCTCTCCCTAATGGTCAAGCGGGGCAGTCTACAGCCAACGGTGGACTGATGGTTCCGGTTCAAAGTCTCGCCAACACCATTGTTGGCGTTGGAGGCAACGTTGGTTCCCTTATTCCTCTCTCTGGCGTAACTGGCGTTCTCAATCCTCTCACACAAGCAGTTGGCGGAGGTGTTCCCGTCTCGCACGTTACTGCAGCTGTCGGCAACGGACTTCCTGCCATCAACAGTCTTCCTACAGCCAATGGTCTGTCAGCGGCCGCCGGCATCATCACCGCTGCTCCCGGGATTCCACCTTCTGTCTTGTCCGTCTCCAACGGCCTCCTCAGCTCGTTACTTCTGTCAAACTTGAACGGCGTCTTGGGTTCAGTCTCAGCTATCTTGCTCTCATCAACGCCTTCGGTCAACGTCGGTGGGCTCAATGCACCTCAACTACCTGCCGACTCAAGTGGCGCTGTGCCCAGCCTTATCAACTCGCTTTCCAATGCAGTCAGTGAAAATGCTGCTCCAACTTCTACCGGCGGAGACGCTCTTAGTCAGGCTTCGATGTCTTCGGCCTCGGCTATGAAATTTCCATGCACAATGGTTGAATTCGCCAACGGAACCCCTACATTCATTTATACAACTTGTTCAAACGCTGGTCCCGCTGGATCCTTCCAGACACTGGCATTGCCAGCCTCAAGCCCGGCAGCCGCTCCAGTTCAGTCCGCAACAGTCGGTTCAATCAGCTCCCGTGTGCTCCCCAGTGCAACCACATCTTCTCTCCCCTCCGCAGTTGGCGCCACAGCCAACGTTCTTGTGTCTTCTCAAGCTACCACATTCGTCGCCTCTGGAGATCCACTGGGAAATAATCCGAAGTCCTCATCGGCTGCTGCACCTCACACCAGTGGCATGAGCACCAGTCCTCCTGGCAACACACCTCCAACCCAACCCGGGTCTGGAAACCAGGGCAATAGTGTACAGTCCCAAACCCCCAACTCGGCAGGCCAGCCGCAACCACCTACCCAGGATTCGAACGCTGTATCGCGCTCGTCCACAGGTACGTCGGAGTCATCTGCCGGGTCTTCTCTTAACTAATGTTTCTTTCTAGTTGTTCGTCCGCCTGCCAGTGCTACTCAGCCAGCCAGCCAGCCAAACGGCGGACCACCAGCCTCGCAGCCTAACCCTGCGCCCTCGAACATTATAAGCAGCCCGAGCCCTTCTCTGACTCCGTCCGGTGGTTCAATCTCCGGCATCGATGACGGACAAGACTCTTCTCCTGGCGACAGTGTCCAACCAGGCACGCCGGTCATCCCCATCTCTGATTGTCCTCCTGTCGTTCAATGCCCAGCATGTCCGGGACCTCCTGCGAAACCTCCCTTAGGCTCTTGCCCGTGCCCAGGTCGAGGTTACTCATGCTCGGAGTGTCTGAATGGTTGGTTTTGCCCCCTCAGGAAACACCAATGCAACCGGCTCCTTGCGGCATGGGTTGGCCTTGCTACCACTGCAAAGGTGGATGGTACTGTGCTCCTGATGGCAATGCCATGGCACCTGCAGCCGCCAACAACCTGCCAGTCGTCATTATCACAACTGTCACAGCTTTTGTCGTCCCCCAACCTAGTGTGGCTAGTAATGGTGGTCTTGGTGGTAATGGCAGCGGAAATGATAACGGAGAACCCAGCAATAGCCCTTCTGGAAACGGTTCCAGCAGTGTTGTTGGCAACAACGGAGGCTCTAGCAATACCGCATCAACCCCTTGTACGACAGTAGGTGGTGGCCAGCCTACGGACAATGCTGGCTCTGGCTCCGGGAATGGTTTGGGCAACGGCTCGCCTACTGACTCCAACAATGGCGCAGGAGCAGGAAACGGTCCAGGTAACGGGCAGGGGAGCCCCGGTTCTGGCAAACCTTTATCTGGCTACGGAAACTCTCCAGCAGGCCCTGTTACCGGAAATCCCAGTAACGGCTCAGGTACAAGCCCCGGCACGGCCCCAGGAGCAACAAACGGCAATGGAGCACCCGGTAGCGCTAGCCCTAACCCCTCAACTCCCGCACCTGGAGACAACGGAGGCTCAGGCTCGGGAGACCCGAACGCCGGGTCCGGCAGCGGAGCACCCGGTAACGCCGGCCCCAAAGCTGCTCCCGAAGTATCTGGCTGGACGCATCTTGGTTGTTTCAAAGACTCTCCCATTCGGACCCTAGACTGCGACCCATCCAATTACTTCGCTGGAAGCATGTCCAATGAAAAGTGCATCACACATTGTGCTTCGAGAGGATTCAGACTTGCCGGCACGGAATACGGCAAAGAGTGCTGGTGTGGCAATGCATTCCAGCTTGCCGAACGAATCCCCGAGGAGCAGTGTAATGAGGTTTGCGATGGACGTTCCACCGATATTTGTGGAGGTGACTGGGCTGTCACCGTCTACAGTGCTAGTGGTCAAGCTCTAAACGTGCCGTCCGATGATGATTCTGGCAACGGCGCCGACAATAGTGCTGGCAATGGCTCTGGCGGCTCAGGTGGCTCTGGAAGCACAGCTGGCTCAGATTCACCACCACACCCTTCCCCAGCTGGGCCGCCTGCTCCCTCGGGGACGCCTCTTCAAACACCCCCCCAAAGTCAGCCATCCGCGCCCCCCGCGGGAAACCCACACACTACCCTTACGCCTCCACCATCGCCCAACCCACCGCCGCAGCAGCAAATCGACTTGGCATCCTTGATTGAGAGCATCATCAACGCTCTTCCCAAGGGAAGCCCTGATGGTGGATATGGCAGCAGTGTAGGAGTAAGGAACTCCGGGGCGTCTGGCAGCAATGGATCTGCTGCTCCAGGTGATTCCGGCGTTCCCGACGCCGGTAAGGAAGGTGCGCCGGTGATGGGACCAGGCCCTGTCATCCCGACAGATGGACTCAGCGGTTATGGTTCCCAGAAGCGGGATATGGCGGGTCGGAGCTTGAAGCGGAGTAGCATCATAGGTCGACGTGCGGTCGTAAAGTTCGATGGTGCCAAATGTGGCGACGAAGCAGGTTTGCATGATGACTATGTGGTCGGAAAGGCGTGATGATTAGAGGAGGGTGCTCATGTTATCACGACCTTTGCCATGATGTATGAGTTATGATGATTGATGCTGGGTGTTGTCAACACTGGCGTTGAAGGTTTTAAGGAGATAGGCCCACGCATGAATATCGCCCGAGTTTAGATAGTGTAATCAAACATGGCTTTGGCCGTTCATCTTTGTTGGTTTCTTCTCAATGAAACTCCGGTGCACTTGGCAGCAAACGTGGTTGGCCCCACTGCCAGTGACACCCGACTGGCAAGGCCCATGTTGCCTGATCTTCCGAGTAGGCCGCATTGTCGGCGTTGAACACAGTGATTAGCCATGGTGTCTAGATCAAGGGAAGTGATGGGTCAATTTGGTAGAAACAACCCATTCTCTTGCGCGCAAGCTGGAAGTTATACTGAGACTTGGACTGCTGTATCAGGTGCGTCAATCAGCTTATACACTCACGAGGGTTGGCTGTGTGGAACGTAGTAAGAGTTGCAGTACTGCCGATTGAGTCGACGTGATAATTAATATGTAGCTATCTCACTATGCCTTCATTGCCATATGCTTAAATACAGTTTCCGCTTTCAATACAGAATGGATATCTCTTGCTCCTTTTCTCGTCCTGCTACTGCTCCGCTTCACAAGCTACCTTTAGACCGTGTCATGAATACCGAGTGTTGTGTTGTTTTGGCGATTGATGTGGGTGGGAGGGGCGTTGCGAATTGAATTCGTTATGTCTATCGGCCGTTGCATCGTGTTTGGGCGCTGGTAGCCTGGACATGTCTGTTCCTTGCTTCCGTGCCTCGGAACCGCAGCGCATTAAATCTGGAGAGCACCAAATGTGGCGGCGGACAGGAGGAGCGCGCCGATGGTCAGGCCCAGGGTGCTCACGCCGGCGGGGGGGTGCAGACCGCCCGCGGCAGCATTGGGCGACGAGGTCGAGCTGGCGCTGCTCCCGCTGCCGCTGGCCGTGTTGCCGTTGTCGTCGTCACCGCTGCCGGCACCGCCGGAGGCGACGACACTCGCTTGCGCGGACGCGGGGGGCTGGGAGTTACCGGTGGCGGTGGCGCTGGCGTTGACGTTGCCGTTGTCGCGGCAGAAGACGTCGGTGTAGCCGGCGCCCTGCTCGAAGAGGCAGTCCTGGAGGTCCTTGATGGACTGGTCGAGGGCGAGGCAGTAGAGGCCGCAGTTGTCGTAGTAGGCGACGACGTCGGCGTCCTTGCAGCAGTTGGACATGATGTCGGTGTGGTTGCCGCCGTAGGGCATCGCGCACACGCGGTCCTGGTTGGGGGTGTCGTAGAGGCTGGAGGTGCAGACCGAGGTCGACGAGGGGATCGCCGAGGCGGCGGTGCCGGTCGTTGCTGAGAGGGCGGTGGAGGACATTGTTACGGGTCAGAGGGGGGTTTGGATTAGGATGTTAGGATTGGTATCGTGATTGTGTTGGCTAGGATATCTTGGTGTTGAGAACGGCAGTCACAGATGAGGCAGGAGACCAATCGTGGAGAGCAGACGGGGGGAACAGTGGGAATGGAAGCAGAGGGATCGATGGGGTTTTTGTTTACAATCCCAAGAGCTTCTTTTCTTTTCCTTGCTTCCCAGTTTCCACCGGGGGTGCCAGTCCCTTGGTTTTCGTTACTCCATTGTTTCCGTGTTCAACACGAGCGACGCCGTCTCTCTTTCTCTCTCTCCAAGGAACTCCTCCCAGATCCTGATGGCTCCAGTCTGACGTGTGACAACAAACGAAAATGCAAAAGGCTAAGCAAGCCACCCCCGGCAGTGCCCCAGCGGGAGCCCAGCACCCTAGCGAGCTGCAAGCCCAGCAATGCCTGAAAAAACCTGCAGCGACTCGCTCCCTCCCTCCCTCTCCCCCGCGGGCGGCGATCCTATTAATATCGGCGCCGTTGATTGGGAGACTGCCGGGGTCTAGCGTCGTACCCGATCCCCCGTAATGGCGTGGTCCAAGGCCGGAGGAGGATTTTGTGTGGAGACGGCGTGCCTTTCTCGTGGTTTCAGTGGAGAAGAGGAGAAAAAAAAGGAAGGGGGAAAGAAAGTCGCGTTTGGAGGCTCTGGCGGGCCAAGCCGACCGCGTCCAACGTAAGGGGGTCAGCTACGCTACCGGTACTAGGTAACTGAACTTAGCACAGCCACGGCTGCCCGGCAACCAGGTTTTGTTGGTTGGGTGGGAGGCGGGGGGGAGCTGGATGCTGTGCCACCACCGGATTCTCTTGGTGCGAACAGCCAGGCAGTCGGGTTTCCATCCCACCGGTCGAGTTCTATCGATGTGAGGGAGCCGGTTCCCTTGTGCACCGGGGACTGCGACAGAGTGTGTCGAGTTGAGGAGCTGTGATGGCTGTGGCCAATTGGAGAGTGGCTAAGCTGAGAGGGTGAGCGTCATCTGAGACTTTTGTCGAGCCTGCATGTCAGCTGCGTGGTTGGCCAGAGTGGCATCGCGATCTGCCGATGCGCCGAGGACTTTCGATACAAGGTTCTCGAAACCATGATGGCCGTGGTAACGGCGTTGGTAGAGCAACACACCGCTCTCCCGGTGTTGCGCGTGCATCCGGGCTACCCAACTCGACCTGTCGGAGCTGTGGCCGATATGAAAGAGCGGAACAGAGTCCAATCGGGCGGCCTTTGTGCTCTTCTAGACATTTGCCTCCGGGCGGTGATCATGTGCTGTTGAGCCCCGCAGGATGACCACCCGGTACCGGAATCGGGCCCAAGTGGGGCGATTTGACTCTCCGGTCCGGCCGTGGACTTCTGGCTCGGGAACGATTTTGCAACCTTACGTGGATATCCTCAAAACGGTACTTATGGGTATATAAGGGACGAACTGGCAACCAATCGGGCTCCACGACTTTGACAACCTTTCTCACCATCCGCGCGACCTTGGCATGAGTGCAGAAACTTTTACAAAATGTTTCGAGGCACACCCGCCTGATGGCTTATTCTAGAACAAAGTTCCGGGTTATCCTTTGACTAATCGGCATCTGTTATACCCAGCGCTTGGTACCCCTTTCTGACGGGCCAAGCATGATGGTTCTTCCAGTCTCCCAGAATTCCCATCAAGGCCGCAGCCTCCCAAGGATCGTTAAAGTAATCACCATACAACATGATCCCCATACCTGCAGTTGTTAGGTTTGGCGCAGCCCTTGGGTGATGCAGAGCTAGGCCACAGAGCTCCAATATCATGGCCCGGACTTGATGTTCGGCATCTCTTTGTGCTCGCCTGTTAGATCCCTGACGACTGCGCAAACGTGAGCACACTTTAGCTATACTAGTAACTCGTAGAGCTGAGGATGGGTTGTTGTGCAGGAAGAAACATCAGGAAAGGGAACGCTTACCACAAACTGGGATCTTCGGCGACGAGAATCATCTTGGCCAAGATGAAATGTTGCAGAGCAGTAACCTCGACGTCGGACGCGTACCAGATCAGAGGAAAGATCTCACCCTGCGACCGGTTCGCTGGTCGCTGCATTATGGGTATGAATTGGCGTGCGCACTCCAACGCCAGCCCTTCTTTTTGGCTTCTTAACCTCTCTATGCCCACGTTAGCTGGAAGCCTATCCAGTGCGTTGCCGGCCAGGGAAAGCTTACCCCACTCCGATTCCAGCCTTTCTCCCATCTTCCACTTGGCGACCTCCGACATGAACCAGATGAGCTGATTCGCAAAAGAAGCCTCGCGCCCCTGATCCGGCTGGGCGGTGATTTGCGGTGATCGTCCCAGCGTCAACGCGAAGTATATTTCCTGCCTCACGGCGACCCAGTACACGGCGCTCAGCAACCCGGACCATCGCGACGGCGCCGCCCGTAGTATTGCCTTTGTGATGTCGAGAAAGTTGACATTGTTATTGCCGTTCCCGTTTCCCGAGTCCGAACTGCCCGCGCTCTGGGCGTCTTCCGGGTCCATCTCCTCGAACTGGCGAAGGATGAGGGCCGCCGCCGCCAGGTTCTCGCGATATTCCTCGTCTTGGGTGCGAGAGACTTCATGCAAGGCGGGTATGCAGCGGAGCATATACTCAAATGCACTCTGCGGTGTCAAGTCGGGCAAAACCTGGTTCAGGTACACAACGACGCCTCCTGGTTCCGGCCGGAATTTTGGATGCCGGCAGAGATGCCGCGCCGCTACTGCGAAGACGGCGTGACGAAGGGGCTGGCATTGGCGGGCGCGCCTGGCTACAACCAGCTGGAAGTGTCTCTCATCATCGCAGAGATCGAACTACACATACGGTTAGCAATGTACTCCTTGTACCCATCTGTGGGGCACGTAACCCATGGAGAGAGTTCTTCTACGAAGTATCGCAGGAGACAGGCTTCTTGGATGCCATCGGTTGGCTGAGTGGTCTGGATACTTCCGAGAGGCTCGTGGTCTCGGGTTGTGGTGTGGTAACTATCCGCCGATGGAGAGAACTGTTCCCCTCCTTGGCGTATTGCTTGTGGACTGCGTATTGGGATCTCGTCGTCTCTTGACCGGACTCTACCAGTCGTTAATGTTGCGTTGGACCAAGGAGAGACACCAGATGCGCCCGAGCCTGCTGGTGAGACTGGGAAAAAATAGTCCCCGTCTTGAGGAGACGATATAGTTCTTCGTCGTTTAGACGGCGTTGGTAACGGACGAGCCTCATCAAGCCTCTTTTCGTGGTTTGTGACATGTGGGGCCTCGGGTATGTTACGTACCGTCTCGTGCAAGACACTGCTTGCAGAGATTTGGGTGTCGGGTAGTGATGAAGCGTTGCTAATAGGCGAGTCGTTGCTGACGTCTTTTCCTAGAGTTGCTGTCGCTGTGTCGTTGGACCCTCGATTATCAAAGCGGACTTTGGAAATGTGCATCAGCCCCAAGCAAGGTTGAAAGTTTATACAGAGAAGTGGACTTCTTGATAGAGAATACTCACAAGCACGTGGCCTGCTGTTCACCCAATGTTGCTCCCTAGAGAAAGCACCGTCGTAGTTTGCGGTTGAGCCCTGACGAAAAGATGACCTTCTCTCAGGACGATGGCATTCAACACCACGCTTCTCACATCGTCCACAACGCGGTTGCTGGTCGTCGCCTGCGGGTTTGAATGCTGATTAGAACACAACAGAACTCGGACGACTTGCCAAGGTCAAGGGCTGAAGGCATCCCAGACGACTCCAAAGCCGGGAATAGCCTCAACCCCAAAAGACAAACGCGAATATAGCAACTCAACTCACACTTCTCATGCCTCTCTGTTTGTCCCAGGATTAGTTGACGTCAGAGCAGTGGGCCTGTCAAAGGTCACGCGACCGAACAGAGGCGCGCTTGGGCACATACCTTTGCATCTTGCGCATGGCTTCGTAGCGCTTGGCATCTCCTGTGGGTTACGCGACGCTGCTGACGCAGAATGACCACGGGGTGCTTCTTGGTAGTCAAGGTTGAGCCTGACGCTCGTGCTGCCGTCGCCGGGGGTTGGGGTGTCGGCTTCTGCTTCGAACTCAGATGGGAAAGTCTCGCCTATGATGTGCTTCTCGCGCTGATGGTCCGTGGTTCGTGACTGTGATGGTGGATGCTGGTGGCGGGGGCTAGGATAGGCGGACGAAAGAAGAATAAGGAAAAAAGGAAGCGGAGCAGCCGCATCGGCGGCGCTTCCTCAAAGAAGTAATTTCGAGGCGACGAGGGGCTCTTGGCTGGTTGTGGGGAAGAGCTCTCTGTCTTCGCCGATGCATCCGTCCGGTTCAGTGAAACGTGACCGACGCGAGCAACACAATGTCCACAATGACGAACGTGCTTGAACCACTCCGGAGACAAAGTCAGAAGATTGCGGTGTAGTTCTTCATAACAACTAGGACCAACCGGCCTTATGTGTGCAGTTTACCCCGCACCCCAAGCCATCCTCCCCCGCAAAACGCCGCCGGCTCTGATGCTGATCTAAACCTGGGGATAAGAGTCACGGCTTACTCGTTATGGTAAGAAGCGCCGAAGGAGATCTCGAGTTTTGCATCGGGTAGGAGAATTTGCGAGACTCCAGACCGCCGAGAAGAAGATGGCGTTCGGAGTGATGGGTCGAGCAGTTCAGACCGTGTCTTTTTGCTACTGAGAGTTGCATCCGATAGCCAAGAATGGTAAGCACCGCCGATATTAAAAGGGACTGGATATCACCTTGTGCTCCTCAAAGCTGGCGCTCTGGCATTACTCTTGTCTCTATCCCTACCTTGACAGATTATTGAGACTCTGGAACTCAATCGATTCTCCCGTATACCGAATCTTTCTCCCACATCGTTTAAACCACCCCCAAAACAGATAATCTCACAAAATGTCCGGAGAAAAGCTCAACGTTGCTGTCGCTGGTCTCGGCCGCATGGGTATGTCTCGCCCTTCATTCTCCCAAGGGGTAGCTCCCGGGAGAGCTTCCCTAGATTCGAGCTCAAATCCGAGATCGAACTTTGTGAAAAGCGTTCTCTTTACTGACCTGATGGGTCCCAACAGGTCTCCGTCATGCCAGACACTTTGCGACCTTGACACCAAAGGCCAACCTCATCGCCGTTAGCTCGCCGGTCCAGGCCGAGCTTGATGCTGCGGTTGCCGAGTTCGGCCCATTGAGGACATACCTAGACTACGATGAGTTGCTGCGCAAGGAGTCGACGTTACAGGCAGTCATCGTCGCAAGCGCTACCACGGTACATGCGGAACAGGCCATCAAGGCCATCGAGAAGGGTCTCCATGTTCTCTGCGAGAAGCCCCTCAGCACAAACGTCGATATTGTATGTTTGGACCCTGTCATAGCCCGTTTGAGGTCCACTCGCGACATTAACTGACCCCAATGCACATAGTCGCAATCTGTCGTCACAGCATATGAGAAGTCTCTGATCAAGAACCCCAGCCAGAAGGTCATCTGCGGTTTCTCCCGCCGGTTCGATGCATCTTACCGAGATGCTTACCAAAGAGTCGCGCGCGGTGACATTGGGGCGCCATCCGTCTTCCGCTCTCAGACGTGCGATAAGCTTGACCCCTCAGGGTTCTTCGTTGACTACGCTGAGTTCAGCGGTGGCATCTTTGTTGACTGCTCCATTCACGACATTGACCTTGCGCTGTGGTTTTTCGGCGAGGACAGTGTTGTTAAGAGTGTCGCAGCGATTGGCATCACGGCCGTCCAGGAGGGGTTAAGAAAGCACAACGACAGAGACAACGCCGTTGCAGTCGTCGAGTTCTATGTAGGCGGATTCCCCGAGACCCGAGGCGAAACTCGAGCTAACCACCCGCAACCACAGGGCGGCAAGATCGCACAGCTCTTCTGCTCCCGGATGATGGCTGCCGGCCAGGAAGACACCACCGAGATCTTTGGCACCCAGGGCAAGGTCGCTGTCAACACGCAGCCGCAGCTGAACCTCGTCAACCTCTACGAGCCGACGGGTATCCGCCGTGAGATCCCGCCCGACTACTATGGCCGATTCCGCGAGGCTTTTATCACCGAGGCTAATGAGTTTACGGCATGCTGTCTGAACAACACGGAGCCGCCGATGAAGCTCGTCGGCGCCGTCAACGCTGTCAAGATCGGCTGCGCGCTTCAGGAGAGCTTGATCACGGGAAAGAAGATTGAATTTGACGAGACGGGCAAGCGTATTGAGAGCGCCCGGTTGTAAAGGGGGGGGGGGGTGGGTTATATATGGGTTCTTGGACCAGAGTAGATGCAGACGCGCGCATGTTTGTGACGTCACTGAGAAAGACTCACCTTGATGAATTGATGATGTTCTAGATCATTACATTTGAGCCGCATGGAGGTCATTTGAGCGGTGCAAATTGTTTGCTATAGAACACGACGTGTTTCTTTCGTTATTATGTTTTTTCTTGTCCTTTTTTCTATTTTTTGGGTCATATTGGATAGGTTTTGTCACAATACCCTCCGCGTATCGCGCAGCCTCGTGGGATTTGCGCTGGGGCTGGAATAGCCATTAGTCTAGCCCCTCCAAGCCAGTTCACTACGCAGAATACGCATTTACATGCTCTAGGCAGCGCAGTCCTACACATAGATATTTAAGCTGTTTTCTTCTGTTTTTTTTTTTTAAATCTCGTAGTAACTTCACAACAGTCATAAGACTAGCTTATACTATACCAGCCTTCATAATATATGATGCTTTTGTTTAGACTCTGTAGCCGCTGAATTGCAATTTAAGATAGGGGCCGCCTAGCTGTCTTACACTCCTTTAAGTATAGTATTTCGAATGTGCTATATTTACCTTGCCGCCCTGCTAAATACTTTACTGCGAATTGGAAGATGTAGACATGACCCTTACGTAAGTACCGCTTTTTCCTGTTACAATATCTGTAGCCAAGCCTATAACAGAGTACCGCTTGTATCTTTATCCTTTTAACGATTGCAGTAGCAGTCACATCCGCCAGTAGCACTGCTGTATTGCTCTTCAGATTAGCTTAAATCTTTATAGAAAACTTGGTTAAACTTGCTTATAATACGCTTGAGTGTGTGATGCTACGAATGGTGTGTTACTGCGACCAGTACCAGCGCCGCACTACAAGCAAATAGTTAGCCTAAGACGAGCGATAAGTATGTTATTACATGCTAGCATACCGGTTGTTGACCACATCTATTCTGGCATTCAGTAATGTCTTGAGACGCGCAGTTGTTTGGCTGCATGCAGTTAGCATCTGTGCGCAAGTATTTGAGTTTGTCGGTATACCTACTCCTTTATAGTCATCGTTTGGGTAGCAATATAGTACGACTGCAGTAGCCTGAGAAGCTATAGCTGCACTGATAAGAAGCTTAGTTAGCTGCATCTCTTAACAAACAACTCGTGCCCTAGAGATAACTTGAGGAATAATCTGATAAGTAACAGTTTAGAACATGTTGCAGTAAGGTGAGATGTCAATGGTACTTATACATTACGGCCCAACCAGTTGTGGTGCTGGCCGGCATAACTATATAGTGCAGAACAGGGGGTCATGATTCAGGTGCATCATTACCGAAGCCTTTGCTTTGTGATGCAGTTAGTTGTCCTGACTAGCTTGTAACGTTATGTTAGTTTAGTTGATCTTTATCCCGTGGGTTGATAGAAAAACTTTAAAAACTATATATCCACACTCATGCTCTGTTTTGCTACAAGAACACCGCTCACCGAATTATTCTGTCAGAGGACAATTCGGCTGGGCCAGACATGCCCAGGCAAGGTGGACCTCCTGCCTAGATAAGCAATGTTGGCAGCTGTCACCGATCATTGTGACCTCCATAGTCCGCAACTGCTGGCACGTGTAATTCCACATGTCCACAGAGTATTTAGTCAGTCTTCAGCTTGACCGTTAACTAGAGAAAGGCCAACCATGAGTACCTACTAGTAGCTTGACCTATCATTGCCTGTGTTACTTCGTGTTACTTGTCTTGTCTGCTTGCTTGCTTGCTCTTTTATTGCTTATTTCATTGTTACTCTGCGTCACTTTGCAATGCCGCCGTGCTATCCGCTCGGCACTCCAACGCAGCTTATCCTACCTGTCCGATCTAGAACGGCTGCCAGGAGGACTGTGTCAACAGCAGCCAAGCATGCAGCACTGGCAGACCTTTTGGGTTCGTGACTTAATTTGTTATTGTGTGGCGCGGTCACTGTCGGCCCGTCTGTTACATATTAATTAGTCCCTAAGGTCTAAATATACTAGCCTGCCTGTTGGAACAACACCATTGCATGACCGTACGACACGCATGATTGAAGGACACAAAAGGGAAGAGAGCACAGACTGGATACTCGGCCCTCGGTTAATTATCTCAATGGGGGAATCAAAGTAAGTTTGGACCGAACTGACTCGTGAAGGTACGAGATCATATATCTGCTCATACAAAAGCCAAGTCTTGTAGTTAGAAGAAAAAAATCACGGACAATACATCTCTGGCTCACACTACTATTTACCCCGCGTTCGATCATATATGCGCGTTCTCTTAAAAAGAGAATCTATTCAACACTACACCGTAATAAGAGTTTCTAAGTTTTCTAGTACCTTATAAGATATTTTAAATCATATCTTTGGCAGCTTCGGCATCTTATCGTGTGGTTTTAAGTTTTACTAATTATTTAAAGTTATCCCACCTAGAAGCCCACACCTGTATGATCAGGGTCAATACGAAACCCACTAGCCTGCTGGCTAAATTAGGTGGGTTTAGTCATTTACAAGCCCACGGGCTGGTGCAGTTGAACTCAGTCGTTTCTGGTCTGGTTGCTTCAGCAGGGTTTAGTGGTCTCGTTGCGTCTCTTCCATCGCCTTCAGCTGCTAGTAGTCCAGACTATCAAGCCAGCTAACCGATAGATTATGGACTAGACCGGTACCCTTGAGGGCAGAGGACGCAATGGGCTAGTACTCCGCTCCTCTAAGACCAAGCATATCCAGAAAAAACAGCCTGGATCGCAGGCATGGATATCTCAGATCAAGTATGTCTCTACTGATTGACGCGCACTTCCGTTTCTTGTAGTTGTATCTAGAATATCAGCCAGCCAGACAGTGAGGAAGCCAGCAGTGGAATGCGGCCGTATCTGAGGTCTCATGGTTAACCCCGCGTAAGTCTGCTGGCCTACAACGCCAGCTACACTAAACTATACAACCAGCTTACGCGGAAAACCCGAGAAATCTACACCCAACGCTACCTATCTAGAAAGGTCCAAAAGGACCAGGATCAACATCCGTAGCACAGCTGTCTCATACCGGATGATCTGCTAGGACATAGCAACTTTTGCCACAGCTAGCTCCCGGCCTCCAAAATGTGTGGCTGGAAGCACGCCTTGTAGACTTGAGAGTGGGACAATAATTACTGTATTAGAATGGTTGGCTCATTCTCTCACAACTACTCTTGACCGGAAATGCTTTCGCATTACTCACGCCTTCCCCGAACGATAAAAGGGTAGAGGATGTTTCTAGCACCTTCTTTTCTGTTCAAGTTATGAAGTTTAGGGGTGTATATTACGACCCAAATCCGGTTGGTGACTAGTGTAGCCTGAAGTGAACCCCGGAAGCGACCAACAGGGCAGTCAGACATTCAAGTACACAGGCTAGCGGCACAAGCCAGGTTCAGAACAGAGGAACTACGGATGGTTACGTGATGGATTAGTTAGATTATAAGTGATCTAATATAATCCCTTAGCTAAGATTACTAACTAGTAACATTAATTTAATACTAAGTAATAAAAATAATTTAAAGGAATAATCTAAGATATAAGAATATTTATTTAAAGTAAATGAAAACCTTTTATAGCTTTTTAGTAATTGACTTTATGATTTATTCTCTTATAAGTAGCTCTTAGATTATCTTCTTGTTATAGAGCCATAAGCTATTTACGCCTTAAAGTACCCAATTAATTACTAGACACTCACAAACTAGCAAGATTACCAACAAGACTTACTTTACTTTTATTAAGTATTGACCTCGGCTACCTGTTAGCAGAAAACACCACTGTCGGATATCTGACCGTAACAGTGTATAGGTGTCGACGTAGCTATAACATGTAAGCGATGCGCTCGGTAATGGCTGTTTCATCGAAATGCTTTTCGAGGTGCATGGTGATTACTGAACCCATCGATGCAGGGTGGTCAAGTTTGTTAATGACTAGACTCATTGTTTGCTGCTTAGACCCATGATTAGATACGTAGCTGGAAGCCTGCTGCTCTAGCCATCTTTTTGTTTTACCTTTGACCTTTGGCAATGAGGTGGTGACCATGTCTTTGTAACGGCTATTAGGCTGCGGTTTGATTACCTTTTCTGTCCCTAGTTATTGGATGGTCACAGTTTTAGTGCAGTTTATGCGGTTACATATAGGGCATGCACCATTTTCAGACCAGTGCTACTTGAGGCTTGGAGGATGGGATTGTCAGCAGTAGGGGTTACATTAGTCCTGGATGGTGCACCTGTCTAATTACAACGGTACTTGCACCTACTAAGACAGGGTTAAGCCGACGCGGCTGCAACGTATATGTTATCTGCGCTAACCATTTTACTGATGCGGTAGTCTTTGCTGACTTGGAGTACTGATTTTCTCCTGTAAGTCGCTAGGGAGCCTCAGATGTAGCTCTTAAACCGAAGAGCAGAGAAGAACCTTGTTCTTTTAGACCTAACCTCCCGTTGAATTGCTGGCCTTAGTACTGTGCGGCTTCTCTCTTCTCTGAGTTCAAAGTTTAGGTAATCAGTACCATTTTGGAGTGCGGCATACTTAGCTTACGTCGAGTGTCGACTCCATGCAACAGGATTGTAAAATAAGCAGGTGAGGCCTTTAAGGTTCTTCGGCTCCAATTACTGTAAGCTTGAAGAAGCGCATGCGTCAGGTGACTACATTAGCCAACAGAACTGAACTTTTCCCCCAGTTTTCGATTCTACCTGAACTGCTTGTAACGGAGCTGTACTTGCGAGCCAAGCATCATTACCAGCTCCTCCACGGTAAGAGATCCGGCCACTAATTACAGCACCATAGGGGTGCTCACCTACTTCTCTCTTATTGATTGTGTATGTTCCATATTGTACGTGTCGCAATACCCTTACGCGCATCGCACAGCCTTGCGAGATTTGCGCCGGGCCGGAAAAACCTTTAGTCTGGCCCCTCCAGGCCAATTCACTACGGAGGATATTATTAAAATGCTCTAGGCAAAGCAGACCTGCACGTAGAAATCTGAGCCGTTTCCCTATGTCTTTTCCTACCCCAGTGTTGACTCTGCAACAGGCTCTATGATCGTGGGACCGACCTCCGCGATTTGGATGCTGTTGGGTGCATTGGAGTTTGGGGGTGTTGTGTCTGCCTTGATACAGATTACAACCAGATGCGCAGTGGTCTAATGACGTAGTCAAGCAAATACCCTGTCAGTGAACAAACAATTGATGAGGTTTAGCAGATCGGTTCGTTAATACATTGCGGCCGTCCTTGTCGACATTACGGTCTCCACTGGAGCTGTAACTAATCAAGCAATCGTGGGCGTCTTGGTCAACAATCATGATGTCTTACAATTGTATTACCTAAGAATCAGAGGCTGAATCGGGTAATTACCTATTTGGGAGGGAGTGGGATCGGAGGAGGGATTGTCCTTGGCAATCCGCGTGCCTGAATTACCTTGTTTGGATGTGCATTCATTATTGGCTGCATAACAATAATGCAACCCGCGGGCTCTGAAAGGGCAACCTGTTCCTAGCAAAACTTGGGTTTGGCTGATCTCGTCAGAGGTTGACCAGATGACTGGTTGAGCTCTTTCCTCTCCGATGTTGGGGTGTTCCCCATTCTTTTCAATCCAGAGAATATGCTTGCTGCCTGTGTTTAAGCCCGCGGATTATGAGTTTGGTGATGGCTATTTGTTCTCTCGTACACTAAAAGAGGTGAGGAACGAATACCGGTGTTCGCAATGAGCCTCCACACCCATTAAGCCAGTGCGGGACTTCATCCCGAAACACTGGCAAACGCTCAGTAGTTGCAGACAATCGTCTCTACGGGTCATGGCGTCATAGGGTTGATGAAGAGCCAACTAACAATCATCCTGAATTGTTGCCAAGTTGACCGCGATACCCGTAGCCCAGAAAATCGCCAAACCTGGTTGGGCAGGGCGGGCTGTCATCCATCTCTCGTTGATCGTTCGTCAACGCAATGCGTGACTCCTGTGTCTGGCCAATCGGCTGCCCTTGTACAGAATTCCCTGGCGTCTCAGAAAGTGTGAAAGGCGCTATCCTAAAATGGCCGCTAGTGTCAGAAGGCGACTAGGGCCAAAGCCTCATCGCCGACGAGTTCCTTAAGAGGAAACCTCGGTCAAAGGACCACTGATGACGCCCAGCTGCAGGCCACCCAGGGGCCCAGTTGACCTGCCCCCCTGTCTTTTTCTCAGCTCTCCGTCCACTCTTTGTCCACTTTCCTCACCATGACCAGACCGAACTTGACTGCTACACAATGCGAGTTGTCCCCTCTTCCTGCTCTTCGCCGAAAGGCTCGAAGGTTTACTTGGGGCTCCACCGCAATGCTTCCCCGTGGGGGAGATGCAACTTGAAGTCCGTGTGTCCACTATTACTGAGGAGGTTAATGCTGCTATCGAATCGCCTGGAAATGACACCAGCCCTGCAATGAACCTCGACACCCTCTCGCGCTCACTCACTCATACGCCCCCCTAGTCTGAGAAAGGATGGGTCCCGACAGAAACCCGGTTCTTGTACTGTCCTGATCTTTACGACTCAAGCTGTTGTATACCTCACCCTCAACAGCAACCCCAGATTCGTATTAGTATATAAAGTCTCTTCACCTGGCTTGACAACCCCATCTTCGTCTGATTTCAAAACATCAGCTCCCCAGATACTACGCTCTGTAGTAGCGATCGCGGACCCGAATTGCTTCCTTACCTCTCAAGACGTGCCACGACGTCCAAACATGGCGCCCAGCCCGGACTCTCTGAAAAAAGTCTCGAGCACCGACAATGCTCATGGCGAGCACGTCGAGGACTCCATCGACAACGTCGAGATCAGCCTCAACCCCGCCGAAGATGTATCATACGGCCGGACCGGCTTCCGTGGTCTCGCCGACTCACCTTACGTCGGCGGCGCCGCCCTGTTGGCTTCCCTCGGCGGCTTCTCTTTCGGATACGACCAAGGAGTCATTTCCATCATCAACGTCATGGACCAGTTCCATACTGTCTTCCCTCAGGCTGCCACACCCTTTGGTAAAGGTTTCATGACGGGCATGCTCGAGTTCGGCGCCTTCCTCGGATGCTTGTTTATGCCCACGCTTGCGGACAAAATCTCCCGCAAGAGGGCGCTCGCGGTTGTCGTGGTTATCTTCAACGTCGGTGCCATTATGCAGACTGCGTCCCGCTCATATGGCGTCTTGGTCGCCGGCCGAACCATTGGAGGCATTGGAGTTGGAACCCTGGCTATGGTGAGTGAAAGTTTGCTTCTCAAATACCAACCAGACCACCGTGAGAATATGCGCGCTGACACTTGTGACTGTAGGGCTCACCAATTTACATCTCTGAAATTGCTCCGCCAAATCTGCGAGGCACTCTGCTCGTCCTCGAATCCATCTCTATCGTTCTTGGCGTGGTCATTTCATTCTTCATCACCTATGGAACCCGCCACATGGCCGGCGAGGCCTCTTTCCGTCTCCCATTGGGATTGCAGATGGTTTGCTCAACTCTACTCGGCATTGGCATCTTCTTCTATCCATACTCCCCGCGTTGGCTCGCACTCGTCAACAGGCCTCAGGATGCCCTACAGTCCCTCGTGCGCCTCCGCCGACTGCCTGCCGACGACCCTCGCGTTCAGGCTGAACACAGGGGCATCATCACCGAGGTCGAAGTGCAGAAGATCATGCAGGAGAAGCACCACCCTGGTAAGAAGGGCCTGATGCTCGAAGTTGCAGGCTGGTTGGACCTCTTTTCCCCAAAGCTTTGGCGCCGCACTGCTGTCGCCGTTGGCATTGCATTCTTCCAACAGGTAAATACAATCCTAACCACGCCATGAGTCCATAACGTTTACTGACAAAGAAATAGTTCAGCGGTATCAACGCCTTCATCTACTACGCCCCTACGCTGTTCCAGTCTCTTGGCCAAACTGCGGAGATGGCCCTTGTCATGTCGGGTATATTCAACGTTCTTCAGCTCGTTGCAGTATGCGCTTGCTTCCTCATTATCGACAAGGTCGGACGTCGCCCGCTCGCCATCCTTGGTGGCATTGGCGGCGGCACCGCCTGGGGCATCATGGCGATTCTTACTGGCATCTACTCCAAGGACTGGGCCGCTAACCCGTCTGCGGGCTGGGGTGCGGTGGCCATGGCCTTCATCTTTGTGATACTCTACGGAATTTCCTACTCACCTCTTGGCTGGGCTCTTCCTGCGGAAGTCTACCCCAACTCCCACCGATCCAAGGGTGTAGCTGCCGGTACGGCGACTGTATGGCTCTGCAATTTCATTGTCGGCGTCGCTACCCCGCCTATGCTTGACAAGCTCGGCTTTGGCACTTACATCTTCTTCGGCGCCTGGTGCTTCGTCGCTTCCGTATGGGCTTTCTTCTTAGTCCCAGAGACGAAGGGCAAGACCCTGGAACAGATGGACGAAGTCTTCAAAGATACCACTGCGCAAGAGGAGAAGGAGATCATCAAGCAGCAGATCCTTGCCCAGCGTGGGCAACAACCGCAGGGCGGTGCTGCTATGGAGAGCACCAAGTTCTCCGTCTGATAAAGGGGCGATATCGATTTTTGGTGGGCGTTTTCGAGTCATAGGAGGCATTTGTTCTGACGCTTTGTATTGGTAGAGGTATCATTGCTGGTTACCAGGCATCGGCATGAAGATACCACTTTGAAATCAACTGCTTCTCATCTTTAGATTAACATTCATGGCTCCTCCTCCTTCACTCTTGACTTCCCCACAACGACTCTAGATGTTGAAGACCAAATGCTTTAGTTTTGGCAGCGTTTTGACCCACACACCTACCGTATACACGTCTTACTCATACTGTAGGCAGCCTGTTGTACGACTAGCCAACAAAGGACTTGACAGAAGCTGGGTGCCAAGAACTAACCCCCCCCCTCCATGGTCTTCTCCGGAGCAAAAAGTCTGGAAGCGCCGCTTACATCGCGGCAACCGTCATTGGTGCCCCATGAAACGCTACAGCGTCCGGCACCCGATATCTTTGACAAATTACTTCTTTCGGTAGGCGTCGGCGATAGGGCACACGGATCGACGCTAGCCCTGTTCTCCAAGGCAAATAGCCCCCTCATCCCTTCATCGCTCCAATCTCCCCCACAGTCATCATGCAGCCCCAAACGCGGGGGAGCGGGTGCACTGAGAAATGACCGAACAACGACTTACACGCGGGGATAGAGATCCGCGGCGTTTAGAGATGTTTGTGTTCCCCGGTTTCCCCAGTTAACCCACACGTCCGTCACGTTTGTCTCTCTTTGGATGGCCTTGGGAAGTCTGATTTCATATCCTGGTGTTGGGCCCACATGGAATTCCCTCCCTCTTGTTTAAGATGGGAGATGGCCTTCCGCCGTACTCTGCGTCGTCAGGGGTCTTACACTATGAAGTTAAGCCCTACACATCTCTAGACAGATAGCTTGCGTGCAGACGGAATACATGTTCTCACGATGGCACTCAGATATTTGGCTAGTGACAGAGGATAAATATAATGACAGTGATCTGTGATCGAGGTGTTCGTATGGCTTGACTTACCACCAAGATATGAATTCACGAAATCATCAGCAAAGTGGCGTCAAAACGAACACATTGACCTTTCAGCCTTCCGACATCAGACATGGAACCTCTTAAAATTCGAACTAGCCGGTCTTGGATGACTAGCCAGAGTCCAAAAACAAGGAAATGGGACATTTAAGCAGCCATTGGCAATTTGCAAGAGGGCCGTCATGCTCATAACCTCATCTACTACGTCCCGTGAGCTTCTGTAGTAGCAATATAAAGCAGCGAACCACATGAGCTAAAATGGGCCGAGCCTTCGAAGAGTATAAGGAGTTCAAAGTCATGGCTCACAGCTCAAATGAGTTGATGGTTTCCCACCCAGGACTTCAGGCTGTATGGATCTCCAGATGTCCACCAGAACCGATGTACATGCGAGCCAGACTTTGGGTGCCATCGAGAAGTGTATCCACATGTTGTGCGAGAAGTCTTTAAGCACGAAGATGGATGAAGTAGTATGGCATGAGTTGTTTCTTCCAAAAATAAGTCCATGCATAGCCATTAAATTTGAGGTCAATCCAAATACTGATTATCAATTTTCAGATCGCACAAGTTGTCGAAGCTGCCAGAGCCCGTCCAGATCTCAAAGTGATAGCAGGCTTCTCTCGCGCTTCGATGCTTCTTGCCGCGATGCTGCCATCAAAAACCTTCGAAGGCAGCGCCATTAGGAACACGTTCATCGTCCGTGGCAACACGTGCGATATCATCGATCACACCAACGCTTTCGTACGTTATGCCTCGCGCAACGGTCGCATTGTCGTCGATCGCGCAATTACGACATTGACCTCTCTGTATGAAGCCTCTCCGACCCGATCCCCAAGGCCTGCTGGGCCACGGGGACGCTGCGGCACCAACCCGACCTAAAGGTGATGAACGACGGCGATAACGATGTGGGTGTAGTTGGGTTCTGGAGAGGCGAGGTTGCGTTTTTTTACTGCTCCCGCATGCAGGCTCATGGGCACGATGTCTGTACTGGAATCATGTGAATGGACGGAAAAGCCTTTGTCAATGTTGTACCCTATGCCAACAACCTTGTTCTGGTAGATAAGCTTGACATCAGAAACGAGGCGCAGCCCGAGTACTAGCAACGGTTCGAGGATGTGTTTGCGTTGGAGTTTAATAAGTTCACCGAGTCAGTCGCCAAGAACTGTTCTTCTGCCATTTAAAGAAGGGTCAAGGTCATGGAAATTGGCCGGGCTCTGCAGGATGCCCTTGTAACGGGAGAAGCTTAGAGGTTCAGTGAGAGAGGAGAGCCTGTCTAAATTGTTTAGGTCAGGAGCTTCAAAGACTCCAATATTATCGAATATCCTGCTTTGTAACTATCTGGTGTCAAAACAGGTGAATGAACAGCATTAAGGATCCCAAGCAACTTGCGAACTTGGCCGAATGAGCTTCTGTTTGCTCGACCCACACTAGGTTGTGTCCGGCGCTGGATCACAAGTGGACATGGATGTATCAAGATGTGATCCACTTAGTCCAACAGAAGGCATCCACGTAAGATGGTCACTAACTTGGCAGCAGCCCGGATAATTAAGATTTGAGCTGAGAATAAGACCTCGTCACTCATGGTGTCTGTGAGAGCGGCAAATACTCGATACATACATCGGTGCTGTTAGGCAAGCTGTGAGACGTTTACTATCGATTATTTCTTATCCGCGCCAAACATGTGGCTGACGTCAGTGCCCGCTGACTACGATCATCCAATCACTTGTCCTATCGAGAAAGCCGTGCCATGCCGTCCACAAGGGATGGACATGTCTTAAGGTTATTTGGATGATCATTCAGTCTAGCTCGTGTACCTGCAGATCAGCCTTGGGGATGAACCGAGTTAGACAGGGCTGGTTTGCCAGATAAATTTGACTGGGTATCGACACCTAAGAGCCGCCTTGAAGCGACGAAACTCGTCTGTTGTTGGAGGATAGACGTGCGCTCTAAGCGGTTGTGATTACTCTGATGGGGCTTGGCGACACAGATCAGCAGATACGATGCTACCAAAACGGTCTGAAGCATGTGTTATCGATTTTTGTCGTCGAGATCTGGTCATGTTCGGGCCGCAGTGGGTTTGTGAAGTTGGTCACGCAGGAAAATGAAAGCCTCGGCTTCCGAATGCAATGCCCCTGGCTCGAACCTACCCGTGCTGTCCTTGCATGTTTCCAAGTTGTTATTGAGCAAGACGCAGCACGATTACGCCATCGGCGGGTCCAAAGGGACATTTCCCCTATACTTTAGCCGAATCTTGCTCACCCTCCGGAGCTGTGAATACGAGAATGTTTACAGCACCTGCCACCTCGAGCTGTCACTAGCACGTGAATTCCAGACTTTGCTGATCCCCTGTCGCCATCCAAGCTCTGGGCTCAATGTCATTGGCGCGCGTCCTTAAGCTTTGGCAATCATCGACAAACTTGACTGGGATATCCCCACACAAACCCCAGATCTCAACGGGACTGAGCCAAACGCGGGGAATGTAACATTATCCTCGGCGGCCTTTCAACCGACATGACCAACCTTCTATGAGGTCACATCGCACGTTGCGCCGCCATGTCGTGAGGACAAAGTAGGTATTCGCGCCAATTGTCACAGCGTCGGACCTGCATACGCTGTCGGCTAACCCCAACACGGCCAATTCATCGTCTTGGGGGTGGGTTCCTATCGTCCGTTTACGAGTCACGAAGCCAAGCAAAGTTTGGTTCCGAACACGTCGAGCTTCAACGACGTCTTGACTGACGTTGCCATGGCGCGAACACCATAAACTACCACCTTCTCAAAGCTCAATAGCAACCTAGTTATATAACCTACCCTGCCGTCCGAACATTGCCAACTCTACTTTCCTCCCAAGGCACTAGACTTCTTTCACGTCGGTTCCCTCCTCTCTCAAGCTTCGCTCGGCCAAACGGTTCCGGCAAGGCCACAATGAAGTTCCTTGGCGCTGCTGTCGCTGGCTTTGCCAGCCTCCTGTCTCTCCAGGCCACCGCAAGCCCCGTGCCCACCCCGGTCGAGGCCCGCCAGGCCACCGGCACTATTTCGAACAACGTCATCTTCTCGCCGCCTTCCAACGCCGGCTGGGTTGACCCTCGTGTTCTGTACGCCCGCACAATCCAGCTGGAGTCTGGCGACCTGATCGCGACCTGGGAGAACTACTCCCCTGAGCCTCCCATCGTCTACTTCCCCATCTGGCGCTCTCAGGATGGCGGGGCCACCTGGTCTGAGATTGGCCGCGTCCAGGATACCGTCAATGGCTGGGGCCTCCGCTACCAGCCCATTCTCTACGAACTTCCCGAGGCTTTTGCCGGATACCCTGCCGGCACCATCCTGCTTGCTGGCAACAGCATTCCGACCGACTTGAGCTTGACCAAGATTGATGTTTACGCCAGCACCGATGGTGGCGTCAATTGGAACTTCCTTAGCAGCGTCGCCAGTGGAGGCGAGGCCCGTCCGAACAACGGCTTGACCCCCGTTTGGGAACCTCATTTCTTGTAGGTTCAAAAATGACACGTCCTGCTCGTCTCTCAAGCCTCAACTGACCAATGACCTCCCAGGCTCCACAACGAGAAGCTCATCATTTACTACGCCGACCAGCGCGATCCCAAGTACGGCCAGAAGCTCTCCCACGAGACCACCACCGACCTCAAGACCTGGAGCGGCGTCGTCAACGACGTCGCTGACGACAGCAGCTACGAGGCCCGCCCCGGCATGCCCGGCATCACCAAGCTTCCCAACAACGATTTTCTTTACGCCTACGAGGTCTGCGGCACTGATGGCTGCCGCGTGCACTACCGCCTCTCGGCTGACCCTGAGAACCTCATTGCCGCTACCGGCATCAGCCTGATCTCCGATAGGGGTACTCGCCCCGTCAGCTCTCCCTTTGTCGTCTGGTCCCCCATTGGCGGTGTCAACGGCACCATCGTCCTTAGTGGCGGCAGCCAGTCCAACATCTTCGTCAACAGGGCCCTTGGCGCCTCCAGTGCGTGGGTTGAGTACGCTGTTCCGCAGCCCAACGCCTACTCTCGCTCCCTTGCGGTGCTTGGTGATGGCAGCAAGTTGGCCATCATTGGCGGTGGCAGACTGCCGCCTAGCAGCACCAACCAAGTCAGCATTAGTGTTGTTGACCTGAATGCTCTGCTTGGGTTGTAAATAGTCGAACGAATGTCTGCCAATGATGTATTTAGAGTTCACGGCATATAATTAAACAGGTTCATGACTAATTCTTTCAACAGAAGTCGTAAACGACGTTACGCGGCTGTCAATATTGCTGGTCATGCATGTTAGCTAAACCCATTGTATGCTGGCGCAACCTGGTTCAACCAACACTTTAACACAAAATGGAGGCTCTCGAAGTGATACTACAACTAAGTCCCGAATTCAAAGGTCTCGCTTCTCTTAACCTTCTCGAGCACTCTGTTCAAAGTCAAGCGACGCTCGTCAAAAAGGGTGCCACTTACCTGAACATAATTACAAACGTTGTTTATGTATACAATTTTAACATTTCATGAACAGTGAAGACAAATCAGAGACACTAGCAGACGGTTTCTTACGGTAACAGTAGCAAGAAATAGCAGCAACTTAAAGAGAAGGACTTGATATATTACCAAGTATGACATAGCCAAGATTGGTAATGATATTCCACTCTCAGGACCGATTGCCGATATTTGAGAGAAAGCTTCATTGGAGCCGTAGAATCAATTGTCGAAGATGCGTCATAAGTGTCAGTTTACCTAGATGCTCACTACTCATTCGATGTTCTCATATCCATATCATATTGCTCTATGCTAATGCCGAAATATCAAGAACTCAGATAGTATCTAGAATATGCCCAACCATGGATATCACCTTCTCTTCTTCTAACCGGCGTGCAACAAGTTGAAGGCTGATAGGCATCCCGTGTACAGCAGATGGATCGTCTTCGCCGATTGTCAGTCAAATCCGTGTCATTAGAGGCGAAAAGGCTCTTACATTCAGATTGGATCGCCTCACAGTCTGGTCCTAGAGGCTTTGCAGTAGAGTCGAGAATGTCCAAGTTTTCGTCTGCTGATAATCCCGTGGGGAAGGACACGCAAGAGTAGTCTAGAACGTTGTAGACACCGGTGTATCCAACTATAAGACAACGGTTAGAACAGACATCCACAAGGCACATTCACAAGGACAATGAGACTTACCGTGCTTATAATCCCCATTCTTAACGCTGGTGAACGGCGTTGTGGGGCAGAGAATCGCGTCAATACCAGCAGCGTTCCAGCGGTCCAGGTACCGCTTCTGAAACGCCGTGCGCTCCATGTGCAACTGCCACATGTCGTAAGTTCCGAGTTCCGTAGCAATCTCGTACGCCTTCATTTCTGGCCTGAAAGGCTCTCCAGTCTTCTCCAACTCCTTCTTGATGGATATACCACCATCCGCAACAAACATGCGGGCCAACAGGCTCAGCCCTTGCGCCTGGTCCTTGGGGTCCCATTCGATAATTTCATGGCCAGCCGCTTTCAGCTTTTCGACGGTTTGCTTGAGTGCGCGGGCGACGGGCGGAGTCGGTCGGACCATGCCATCATGCCACATGACAGCAATCTTCAGCTTCTCGGGCAGCTGGACGTCCCGCCAGGGGATCGGTACGCAACGAGGGTCGTGAAGCCAAGTTTTGCGGTTGACAACGGTTTTACTGTACAGCTCCAAATCCGTAATCGCGCGCGTCATGGGACCGTTGACAGACTGTACTGCCTCCTGACCGGACATGCCAGAACGGCAGCCCAGAGTTGGGAAGCGACCAAAAGAGGGGCGAAGAGTAAAGATACCAGTGCAAGCAGCGGGAATGCGAAGAGAGCCACCTGCAAGTTGCTAGATGAGCCATACGTGCCACATAACAGGGGAATCAGAAGAAACTTACCGATATCAGTTCCAATGCCAAGAGGGCTTCCCTTCATTACAATAAGTGCCGACTCTCCCCCAGAGCTTCCACCACTGGTAAGGTTTCTGTTCCTCGGGTTCACCGTGCGACCGAAGACGTTGTTGACCGATTCTGCAATCATCATCGCTGTGGGCACGTTGGTCTTGACATAGAAGACGGCACCGGCGTCTTCCAGCAGACTGGCGAGCGCGGCGTCATATTCGGCAGGGTCGCCAATGTGCGATACGAAGCCTACTGTGGCATCGAGGCCCTTGAGGTTGAAGTTGTCCTTGAGAGAGATTGGCAATCCGTGGAAAGGTCCGATAGGCTTTCCAGTGCGTTCGAAATGCTCATCCCTGGCCTGGGCCGTTGCGAGCGCGCGATCGAAACATGTTTCAGACAGACAGTTTGTCTGGGACGTTGGTCAGAGAGTAAGCTCCGTGGCATGCGTGGGTTGAAGTTCTCAACTCACCAATTGATGAGCGGCAACCGCCCGTTTGCAGAAGGCTCTCGTCACTTCCAAAGACTTGAGTTCCCCCAAAGCGAGCTTCTGAATCAGGTCGGCGGCGGTGCTATCGGTGATGGCAAGTTCTTTCTCGGTGAACCAGCCAGATGTCTTTGGCCAAGTTGTGACATCTGCCTGAGACGCTGGGGGCAGCAAATACTTGGGAACACGCCATTCGGAGGGGATCGACGCATCGAGAGATTCGCGCTTCTTGGCAGCCGCCAGCTCCCAAGTCTCAGTCTTCAAACTTCCCATGATGAACGAATGTTGTCTGTGTATCTAGCAAGTTGGAGATAAGATAGGACAGGGGGAAGATAGACTCGAAGCGACTGAACCGGTTCCGGACCTGTTAAATACACGCTGCGACTAACGATAGTTGGGAATCATGGCGCAAACGTGCCGGACCGCGCCGGTCGTCGGTGGTATGGGTTTGGGCCATGCATGCATGGCACGTTGTTCGAGGTCTAGATGGTCAAGGCGTGACAGTGCTAACTGGCCCCGCGGGAACTGTAGACGGTGGGGTCGATGGCAGATGGTTCAGGAGATAAGATTGTCGGGAAATACCAAGCCTGTGCGACACTTGTGCGGAGAACCGCACCTATCCCTTTCGATAAGGGGTTCGTCTCCGAGTTGCACGAAGCTGGGCACCCTGATGGAAGCGGAGTCACGTCTGACTCTCTGGATAATGACATCCTTCAGCATACTAAATGCAGCTGCTAAGTCGAGGACGGGTCGGAAGCCCCCCCGTCTGGATCCCTCCGAAGGCGCTAATCCCGCCGCGCGAGCCAACAGACTCGAACCCGTTGAAGATACCGTTTGTAGGCTATCCTACCTAGGCGCGCCATAGGTGCAATCGCGCAATAGCAGTAGTACCGCGTGCTGTGAATCATGGCGGCAAGGAAGACAAGCCAACAAGGGTTAAGCTTCGCTGTTGCGCTGGAACCTAAAACAACACGTACCGCAACGTCAGGATCGTCGGGTCTCTTTTCCCGGCGCCAGGAGGCGATCAATGGTGGCATGGTTTTCAATGCTGCTCAACATAACGACGGGAATCCCCCCTTCTCTCATGCTCACAGCAAGCGCGCTTGCAAAGTGGGACGCGTCTAGCGACTTTCTTCCAGCTCGGCGCAAAATTTGTCATTCCATATCGCCGAGCTTCTGCCGCTTCCAAGCCACGAAAACGCATTGAAAGGCACTGTAATCCTTGCCACGTGTCTGCGCCAGTAAAGCGCGCTTGAACAACCAGCAAGATTCGTCCAGCATACCCACCTTCAAGGCGTATCCGGCGTGTTTGGAGGCTGAAGAGTGCGAGTTGCAGGTTGCGGTCTCCGAGAGAATCGGACGACGCCCCCGGAGAAGCTGTGAGCTTATCATCCCAGCCCAGTCCGTTGCGGGGACTGCGATCTTCGCCGGCAAAGACCAGATACGATAACGATCTTGGGAGCTCACAGTGCAACAGGGTCATCCAATCACGACGCATCGCGACGGAGCCGACGACGGTCGATATCAACCCTCAACAATCCGTGCACGAGATAAGCTACTCTGAATGCCGACGGGCCAAGAAGACTGACGGTTTGCTGTCTGCCTGGTACTCCTTTGGTCCCCAGGAACGACACACAAAACCAGACCGGTCTTATCGCAGGACCCCTGCTATTTATTCCTGTGACCATATTCCTTATCTCCTGCAGGATACTATCTACATTAAGTCGCGCGCCAGCGCTGGGAAGCCAGCTTGGAACTAAGGGGTGTGCTTGGGTGCTCTGCCCATAAGAAGTCGGTCAAGCTTCAGTATAACCTCCGAGGTGAACGGTGTGAACGAGCTTAGCAGTTACACTGCCAATTGGTTGGAGCAATAGTGCAATTTGGCTTTGTAAGAGTGTCTGCACCAACGAATCTTTCAATATGGCCCTCGACAAGATCCGCCAATATCTGAATGTCGAGTATGCGCCAGGAGAACGCAAGCTCCTTCAGAAGTGTGACTTCTTCATCCTGACTTTTTGCTGTGTTGGTACGTGTACCTTGATGTTGTGTCTTAAATAGAAAGCTAATCAGCTCTGAAGGCTACCTGGTGAACTATGTGAGTATTGGACACCGACCCAATTTTCATACCCGTTGTTGGGCCATGAGCGCGTTCTGACCTAACTGCAGCTTGACCGTACCAACCTGAACAATGCATACGTCTCCGGCATGAAGGAAGAGCTGGGCTTCGTAGGAAACCAGCTCAACCAGATCAACACGTGCTTCACTGTTGGGTAAGAAAAGCACACTTCCTTGTGTCTGGTCTCCATTCTTTTTTTGGGAACTGACCGTCTTTCCAGCTATGTTATCGGACAGATCCCGTCCAACTTGTCCCTTCACTATGTGAAGCCAAGAATCTGGTTCCCCCTCATGATGGTCATCTGGGGCGCCTTGACGATGTGCACCGCCAGCGTCCACAGCCCGCAATCGATCATGGCCATCAGGTTCTTCCAAGGTATTGCAGAGGCTTCGAGTTTCGTCGGCACGCACTACATCCTAGGCGCATGGTACACGGAGCGCGAACTCGGCAAGCGCAGCGGCCTTTTCACGGCATCAGGTCTCGCTGGCACCTTTTTCGGCGGTTTCATCCAGACGGGCATCCACAGCAGCATGGATGGTTTGCATGGTCTCAGCGGGTGGCGCTGGCTGTTCATCATCGACGGCCTGATGACCCTCCCCGTGGCTATCTACGGCTTCTTATGCTTTCCTGACACCCCACACACGACCACCGCCTTCTACTTCACCGAGGAAGAGAAAGCCCTAGCTCGATCCAGAGTTCCGGCGATCCAGGAGAAGTCACCCCTCACATTCAGATTCATGAAGAAGGTCCTTACCTCATGGTATTGGTGGGGTTTCGTCGTGCTCTGGATCATCGCCGGCGAGACCGAGTCCTTCAGCACCAATTCACTCCTGGGTCTTTACATGAAGAGTCACCCGGTCAACAAGTACACCGTTGCTCAGCTCAACAATTACCCCACGGGCGTTCCGGCGGTTGGCATCGTTTCCACCCTCTTCTGGGCAACGCTTACCGACTTCCTCGGCGGAAAGCGCTACCTCGTCGCTTACTTCATCGGCATCACGGGCGTAGTGACTTCCGCCATGATTCTTGTAGCATCCAAGGACCCGACGAGCGCGGCGTCTACCTCTGTCGTGTTTGGCGCCTACTATTGGGCTGGAGCCGTATATGCTTGCCAGGCAACCTTTTTTGCGTGGTGCAACGACGCGATGAGGTTTGAGGAGAGCGTCTTCCGTGGCGTCGTGCTGGCGGGCATGAATTTGGGCAGCAACGCCGTCAACGCTTGGTGGAGCATCATCTTCTATGGTGCATCTATGGCTCCATGGTTTACTGTAAGTCATACCCAATGGGTCGCTTGGCCGAACCGAACTAACCTTGGAGTACAGAGGGGTATGTGGGCCATGATCGCCTGCTCCATTGTCTTGATCATCTGGACCAGCGGTCTCACCTACCTTGCGAACCGAGAGGAACAGCGGAGAGTTCTGAACGCGGAGGCGGAGGAAACGGGGTCAATTACCAAGAAGCCCGATGCGAAGGACGACAAAGACGCCGTCTGAAGACTGTGCAGCTAGGATTCATCGAAGCCTACTTGGGTCAGTTGAGTTACTCAAGATTCATTGCATCCATAGAGCCAAGAATGAATAAACCGAATTCCAAAGAAACTGCACTGGTGTACTCTGGAGATCTGACCGAAAGATGGACGTAGAAAACGGTGTCCAATCAAACCTAATCGATGAAGCACGCCGAGAAGAGCGCATGAAATGACCGTCCGTAAGCTCAGTGCGTCTGCTTCGCTAAGTATTTGCCCTAATTGGAAGTCTAATTAATGTTGAGGAAGGGTACAGTGGGACCATCCCCAGCCGCGTATAAATGAGTAGTTCATGAGGTTGCGTACTTGTCCTGGAGTTTGATCGCGGGAGAGGAGGGTATTTCGAACCAAGATGGAGTTGCCAGCACGGAATGAGGTCCGCCATCAATCGGGGAGTTTTCATATCACCTTTCCGCATCCAACGGGCATTAAATTAGGGGCTCTCCATGTTTGGGCGAGACCGACACGGACCCTCATAGAAAAGCTCCAAGTGCCGAGGCCGGGGAGTTGTCGCCCCACTGTACAGCCTTGCGGATGCCGAGGCCGACACCAAAAGAACGGACCCGCCCCACCAAATGCCGAGGTGACGGATTTGGCTTGCATACGCCAGCCAAACCTTGCGAAAGGCCAAGCTGCGTTTTGCCAATTTGTTCGGGTTTCCATGATTGGGTCAAGAAATTGAGCGCTAAAACATCTATCTGTTCGGACGGTCGTCCACCTAGTCTCCAAGGGCGGTCTGCATACTACATAGCAGCTTTCTTCCAAGCTTGTGCGACTCAAGTTTGCAAATCCCAAGTGGGTCACTCACCGGTGACACCGACCGCCGTGATCGGCACCGAAACCCGATTCTTGGTCTAAGACGCATCGACCAAACTTGCGTCATACCCACCTCCGTCAATGCGTTTTTCTCCTTGTGTAATCTTGTGTAATTCTTCACGCCACCCAAACTTGAGCGGCCCTTACGCGTTGTCGGACCCACGGTAACAACCTGATGGAGTGCCGAGTGGCCCGGCAAGTTCGGAGGGCAATTAGGGGATGACGATGTGCTCCGCCGAAAAGTTCCAACTGAGGCTTCTAGCTCGTCTTGCATTGTATATTTAAATACTTCTCGTCTTGGCTTCCTATGAGCTTGTACTGCGCCGAAGATCTTATATCATTAGACAATATACCCGAACTGTTGCATCAATTCTAATACACAACGCGCACCGATGCCCTCACTACCATCAGACTACAATGACCGACCGGTCGCAATACTCGGAGGCGGCGTCCTAGGTCGCCGTATTGGTAAGAAAACCTCTCTTGAACTTTTAATGAATGCGACAGCAATTGACACACAACAGCCTGCACATGGGCTTCCGGCGGCTACAATGTCCAAGTCCGCGAACCCGACACCAAGCAGCATCAACCCTGCCTGGATTATGTCAAGGAGAACGTTGACAGCTACCCAGCATCCGGCAGAAAACGCCCCGGTACTGTTCAAGTTTTCGAAGACCTTGAGACAACCGTCAAGAATGCCTGGCTCGTGATCGAGGCCGTTCCCGAGAGGATCCAGATCAAAATCGACACGTTTGCCGAGCTGGAAGCCAAGGCACCGGCAGATGCCATTTTGGCTAGCAATTCTTCTTCTTATCGATCGTCGGAGATGCTCGGCAAGGTGAAGGATGAGACCAAGACCAGAATCATGAACACGCATTATTACATGCCGCCCAGCAACATGGTCGTCGAGCTCATGACCGATGGACACACGAACCCGGATTACTTCCCCTTTATGACGGAGAGACAGAATGAGGTTGGGACAAAGCCATTCACTGCGCGGAAAGAGTCGACTGGTTTTGTGTTCAACCGTCTCTGGGCTGCGATTAAGAGAGAGACGTTGTCGATCTTGGCCGAGGGTGTATCGAGTCCCGAGGAGATTGACAGCCTGTTCTACGAGCTGACCAAGCATGGCAAGGGACCTTGCAAGATGATGGATGGTAAGTTGTTCCACATTCAATTTTCCCGACGCCATGTGCTAATAACGCAAACAGAGGTTGGTCTTGACACGGTGGCTTTCATCGAAGATCATTACGTTAAGGAGCGAGGTCTGTCTCCAGAGAACACCGTCGACTTCTTGCAACGGGAGTATCTCTCCAAGGGCAAGCTCGGCCACAAGTCAGCCAAGGGCGGTCTGTACCCCCACCTTCCGAAGATCATCGCCCTTGACCTCGGACTCACGAACCCCAACGACTACTCTACTTCAGGACAGATCCTCCAGCTCTCGTCAGAGGGTAAGTTGGAGCGCGTTCTTGTCGAAAGGCAGCACGTTCCCGATGGTATCGACATCGACATGGAAACCCAGCGTATGTTCTGGACTTGTATGGGAACGCCTGGCGAGCAGGACGGCACGGTTCTCTCCGCGAACCTGGACGGCAGCGACGTGAAGTCCCTTTTTGCGACTACAGCCATTAACACCCCGAAGCAACTCGTCATCGAACCTACATCAAGAAAGATCTACTTCAGCGACCGCGAAGGCATGAGGGTCTACCGCTCCAACATCGACGGCAGTGATCTGGAGACTCTGGTCGTCGGTGGGAATGACGCCTCAGATCTTAAGTCGTGGTGTGTTGGTATCTCTGTGGCGCCGAAGCTGGGCAAGTTCTACTGGACACAAAAGGGGGCGCCCAAGTCCGGCCAAGGACGCATCTTCTGCGCCAACATTGATATGCCTGAGGGCAAGACCGCCGAGACGAGAGACGATATCACCTGCTTCCTGGGTAATCTTCCCGAGCCAATCGACCTAGAGGTCGACGAGGAGACCCACACTATCTTCTGGACGGATCGCGGCGAGATTCCCAAGGGCAATACCCTTAATAAAGCCAGCATCGACCCGAACACGGGACTACTGAGGACCGACGGATCAAAGAAGTATGAAATCTTGGTGAGACATCTCAACGAGGCAATCGGTGTCAAGCTGGACCAAGAAAATGGGCATGTTTACTTCAGCGATCTTGGAGGTAGCATCTATCGCTGCAATCTGGATGGATCGGAAAAGAAGAAGATTTTCTCTGACGACGACCGTACCATTTCTGGCATTTCTGTTCTGCGCATTTAGATATGGTCATGGAAGTAGGAAAACTAGGCCGGCGTTTGGGTTGAGTGAGGCGGCTTGACGTAGCATAGAAGTGGTTGGAGATATCCCTTATATATTAGATTCAATGATCCAAAATTTCGCGCAGATTCACGTTTAAGAATTAGTGTATGTCTTGTCTAATGTGTCTCTATGCCTTTTGTTATGGAAAGTCTTCCCACTTAATCCACTTCTCATCACCCCCCTCTTCCAAGCCCCTGCTTGACCCCTGCTCTAGACCCCTCCCCCTTCTGCTGACTTACTACAGTTTCCTTTACCCGCCATTCTGTCAGCCTGTTTGTCTGTTTGCCCCTCACCATCTACCTCTTGCGCCACAGTAAGCATAAGGACTACATTCTAGATAGAAACACACTGCTTAGTAGTTTTACGCCACGCAGTCTGCACCCAATCCTTGATCCCCCAACCAAGGCTGTGTGAAAACAACGCGCTAAATTCGGTTACATAAAGAAGAACGGTGGCCTAATTTCGTTACTTTTCACACCACTGACTTTTCCCACCTTCGGAAAGGAACATGGAGTACACCGCTCAAAATGACCTTCATTACCAGACTGCGCTTTCATCCGCAGGGTGGTTTCGATTGATTATCTTGGAACCGTCGATTGAACGTCAGGATCCTCTAGTCTGCCGCCTCGTAACCCACAAAATGGACCAATCTGTCGCATATGAAGCATTGTCGTACGTTTGGGGCGATACGAAGACCTACAACTCCATCATGATCAACGAAAAGCCGTTCCTGATTCGAGAAAGTCTGTATTATGCGCTTGTGGCACTGAGGAGCGTGTCCGAGCGTAAGGTCCTTTGGGTGGATGCGATTTGTATCAATCAGGGCAGCGTCGCCGAACGGAACCTTCAGGTCCGGCAAATGAACCGCATCTACGCCGATGCCAAAGTCGTGGCAGCTTGGCTTGGGGAGCCGACACTAGCTTCCGACCGCGGGATCAACTTTCTACGAGGATTCAAAAATATTTCCCCAGACGGGTGGGGACTCCGAGACACGGAACGCAAATCGATCGAAGGATACAGGCGCTTGTATAGCCCTATCATAGCTAGTCTTGGAGACGGTATATCGGAATCAGGTCTGCACGAGGCCCTGCAGCTCCTGCAAAGGCCGTGGTGGACCCGAATGTGGACTTTGCAGGAAAGCGTCCTGTGTCGCAACGTACTGTGCTGGTGTGGTCAAGATTCGTTGCCCGTCTCCTGTTTTTGGGAGTTTACATGGTTCATTTTTCTCTCAACCAACTACGGCGCCTGGACCGGACCGACCATCGATGCTTCTCTCCCCTTCCGAACGACAATGTGGATCGGGAGGCTCGGATGGATGATTGCCAGGGAAGGCAAAATAAGCTTACTCGTAGCAGTGAATGTCTCATGGAATAGGGCGGCGACGGACCCAAAAGACAAGATCATCGGACTTCTTGGTCTGATTGATCAGTCTTCGGGCCTGGTCGCAGAGTATGGTTGGCCGGTGGACAAGGTCTATCGAAAGGCCTTCGCCGCTGTTCTAAGGGAAGCGAAAGACATAAACCCCTTGGGCCTCATCAAAGAGCTGCCGGAAAATAGAAATCCCAGACTCCCGTCGTGGGTTCCTGATTTCGAGATACACTCCGGACATGGGGGCGATGACTTTGATTCGTTGTCGAAACCAATCTGGGCCAGAACAAGAAGGTGTTACAGCGCGTCTTTGGCGGCAGTGAAGAATCACCTGCAGTTCGAAACCAAGGCCGACGACTCAATTCTCGTTGTGGAAGGAATGGAGTTCGACAGAGTCAAAATCATTGGCGGCAAAGCTCCAGGATGGGATTTGGGTAACCCCACTCAAGCAGTAAATGGGCCATGGAGAGAGGCGATGCGGAAATGCCTGAGTCAGTGGCGCACAATGATCGCGTCAGAGGAAGGAGACTATCTAACCGGCGAGTCTCCAGTGAACGCGTTCTGGAGAACTGTCTTGGTTGACCTCAAGCAAGGAAGTGCTGTTGGATATGATCGCCTCGAACCTCACGATTTGAAGTCGTTGCTGGGACTAGAAACCGACCAAGGAATAGACGACTTGTTGTTAACCTGGGACGACCCGAGTAAGCCCGGTTTCCGACACTTGCGACTTATCGAACAGTTAAATCGAAGGTTTTTCATCACTAATAAGGGATACTTCGGACTGGGACACGCTTCTTTGAAGCCAGGTGACGCAGTATGCATCATCTATGGAGGAGATGTGGTTTATGGCCTTCGTTACATGTCCAATGGACGCTGGAGTTATGTGGGAGAATGGTGAGTCGAGAGAGGTTGGGATATCTCGGGAGTGAACAACATGGCACATGTGGCTCAATCATTTTCACTCCATTACCACGGCGATGCTAATAAGTTTTACAGTTATGTACATGGCGCGATGGACGGCGAGATCGCTAGAGCCGCTGCATTCGAGAACCTTCCTTGCCAGAAGTTCGAAATCGAGTAATGGAGAGTATTACATCATGTACTTAAAACTCAGCCGAATGATATGGATAGCATATCCGATGTTACAGAGTAGAAGCAAAGATTGTTCAGCGACTTTACCTAGGGATCAATCAACCGAGGAATTACTACGAGGCTTTACCCTCTCTTCGTTTGTAGGTACTGGTTTATATGTTTTGTGCCTGCTCCTTCATTACCTTGGGTTCGTGGCTTGCTTCTCGATTTATACGTCTCGGGATCCTGTCATCCCATTGTGCGCGAGCTTCGTTGTCCGTACATGAAAACAAATATCACAAATTAATATGTCCGAATGATTCCATCCGAGCCATCAACATCAACACTGTATTTTGTAGCTACTTAAAACCTGTCACTAGTTGGCACGCCTAAGTGCAGGAGCGAATCAAGTATTCTGTCGTCGTCCAGCAAGCCCGAAGGTCATGCGATTTTCACTGGCTTCCACATCCACCAATTGTAGTTCATCGGAAGCTCGAGGTATGGTGACCACGAATGTACGCTTTAGGCTGAATTATTCAAGTCCCGGATATAGTTGCCAAGATTTTTGATATTCCAAGATGACGTGAAGTCCAATGGATAAACCGATTACGAGCCTATCGCAAAAGGCCCGGAAACCCGACTACTGCACAGCGCAGTCTATATTCGATAGACTAGTACGCAGAAAACGGGAGAGAAGGAATTAAAAAAAGAAAAGAAAAGGGGCGGAAAGCATCGTCCGAGCAGGATGTTGACCTTTTGGGGTAGAATGCTGTATTCCGTTCACCAATGGTACCCATTGTAGTAAGATAAGCTGGCTACAAGTGGTAGTTCTCGTTCCGGTATATAATTTGGCAGTGCTCGTCTTTCTTGGTGTCCATGATGCGTTCTGCACTCTGACGGTACTCCTCGAGACAAACGATTCTTGAGATGTTTCACAATGTTTCCGCCTACTCTCTTGATTATTTTGAATCTGATTTTAATTGCACTTGCGTCCGGACTGAGCAAGAAAGCTGTTATAGATGACTGTCTTGCCGTGGCAAAGGTTCCATACAACACGCAGAATTCATCTCAGTGGATGGCCGATGCCACTCCATTCAACGTTCGAATACCCTACGTACCCGCTTCGATTGCCGTTCCTCTTACAACCAAACATATTCAAGCCGCGGTAAAATGTGGGAGGGACAACGGAGTGAAGGTCACTCCGAAATGTGGTGGCCATAGCTATGCCAACTTTGGCTTTGGTGGCGAAGACGGACATTTGATGCTTGAGCTTGATCACATGTACAATGTTACCGTAGATAACGCTACTGGTATCGCCACTGTACAAGCAGGCAGTCGGCTGGGACACATTGCAACTGAGTTGCAGAAGCAGGGTAATAAGGCCTTCAGTCATGGTACATGTCCTGGGTAAGCCAAACCATCCACCGTTCTTTTTCTATTGTTGACAATGTGGCAGTGTAGGGATAGCTGGCCATATTCTCCACGGAGGATACGGTATGAGCTCTTTCACCAAAGGACTTGCCCTGGACTGGCTTGTCGGAGCAAAGGTTGTCCTTGCCAATAGTACCGTTGTCACGGTTTCTGATAAGGAGAACTCGGATCTGTTTTGGGCGCTCAAAGGTGCCGGCAGTTCTCTGGGCGTCGTTTCAGAATTCTATATTCAGACCTACAATGCGCCCGAGCAGGTCACGAGCCTCACCGTATCCCTTCCATGGGATATTACACAGGCGATCGACGGCTTTAAAAAGCTACAGACTTGGGCAGATACCTCAATGCCTAGGGAACTCAACCTGCGGCTCTCCATCTCTTCGTTCGGCGCCAGCCTGGAAGGGAACTTCTATGGCGACAAAGAAAGCCTGAAGACAGTTATTGAGCCGCTGGTCCATTTGTTGGGAGGGCGGTACACATCGGAAACCACAGATTGGCTAGGAATTGGCTAGGAAATGTGATGCACTTCGCCAACAACATGGCTCTCGATCAGACCAATAACTACAAATATGTCAGTTGTGCCCCCCGTAAGCCTTTCCATTTTGATACTGATAAAATGATGCAGCAAGAGAACTTCTACTCAAATAGCTTATACTCCGACAAGCTATCGGACTCTCAGATTGACAGCTTTGTTCGCTACTGGTTTGGCATCGGCAGGTCTTTAGGGCGATATTGGTGGATTCAAGTCGACTTTCATGGTGCCAAAACCTCGGCAATCGTCGAGCGCAGCGCCAATTCATCATCATATGCCTACCGCCAAAAGTTCTTCCTCTATCAGTTCTACGACTTGGTGGGCTTGTCTGCGACATACCCCAAGAACGGCTTCTCCTTCCTTCAAGGATTCATCGCAACCATAACCAATGGAACCCAGCAGCCGAAGTACTTCAACTACCCGGATACGACTGTAGGGCAGAAAGAGGCGCAGGAGATGTATTGGGGGCAAAGTCTCGCGAGGCTACAGCAGATCAAGGCTGCCGTGGACGAGGACGAAGTCTTCTATTTCCCCCAAAGTGTTAGGCCGGTAGGTCTTGCTGGTGCTTGATACGGGAAAGTTGGGTAATTTTCGTTACGAGTCGAGTAAGGTTTCCTTGTATATAGTCTTCTATAGAGAGATGCCGTAGTAACATATCTATTGTACTTCTACAGGGGTCTAGGATTCACCAATACTCGTCCTGAAAATACCGCAAACGTAGTGGATCACAGATTTTTGAAATCCAAGACACACCGCTGATACTTACAGTCCAGTGTGGTTTTGTCGTGAACCTAGGTTCAGGACGAGATAGTGGCGCAGATGGTTAAGCCACTCACTTCTCACACGATCCGTTTCGCTCAGTAACCATATAAGGGACGGCTTCTCGACTTACAGATAGTTTCTAAGGTGTGCGTCTTGTCACAGCTGTCCGTGGTGCGCCGGCCTCTTGACACCCTGACAAATGGAAGCGCGATATTAATCATGGACAACGTCTCTGGGTTGCCGGACTTTTGGTCTATTGGGTTTATATCTATTGGTACGATTATGATTGTTTTACAGGAAGTTAACATGGCTGACTTGGACCGTCTCAGCTACGAACTGGATTCAGTTTGTCACTAATACCCATCAGCCGGTTCATTTCACGGCATAGCTGACCTTTGACTTTCCTTTACTCCTGGAAATCTTCTTAACAATAGTCTCCCCACATAAGTCTGTGGTATCAACGTGCGTCCCACCACAAGGATACACCTCGGCGCCCACAATCTCCACGACGCGGAACTTCTCCCCCGGCGGCGCCAAGCTGCGGTCAGGAATCAGCCTCTCGAGCCCACGCTTGCGAAAGTCTTCCTCGTCCCAGAAGTCGACCTTAACCGGCATCTTGGCGGCGAGATACTCGTTCACCCGGCCTTGGATTGGCTCTTTCCACTTTCCGTCAATCGACCCTTGGAATTCGCACGACGCGGAGTCGGGGAAATGCGACGCCTTGAGCTCGTCGAACCCCTCGACCTCCTTCTCCAGTAAATGCCTCACCGCGGCACCGAGGACGTGGCCAGCCGTGTGCAGGCGCGAGTACAGCAGCCGCTTCTCGACGTCGATGGCCTGCTCGACCTCGTCGCCCTCATTGAAATGCGCATCGGGTGCGTTAAACTGTCCAAAGTGCAGCACTTGCCCGTCGCGGACAGCATCCATGCGCACTGAGTTGACGGCGAAGGACGCGCCGGAGGGTGTTGTCATGGCGCCGACATCGGAAGGCTGGCCGCCGCCCTGGGGGTGGAAGATTGTCTGTTCCGTGACGACGACGTGGTCTTGTTCGTTGCCATCTTTGTAGAGTTGGCGGTTGGATTCCTCGAGATCGGCGAAGGGGCGGATCGCGGTGACGATAGTCTTGAGGGTGTGAAGCTTGGCATTGTGCTGAAAGGCCAGGTATGTCCGGGCTGCTGTGGACGCCATCTTTTCTGAGCACTATGCTACTCGGCTTTCTGGAACTCAAGTTTGGTTCTTTGCCTTCAATAAAGCCCCAGGACACGCAAGAGTCTATAAATGCCACGGGTTGATGCTTATGTTGCTATTCTTGCGAGTTCCAAGGGCTTCCGTTGAATAAATTGACATGAAGGGCGCGCGATAACTAGTGTAAACTAGTCATTATGAGATGTGGTCTGAAGCAGCTTTTGGCAGGGCCCTGAGTGGGTCTTCTCTTGGCTCGTGCACCCTTTCGTCAACACGCTCGTCATGGTATCCTAAAAATATGTTGAAGCACCGATTTTTAGATATGGTCAATTAATGGAGTTACTCTTGTTCTCGACTACTTCCTTGCATCTTACCTCTGGAATTACCCTGTTGTGAGGATTTGGAAGCATGTAGTAGTGAATATGGCCTATTTGGTCGCCCGATCCGTCCAAGCTGTACCGAGTTCGCCCAGCTTGCCAATGCACGCTGTAATTACCCATCGCCTCATCAGGCTTTGCTAATTCTTTCCTTACCGGATGTATGAACTCGATCACCGCCTTCGTGACCACAAATACCACCATCTGAAAGCCGCCGGCAGAAAGTTTACAAGACTCTTTAGGGATTCAGCTTACTCGGTAATCAGAGGATATATTAGGTGGTCGCAAACGGTTCTCGAAAGAAGTACGAGGTGATCCCGTTTCATCGTCCAGTTTTGACAAAAGGAGGTAAAACATCGAATCCTATCAGACGAGAAGCTGATTCTTGTCGATCTCTCATTCTAAGGATCTAGCTATCCGAACCTTCTATCCACCATACTGGGTCTTAATCTGAGCGTTTTTGTAGACGGCTTCTTGCTCAAGCAGAGCCTTCTTAAACGTTTCGGTGTTTTGTGCTACCCTGACCAAATGGGGTCTCTGAAGCTTCTTTCCTTCGGCATGAGCCATAGACATCGCTGTAGAGACTATGTTCCGGATTTGACGCCCGTTGAATGGTTTGTTGCGGCCTTCTTCATTCACCCACTCCATACACTTGCTGTAATCTTCTACAAGGGATGGCTTCTCATTGTTCAGCTGGCCAAGAAACTCCTCGAAAATCTTGCATCGTTGATCATTACTAAGATCAGTGTACTCGATGGCGATGTCTGCTCAAACTTGTTAGTCGGGACAACAACACGAGAACACTAGATACACATACGAATGCGGCTCTGAACCGCAATGTCAAATGTCTTTAGCCGATTAGTGGTCAGGATCAGTATACCCTCGTAATACTCCAAGACACGGAGTAGAACTAAAATGATGCAGATGGTCAGCCAAGCACAGCCATAGTCACGATACTGCAGTGATGTGAAAGGGATAACAACTTACCAGACACCATTGTGTTACGTTGCATGTCTGAGCCGCGTGCATCTCTGGCCTCCAAGAAGACATCCGCCTCGTCGCTAGTTTGAGGATGAGCAGTTGCCTCTTAGCTGTTATCTAGACAGGTCACTCACAATAACAGCACTGCTTCCCACAATCCTGCAAGATTGAATATCTTCTGCAAATTCGTTTCGACTTTTTTGCTGTCAATGCCGATGTCTGAGACACCTATGCTGAAGAGGGGCTTCCCAGCCAGAGAGGCAACGCTCTCTGCGGTGAGTGTCTTTCCCACGCCAGGTACACCTACCAAATCATGTTAGTTATTAAACGAATGGCACCAACCGGTTTTCTGCTTAGCTCACCCCAAAGGAGAATAACCAGGCCCTTTCCTTTGCCATGGATAAAGTCCTTTATGTTCTTCTTTCCGTGTGATTTCACTGCATTCTTGATGAGGAACTTGTTGTCGTCGCTCAGTATAAGCTTGTCATCGAAGTTGCGAGCGTTTGCGTCTCCGTGCGTCATCACTTGTTCCACCCGGAGCTGCACCCACCGCTTTTGAGTTAGCGCGTAACCAAGAACTCTTGGAGGAAGCAACAAGAGCTGCTCATCTGACAGCTTCGCATCCTTAGGCTTCTTGTCCCATGAGTATCTGTATAGTTCCTCGAATTTCTGACGGCAGTCGTTGCAAGTACACTCTCTCATGCCAGAAAAGCGCTGCATATCGCCCAAAAGCGGAGTACCTGCTGTTTGATACTGGAGGTAGGACTTGAAATCAATAACTACAACACTGTCTATCTGTGCATGTGTTAGCCTAAGAATACGGCAAGTCTCATACATATAGCTAAACCTTACATCAGACGCCGTATCTTTCCCAGCTCCGGAGTCATCCCCTCTGCGGTAGCTGCGCGAATAAAGAGATTCAGTGTCGTCATCATACAAACCAGTGCGGAATATACCACTGCCTTGCTGAGAGAATGCCATTCCTTTGTAGCGGAAAGTTTGCTTGCCTTTCTCAGCGATGCAGTATTCAAAGAACGCCCGGCCTCGCTTGATCAGGTCGGCTTTGAGCGTCTCAACATCTGTGGAGTTCGAGGCATCCACATTCGCAGTCTTGCTACGGTGCTCGCTGAGGGGATAGCATAGCAGCTGCAATATGCTTTTTTTGTCGGGGAAAGGAGGAATGACAAATAAGTAAGGAACCCTGTTGAATGTTGAACCGTTCCAGTCATAGCTGTACGCAATGAGCTCGAACTTGGTATCTGGGTCATCGTTTTCCGGGGGGTTGCATTCCTGAACAAGAAAGACTTGGGGCTCGTCGAGAAAGGGCCTTGCCAACATGAGACATCCCTTGGGGAAAAGGGTCCACAAAGACTCAAAAGTGATGTTTCGATTCTCTCGCATCGAATCCTTGGTCTTGAGGTACCGGTCGAGTGCTTCGTTGCCGGAAGATTTGGAGATTAGGTTCAGCAATGCTTTCAAATCCTTGCGCGCTTGCTTAGTCTCTTCGGTGTCATCTCCTTGATTCTCAGATATGTCGCTCTTGGCTTGGGCATCGTCCCAGGACCATATAAGTTCTGGAAAAGGAGACTCCAAAAGGGTAATCTTGGCCGTTTTATTGTACTTGTAGGTAACTTTGGCCAAGAGCTTTTGGAGTGGCTCAGATTCAATGTCTACCTCGGAGCCTTCGGACTTGAAGACTTCTTCCCCTCGATTGGTTGCCGTCCTCATAATTTTCCGAAAGGTAAATGCTCGATTAGACTTTCGAGTATCCATTGTTGACTTTGCCGTGGCTGGGGGTTTGTCGACATATTCACCCGTTTCGGGGTCGAGCGAGTTCAGCACAATCCTGTAACGCTCGTTGTCCGATGGTGCCTTGTCATCAGTATCATCTCCGTCCGATACTATCTTGGTGGAGTCCTCCTTTTTGGAGGGTTTTCCATTGGCCTCGTAGGAGTGTGAGTTTACTAGTTCGTGATATAGGGCCTTGCACTACGCCCAATACTTACGAGCACTGGTCCTACCGTCACCTCTACGGTAGGCGTCCCAAAGTTCATCACCTGCGATTGAAGAAGTTAGTAAATACATGGTATTCGAGAATCATCTCAACAAAGCGCTATTAGTGTGACACTGTTCTGTGGATTGAGTACTTTGGCGGTAAGACGTGGTTACTGACTTTATCATCCGTTACTCCTAACGTCAATTGTGCTTCTAGATCCGCCACCCTCCGCTCCAACAGCTGGATGTATTTCTGCTCAAGCATGGCCACAGATCTCTGGCCTTCAGTCAGCAGGTCTACAAAAGACAAAAAAACAATAGATCCCCTTACAGTTGTTGCCATAATGAGGTCCTCGAGTTTGCGCGAATAAGTTCTTCTGCTGACAATGTTCTCAATTCTGCGTTCAGGGAGCTCCGGCTGATGGGGTTAAGCCCATAAATGGATTCCACACAGAGTATGCAAGCATAGGCCAACTAACACCGATTTAGCAGGAAAGAAAGAGAACTAAGTGATGACATGGGGATTGACAACGCAGTCACATCCTTGCCGGAACCTCCGAGCATATGACCTTAGTGCACCAACTGGCAGTGTGGTTTGTAATCTTTTTTGAAAAGGTGAGCCAACAATCTTGGAGGCATTCGGGCCGATGCGGTATATCGGACAGGAGCCAGCAATAAAACTTATGAGGAACACAAGTTGAATCAATATTATGCGGCCAAGACCAGGCTGCGTCTGTTCCAAATATCATGGTCAGATTGGTGTGGCAATAGCAAGATCAAATGACGCCAAAAGCCTGCAGCCTTCATTGAATACGGAAAAAGGTCGGCCTGGCCAGGAAACTGGGAGAGGGTGGTGTGGACCAACAGAAGGGGTATTAGGTCCATATCCTACAGCCTGATATGCACTCGATGCTCTGGATACTCAATGAAAACATTGATAGATATATCACAAATTTTGCGACTGAGTACGAGAGCAAAGGGTCAAGATCATAATAGCAATATCTCGGTCGAGCCGTCATTGCTGTAAGATAATCTTTCGAAGTAAAATTCAAACCTTCTTTATTATGGAACTTGACAAAAGAGGAAGCGATTCTTGGGAAAAGTCATGGAAGGAATGGTTCACTAGTTCGGATAGCCACGGCGCTCGAAGTATTCTGGAGGATGGAAACCGGCTGAGCACTCCGAGCGTCCCAAGTTCCGTAAAGCCGGAATTGCTCCGCATTACAAAGTCCAGCTCCAGCATTCCTGAGGCTCAACTACGAAAGCAGCTGGAATTGGTGACCATTTCCCAACTGCGAGAATACATCCAAAGCCAGCGTTCCGAGCTACGCAGAGAGGCCGATTCCTGGGAGGAAAAAAGAAAGACGGGATGGAGAAAAGCAAGATCCGGGTTCCAGGAGTTTGTCGTAGCCTCAGACAACTTTTTGGCAGGATTTTCTGGCGTGGTGGAAGTTGTTAAAATGGCAGACAATCAATTCGGCGGCGCAGCCAGCGCCGTGCTAGCTGTCTTTTTTGCGGTAAGCAGCAAAACTAATCTTATTCTTTTATCGAGCAAAAACGTTCTAAATATTGGATTTTTTCAGACGATCAAATTGAAGGCTCTGAATGACAGCTCTATTCATTCTTCAATGGAAGTTATTGCAGACCGGCTTCCAAACCTGGACATTTACTACCAAATCTACGCAGACGACAAGTTAGCGACCTTAATTTGCAAAGCATACGTTGACATTATTGTATTTGCACAAAAAGCAACGGAATACTTTCAAGCACGCGGAAGTTGTGAGTTACTGATAGAGTCGCCTCGCCTTGTGGTGCATGGATCGTTTTTTTGACTTGAGCCCGTAATTGCCTAGCCAGACTCAAGAAAGTGTTTTCCCAGCCCTCCAAGTTCCAAGGTCTGGAGGAAAACATGAGACGAAATTTCCAGGAGATTCGTATACGGTGCGATGCTCTGATGGCCGAAAAGATATCCCATCTTTCAAAACAGAACATCGGTCAGTATGCGCACGGTTTGCCGGCTGTACAGCACGCTGAGACTCATACAGAACTCAAAAGCAAAGTGGACGAGCTCCAGAGCAAGATCGAAGGTGAGAAATATCATTACTCGCAGCTGGAGTCTCTTCTGATGCCCGAGAACTTTGACAGAGTTGCACAATCGGCATGACTCAGACGCAGCAAAAGCCGTTGGGGTACTGCTTGGTCCCGAAAACACGACTCCGAGGCACGCGCGAATGCAGGAACTGTTCAAATTTCGCAGCCTATTAGACGCCATCTTTCGAAAAAACTATTCAGATCTCGAGATGATGCAATTGGAGGATCTGAAGCAATTTCCCCTGTTCGAAGCCTGGCAGAAGGCTCCCTCGTCGATGCTTGTTCTTCATGGTAACAACCACTCGACCTGCGGTGTATCACAGTCGTGGTTATCATTAGCGGCCCTGCAGTTCGAGATAGCCACGCGTAACTCTAACTCTAATTCACTTGTTGCACTCTGCAATTGCGAGCCGGACTTGCCGCCAGAAACTGTTCTGAAAAGAATCATCCATCAACTTCTGGAAGAACAGCCTAGAGTGCTCAGAACGCCGAGCGTCAACGACGATATCATACACAAACTGAGAGAAGCGAACCGTAAACAGGGATCAGCCGGAACCAGCATCGATGAGCCTCACAAAAGGCCTTTCCACTACTACTGTGACGTTGTATCTCAAATCCTTAAGAGATGCTGCGAGATTTCCGGAAAGCAAGGCCCGGTACACATTGTTCTCAACCGCCCAGATTACTTGAGAAAAGAGCACACTTGGGACTTGGTGAAGGGATTTCTTAGTGTTATGCAAGAGACATCGTGCAGATTAAAGGTACTCATGGTTTTGAAAACAAGCCATTGGAACATTGAAGAGAGGCTCGACTCAATTGATAAAGATATCCGGTCGTCCAAGAAATTGCTAATCCTCCGAAAACACCAAGGGGAGAAAAACTAGATAAGTAGAACTCCTGACGCCTAGTGAGTATTTGGAGTTGGATAAATAGATTTAGTTTAGTTTTTCTAGTGGTGGGATTGTTTCCTGGCGGAGTTTAAGGTGAATTGAGAAGACTTCGTTATTGAGCTCCATATGTCGGCCGCTCTCAAGGGAGTTTGATAAGCGATAGCTAATGTCAGCGAGCGTCACGCAGCTCACCCCATTGGATACAATGATGAGTCGAGAAAGTTTCGAACGCAGATTTCATGGAATAGCGGGACCACCGTTTTGGCTAAATGATTGATTTGGTTACTTCTTCATCCTTTTCACACGAGCCAAACTCTTTGTCCATCCTCAATAGCAAGCTCGCCCTCCATCGTTTCTTCATCTTGATCACAAGCTCGTCGCAAATGTCCCCAGCTATCACCGGCTAGCTGACGAAACACCATAACGCCAATCCTTGTAAAGTGGTCATCTGCAACTCTCTCAACGAGGACCGCACTCCCCGAGTAGTGCGTCCCAACTATCTCGTCTTCTTCAAGGTATCCATCATCGGGGCCCCACTCGCCGAAATAGTCACATACCTCCTTCGAAACCGCCAGTAAGAGGAACTCGCATTGAGTTGTGCTCTCATGAGGTCGAGCGTCAGGAAAGGCTTCGATAAAGGCGTCGCTCTGGTTTAGGCCGTCAATTGCAACCGTCCATTCCTCTCCCGGGGAGGCCTGCTGAAGAGTGCCTTTGCCAATGTGTGTTTGGATGGCAATCTTGTTGGTTAGAAGCTCCGAGGGCATATCTGCAGCGTGTGCCTTGCTAGCGGCATCACCGTTGTCGGACACTGTTTTAGCAGACTCGGTCTTCCCAGGTTCATTCTTAGGCCCCGTGTCATACTCTGCAGGGCCTTCGACAGAGTCTTTCATACCAGGCCCTCTACTTGTAAGATCTCTCTTTCCGTCCAGAGCAAGCGGATTCTCGGTGTCCTTGCGGTCCTTGGTCTCCAAGGATTCCGATTTCTCCGGAATCGACGCAAATATGTTGACAACCTTCGCCGCGACCTTCCTAGACATTTTGGCTGACGTCTCTTCCAACTTCTTCGTCATATTAACAAGCTCCTCCCCCCATGAGGCATAATGTTCTCCTTCAAACCTTCCGAAGAGAGACTTCTTCAATAGGAATTTGAGGGGCTTCCCATCGTGGCCCAGCGCGGTATAGAACCGCGGCAAATCCGGAATCGGCGGCGCAACCTCAATGGCACCCTTCACCGACGCCCACGACCAGGACGGAAAACCACCTTCCTTTTCGGCATCCCTCTTTCCCGTCCTCCAATCCAGCACCCTCCACGCAAGCTGCTCGTGCAGACCATTTGTCCACAGCCCGGCACCATACTCTTCCCCCAACGCATCTCGGACGAGCTTCGCGATGCCCCACATGGCGGCCAGCTTGTCGTTGTGGAAAGTAAGGTTGCAGCTGGTGTACGCATGCACAGAGTCTTTCCAGAACCCCTGGAGCGAGTCTGCCGTCGAGCTGACCAGTGACCGCACAGAGAGGGCGGAGCCTTGGAGCTGGCGCCGCCAGCTGCGGTGAATGCTGGCGACATTGTCGAGGGCCGGCGGGAGGCCGTCAGGAAGGGCTTCGGACGCGCTTAGTGTCGCGCAGTCCCAAAACACTTGGCCTGCGCCGAAGTGTAGGAGACGGGGAGACAGGAGTCTCTCTGTTAGTTGTGAGTAATTTCCACAGCTGGCATTGGTTAGGGATGCCGAGTGACGCACCTTGAAAGACCCAGCCGCGAGTGTAGAGGTGTCGTTTCAACAAGTCTTTGTCCCAATGATCATGGTCCAACACTCTCCATTCCGTGTCTCCAAAGATCTTCGATGGCTTCCAACTAGTATAGTGGACCGGCAAGAAGTTCGGTTTCCTTGAACGGAACAAGCCCTCCGTATGATTCTTCGAATCCGCAGCGGTGATGTTGCAGAACGAGTTTCGGTAAACCTTGTGCATCAACGGCGCTTCCGCCTTCCAATCCTCAACGTGGAGCCCCTTGTCCCCCTTCCCTTGGATGATGCATAGAGAGTCTATCCAGACGTATCTCATACCCAACTGCCGGACGACCTGCAGGGCCTGCGCGAAGGTGGTATTGCTACATATCCCGTCCTTGCCTTCCCACGGGACGCCGTGGGTCGTAAAGTTGGCAATATTGTCCTTAGTGAGCTGCGCGAATGCTCCATCGCCCCAGCAGTGGCTTAGGGTAAGGTAAGGTGCGTGAATAGGGTTTTTGTCGGTGTTTATAACGCGGACGTATGCTGGTGGCCAGATGGTGTCCTCGGGGGGGCCCACGTCCAGAACGCGCGTGGGTACGAAGTCGCGGCTACTGTGGTGTCTGACGCAGTTGGGATGGCTGTCGACGCATTCATCCATCCACGTCCTCATTCGTACCTGCGACTGCCTAGAGTCTGTTCCGGGACCTAGGTTCTCTTGACCAGCGTTTAAACTAAAATCTGGATTGGTTTGTGATCAGCACTCTCGACGGCTCGAAGACAATTACTTGTGAATTAAGCCGCTACTCACCATCTTTCGGATACAGGTGGAATTGGGCATCTGGGAGATCCTCGCTTCTCTTGTCGCCGCCACACCTCCCGGGGATCGGCCTGAACCTGATTGAGATGTAACTCTGGGTCTCTCGGGTCTTGTACGCCTGGCGAATGTTCCAGCGGTACACCGACTTGATCTTGTGCTCGTTGTCAAACCAGGGGCTCAGGCTTCCGATGTTTTCGGCGAGCCGCATGCAGAAGACGCATCCCGACTGTACTGAGGCCTCGAAGGAGGCTGCGTGCCGGTGGTGATAGTCCCACTTCCGTTCGGACTCCAGGATAGTGGAGCGGCAGAATTCGCAAATCATCTTTGGCGGTTTAACGCGGCGGTGGCTCACAAGAAATGATGCTAACCGGATTGCGTCCAAGGTTGTGAACTGAGTGACGGCGACACTTGCGTAAGATTTCGAGCTGAGCTGATGAGTAGGCAGACACGATATTCGGGCAAGTAAGCAGCGCAGGGGTAGGGTTACATGGAAGACCTTCAACAGGGGTTTCAATTGGATCGAAGTGTCGGCTTGGGGCGGATACCAACTTCATTCTGGCGATGCGGCTTCTCAAAAGAACCGTTATCTGTACTGCGTGCTTTTACTAAGGCGAATGAAATGATTGCCGCTGTGAGACTGCTGTGATCTCAAGACCAGGCGAAAATGGATCTTGGAATTCTAACAACAAACTCCGGACATCAAGATTCATTTGCTATGTAGTAATTAAAGGTGGCAGGTGATAACATGCTGGCGTCTAAACTTAGATCCTTATCGTCCCACTGAATCTGTCGCCTTAGCCGAAGTCCACCTCTGAGTAAGGGTCGATCTAAATAGCCCAGCTGTTCAATGACCTTGGCGACAAACAAGAGAACTCTGAGGAGCGCCCGAATCGGTTCGGTGAAATGCCAGGCGTGCAATACAAGGGTCAGTACAGGTGGCTGTTTTCTTCCATCCTTCCGCATTCGTGTTTCCTGAATGGTGCTGCCCAATCGACATCAGCGGGGGGGGGTTGCTGTTGCTTATATCCACCGTCATCTCTTGGTTGGGGACCGTTCGTGAGGCTCGGTCCAAACACCGGCGGTAGATGGGCCGGTCCCAGCGACGTCCCGGCCAACATGTGCCATTTCTTTCTCTCAGCAACTGTTTGCAAGAATTTCACCATGCAGTGAGCGTCAGCAGAGACAGGATGCACACAGCAGCACCCAGCGATCCCGAGCCTACAAGAGTCGCCGCAGCCGAGGTGCCATTGGACCCCGATGACTTGGTCTGGTTGCAGGAGACGAAGCCGTTGCGTCCAGAGGCGCCGGTGTGTGTCATGGTGCCGACGTAAACACAGCTACCCCGGTAGTTCGGGTCCAGGACAACGCGGTCGGGCCCGGGAGACCCTGCGCATGCATGTCAGCAACCGTGCGACTGCATCGTGATGACCTGCCTAATTGTATGCAGATCTGGCATGGCAGAAGCCTGAAAAGGGTTAATGAGGATAGGGACTTACGACCGGTGTAGTTTCCAGAGGGGATGATGGGGAACTCCTGGAAGGGACCAGAGGTAGCGAAGCTGAGGTTCTCGCGGTTGTTGAAGCGGTGGGGGTACTCGCTGGCACCGACTTGCTGGTTGGCAGCATGGAGCCGGCAGCCCTCTGCAGCAGCCTCCTCGAGCTGTTGTCTGGAGTAACTGTTGTCGCCGCAGGTGACGCTGCCGACGTTGGCGGTGCCCTGTCGCTTCTCGAGGGCCTGATCGCGAGCGACGATGGGGCCCGCGGCGGTGAGACCGGCGCAGAGGGCCAGGACGACGGTGGACTTAAGGCAAACCATGGCGGTCGTCGGCGTTGCGTGCGATGAGTGAATTGATGAAGTGAGAGAGACTCGGATGGATGAGATTTGGGCGATGAAGGTGAGCCTCGGCGGGGCGTTGAAACGGGTCCGAGAGCCGCTGGGCGATGGGATGTTTCCGTAACGCCGTTTGAGCCGCGGTGAAAGGAGGCCGTAGAGGAACAAAGGGAGGGCCGGCCCGCGACTACAAGTGGTGATCAGGTCTGCTCTGGTTGATTACTGGAAGGGGCCGGATGCGAAGAGGTCGATCATTAAATGAAACAATAAAATAATGCCGAGTTTCTTGGCCCGGCGCGAGGATTCCGTCTGCCAAGTTCGGAGAGGCTCCGTCCAGCGTTCATCAGACGCTCAACGGCGCCAGGTGGTTCCCAAGACACCCCAAACACACGTCTGCCTCAGCTCTCAAATTCACTTTTCCAGGTGGCCCAGGTCTGCGAGCAAACCAATCTGAGCTGGGCAAGCCACGCAAGTGCCTGCCCGAGGCCAACAAATAGGACCGAGGACGACCAAGGGCGGCGGCGCGAACACCGCAGAGTCACGTGCATCAAAGTTTACGCCAATCAAAGCTTGACTAAGAACATAAGCTTAATATTCGCACTTGTGTTCCAGAGGCCGCCGTCCCCATTTTAGTTAGTTGTATCTGGCGCTCATTGGCCTTTGTCCACCATTTGCAGTATTGTAACATAGTACTCCTCCCCCTCGGACGCTCTGGGCCGGGAGTCGGCAAGAGCTGACCGACCGAAGACAAGCAAAGACGATGTCTAATGGGGCGAAGTGGAAGAAGTTTTACAACTCAGCTGCCAAGCTCCGTTAAGAGTCACGAACTTGGCCAAAAACAAAACAATCAAAAGACCCAGCCCCCAACCGGAGCCTGAGCCTGAGCATCAGCCACAACCGGTGATCTGTGACTGCAGGGGGCGTGCGTGCGTGCCTGCTCTTGCGATCTCGAGTCGCTCTTCCTTCCCCTCGATCGTCCCTGCCTTTGCTGCCCTGCCCTGCCCTGCACCTTCCCGCCGTTTCCTTGCGCGGTGCGACGTGGTCGCCGAATGTGGGGCCGACGCACACAGTGCACGCCTTCCCAACACCGTCTCCGCACGCTGACGACGTCAGTGAAGCAACGACGCCTCCACGTGGGTCGAGTTTGGCCTCTTCCAAGGTTCCCACCTTCCCTTTGTGACATCGCCATAAAACCGCTATTGACACTAGCACACCGGCCGACAAACTGCCATATCTGTCACCATCGCAGCAGCCCCTCCCCCGCATTCATCCGTGCATCCTCACAACTACACCAACTGGCCAAGATAGCCAGAATGAGTGTCAACAGCGCCATCGCGGGTTTGCCCGCCTACAAGACCCTCGACGCCTTCGTCAAGTCCGGCAGCACCGATGCAAAGGCTCTGGACGACACGGTCCAGGAGTTCAAGAAGCTCGCAAAGAAATCCGAGTCCGAAATCGAGGACTTTCTTTGGGACACGTACAACGCCATCTTCGCCGTTGCCAAGCAGACTTCGCCCGAAAGGCAAGGTCCCCTTGTCGAGTTTCTGCAGCGCCTGCGCGAGACCACCGTCACGGCCTCTGATGGTCAGCCTCTCAAGCTGAGCAACCAGGTTGTTTGGAAGGAGCTTCCTACCTTTGGATGGGTTGCCCGTGATCTATGGAACTTTGGTAAGTCATTCAACGCATCTCCCAAGTTAATCCAAACCACATAACAAAATTGCTTGGCACTCGTTTGGAACAAGTTTCGACACTAACTACCGCCAGATGCTCTAGACACATCCGCATCCAAGGAAGAAAAGGCCAGCTGGGACAACCTTTCCGCCTTCGTCGCCCAGTTGATCGCCCGAGCCGACCTCAACGACCCCCAGGACCCCTTTGACTTCTCCCTCTACGGTCTCTGGGCCCTGCGCACCGCCTTTGAAGAAGAGCACCCCGCCGACGCGGACGTCGCCGCCGCCGTGAAGCAGGCCTTCCTGTGGATCAACTACTCCGGCGACGCCCTGCAGAAGCTGAGCGCCGAAAACCGCACCTTCCAAGGCAATTCTGGCAATGCCGGTGGCAAGTTTGGCGATCGCGAGTGGAAAGGCTTGAACGAGGAGAGGTGGGGTGCCTGGAGGGAGGCGTTTGCGTCGGCGCAGGCTTCGCTGGGGGACGAGGAGGTGAAGGGTCTTGCCGCGAAGGCTGCGGAGAGCATGAAGGGCAAATGAGCGGGTGAGGTGGCTGAGACCGAAAAAAGTATATGATTGTAAGTACGATGAAAATGAAAAGAAAACAATGAGATTGATACCCCCGAAACAAGTCTTTTCTACTGTGCCCGTGCATGTCTGTGACATGGTTAGAACAAAAGACAAGGATCGCGTAAAGGCCCCTGCCGTCTGTCAGATGATGGGTATCAAATGAGCCTTGCTCATCCTTCTTGAAGTTTCCACATTGAGGCAAAAACACCACCCTTCTCTAACAGCGTCTTTGGGTGGTCAAACTCAGCAACCTGTCCGTCCTGAAGTGTGACAATTTTGTTAAAGTCAGCAACTGCCTTGAGGCGATGGGCGATGACCACGACGGTCCACTCTTGGAACTCGCTCCGGATAAGCTCTTGAACTATTTGCTCCGTCGCTTGGTCAAGACTGTTGACATGTTAACTAGGGCTCACAGGCCAGCCAAACTATATCACAGCAAACTTACCTGCTGGTCACTTCATCGAGCAAAAGGACGCGGCTATTCCTCAGAATGGCCCTCGCCATGCAAAACAGCTGCTTCTGTCCTGCGCTCAGCCAGTCCGTGTTCAGGTCCGGTTCCAAACCACCCTTGTCCTCAAACAGGGTCTTGAGGCCGGTCTTCTGCAAGGCGCCCCAGATGCCGGCATCGTCGCGGGCGCCGAACGGATCGAGGTTTCGGCGGACGGTTCCAGGCAAGAAGAGCGGGTCCTGAGGAAGCGCCACAAGGGACTTGCGGAGCTGGTTGATGGGCACGGTTGAGATGTCCACGCCGTCGATCTCAATTGCTCCGGAAGACGGGTCGTGGAGTCGGACGAGGAGCGCTAGTAGCGTGGACTTGCCGCTCCCCGTGCGCCCGCAGATGGCCACCTTCTCGCCAGGTTTGATTGAGAGATTGATGCCGCTGAGGACCTGGTGGTCGTCGTAGGCCGCCGAGACGTTGGTGATGTCAATCTGCCCCTTCGCAGGCCATTCTTCGACAGTGACCGGGGTGTCCCCGCCCTCCTCCGAGGGCGTCTCCGTCTCGAACTCCCTGATCCTCGCCACAGCCCCCAGGCTTGTCTCCAGCATCGCCCAGTTATTCAACAGTCCCGTCAGCAACTGCCCAAAGCCCATGACGCTGACGAGCGCCACGCCGAGCAACCCGGGGTCGATGGTGTCCTGCAACGCCACGGACAGACTGACGAGCAAGACAGCGAGCGCGGCGACGGTGAGGTTGAGCACGAGAAGCAGCCATCTCTGCAGACTGCCCATCATGTAAAACGCGCGCTGGGAGAGGTCGAGTTTCTCCAGGTTTTCGGCCTGAACTTTGTCGGTCCAGTTCAGCGCGCGGATTGTGACGAGTCCGGAAAAGGACGCGATGAAGTGCGAGAAGATGGGCGACTTGGTTTCGAGATCGAGCAGGCGCACCTGGCGGGAGGTCTGGAGGTAGACGTGCTGTATCATGAAGAGAACCGCGGCGAGGACAGGGATGGCGAAGGCGAGGTAGCCTGTTGCGGTGCAGGTAAGGATGATGTCTGCGATGGTTAGGGTGAAGCCTAGCGGGATTAGTATTTGCAGTCAGACGTCTTCATGGGCAAAGATGGTGGTAAGAGGATTCCTTACTGTCGCATGTTAGGAGGAAGGCAATTGGGAGTGGCAAGTCGACGAGGTTCATGTCCTGGCTAAATCTAGAGTGGAGGGTATCAGACGGGGGCTTAAGCGATGACTGGAGGTGAGGGTGGGATTACCGGTTGATGATTACGCCAGTATCTGTCTTTACAAAGAAGGACAACGGCGCGCTGAAAGCAAGTCAGCTGTCATGCGCACACAAGAGGCATCTGGCACACCGTTGTCAGGGGAGACTCACGCAAATGCCGCCTTGAGAACACTAAAGTGAAGCCCCTTGGCCGAGTGAGGAACGACGATGACGAGGAACCAACTAAATCACATTCATAAGCACATGTTCCTTGCAACGGGAAGAACGACTCACAAAGTTTCCATTGCGAGTGCAATTTCTGTCAAGACACCCCAGAGGATGTACAGTCCTGCCCACATTCCCAAGTTCTCCTGGCCGCCGCTCTCGTTGGCTGCGACCCAGAACTTGACCCAGAGACCTGTTACACAGTTAGTCTATCCTCTGCGGCAACCTGGGGGCTCCTGAGAGGGGGTCTCGTACGCTGCATGGTTCTACAAGATGTTTGGAAAAGAACCATTGCAAAGAACAAGGCGAATGACGAAGTTCCCATGGACCTGATGTAGTACCATAGGGAGCTTGTGTTGGCGGCGCCGCGAGTGTTGGGGGTCTTGGAGGCGTCTGGCGCGGCAGGGGAGGCGTGTTTATCTTTCTGCTTGCCGTTTTTTTTAAGAGGCTCCTTTGCGGGCTCTTCTTCCTCACGATTGCTCTGCTGCGAGACCCGGAGCGTGCTGACGTACCCCCCGCTCTTGCTTAGCTCTTCGTAAGACCCCATCTCGGAGATCCTGCCGTCGCTCCCAAGAGCGATGATGTTGTCGGCGAAGCGGAGCCATTGTGCTACGACGGATTGTCAGGGGCTGAAGCTTTGGGCCTGGGAAAGGCGATGTACGTACCATTGTGCGTCGCGAGCAAGACCGCTCGGTTGTGCCCGCGCAAGAGACCATCGGTGCCGAACAACGCTTCGAAGCACTTCGAAGCGGTATCCGAGTCGAGACCCTTCAGATTATCGTCCATGATGACGACCTGTTTTCCGCTGTAGACTGCTCTGGCAAGCGCCTCCACGTTCATGTCAGTGCGGCACCCGTTGTCAACAGGGGAGACTTCTTACAATGCGATGCTTCTGTCCACCACTGAGGGCGGCACCAGAGCTTCCGACCACAGTCTCATCGCGCTGAGGCAGGAGAATGAGATCCTGATCTAGCTGACAGGCCTGGATGACCTTGCTGTAAAGAACGGGGTCATAGCCGGCGCCGCCAAAGATGTTGTCTTTGATGCTCTGGTTGAGAATCCAGGGGTCTTGGTCGCAGTATGCCACGTCTGTGCTGGTAGTGTACTCTACAGTTCCGGATATGCGATAGGTCTCGCCTACAAGGGACTTGAGCAGGGTAGATTTGCCGGACCCGACGGGACCGACTAGCATCGTGAGAGTCCCACAAGGGACCCCGATGTCCAAGTCATGCAGGATTGGCTGAGTGCTATGCCAACCGAAAGATCCTTCCGATACCTTGATCAAAGGCCGCGACTCTGCTAGGGGCTCCGATATCCCGTTTTCATGCACGGGGTTTTGAGAAGTCACGAATTTGATCTGGCGGTAATCGTTCCGCTTCTCCTTCACCATAAACTCCTGGATTCTATCCAGACACCCAATTACAGATCCTAAGTTGTGCGGGATCATGACGAGCTCGGAGACGGGGTTGATCAAGATGCCGAGGAGGCTAAGGGAGGTAAAGGCCTGGACCACGTTCAGAGGCTCCCCATTAGACAGCTTCTGGACGATCGCGAAGGCTGTAAAGGTGATGGACGGCGTTATGATGGAAGGGAGTTGCCCTAAACAACGTCAACTAGGACCAAAAAGTGGTCGATGTTGAGGATCAGACGGAGGGAGAACATCGACTAGTGTGACTTACCAACGAGAACATTGATAATCTGCATCCTCCTAAACTTCTTGGACTCGTCGAGCTCAAAGTCCCGCAGGCCTTGAATCTGATCCTGGACCGCGGCAGACAGGCCGCTCATCTTGACGCCCTTCACCGAGCCGATGATTTCGGTGGTGATGCCGACTCGTTTCTGGATCGCCTCCATCCATCTGCGTTGGCGTGGAGGAACCAATTGGCCGACCCTCACCCCGACAGACACACAGACTGACATGTATTCATTAGCTTGTTGGTCCCAGCGAAGAAGGCTATGTTTCATTCCGGGCGGTGGCTTACGGATTGCGATAACTACAGGAGCGACGCTGACGCCGCCGAGCTGGCTGCTCAGAATCCACAGCGCGAAACCCAACTGGATCAGATTTGGGACGATGGAAAACGACCATTGAGCGGCTACGGTGATGCGCTCCACCTCCGTGCTCATCAACGAGACGGCAGCCTGGGAGTTGTCTGTCTCTGCTCGAAGAGATAGCATGTTCTGGTAGATGATTGCGATGAGAGCACCTCTGATGCGGGTGATGAGCCGGTTGTTGAGCTGGCCATACCATTGAGTAGATATCTGATCCATCGTAAGCGCTTTGAAACCGATTTCGATTTGTCGCACATACAGAGACTCCGAGATAGGTCATAGCAAAGGCGGCAATGAGCCATTGGCCACAGCTGACAGGTTTGTCTCCATGGTTCTGAATATACTTGATGGTGGTCTGCACAAGTAGTGGCTGCACGAGACCAAACCCGACCATGGCAAGGCGCGGAATGTGGATGACGAAGATGTCGGCCCAGAAAGCTCGCAGGACTGCTACCGCAAGAGCATGGCTTCGATTCTGATTTACTACTCATTTGCACTGGTCAGCGTTTCGCACACAAGATCGGGGTTAATGAGCCAACGAACCTTTTTGCCAGGCTGAGGATAGCCTACCAAGCACCTTCTCACCAGACAGAGGTTCGTCGACTGGCTCAAGATCATCGACCGTGAGGTCTTTCCTCCACCCCAGCGACAACAGTGGGTTTACCCACAACGCGAGACCCTTGCCGAAGATGCCCGCAATCTCCTCCCGAGAGACCTGCCGCGCTGGGATGGAGATGACTGCAGCCTTTGACCTTGACTCTGTGAACAACAGAAAGATCTTGATAAACAGCTGGATGAACACCAGCTGTGACTCGTGATAAAGACCTCCAGCAAACCAGACGCTTCTGATGCGAGTCGCGTCCAGCACGACTGTAAGAAGGAGGAATGTCTGCAGCAGGGCGGATGGGGCCAACGACCTGCTGTGCTCCAGCTTTGAAACCAAGAGGAGTAGAAGGCTGGAAATGACCGACACGGCCCATGATGCGATGCTGATACCCAAATCATGGTGTGGGACGCCGGCGACAGCAGTCCAGATCAAGGATTCCAAGCCGGCAACCTGGAACGCGGGGAGGGCATGCCAGAGAACCTGCAGACGCGAGTAAGCCAGCCGACCACAACTGTCAGACCGATGCAGCCTACTAATTTTCGGGTCAAAAGATGTGATCCTTGAGGTGATGCTGATTGTCTCCTGGGCTGGCAGCACCCGAAGAACCCGGAAATAAGGATGGCGGAAATCGGTGCGATGGCGAGTGAGGATGGCAGGGTGAGCAACAGAATGGCGCACAGAACGATACAGCCGACCAAGTAGCGAGTGAAGAGAATCGATCCCTGGGCCACCACTGGTCGTTTCCACAACTGTCTGCACCGGTGAAGGCCCCAGAGGATGGCTATCGAGCAGGGTATGATGGAGTAGACAATTTCTTCGAGGCCGAGATCGAAGTCGGCGTTCCGGACGCACGTCGTTGACTTGGAAGACGCGCCGCCCGAGCACCCTTGAACCCCAAGGACTGCCTGCCTGTCGGCCCAGCGACTCATTGTTCCGATGCGAAAAAACGAATTGTGGGACGTCTGCGGGCTCTGCATTCCCAGCGGAGGTCCAATTGCAGGCGTGAAGAATATCTGAGGCTCTGGGCTCACTGGATGTAGTCAATGAGTCTTCATATGACGGTGGATGCAATCCCAAAATACGGGAAGACAAACGTGACGACACCGGGCTGTTCCGGGAGGGATTGCTGACAGGGTTTCCGAAACCCAACGCCCCTGACAACTCGGAGATAAGCGACAATGCTTTTGCTGCTGTGCCACTCCATCTCTTGTGTTGCGACGGCAGGGTATGTACACCTGCCTGAAATAGGCTGGTTGCGGCTCAGATCAGATGCTCACCAAAGATTGCACTGGTCAGTTCGTATGAGCGATTCGGGACGAAGCGACCGTGAGAGTATTATGTAGATGGTTTAAATAGTGTCGCGCCTTGCAGCGGTCTATTCGGCCGAAATGCGAGACTGGAAAATAGTCAATCCGAGATGAGCAATCAAGGCGGCTACATTTCCAGTTGTACTGAGATAGTCAAAGGCTCTCATGACAAGAAGAATCCAAGAAACATGAGGCACTATATGTTTTATTTGTCGTGGCTGAATCAACAATCCACTTCAAGACGACTGTCTATGCTTCTGCGAGTCAATGACACATTTGCCTATGAACCATAAACGGGGCCTCTATCAATGAATACCGGAGATGTGGGGTGTGAGATAGTAACGGACGAAGTTCAAGGTGACGGCTGTGAGCATGGATAAGAGGGAGAGCACCGATCAGGAACTCCAAACGCATCTCCACACAGACTAGGTTCACAGAGCCACAGGCCGCTGGTAGACACAACCAGACTTGTGCCGTCAACTTACAAAACTTTAATCACGCTCCACGGACCTGGTCGTAACGGAGGGCAGAAGCCTTCTTTCGGTCAGTCCGACAAATGTCATGCCCTTGTGCCCCTGGACCGCAGCTGCGCGGACACTAGCTTGCTACAGCAGCAGTGAAAGCTGATTATACGACCCGGGGCGGAGACACGCGTACCAGTCCCAGTCTATTAATCATGTCTTTGAGAGCAACTAGCAGCAAACTCTGGTGTTTGTAGTTTAGAGTCTACGGTCCTGTTGGTTCTGCGGTGGAATGTCGGAGATTACGTAGAGAGTGGCCAACTGTGCTTTACATACAGGTCGATTGTCTATGCTCCACTGGTAGATCAGGTTTCAGGATAAGTCACAAAGCCTGCGAGCATAAGCGTGCAGATGTTCTAGAAGCTGGTTCTGTCATCAAGGTACTCAGCCTACAAGGATACATAGTTTGCTCAATCGAAGACCCCCTAAGTGGGCGGCCGTATCTCCTAATTGTTTGGCTGAGAATGATGTTTTTATGGAAGTTGTGTTTAAGTTTGTTGATCTTGAGCACTTAGACGACTGAAACACCCCTAGTTACGTACTAGAAGATTATTCTTCTGACAGTGCGATCGCAAGAACGAAGAGGATCTTGAAGTCAAATTAGGCAATATAGTAACGTGAGATCTAATAATAGTACGAACACGAACAGTAGTCTGATTCAAAACTGTGCTAACAGTCCAACAGAGCATTCAGGAGACGTTTACAGGATTAGTGTCTTTCTTAAGCAAAGATTTAATACAGTTTCAAGGAACCCGCATTGTAATCTTACTAATTCAATCAGTTCTGTAGGCAATTCATGACAGGAGTAAGTTAATGCACAATCATACGTAGTATTGTCTGTCTACCTTGTTTCAATAAGCAAGAACCAGATGATGTTGACCTCGTCCACTTAGTCGGGGTCAAATCGCCCTTCAAGAAGCAAGACTGCCGGCTGAATAGCTAAACCTTGAGACTGTAGTGGGAATGTGGCTGCAGAGGTCATATCAAATGAAGTAACAGGTTGCCCTCCTTGGCGCAATACACTGCATACTGTCTGGCTTTTGTTGTTGATCATATATGGTTAGATTTCTCATTACTCTAACCTAGGCTAAAGGACTGTTTCCTCATGTCAGCCATTATCATAGACATCCTACTATGATTTTACATTATTAAATTTATATCCCCAGTTCCAGCTACAAAGTGCCTGACTTTAATGGCATTTAGAACCTATGTCTCCACTGACATCCGCGCAAACACCAGAACTCTGAGCTTGTGAGCAAGCATCTTTGAATTCATTACCACCAAATCCAGAGACGTATTGCATCCGTCCGACATCGTCCGGGGCAATGCTTGCGCAAACCTAGATCTTGGGATGAGTATGGAATCCAAGTAAGGCAGTCGGGACGCTTTGGAGCTAAGAGCTACTCACATGCCATAACATTGTGGTGTTGACCTTCGACGGATCGTCCTCGAATATTTTCATCGACGACCGGTAAATTTCACAAGCCTTTTCCGTGAGGCACTTGTTTGATCCATCGGTGAAAGCACTAGTAGACAAAGTGCAGAAACACTTGGAGTGCTGATTTGCAAAAGCCCTATTTCTGTTAGACGCACCATCAACCTAATGGGTTGATGTTGAACTTACCCTGGAAGGACCAAAAATGACAAAGAAAAGCAGAGATGAAGAAATCTGAAATACATTTGATCGATATCAGGACTGGCCTGGTGTTGAAAGGAAAGAAGTGCAGACGAGGAGAAACCAGAATGTAGACGATAAGTGCTAGATTCCTGGGATCGCATATGCGTTTCAACTGCCCTCATGCTGGTTAGGATGGGCCATCGGCCATACTTATCTGTCTATTTTGGGTTCCTATTGTGCGCGTTCGGGCCAGGCACAGGCCGTGGCTGAGTTTAATTGCAATCTGATTAGCTCGAAGCGGACTCTTAAAATAGGATGCTCCCTGCTGTCCCACGGTTATCAAGATAATAAACCGAGGAAATGACGAGATACCGATTGCGCCTTAATTTCTCCCCCGGAAGTATCCCCGCTAGATAATAGATAGATTATGTTCCCGTGTGACCCGACGCGCCCAAGCAACTCCACTGTCCACTTTTGCCTTATGATACTACCTAGCTTGACAGACGCGGGGTAGAGCGGATCCCACCGGCCAACCTCGCCAGTTTGCCTACAAAACCAACTGATAAGAGAGCCAGGCGCGGCCGCCGACCGAGTTTTTGCACGAGTCAACGCGAGCGGCTGGACACATTCATTAGACCAAAACTGCCGATCATATACCGTATTATTGTATGACATAGAAGGAAGGATGAACATGCCTTCCAAATCCATACTTGCTGGAGCCAACCATGATCCACAGGTCACACGACCCAATATGGATATATTAAGTCTGATAGCCGGTCCGCAGATTGTATGTATGACAACATTTTGATCCATAGCAACTGCTTACGACGACGCCTGACGCACCGAGGAAGCAGCAATCTTGCCTATGGCAGTTGTAGCAATATCACGCTAAGATATGCTAATCGTACTGAGCTATGTCTCGATTTAAATAAAATTGACCAGAAAAATAGTACGTGGAATATGATGATATCGTAGCGTACCATTGCTTATGTTAGAATGCAAACGAGTCAAAGCCAGAGTTTCAGTTCTAAGAGCAACATGGAAATAGGTGCAGTGAGGCGACTTGGATTCGACCAAGCCGCTATGGTTATTCGTAAGCGTTTCCTCATCCTTCTTGCTTTTCTTCCTTCTTTACGTTTTTCTTGGCCACTTTGGAGAGAAAGGAAAGGTCAGGTGTCTGGTGAACGCCATGTGTTAGTTCAAATAAAGGCTTGGTTTCATTGCCGACTGGCGGCGAACACTGAGCATAACTCCGAAGACTTGGTAGCGATGAAATCACCTGCAATGAACCAACAACCACACTGATGACGGTCCCTCGGTCTGCTCCATTGCGCCTTAGATCTCAATTTTCTGACCTTTGCTGCTACCTTGATAGTACATACATCTTGATCAATACGCACTGTTTACTGTTAAAACTCCATCCTCAGTTATCGAAGAAACAACAAAAAGGAAAACACTCACTTTGGTACTATGCGGAATAAGCCTGAGTGCACACATCCAATCTCTGGGACGTGAGCTCGTGCCCGGTGAACATGAAGGCTCCCCAATCCTCCCACCCCGTGACCACTTTGTCGTTCGGCAATGGGTCGCAACTGTTGGGGTCGATGCCAATGCGGAATTTGAACGGTTGAGGACTACTACCGAACGTGACGTTCGTGAGGGCCTGGATGTTGCCATTCGAATCTTTCGAATTTGCGACGGTGCATTTTGTTCCAGCTGGAAGCGTGCCACCAAGACCGCACCTCACAACTTGTGCGGGCTCATCCCATTTGAGGAACAGCCAGTTTGTGTCTCCCCACTGATCGCCCCAACAACAGCTGTCTGCTGCAGCATATGCGATAAATGCTGAAGGTGCAAGAGCACGAATGAGAGAAGTGGATTTCATGGTGACAAGTCTGAATATGGCGACAAAAAGTGGTGGGCGGCCTGGTGGTGATGAGTGATATTTTGTATATGCTAGATCCTGTGACACACCAACTGGCTGGGTGTCGCCTGTTCATGAACACAAAGAACATCGGACGAACTACTCCGGATGAGAAGAAAGTTCGAAGAGAATTGATAGAGTGAGTTTTAGTACAAAGTGCCGCAGCCATTACTGAGCCTCAGGATAAAGGTGATGTGACAAGGGATTGGCCCTTTGCACCCCTTTCAAAGACTCACAAGGCCATGACCAAATAGACGTATATGCCATCCTATTATAGAACACTAAGTCGTATGCAATTTAGTTCAGATACACTGCCTTTTCCTAAATCTGAAAGTTGTTCGCCGATCTTATTGGGCAATGATTCATGCTTTTTGTCGAATTGATCGCCGAGTAAGGATTATACTTGGAGAACGGTCCTTGATCAAACCTTGTTCCTGAGTGGACCCACCCGAGGTCATGCGAGTACGCTCCAAAATAGGAATGCAGTGGGAGTCGTCAGCGATGGAACTGGATTTATGTCTGTTCCAACAACTATATCCTGAATTCTTGCTGTTCCCACAGCCACTACTTTCCAAGTCCGTCAACTGAATACCCTTTCGCTCATTCGTGTCGCAGCTCTCGTTGTGACAGTCCTCATTGTGTACCCATAATGATTCTCTTGAATCTCGTCTTTCTTTTCTTTCTGCCAATCAATGCATCACCGGTGGCCTCGCCTATCCGCCCTGAGATCCAGAAATTGAAAGCGCGGAACGTCACCGCCAGTCAATGCTCTCCTTCTTCTCAAGATGGGTACGACATCACCTTGGCTCTGTTTCTTTTAGATGAAGAGCTTGCTAACACAATGAATGATTGGGACAGCATCCAGCCACAATGCTGGGAAGCCTTAGACATGAACAACCATCTCAAGGTATGATCGAAAATTTATGGAAACTTTCCTCTCTAACAAGACTTACAGAACTGGTGGTCCAATAACTCCGCGAGGTGCAACTCGACAAACAGAGGCTTTTCTCAGTGCTACTTGGATACGGCGGTATGAAGGCATTTGTAAAACCACAGGCGTTTCCATCTAATCTGGTCATAGGGGATGATCACATGGAGTTGCGACTTTATCGCCCTCAACGGGTGTACTCCGCCACCTAGCGGGCGTGACAGTGATTACGGTTCATCTCAAGAATTTTACGTAAGCAGGACAACCCGACTGAAATCAAGTCAACAGTTACTGACAGCTTGTGAAGGTCATCTGGAACATTTACGGTTGGTTGATCCGGATGTTTCCCGAGTTTCGAGGACTGTATTAACTTTCAAGGCTTCGCAGCTATCAACCTCTTTTGGACCAACTATCACCAGGCTCTCTTGAATGGCCAAGCAACTGCCATGCAAGTGTCTCCTCACCAACACTCCGCATTGTCTAATGTTTCGAACAGTGGAGCGGTTGCCGAGATTGTCAAAGTTGTTGCACCACCCACAACAAAAAACCCGAATACCCCAAACTTTTCTCCGATCTGGGGTGCCTCGCTTGGCTTGTTCTCTGTGAGTACAATTCAGGACATTTCCAACACCAAGTGAGAGATTCTAACGTTTCTGGTCACGAAAGTCATTGTCTTCCCTCATTCCGGGTGGCAATGTCGGAGCAAGCCTGCTCTTCGGTTCAATTACAGGCGTTCTTGGTGGTGGAGCTGGTCTTTTTAGTAAGCTCTTTCCGACCACACAACAGTATCAGGTTTCCTGGGAGGAACTTTCAGCTTCCCTATCCGATAACGTTAATGAGTACCAAAAAAACGTTGGGGAAGCATTGACACAGATACAAACCGATTTTGACACTTTCTATGCTATTACTTCAAACGGCGGGTTCAGTCAGGTGAGTTGTTGATACTTCAAGGCCTGTGATGCAATGCAATCAGCCTGACGCCTTGTTGTCAGAAACTCAATACCAACCTTCCTGACAACACCGACTTCATGTACCACAATCTTCTCAAGTGGACCTTAAACCAGGCACTCCAATTGGACGATTATTTCGCAGTAAAGAAGTTTGTTTGAAGCACCTGCTAAGCCATTAACACCAGCTAATGAGACTGCAGCCCTGGCGTTGATCCGACAAAAATCCCAATCGACCCTTATGACTGTACCAAACTCGATAACTACAGTACTTGTGGCCCAATTTGGTATGATGGAAAGGACTCTTATGGACTCACTAGAGCTCATGGTATGTTCTGGAACTATACAGTCTGGGGGGTTTGATAGTTAGACTGACCCGATCATGAAGATATTGGTATGGACCGTATGAAAGAAATCCTGGACTCAGCCTTCTCGAAAAACTGGACCACACCACATGAACTCTACATCGACGCACAGTCATGTCAGGGAGTGAATGGTTCCGAGGCATTTAACGTCAAAGATCTGACTTTGAGCTGCGTGGTAAATGTTTTTCTACTCTATGCCCCTTTCTTAGCTTCGTTAGGACTGAGCGGCTGATCTTATTCTCGACTAGTCTAACTTGCCAGTTTGCGAATTCAATTTCGACTATAACCCATATCAGTCCATTGAGCTCCGAAACAGTGTATCAGAGTTCATCAATTGTCCCAGCCAATACGGATGGGGTACTCCCCCATTCTGGAGTGACGATGCGGGAGTCCCTCTCACGTATTTAGGCCCGTTTCTGGTATGTCCGATAGTCATATGTTTGCTGCTTCGCGAAGTTGCGGACTCATCGTGGAAAATACTGTACTAACATGGAAACAACTAGATGTCCGGCGTTATTTACAACGAGAAGCATGGTTAAGATAGATTGTCTCTGCGCACCAGGCAGGCTCTGGCCCAAGAAATCTGCACAATTTTCTAAGTGTTTCTAATGACTGATCCTCGCCAATGATATCGACACATTCGATGTAGATCAGAACTTCAGATACCAAGAAGCCTACTTCTTGTGAAAGGTGAAAAATATGCTAGAAAAATATGCTACGTAATGGGAGTTTGTTTGACCAACAGATTACATCGATAATAATAATTACCAGAAATGGTCTAGGGGGAAATAGCAAAATCAAAACAAAGCCCCTCCATCAGTTTTTGGTAGGTGGACTGTTCAGTATGTTTCCAAAAATGTCTGTCGGCAGCGCATTGCCATTCATCGGCCCGGCATTTATGATGCCGTTAGTCGTGCAACCAGGAAATTAAAGCGCAAACAGTTGCGCCCAAAACAAGACGGATGACGTCACCACCAACGAGCTCGAGGCCAGCTTCTCTGGAATAATCTTGCCGAACGACTGAGGCCCTCACCACAACCTCAAATAAGTTAAAGGCCAGAGGAATGTAGTCAGATGGCTGACGAATAGGGAAGCGACACATAACGGTATGGCCTAACAGAGAGTGGAGTCAGAGGCATAGAACGCACTTGTGTCTTTGGCGTCTGTGCCGCGATACAAGCTAGGTGCAGGTCATACACAACGTGATGTAGCAACTGTCGGAGAAGGGGTAATTCGGGATCTAGTGCTTCATGTTCAAGTTGAGTGTATGTATACTTTGTGTTCACCGGATGATGGCCTTGCTCGTAGTCGAAAGAAAAGACAGGGTCCCCAAGGTTTGTAGATCCGTAATTTAGCTAAGCCTTGGTTTAAGTGATTACCTATTATGAAATGTTGACTAATGAATACCAGAGAGCTCTCTATCCCGAGCAATAAGAAGCGGAATTTCAGACACCTACTAACAGACCAAAGACTAGGATAAGAAAGTTCGGGAGATTTGCGGTGACAGATCTTGATGACTGCTACCAACGTTTCCACTATGTCAGGCAAATGAAGAAAAATAAACGGTAAGCTCATCGGTCGTTCATCGGTCAGTAACAATAACTGGAGGAAAATTAGAACAAAGTTAAATCTAGTTCACCGTACTCACAGCCTATATGGCCACCTGATTAAGGCTAGTGGCTTGTTCTTGTGAACAACAAGTCCTGCCCAGCTGGAATGAAAACAGCAAGAATGGACCGGTAATTTGCCCAAATCTATTTTTTGGGAACAAATAGTTTCCTGTCTACACAGATGATAACACGATACTCGCACTCCAAAAGCGGGCCTCTACTCATTGGTGGGCAGCTTGCTGACTTGGAGAAAAAGGACATAGAACAGACAACAAGATTGTTTTTTTCGTTTTCCAGTATCCTCATCATATTTGGTGGTTATTTTTCTGAACCTGGTCGTGCGATGCTGAAGCTTGGAGGCAAGATCTGAAGCTTGCTGACTGGAAGGGACCCTGTCCTTTGTCACCCCTGTGCTAGTCTAGAGGTTGGAGAAGTTTGAGTCCTTCAGCATCACAATAAGCTTACTGCCAAGTGTTCTATCTCTGTAGTGGGTTTGAGTAGTTGTTTCTATATTCGGAGATACAACTCGGCCTTGGGGTTGACTATGAATCATTATCCCTCGGCCGGTTATTGACAGACTGGTTGATGCTGTTTGAGTTGGGTCTGCTCCGTATCCCGACTGGAGTTCGGCATCTTTTTTATTGGCAAAAGACGGCTGCTACAGAAACTGGCAGCTATGTCCCTGACCATGCCCAAGATCCGAGGTCAAACCAAGCCACTTACACACCATCTCAGGCATACTGGGCAATCTAATCGTCCCCCCGAAATCTTTAGCCGGTAAGTAAGGTTATTGTCAATCGACATCTCCAATATTCGGTAACTATGGACAAATCGGGTATTCTACCAACCCAACAGGCTGGGATTGTGCGGATAGTTACGAAGTCCAGTAACTGCCAAGTGGTGGAATTAGTTCTTCAACTGTCGCCATTGATTCGATTAACAAACGAAGGTTTTCAGCCACCGATCTAGCTTCAGGGAAATATCACTTTGTCTTCGCTCGGTAAAAGATGTTTACCGGCCCCCCCGATTAGCTTGTTGGCTGAAATTGCCGGGTTATCCTGTGGTGTGACTTGTTCTGTCGCCCTGAAAGCAACGTCCGAACTGTCAAATGGTACCCCTGAATCCGATTTGTTGGTACTGTCTGAGACGAGAAACGTGACAGGGGACTTCCGTGCACAGGGGTCACGGTTCTGAGCTAGGAGAGTTCGGCAAGGATCGTTATCGCGTTTTCGTATTTGGGCCAATTGTTTGATGCTGTAAGCGATTGTGACCTTACAAGCAGAATGAGTGGATCTTCGAGACCATCATAGCCTCCAGTTAATCTAGATCGCATGCATTGTGTTCGTCATCCATAAAATCTTTGGTGTAGACCGACGTGCATGCATTGAGAAATTAAGTATTGATGGTAGGTTTGAATAAATTAAAAATGGCGCTTGCTCTTTTCTGGCCATGGGCATATCGTCTGATCCTCTCCAACATTTCACAGTAGCGTCATCGGTTGGCAGGCGAGGTTACCGGCTGCTTTTGATGGCACTTAGAATGGAGCAAGTGCGATCAGAGACGTACGACCTATCAAAGGACATGCTTGGTCAAGCTCAAGTTGTTTTATATTAGAATTGAGGGGTGCATACTCTGTGTTGTGAAAATTTGGGTTTCGCGAAGCACTTACTATCCGGCAGGATCGTGCTTTCTTCTTCCTCTACGCGGAACAATATCTTCCTCGCGTTTTGCCTGGCGATAAGAAGGTCTACACGATGTTCACACCGAAATCCACGTTAAGAGAAATACGGAGACGGCTGCATGGAACGGGTAAGAATGGGAATAAAATATGATGGCTGAAAGCCACTATTAGTCTATGCTTGTAACACCAAAACGCCCTGTCTTGGGATATCTTCCAAATCTTCTACATGACGCCTGCCCACATACAACTGTACTACAGCTCTAAACCACTTCCACTTATTTGTTGACTTGGATCAAGCCAGGCCCTGCTAACGTCGCTTTCGCGATGTCATCAGGGTTGGTGAATTGGCTCTCATAAGTGAGAGCTGCAATCGACAGACCGTACATGCTATTCTTCTCAAAGGGAAACTCGGCATCGAATGTAATTTGAGCGCCCTCCCACTTTGGATTTGCGACAGGAACGCTGAGTGGTACATTTTGCCCGCTCAGGTATGTGACATAAAGCGGTGCTTTATCCTTCCCGAGAAACCTGCCGGCGGTGACAAGCTCTCTCAAATTGACTTCGAATGAAAGCATTTGATTCTTTGCCTCAACCTCTCCGGCCTGCATCTGCGCGACCCTTAAAGGGGCGAAGGTGGGGATGTCAATCTGAGACATCTTAAAGGAGCATGAGCCTGGGACAATGAAGGCTTGCAGCGCGGAGAAAGCGAATGGAGCTATCGAAGTTGTAAGGAACGGTTGCGATGATGGCGGGCGTGACAAGATGCTACGGTAATAACCGTTTTGCTCTCCTTCCTGGCCGATGACTGCGCTGACGGCACGGACTGGGCCAACATCACCATTTTTCGCCAATAGCTGATTCGCATCTTGGAGCGTGCCGAGGACGATAGAGGTGAAAGTCTCGGCAAGCGAAACGGCCTCCTTCAAGCTGTTTGTTGGAAATTGATATTTGCATGGCGGCGGTGAAAAAGCTTTGAAGTGATCAAGAACTCCCTTGGCGTCAAGCGCATGAAGTTTTTCTTGCTAGCGCAGTTGTTAACATTGATGTGGACATCGTAAAAAGTAAGGACCACCTACAGCAACCACAATCTTGAGAGTTTCCACCAGCTTATCCTTCTCTGTGACGTCCCAACCATCTCCTCCATTCGTGACGTTTTCAAGCATGGAAGAGAAGAAGGCAACCTCAAACTGCTCGTTAAATTGAATGAGTTGAAAAGTTGTCAGACTGCTTGGTTCCAACTTTGGTGGTGGTGCCGAGTTAGGGAGCGAGCCACGAGCGTCCTCCTCAACTATCTTGATCTCCTCCAGGGTGTGTGGGAGATCGGCGCTAAAGCTTCGGCGCTCGAGCGGGGCCGCTGCCGACAAGCTTGCAAATGTCGCCACGGCGGCCGCGAGAGTAGTCGTTAGCTGCATGTTTTCTCCTCACAGGTCTGGCGTCTTGGTAGGGAATGTGTTATCAAGTGATTTACACAGAAAGAAGAATACGAGATACAAAATTACCAAAAGTAGGGAGAAATGAAGCGGCTCAACCTGGCATATTATCCAGAGGGAAATGGACATAGCTGGGTGACCGAGACGAACTATTATACTCTTGAAGAGTCTGTTTCGATACATGATCTTGAAACCTGTTTCTCCCTTGGCGCACGTGGACCTGCGACTCTCTGGGGAGAGTACATGCGCTTAAACACACACACACACACACGATACACAAAGACATTACACTACCAGCACACAGGCACATCGGATTTTGTGCACCCAAGCGTTCCACGGAACGTTCTTGGGCCGACAGAACCGCCCACAGGTAGGGCTGGTTTCGGAAGGAAAAGGCACCGCTTGCTCAACCTGGAACGTTACAGGGGTTGAGCTAGATAACGTCTCTTGGGACGGGTAGATTGCCGCTTCGATTTCCATGGATCATCTACGCAGACGAGCAATGGCGGGGAGCTGGCAAGGCCAACACAAGCGCCGAACGCCTTGTCAGGTCAAATCCAAACAACACTTGTCTCCGTCTCCATCCAATTCGGACATTCAACCAATCTTGTTGACTCATTTGAATGAACCTGACACGTGCCTAACCTCACTTTCTGGCGCTGTCTTGAGGGCTGTGCCGAAGGCTACTCCATGCATCAAACGTCTTCCATTAGAGAATGTTTCTCTTTTCGGTCCCTAATTAGGAAACATTACAACATCGCGGCTACCGCTGCCGAACCCCGTACGAAGTCGCTCATTACTCGGAAGGGGTCTGCGCCAGACTCTAGGCCCAGCTTGTGCCTCTCCTTGCCAACCTGAAGCTTTGTTCACGTTCAAAGTCGGTGGCCTTGACAACTTCCCGCCTACCAGCAGCCATTGCCGCTGTAGGCGGCGTCGGAGTCCCCCCACGCGATGCCGGACCATCATTCATCAGAAGAGCAGAGCCAGAGCCACCAATAACCGAATCGGGAACGGCACCGCCTCTCGCGCCCGAATCAGTACCCTCCTCTCCAACTTTTCCATCAAAACGATTACTACTGCGCCCACCATCTTGCCGTTCCTGCAGTGAAGGCCTTTGCGCCGTCGCTTGGTCCCTCTTCTCCACAAAATGCGCGACGCCCGTTCGCGAGCGCCTCATCACTTTGTTGCCGAACTCCGCCAAGTCTTCTTCCCCTCCAAAGTCGAGCTGCGCGTGCGCCCACATGAGAGACTCGTTGTAATGTTCCCGCGCGTATGTGTGGAACGACAGGCAAAAAGCCTTGAGCGGCCGGTGACCCATTTTGTCAAAAACCAAGAACCCGCGCGCTGCATGCAGCATCTCTTCGAGACTACGATGAGGCACGTGTTGCATTTCTGGTGTCGGCATCGTCGACCTCCTCAATCTTGTTGATACCGTCGGAGTCGAGTTTGTTCTTTTGGTGTGAGCTCGAGCGGATGTCTTGGCAGACCGACGTATAAGCCTTTGAAGACTCTCGTACTCTATGCCTAAAGCGAAGTCATAATGCGCAACAGCAGCGATTACCTTTAAGCCGAGGTCTCGTCGGGATGGCGACTGTTCCTCGATGCGTCTAATCCCGACGTCGAACAAGCCCACAATATTGGCCGGCAACACATCAGACATGGCGGAAATGGCATCTACGGATTGAGTTTGGTGCGCGTTGTCCAGTCGGAGACGAGCTAGACTAACGTTGCCCCCCGCCCGCGCCTTAATTTGAGCCCGCAACTTGTTGAGAGCTTCATGGTTTCGGAGGTCGACAAGCCGTCTACCGAAAGCGGATTTTGGGGGTTTATCGGGGTTTTTGCTGCCCAATCCCAAGTCTCCGTGCTCAGTTTCCAAGTCCCAGTCAATGAATCGCGCAACCGGCTGCGTGGCTGAATCGATTTCGAGCTCGACATGGTCGAAAGGTTGGACGAAGTCTGCTTCAGTTTCGCTTCGCACTCGCCTCAGACATTAGTCTCATTCGACCCGAGTGTCCCAACTAACACTGGACAACAGGCGCACGATATTCCGTAAATTTTCATCCTATAAGCAAAAACAAAAAGAAAGGAGAGGAAAAGAAGGGAGAAAAAAAGGGGGGAGAAAAGAACAATCCAATGTCGAAGTATGCAGAGGATGTGCTTTGGCGCAGCCATTGTACTTACCAGTTGACGCAGGTTTTGCCTTTGTCTCTGCAGCCTTGGCAGAGGATATGAGCTGGTTTCCATTTCTTCCTCCTGCAACTATCACATCGCCAGTAGACGAAAAGAAACTTTGCCGCATCCTCCTCATCGTCACAAGAATCGCAGTACTGCGCAGTGGGCACATCCTTCAAGCACGATACGCGTGAGGTTATGAGCACCTTGAGTCGCGACTGGTTCGCTAAGATGGCCAACTCGTTCTCAAGAAACAGGTCAACGGCCGGACTGCATCTGTCAAAATCGTCTATGACAAGGAATGCGTGATCGAGCATGCCGAGACGCGATTCCAGCGCGTCTCGTATAAGCTTAATCCGGAATATGTCGCGATGGCCGTGCTTCCTAGCGTCGAGGTAAAGTCGATATTTTGCGACGTACGCTTCGTCCTCGTGCGCCTCGACGTGGCCGACGCACAGTTGGTGGAATATGCTCGTCAGAACGTCTTCCACGAAGGCGGTACCGGCCGTGACCGCATCCTCACGCACAAAAACTGAGGCTACAGCATCCTTCTTCCCAGTGTAGTGGTCTCTGAGCCATTGTGTCACAACTGCGGACAAGGTCGTCTGAATTAAGTAAATCAGTGCATGAATCCCACCAGCATGATGCATCGCCAACCAACGTCTTGGCATCCGAACACCCATGAGATGATCTGGAGGTCCATGACCATTATGCAAACTGCTGCAATAGAGTGAAATCTGGCACAGTTGCCTTAAGAAAAAATGGTGCATACCTTGCCTGATCCTGGTCCCCCGACACAGCGCAACGACCACGTATAGTCATCCCGCTGCCAGCTTCGAAAAATGTCGTTCGCGAACACCCAGTCCCACAATGGGTCCCAAACATCCGCGCCTGTTTCGTACCGTTCGCTCAATGCGGGGTGCATTTCAAACCGCTTCTCGAACAACTCTTTCAACGGCATGCGCTCTTTTTCTTTCTCGGATTCACTCATATTTGGGGTCCTGCAATAAAGGCCTGCTGAAATGGCGCAGTGTCTGTATCTTGGCCCCAAAGAGATGCAGAGTTTAAATCCTCACCTAGACGGCGCACTTCTGACCTTGGCAACGTTGGATAAGTTTGGTCACCGTGCGACCGGAATGTGCGGGTAGTTCTCTTAAGATCGGATTATCGAATTGGCATGAGCTGGAACTATACCATCCACCCTGAAGTCAATGAATGATAAGTGTCCTAAAAAAGCTGCGCTCGTCATCTTTCGCCGATACTACCTTGGCCCCACAAGCGCCAGAAGCACGAAAGAATGTGGCTAACAATGTATGGCTGCCTAGCCAGGCTACTGTGCAAAACCAAAGTGCCTCACCCTCTTTAGGAGAGTCGTAAAATTGGTAGCTGGTAATCTGCTCAATCTGCTGCGGTGAAATGGAGCTAAACATGCAGTGGCAGGGGCAATCAATATAATCGCTGACATGCAGTTCAGCCGCAAATTCTTCCTGCACTAGGCTCTCAATAGAATTGACATGCCTTAACCGCCCAACAAGCCACCCAGCCCTAGAAGCAGGTCCAAGGCGGCCCGAAGTCAGGGAATATGCTGTGTCGCGCAGAAACTCAAGAAGCATAATGATGTAAACAAGGACAAGTAAGGCGAACCTGTAGATGGGATTTGGAAATGCCAGTATCTGCAAGTAATGTGAAAGTTTAAAGGTGACAAATGGAGGAAATGATCCCGAAGAAACATGAATGAAGGATCTGCAGATTAGGTTACATTAGCAGCTATCATGTAGTCTGGAGATGGCCCGAAAGCCTGGTCATCAGGCTCGGTGAATGTACAGTTGCCTGGCGAGAAAACGGGGGCTGAATATCCAATTTTACAATGGAAGCAGTACCCGTCCCTGCAGGCCTTTGCTTACTTTCAGAGGGTTCAGGATATGTGATATTATGTATAAGTCTGGCCTTGCCACAACAGGGAGAGTTTAAACGGTCTCCTAGGTCCTTGTGCATTACTTCATTACTTGAATTATTTGAAATCTCCACGATGTTACCTGGGTTTTACGCCTTGTTGCTGTGCATGTGGCTCGGAGGGGCTGTTGCCAGACCGTCACAGGCGCCGAAGCCCATTTCACGCCGGCAGGACGGATCAGAAGAGTCTGTTCGTTCAGAGAACATATGCGGGGAGATCATCGAGGCTGTGAACGAAGGTGAGGAGAACAGTTCAAAGTCATTGTGGTTTTGATATTGATTGCAACGTGGTTAACAGGATTTCGAATTTTCTATGCATTGGACGCGTATGTTTGTTTAACCAGCGTGCCATTCAACGATGCCGTTGCCCTCCGATTCATTGAATACTACAATACCACAATGCAATTCCAAAGCACCTTAGCATACCTTAAGAACCCTCCCGAGGGATATCAGCAGCCGGCATTTGACCTTATGAAGGGGTTGGACGATCTCAAACTAAATGTCACTTCTAGGGTCTACAAAAATCAATACGATTTCGAGGCTGACCTTCAACACCTTGTCTATTCGATGCACGATGCCCATGTCGACCTATCTTCTGGTATCCTCTCAGCATTCTCCTTCTCGAGTCCCCTTTCTCTTGTCACAGCATCAATAGATGGCAAGGAAGTTCCCAAGGTTTACTTCGAGGGTAATAGATTCCATCGCTAGGGCGGACAGAACGAGACATTAACACAATCATAATAGCCGATGTCCTCGAATATCGAGGTAATGGTACCCAGATCTCGGCAATTTCTCATATCAACGGCGAGCCATCAGTCGAGTTCTTGATCCGTTTCGCAGCTCTTAACTCGGTCGGTATGCTAGAGCCCCATGCAGACTGGAATCAAATCATGGGTGGTCCTGTGCAAGATGTTCAGGGGGCATTCAACATCTTCGCCGGAAGTGCGACGTTTTACCCGGGAGACTCTCTGAATTTCACCTATGAAGACCCAAGCCTCGGTGCTGTGGAAACTTTTTGGCTCGCCATCTATAACAACCCCGAGTTCACTGGGCCCTTGGCGACGGGTGGCGACTTTTATAACTATTTTGTACTTGGCAACCTGCCTGCGTCTTATTATGAAGTGCCAGTGCCGCCGGCGTTTGCGGGTCATGCGATTGCAGACGATGAAGTCATCAACGGCACCACAGATGATGATGGAGAAAATCGCAGCTTTTACGAAGCAAGTCTGCATGCCTTCCCGAGTAATCCCGATGTAGCGCAAGCGGATTTGGACGCTGCCAGCGGGGGCGGCGTCGTGACGGGCTACTTTTACGACGACATCTCAACCGGCGTGCTTAGCATCCCACACTTCGACCAGTACGGATGGGACATTGGTTACTTCAGCGACGCCGTAAGCCAGTTCATCTCCGGTGCACAGAATAAAAGCCTCTCCCACATCGTTATCGACCTATCGCAGAACTATGGTGGCTCTAGCGGCATTGCATTTCTCCTTCTGCGGCAATTGTTCCCGGGTATCGAACCTTTCGCCGGAAGTCGACGGCGCAGCCATGAGCTGGGGAACGTTCTAGGCTCGGCGTCGACGAGAGCATGGCAGGATTTGCCGACAGATACCGATGAGGAGTACGCCGAGAAGTTGAGCCATGTGGCGGACGAATGGGTTATCACCACACGACTGAACGCCGAGACGGGTAGGAACTATAGTTCGTGGGAGGAGTACCAGGGGCCATTGACGTACAACAACGACAATTTCACTCGAGTGGTTCGCAAACCCTTTACCTGAGTTTGTATGGAGGACTATTGGGCTGACTTGATGTTGTAGGAACGCTACGACCTTGCGAACCCATCATTCCATGCGGCAGCTTTCGATGGTTGGCAGTTGAATCGGTATGTTGACAATACTGATGCGGGTAAAATTGCACCTTGGAGCCCCGAGAATGTGGTTATTGTGAGTTGACCTAAGTGCTCATAGTCGGATATTATTGAAGACTGATAAGTCTTTAGCTCACAGATGGTGCTTGTTCTTCGGCCTGCGCCCTCTTTGTCGAGCTGGCCACAACCGAAGCCAAAGCCCGCACCGTAGTTATGGGCGGTGAACCAAAGCCTGGCCCCATGCAAGCGGCAGGCGGAACCCGTGGTGCACTACTTTATTCAAGCGACCTGTTGGACGCGGACTTTGATGGAGCTCGTGAGAAAAACGAGACCGCTGCGACTCGTCTGCCCCTCTTCCACGATAGTGGCATCTTTGTCAACTATGCAGGGTTCAACCTGCGGGATCAAGTTCGCAAAGACGATGTCACAACACCACTACAGTTTCGCTACGCAGCTGCAGACTGCCGGCTCTACTACACCCTCGATAATGTCTACAATATGACGACTCTCTGGAGGGACGTTGCCCGTGCTGCCTTCGAAGACGAGAGTCTCTGCGTTGAGGGGTCGACAGGATACACGTCTCGCAACGGCACGACACCAAAACCACCACCCAAGCCTACTGCCATCCCAGCCCCAGCCCCAGAGCTAGCGACGACATATACTGTCGACACCGATCCGAACACTCAAAACGGACTGTCCGCGGCACAGACCCCGCTCGGCAGACAGTTTGTGCAGGCTCTGTGCAATCCCAAGGTTGAGAACCCTTGTCCAGGCGGTGGTGTGTGTCAGGAATTTCGACTCAGGTGCTCCAACGGCGAGCTTGGGAGCGCGGTGCATGCTTGCATGCCGCAGTGCCAGGTCGGAGAACTAAAATGTGTTAGCTCCAGCCAAGTGTGCAAGAAGAACAGAAATGCAGCAGAGACGAAAGCCAGCACGTTCGGTATCACGCAGAATGTTGCCGCTAATAATGCATTTAAAGGTGGGCAGGTGACTTCTGGGGTCTGCTTGCCAAAGGTCGGGACACCGCAACTGGGATGTGCATTGCCTGGCCAATCATAGTCCTGAAGACCTCAGAAGCCATGAGGAAGATGGGGGGTGCTTTAATCCAATGATCTAATGCTATCATGTTAATATTATCGCGATGTAACTTGGCACCGGCGTTTCTTGAATCTGCAGTCGCTATACTTTCGTCTTGTTACGGTTAACCTCCGGGATGCGATATTCACTCGCCCTCTCCCTCCTCACATTCTGCCAGAAGTCATATCCGCGATCCCTTCGCCTTGTCCTTCTCTCTTCCCTCTCCAACTTGTTGACGCGCCTTTTTTCCCGCTTCTTTCTTGGCACAACCTTCTTGACTCCGGACCCCAAGGCCTCTAAGACTTTTCTTCCACCCTTGTACCCGATCCTGACGAAGCCCTGCACGCGACTACTGAAAGCTGCAACAAGTGCTGTGGCGATGATGAACACGGACAAGGGCAGCGAGACCGCGCCGATGAAGCTGATGGTCGGGAGTTGGTGTTCCCACTCAACCGTGTTCATGCCGAAGAGGCTCGTAAAGAAGGACAGTGGGAGAAAGATGACAGTAAAAGTGGTGAAGATCATAACGGATAGATTTTGAGATGATGCTAGCTCGGTCTGGAGACGGGACCAGCGAACTTCGTCGACTTGAGCTTTGCGTTGAACCATCTCAAGGAGTTTTTCGTACTACCCAAGCGACTTTAGTTAGCATTTCCGGACACAAAATCGACTGGTGAGTTTGCAAGTTAGAAAGATGGCTCACATCAGCCCTAGTTGTATCAACCCGTTTCAGCATCTCCATCGTCTGGCTCTTGTACTCGTCCACCTTGCTTAGCGACTCTTCAAGATACATCTGGCCGTTTCGTGTCAAATGTTTCAGGTCCTCCCCTTCGAAAATGCTCTTCATGTTCCGGACGACAACCTCTTGCGCTTCGAAGAGTCTCTCCAAAGATTTGAGCTCATCCTCCAGATCGCGAAGCTCCATGAGAGCCGAGGTGTTTTCACGGTTCTCGCGTTCAGCTTCCTCTAGCTCTCGCTTGTGGCGCTTCTTGATGGATTCTGGCCGGTTACTGTCCGAGTCCGAATCGGAGCCACCCACGTCCTTGAATGTTTGCATGCGGAAATGCTTTAGCGAGGAAGTCATTCGTTCAGTCTGGTCAATGTCAGTCCGAGAGTATGCAAGAAATGGGACTTGAGAGTACCCACCAGCATGCTGATAGCCTCTTCGAAGATTCTGAAGACCTCCAAGTCTGGATGCGACGCCCGATCGAGTAGAACGGTTATTGCATGCAGTACAATGAACGCTGCAAGGTCTAACGAATTCTCACAGCGCCCTGTCAGGTCTCCGTTGAGCTCGTTGTATACACTGTTTCTGAGGTCCGCTTGCTGAAACAGAGGCCCTTCTTTTGGCTTGGACTCTCTGCGGTTGAAGAATGTTGATAGTGTCGCTGACAACATTAGCACGATCAATTTTGCTGTAATCACATCATACAGCATGGTATAAATGACTGACTCGTATCAATGGCCCATAACCATAGCTGGTCGACCATGAGAACTTTTCCATCCTTTATGACCTCTTCCAAGTCCTCGTCGTCGTCATCTGTATCCGGGGTATCCTCTTCCAGCAAACCCGTACTTGAAGGTGTCAGTTTCTCCGCAGGACTCCATGTCGATCCAACCGTCTGTCTCCTCTGGAGACTCATTTGTTCTCGATCCATCCCGTTTGAAGTGCGGTCCTTCGTCAGCTTGTACAGCATCTGATCATCGTCTCGGGCCCAGGTGTCTCTCAACGAAGGGTAGGCAAACTGGTCCAGAGTACGACGATAGTTGAGGGGCGGGTCGTATCCGATGTACTCCCAGATCATTCGGAGTTCCGCGGAGTCTAGCTCTGCGATTTCACGAGGGACGGGACGAGCGCGCCCATGCTGCATGCGATGCTTGATAAAATTGCGACGGCGAAGAATATCGATGTATGTATCGAAGTGGAGGAAAGGGAGGTACATGTACAGATAGGCCGATGAAGGGCCATTGCCAGGGCTAGTACGACCAGACAGGTTCGGAGATGGATGAGGTGAAGGAGCTGGCTGCGAAGTTAGTCTCTGATAGTCCTCCAGAGTATCTGTCCGAGTCTCACCTGATCCAGGGGGGATAAAATTGCAGGCTGGCTTCACGAAAGACGCTTGGGATTGAGAATGTCTTCCTATGACATGCTTTGAGGTCCAGTTGTCGTTGTTGGAAAGCTTCACGAAGCTTGGGTCATTAGGGTTCGCAAGTACTCCGAGAACATCCTAGACCCTGTTAGCATAGCTATATACAACGGAGCCATTCGAGGACATAACAAATCTGACCTTCACCCACGATGGATTTGTGAATGGCGTATGAATCCACATAAATTTTCTGCCGGTTGGATCAGGCCTCGAGAATCCAGCTGTCAAATCCTCAAGCGCCGATCCTCTTGACAGCCGGTCTTGGCGTCTGGAAAGAGGCTCCGAATGGCTTTTCTCCACACCCATTTTTTCTAACGGTTCCAGACTGACGGCTTTTGGTGATAGCTCCAAGTCGGTGGGGTCTGATCTTGTGCTTTCGGCATTGCTGCTACGACTCGATGGGCGGTTGAATCCAGGCGGAGAGAGGGCTGGCACCTTTAGACTTTGCATCCTTCGGATGGTATTAACGGGCATGGAGTTGGACCCATCGACCATGGAAGGACGGGTGACGAAAATTCCCGGTGAACCCTGACTTTCTGAATCCGAGGTCTTAGGGCGGCTTCCGGAGTCAGATCGACCCCTCCGTATCTTCTGTCCCAGCTCTTGGAAACCAGAGAGAATCCCAAGCCCGTTGCTGCTCTTCTGCGAATCTTCTTTACTTGGATGTGCTGGATCCGGCTCAGAGCGCGGCCGAAGTGCTGTCCTCCTAAGGCGTTCTTCGAGACATCGCTCAGGACCTTTCTCTAAAAACTCTTGGAGATGGAGTTTGGTGAAATAAAGCCGAATCGCAGACTCCATCTCAGCATCCGGGTCTTCGTAAAATCCGATAATTTCAACTTTCACATGCCTCTTCAGATTCAACGGAGTGTGGATGTACTCGGAACTCAGCTCTATCGCCTTCTGCACGGCCGCTGCAAGCTCTTGCAGATAAGTGTTCATAGTCTCCGTGTTTCCCATGCCAAACGAAGCGCAGTTGGCATGCTCGCTGTCCAAAGAGAAGACGCGTTCCTGTCTTACGCCAACCATTGACGACTTTATGGAGGCGATAGGGGCACCAAAGCGGACCTCCTTAGCGAGCCCACGACTGGTAGAACCGGAGCCTGACAGCTGGGAGTCGATGGTCTCGTAGAAGGTCCAAATTCTAAGCTCACTGGCGATAGTGGAGAATTCTTCGTGCATCTTTAGAAGAGGCTTATGGCCCAGTCTGAGATAGTTTGAGATGGAGCGTGGTAGTGGGCGTTGTAGTCTAAGCAGGCGACGGATGCTATCCTCCAAGTTCTTCATTGACAGGTAACTTGAACCCCGATGCGGAGTTGCTGTTTAAAGTTAAGACGACGTGCAAGTCAGGTTGCGCATCGCTCAGGAAGTTGAACTCACCAAAAAATGAAACGCCATGGCAATTGTACATAAAAGGCTTGTATCGCTCATTCCTAGAAGCATTCAAGAGCGCCATCTTGACGACGAGACCACCAACGCTATGAGCGATAAAAAACAAAGGCCGCGAACGTTGCTATAGTTTGGTCAGTATGGGTTTTCGATACGTTAGTTAGATGAGCGGCACTCACGTTGCCATATCGCATGTTCCAGACCTGCTCAATAAGGTCCTCCGCGAGGTCGTCCAAGGTGACTCCTTCAACCAACTCTCGGTGGCGATACAGCAGCACGCGAGCCTCACTGACTTCCTTTCGAATCCCTTGCCTTACCCAAAGATGAGTTGCCATCGGGAGGTGCCGGTTTATCGTTGGCGACAAGATGCTCGCGCCAGCAAGCTCCTTGACCGTAGATGTCGACACATCTCCGAGCCGTCCGAAGTAACCCTCCGGTAGCGGATCGCGGGCCCAAGTCTCGACGGGATCGGCGCCCGGACACGACACGCAAACAATGTCAACCAAGGTCTCGTTGTACCCGCGTCCGTTAACATCGCCGTCAATATGTGCAAAACCGGGAAGGGAATCCGGTTGCGATGAGGAGCTTGGTCGGGGAGGAGACTCAGGACTGTCCACCTGCGTCTCTTCTGAGGGCTGGCCAGGCAGTGACTGGTGCGGATCAACGCGTTCAGGGCTGTCGTTTTGAGCAGCGGCTACTTCATCGAGTACCGCGATCTGAGTCTCGCGCGTCCAGTCTTTGTATGCCGACATTATTCTTCACCATTCCCAAACTTCATATGCGACTGCGATTCCGCGACTGATAGTCACGAAGAGGACGTCCGTTTAAAAAGGCTAGGTTACTGAGAATCGCGCATCGTCTTGTGGTGTTGCCAACGCAGTCATCAATCGGCAGCCTATTTGCCTACGCAGCCACCACTTAGGCGAACCCATGTACGTTTACGTGACCTGCAGCCTGGCTGCAGGTTTATTGCTGACGGTGTGGCCTGTTCATCCCCAGCCCCAATCCTCCCTAGCTTCTGCAGAAAAGCTGCGGACCGAGCCTCCAGAGCCCTCAGCTTAGACTGGGCAGCCTGCAGGAGGATCAGCAACGCTACTTCCTGTTGGTCAGATTCAGCATCACCTGGACTTGCAAGGCCACGAGCACCCGCAGCTGTGAAGAGATGGGTGTGCGTGATTTCCATCCACCTGGGTCGCACTGGCTGGCGATTGCATGGCTTTCTACACGATCCACAAGAGGAAGTAGATGTTCATCAGAGTTGAGCCCATCCCACTTGAGCTTCATCAAAGTGATGTGGTGGTGACGAGTTATCGGGATTCTCTCTAGGAAATTGTTGTGAGGGCCGATGAATAGAACGCAACGACCAGGCATGTTGTCCGCTAAAATCGCGCTGAAGTCAGCTGTGCCGTTTTGCCGAGCTTCTGCAACCCCTGCCGGCTTATGTCAGTCGGGTCTTGCAATCGCTCCCTGGACTGGTGTTCCCTCAAACGAATGATGCAGTATGCTAAAGTTTACTTATTCGCTTGCTTGTGCTGCTGTGAATTTGCTGTTGCTGTATGAGTGTGCTTTCGGTTGTCGCGCGTCGGTGGTTTTGCGCTGGCACTGATCTTCCCAACGTCCAGGCTGTGGACAATTGCAGCCCAGGTCGAGTTGCCACTCTTGGTCACTCTCGGGACATCGCAGATCCGAAAAGCGAAGAACTGTAAGTAGTAGCCATGAGAGTAGAGGCAGAGTGGTTTTACCAGTGAACAACTGGGTAGGTGGAGGTCGTTGATGAAGGGAAGCAAACCGCAGCTGATGACTTCGTCTCGAGGGAGGAAACATGAACCTCGTCTCGAGGTATGTACGTACTCCCCATCTCCCCCACTCAGGTGGCACTGTCTTCGGACGCGGGGTTCTTAGCGATGAGTCGCGGGGCAGGTGGTGCAGCGACAGCTTCACGATGACAAAAGGCTACTGATAAAACGCCCTTGCCCATGCGCTTCGGGGCCCGACTCCTCGTAGTCCTCCTCTCTGTTATATAGTTAATTACTCGGTTCTTCCGTTAAGCTTCTGTGATGGCAACCTGGTCCGAGAAGAAGTTACAGAACCGCAGCTTGCAAATTCTCCAAGCTGCAACTGAGGGTAAATATGGAGTTCTTGCGGCTGTGGCGTAAGTGGTGAAAGAACTGGACGCTGCACACGGCTAACATTATGCCAGATATAACATTGAGCATCTCACCGCTCTCGTGAGAGCAGCAGAAGCAAAAAAGTCACCAATGCTCATTCTCTTGTTTCCCTCGACCGTCAAGCAGCTCCCAACTTTGCCATGGGCTGTCGCTGCAGCCATCAAGTCAGCCAAGGTGCCCCTTGCGCTGCATCTTGACCATGCTCAAGATGAGGAGCAAATTCGGGAAATTGCAGCGACTCTGCCTTTTGACTCCATCATGGTAGACATGAGCCACTATGACCACGAAGACAACCTTGCCAAGACCAAGGTGCTCACCAGGGTCTGCCACGATCATGGTATTGCCGTTGAGGCCGAGAGCGGTCGTATCAATGGTGGCGAGGACGGTATCGCAGATACTGGAGATTTGGAAGGTGAGACATGTGAACCTCGATAAAATGTTTCATGACCTAACACAACTCAGCCCTTTTCACAAGCCCGGAGGAGGTTGAGGACTTCATTGACGCTGAGATCGATCTCTTGGCACCTAGCATCGGCAACATCCATGGTGACTACGGTCCCAAGGGTCCTGAGCTCGACTTCGATCGGCTGGCAAACATCAATAAACAAATCAACAAACGCGTCCTGATGGCGCTGCACGGTACCAACGACTTCAGCGCTGACATTCTGAAACAATGCATCAACAATGGTGCAATCAAACTGAATGTGAACAAGCTCCTGCTCGAGGTCTGGAACATCCACCTAAAAGAGAATGCCAGCAAGCCGTTGTCACAGTTGATGGAGGACGGCATGAACATTCTTCAGCAGGAGGTTGAGCGATGGATCGACATCTGCGGTAGTGCTGGAAGAGCGTGAGGGCCGCTGGAAGAGCCTGCCGTCAGACAACCCAACGGAAAAGAAAAGAAATAGGACACTGAGGTGCATTATGTGTATGTATTGAAGTCGTTTAAGGAGGGAATTATATCAACTCCTGTAATGCTCACGAAAGTCGGCACCCGTTGCGACGTGGATGTAGCAATTTCTAGTGGGTGCATGCACGCCCAGCAAGTTCCATAGCGCGCCAAAGCCACTCTAAACTTGAATAACCCAAAAAGAAAATTCGCACAAAGATCAAAAGATATACCTTGCGGCCAGTGTGGATTGAACACACGACCTTCAGATTAAGTGGATGAAGTTAACTTCAGTCTGACGCTCTCCCAACTGAGCTATGTCCGCCGCTGGCAATGGAAATAAGATTCTCATTTCCAGTCTATGTTGCTATGGATAGGGCTACAAACCCTCTGGGCCGGAACGGGCCTCCGAGGCCCGCCTCCCCATGAATGATCCACCACTTCCTGGCATCGCAGCGAGAGCAGAGTGGACTGGACAAAATGATGATGAAACATATATTGACAAACCCAAATTGAACAGTCGCTGGCTTCGAGGGCCCCCGGTATCAGTCTGTCACCTACGTAGACCGAAAGCGGAACATATGAGAAATTTGGGAAATAGGACTTTCCAGGTTGATCATCCCACTTCTTTTGTCATAACAAAAGCCTGCAACTCAGATGTCTTTTGGCATATGCAACTCTCCTAATCTTTACGCGACAGGAATGGCTTTTTCGCGCTGCGCCAAAACGTAGCTAAAGGCTTCATCCAGTATTCTCAGTCCCACCTCGATCTCATCTGCGGTCACCGTAACCGGAGGCGCCAGCCGGAACACGCCACCCATGCCCGGCAAGTTGACCACGTTGCAGGACAGTCCCAAAGTCATCGCTCGGTCAGAAACAGCCTGACCAAGGTCTGGCCCAGGCGCCTTTGTCATGGCGTCAGAGATTATCTCGATGCCTTGCAAAAGACCACGTCCACGGACGTCACCAATGCACCAGTACTTCTCCTGGAGCTTTAGCAGACCAGCACGAAGCTGCTCGCCACGCTCAGTAGCCTTTCGACAGACATTGTCGCGCACGACGATTTCAAGCACTTTGTTGCCGACGGCTGCAGTGAGCGGGTCGTTGAGATGCGTCGTGAGCCAAAGGAATCCGGCATCTTTACATCCCTGTGCGACTTCGGCAGTGGTGCTAACAGAAGCCAGGGGCAAGCCGCAACCAAGAGTCTTTGACAAGGCGAGAATATCGGGGACGATGTCATCGTGCTCGAAGGCAAACATGTGACCAGTGCGTCCAACCCCCGTTTGCGCCTCATCGAGAATGAGAAGCATACCACGCTTCTTGCACTCCTCGCTGAGACGCTTGAGATAACCTTTGGGGAGATCGAGAATTCCGCCGGTAGAGAGAATAGGCTCCATAATGAAGGCGGCTAGAGATCCGACGCTCTGTCTGTCAATCATGGCCCAGCCGAAATCCATCTCTGTCTCCCAATCGTAGGAGCCATCAGGCTTCCGGAAGACTGAGCGATAGGCGTACGGCGCGGGGAAGGCAAGTTGGCCGGGCATTGCGGGGCCGCCATTCTTTCGGCCGGCGGAGTAGGTTGCGGACCCGGAACCCTGGGTGAGACCGTGGTAGCTTGCTGACATAGCCACGATTTCGAACTTGCCAGTATGGAGCTTGGCCATCTTTATTGCCGCTTCAGTTGTCTCAGAGCCAGTGTTCAAGAAGAATGACTACACGGACCAGGTTAGTGGCTATCCTATTCGACAGGGCGTGAGGTGATGACCTGCCTTTTCAAGAGGAGCAGGAAGAAGCTTGCCTAATCTCTCTGCGAGATCTGCAACTGGCTGGGTGATCATGTTGCTCAGCAGATGATCCAGCTCAGCAACATATTTCTGAACGACCTCAACGATTTCTGGATGCGAGTGGCCCAGAAGAGAGCTCATCTGTCCGGACGTAAAGTCCAAGATCTGGCGACCCTCTGCATCGTAGAGTTTCGTGCCTTTTGCCCTCGTGATAATGATCGGGGAGTAGGGGACACCCGTAGACATCAGGTACTTGTCGGTCTTCGCCCAGAATGCGACGTTGTTGTCAGAGGCCATGCTTATCAACAGTCAACACAAAGCTTGACAGTCTATATGTCGGATTTAGAACTCAAATGTGATTAGGTAAATATCTAGAAAGCTAGCTTTCCCAAAGAACTATTTATGTAGATGCGATAATGACCTCGATGCCTTTTCCGCGGATAGCGGGCCTGGGTGGGCTTTGTTCCCCGAGGCCAAGACGTTTCCCGCGGGCCAACACCAACCAAGTGGATACACGCTCCGCGGGGAGGAACATGGTTATTCATTGCTTAAAAAGGAATTTAATGCATAATCTTCGGTCTTTAATACGGCGCAATCTGTTCTAACCACTTGCGGTGAAATCACTACACCTTAGCTGGCTGCGGTCAATCGTAGCAGCTTCGATTTTCAATTTACAGAGTTCATCAACATTAGAAATGCTAAGCTGTTACTTTCAAAGAACCCAATAGAGACCAGACTTAATCGTACATGTATTTCCTAATATTTGATTTCGTTCATCTTCAGCCCAGTGTCCCCTAGAGATGGCATGGGCCCGAGAAGGGGCCCGAATTCTTGAAAGCGATCCTTATTCTTCACGGCGTTTTGAGCGTCAACGGCTTCTTAGTTGCCTTTGTAATACCGTGGTTAATCCTGACTCGTCAAATAATATCCATAGATAGTCCTTCTGGGTAGGGTTGCAGATAATTATCCCGACGATAGCTAATTAGTGACTAAGTGTAACCACTATTCCTGCAGGAAGCGGACGGCGAGTTTCCGTGTCGAGACAACAGAGCCACAATCATGTGACATATTCTGTCTGCGCCATCCCCTTCTGAAAGTTCAACCATTTTTGGTCCACTTGAACAACATACGAATCGAATACCAAGTTTAGCAATCGCTAAGTAAATAGAAAAATATGTCGAATCCAATGCCGGGTTACTAGTAATCTGTATTTCCTTTTTGGACCTCTTTTAACTACAAATTCCAAATCTTTTTGCCACTCCTCGCTTCAAGCACTAGGAACAACGAGCTGGTCAACATCTGGACCCCAGCCTTTCGATCTCGAGAAGGTAACGTTGTTCTCGCCCTGTTTCAGATCGACATGAACAGCACTGCTACCAGTGGTAGAGAGATGAGAGGTGGATAGAAAAGCCACAGACTGCTCCGCACCGTTGACTGAGACCGCAGCATGACGGGAGGCGGTGTCACCATTCTTATGGTTGACAATCAGCGTGAAACGATCAGCCTGAGCAACGCTAAAGATGAACGTGGCGCGACCATCAATATCACCGCCCAGATATCCTGCGGCGGAGGATCCGCTGCACTGAGAGCAGTCGACAATGCGAGCACCGTTGGATAGGTCAGCTGTTTCGCCTTCAATTTCGGTCGTGACCGTTGATTCAGACCAGCTACCAGCCTTGACATCCACGTTCCAGGAGTCATGCCAGTCAAGCGTCACGATGGTGCCCTCAATCTGTAGAGGAAGCCAGATGTAAGTACTTGCGGCAAGATTCGTCGAATGCCATCTGTCGCCCATGTAGACAGCCTTGTCGGTGCCCAATGGAAGAACGAAGCTGACTTGACTGCTGTAGGTCTTGGAACCGACGGGTGCAAATTCAGTCCAATTAGACCAGGGGCCCGAAAGAGATGTGGCGTAGCTGTAAACCTATAGATCAGTTGATTAATTGGGATTCTCGCGAACACAGACGCTGAGTCCTTACGTTATCATTAGGGTTCCAGCCTGTGAGGTGCGAGCCAAAGATGAAATATGTGCCATCGCGCTTGATAAGGGCGGGCGACTCGGCAAAGTACTCCCAGCCGAAAGTTACCACATCAACATCGAGATAATCATCCGTAAGTTTGATGATACGGGTTCCGTACTCGCGCTGGCGTGCTGTTAGTACCCAAAAACCACCGCCAGAATAGACCACTGCTTACATCCTCACTCAGTAGATAACCAGCACCATCATCGTCCTTGAAGATACCAATGTCCCGGCTTTGAAAATCAAAGGGGCGGAAGCTTCGGATGTACTCGTACTCTCCGCAGACAGTGTCGCCTGTTGCTACGCCGACACGTGCATCCTTATAGTCTTGAGAGTCGACGTGGAGATGGAGGACATATTTGCCGGTGGCATCATTCTTGGTGACCTTGGGCCGTTCGATGATACGATTGGGGCCAAGATCACCGGCTTCCTCGGTGCGGGTAAGAAGGCGTCCTTCAAAGCTCCATTCGACTAAGTTGGTCGACGAGTAGCAGTTGACTGCTTGGAACAATGCGCCGTCGGTTTTTTCCTCCCCGATCATGTAGTAGACACCATTCTCCTCACTGGTTGAAGTCAGTAGGTGTTCAAGTCTAAAGAACGCTTGCACTCCTGCGCTTTCTTCACCAATGCAATGAAGACGTTGAGATTGTTAGCTTACATGATGCCGGCTCCGTGCGCCTGGACATGTTCTCCAGTGTTTGTCTACAGATTATTTTGTCAGGGCAAAACTGTCTAGGCATCTGACGATCCATCACTAACAGCTGTCCAAGTTGCTCCAGGAACAACGCTCAGAGCAGCGTTGACGCTACCCAAGGAGAGAGAAGTGGCCAAAGCAAGAGATGAGGCACGCATGGCGACTGTGGATCTTGGCAAGTTGATCAAACCAGTGTTGTTGAGAGACTCGTCGATTGAGTCCCTAGGCTAAGTGTTGCTTTTAAGTCAGACGACTTGTAAAGCTCGTACATGTTCCCATTACTCAATAGCACCGTCTTGGCAACATGCTCCTCAGCACACATTACGTAGATGACCAGCATCTTCAAGTCCTCTGGTTGCTGCGCGTATAAGACTGTTGCCTCGGGTCAGTATCTAGCGAAACACATAGGGGTATTAAGTCAGGTAGCGTAGTATCCGCGTTGTGAGATTCGGCTACGTTTCCGGCCAAAAAAGATGAATGGGGATCTCGGAGCCGAGGATAGCGTTGTTCCCGAGGGTGCTGATGCCACCTTGGCGGTGACAACTTCCCCAAGAACCCCACCTTGAATGCAAGAAAACCTGCTGATCCTAGAGTTGAAGCGATCTTACAGGACAGTGATCGGCAGGCACATACCTACGCCCCGATTGAGGGGAAGAGCGACTGCCAGTCACGCGTAAATCTGCATCAGGCTTCAGAGGAAGTGGACAGATGGCTCTCAAAGTCACATGTTTGGGGCATGAAAAAGAGAGGGTCGGGTTGCAATTAGACCAGAGGCCCGCATTGGCCCAGAAGACATACTAGTCGTTTTTGTTGCTGTTCAAATCGGAGTTGTTGATGAAGTGAATGACTGTCGACTATACTGACATCGACAGATTGTATGTTCACTTCCAACAAAGTCAGTTCTTCTGACCTTTGGAGTGCTAGAACATCTCATTGATAATCACTATGTAAGGCGGAGCGCCAGTGCTGGTGGCTCAATGTAGTAGAAGTGTATTAGCTGCAAGGAGAGCACTTTGACATTTTAAGCTTACAATGGCTGACGATCAACTGGCGCATTAGTGCATAGACTTTAGCTAGATCATGTATTACGCTGATCCACCTCAATGTTTTAACCACATTTACTAGTCTATGCTTCAATGATCCGACCTGTAAGCCACGCAAAGTTTCCAGCGAGCCTACTTATCAATAGACATTGCTCTATCACAAATGTCCAAAAACTCCCCACTTTGCCGTGTTCAACAGCGCCCAGGTAGTTGGTTGATTAATAGGTTGATGGAATGTCAGTGTGCGAAATACACTGAGTGATGTTAATTATTCATCCTTCTTAGCCAATTTTGGTCGTCACCGGCGAGAGGCTTGCTGCAATGGTTAGCAAATCCTACATTATCAAGAGAGCTTTAGGATCAGAGAGAAAACCAATGACGACTTATTTTCTTAATAAGCAGATTTCCAAAACGTCTTGTGTCCTATACTGTAAGAGTCCTTCGTCACTTCTACGGGGCATGTCACCGATTTATGCATGTGATGTCATGTGACACTCCTTCGGGCGCAATGATAGAATATCTGTGACATTGGTTGGAACAATAACACATATTGTTGGAATAACAGCACCAGCTGGTTGTACGACACGCACGACTCAGGGACACACATCATGGCAGAGGGCACAGACTGGATATTCGGCCCTCGGTTATCCATTGAGGGGATCAAAAGTATATTCATGCCGAACTGACTCAGGGACGTACGAGATCATATATCTCGTGTACGAAAGCCAAGTCTTGTAGTTAGGAAGATAATCACGGAAAATATATCTTTGGTTCACCCTAACTTTAACCCGAGTACGATCGTACAAACGGGTTCTCTCAGGAAGAGAGAATCCATTCAACACTGATCAGTGGTTGCTTGGCAATCCGTGCGATTGCTTTGTGCAATCACAGATTAGCAAGAGTGAAGAGACAAGACTTAGGCTTTACGGCCGGGCTACCGGGTAGTCTTGCACTTCGTGCGAGGCGAGAAATCCTCAGGGATACCTAAGGGGTCACACTAGAAAGTCTCTTGTGCTAAGAAGCCTTAATCCTACCTATTGTCGCCTGCTAAGCTGAACCGGGTAGATAGGATAAAGACGACTTTTGCTTTACTATCGTACAAGACAGATTCCCGTTGTCGCCTGCTAAGCTAAACCAGACAAGAATCTTTATTATACCGTACATAGAGTACAAAGTGTGCGCCACGGCACCAAACAAACCAATTTTGACGTCGTACGATACGAAACGACTACCGAACACAACATGGCTTCCCAAGAGGATCCAGAAGACAATCGTCAAAGCCAATATGACAATATTGATGGATACCTGCCAACGTACAAAGAAATAAGTGCAAGGAGCGAAGTCCCACTGCACACGTAGAAGAAGACTGTGAATCCTAGACGCTGGGGAAATCCAGTCGATATTACACAGGCACCGTCCGAAGAAGAGATGACTACGTACATTGCGTACATCAACATGGAAATGCTTCATCTTAGGCAATCAAAGGAAAACCTGACAATATCACTGTACGAAGATTTTAACGAATAGTCTACCTTCCAATAGGAAAAGGTCTATCGTGCGTTCAGGGCAGAGTTCATACGACTTATTGAGCTAAAGGGATTCCGATTACCGCCAATAAGAAATGTGAATCAACAGCTAGTTGAATTCATCAAGGAGATTGGGAGGAAGTTTGATGAGCAAGAAGAACAGCTTTCTACTCGTACAGCACTTACACCAAGTCATACGATTACAACAACTCAAACACCTGTTCGAAACCCTGAATCAACTTTACCCCAAAACACAGCTGAACCGACAACAGAGCCAATCGAGCCCCCGTACGATACACAGACAACCCAAACATCAATTGTACGAGAGCAGTCACAATCAGCTTCAGGAAACATGCCTCCTGGAACAAGATTCACACAGGAGGTTGAGAGTTTTCCACAAATCCAGGGTCGTACAACACCTTTACATCAAGGAGACAGCATCTATGACCTACCACCAAGACGAATAATCCAGAATGGATTGTGCGAGCCAACTACAATTTCAATCTTCCAAAAGGGATGGAGAAAGGACAGGAATTATACGGGCAAGCCGTACGATATCCTGTACGACAAGGCAAAGGTCTTTATCAGTTTTTGTCAACGCCTCAGGATCACTGAAGACCAATACTATGCAGTGTTTCCTGATATCTTGGCTGATCGTGCGGAAGAGTTTTATCTCCATCACATTGGACCAACAAGGAGATGGGACGAGATGTACAACATGTTAGAAATGCACTTTAACACTAACATCAACCACACTCTCTATTGGACAGATTGGACAAGTCTATCCTTCGCACGAGTCAGACAAGACAATCCAGACAAGAATCTGATGGACGTATTAGAGATACTCTTAGACAAGATACCCCTCGTACAACGGGCACTTGGCCCAGGTTTTCAGGGGGAGATTATGCTTCGTACGCAAGTCACCCAAGCGTGCAGAGGTGTACCAGAGCTAGAAACTGCTCTAAGCAATCTTAAAGCACATCACACGTGCGAGCAATTCTTTTCTAGCCTAAGAGCATCACTACAAGTCGCTTTAGACAGGAAGTCTATGTCGCACGACATCAACTTTGTGGATAGAAGATACTCTAACAACAAGAGTTACCCACGACCATCGTACAATAGACCGTCAGACAACAGAGGATCTTCTCGACAACCTTGGAAAGGTCAACCTTCATCACGACCTAGGTTTAATCGTGCAATATCTAAGAAAAGATGTTTTGTGTGCAAAAAGGAGGGTTGTTGGTCTACGAATCATTCGGACGAAGAACGTAATCGTGCGAAAGACCAATACCTTCAGGCATGCGGTATACTTGAACAAGAACCACAGAGAGATTTTGCCTCGTACCTTCTTGACTTTGAAGGAGAAAACCCAGTGGACGAATCGTGCGATGAGGAGGGAGAATTTACAGGAGATGAAGAGACATCAGCTTTCCTAATGTCTTCTTCATTCTTCCATCGCACGACAGGGGAGGATATCTTTTCATTACCAAAGACGTCAGAGGCCTGTCAATTCTTGTTGCACGATCCTTATATCTCATCGTACCAAGGGGAACTATGGGATACAGGAGCAGCGAAGTTCTCTACTGTAGGGAAACCTCAAGTCCTTGCATACCTACGGGAGAACCCTCGTACGGCAATATCCTGGGGACCAGGATCAGCAAACGTACGATTCGGGGCAAGTGACTCAATCACATCGGTTGGCACTATGGAAATGGAGAATCAGCTTGGAAAGGTTACGTATCACATCCTTGATGCTCCTACTCCGTTCCTGTTTTCATTGTACGATGCAGACAGGTTAGGTGCATATTTCAACAACGTCGATAACGTGATTGTACGGCAGGATGGAAAACCTATCCCAGTCGTACGGAAATGGGGTCACCCATTCTTCAACCTTAGTCGCACAGAGGCCAGCATGTTCTTCACAGAAGGACAACTCCGAAGGCTTCACAGACGATTTGGACATCCTCGTACGGACCGTCTTTACCACCTCCTGAAGAAGGCTGGGCATCACAACATTGACATCAACATTCTAGAAAAGGTCCAGAAGTTTTGTCATCATTGTCAATCGCACGACTCAGCACCGAAGAGGTTTAAGTTCACACTTAAAGACGAAAGCTACTTCAACTATGAGATAGTTGTGGATGTCGTACGACTAAGAGACAAGAACGCCTTACACGTTATCGACACAGAGACAAGCTTCCAAGGAGCCACCTTCCTGAAGTCCTTATCTGCACGAGATACGTGGAATGCACTTTGCAAGTGCTGGATCAGCACGTACGTTGGTCCACCAGACCATATCGTACATGACCCAGGTACAAACTTCGCATCAGCAGAATTCAGGAACTATGCCGACATCATGGGCATATCGTGCGAAGAAATGCCAGTAGAAGCCCACTGGGCAGTAGGCAAGATAGAAAGAGCTCACGCTCCTCTGAGGCGTGCGTACGATATCTTGTATGCTGAGCTTGGGCACAACACGGACGAGGAAACCATCCTCCAGATGGCTGTGAAGGCATTGAACGACACAGCTGGTCCGCACGGCATCGTACCTACACTACTTGTCTTTGGTACATATCCAAGGATTAACAA